TCGATTCCCCTCGGTCGCATTCTTTTGGCCTTTTCCAGAGTCATCTCTACATCTCTTTTTGCTTTTCTGATCAATTGACATTCATTTTCCTTTTTTCCTCGTTGTTTTTGGTCTATTATAATGGTAGAACTAGTCCTGTTGTAGAGCAGGAGTTGTGTTGTTGACCCGCTTCCACTCCAGGCAAGCACAATCTAGGCGCACAAACACCGACCCTCAAGCATAAGAGACCAAGAAATCACAGCATTGCCTAGTGAGAAATCGAGGTCGTCTTTTACAACATGTACTCCGGCGTCAAAAGCCTTAGGGGAATCCTTTTAAACATGTGCGCCGACGCGCAGAACGCGTCTTCAGCAGAGAGCAGACCATGAGCCTCTCCGGTGCACCTACCCTACATTTGACGTCGGTGGATCCTTTTTCCGTAGCGCCTTCCCGCCTTACCGCAAGGCTCCAGCTACTGCATCATCACCATAGGTCTCCACAGTCCATCTCTACAACACAAGCTCAACATAACAACCGCCATACTTCCGATCATCCATACTGTTCACATACCCTCTTCACTTTAATCGATTAATTATCACACACTCAGACCTCCAATCATGGCATCCACAGATCCCAAGACAACAGACGACAAGCCTGTCGAGCAGAAGCCAGAGCAGAAGCCCGCCGCCCTCGGCGAGGACGACGAGTTCGAGGACTTCCCTGTTGATGGTATGTCCACATCCATCGATACCACGTCCCCTGTAGACGACTAACGAGATACAGACTGGCCTGAGGACCAGACTGAGGCTGCCAAGGGTAGCGGCGAGACCAAGCACCTCTGGGAGGAGAGCTGGGATGACGATGACACAAGCGATGATTTCTCACAACAGCTCCGGTAAGTTCTTATGCTGTCTTTTTCTCGGATAGCAACTAACGAGTGTACAGGGAGGAGCTCAAGAAGGTCGAGGCCAAACGTCGATAGAGTCACAAAGACGACCACAAACGCGCGACGAGCCGGGTGATCCCCGTGTTTTCACAGACTACAACATGCGCCCCCATGCATTCAGTAATGAAAGACGGCATCAATAAATCTCGAGCGAGCAAGTAGAAAACAATGGTTTAGGAGTGCCGACGCAGCAAGGAAGAAAACAAAGCTGCAAGCAGTATCTTTGTATCCGGAAATGAAATACAAACAGTGTTGGACTTGACCTGTTTTATGACAAGGCCCAACCTGTACCAAGAACACAGTGGAGGAGACCAGCAGGAACCCCCAGATCAATCAAGCACGATCAATAATGACGACGTCGATGACACGGAAGCCCCAGCATCTGTTGAAAATGTGAATGTCTTCACTTCGGACCCTAGCCTCCGGGAAAAGCCCCGTTGCGATTGTACCTGCATTCAGGGACCCCCCACCCAGGGATGCTGGAATGAGGATTATTGCCAGTGCATCGACTGCTCCTGCCTTGCATGCAATTGCTGGCCAGATAACGCGCTTGATGTAGACGATTCTCCGGAGCAGGCGTCTGACACACTGCCGGTGTTGCCCGTCGGAGAAGGTACTTGGGCTACATTGAGACGAGCACGAGAAAACCCACAGCTTGCCCGGATTGCAGAGCAAGTGTATCAAGTGGCTAGAGCGCAAGAAGTGCCCCCTCGCAGACGTGAGCCCCTACTTTTGGGCGAGGATGAACTTCCTGTCCCAATTAAAGAGCAGCTGAGTCGAGTGACGAGAGCGCCAGACACCTCGCGCCGCCACAGACGTTATACGGATCTGGAGGATCGTGAACCCCGCGAGGAGTGGGATGATGTGTGTCTAATGAATTTGAGACGAGCCTTGTCGTCTGCAAAACACCATCACGATCTGCCTCACCCTGCGATAGATCCAGAACCTAACAACACTCCAGAGCCCAGCAACACCTCTTCAGACCGCATATTGGAAGCCCTGAAGAGCGTAGACAAATCTTTTCGTCTTCTCCAACCCGCTTTGGATCGGCGGGATCGATGGGCAGGTTCGGCCTACAGCTCGCGTCCTCAAATAAACGGACAGGCCCAACAACAGATCCAACCAGTATATCCTAGAGGCATATTGCACTTTTTGGAATCACAAAGATCACCTCAGTGTCGACGCTCGACGGGGAGTACACCACCGGATCGTCAGCCTTACACGCCTCGTCCAATTCCCGAGAGGCTGAGTAGAAGTCCGGTTCCACTCAGTGCGCAGCCGCTGGCAGAGGTCGAGCGGGCGGGGCTGAGCGATGCTCGTGAGGAAGATAGGCGCAATGCCGATGGTGAAGAGTCTGGTCCTGGCTCCAGCAAGAGGTTGTCTGATCATGCAAGTGAGCCTCGACCAGAGAAACGTCCAGGAACATCCAACTTTGATGAGAAGGAATGAGCGTATGGTATGATAAACGTATCGGGCATGAATTATGGAAGCAGAGCTTGAGAACAGTTATCGAGTAGTCTAGTCAATCAATAAAGCGCGCACAGCGAAGTCTTGAAACGCAGATAATGTTTTTATGGCGCTTTTACGCCTCTATTGGTATTTGGTATTTAATTACTTTGCTCTGCTTTGCTACAGACTAGCTCTTCCTGCCCGGCCTTTTTCCATTTTCATAGCCCCGTCATCAACAGGTTCATAAACGTCGTACTCCAACAGCATTGGATATTATTTACTTACTGGACAGAGCAGTAACACCGGGCAGCTCCTTGCCCTCGAGGAGCTCCAAGCTGGCACCACCGCCAGTGGAGACGTGGCTGAGCTTGTCCTCGACACCGTACTTCTTGGCGACGGTGGCGGTGTCACCACCTCCGATGATGACGATCTTGCCGTCCTTCTGGACAGCGTCGACGACGGCGTCGAGGGTGGCCTTTGTGCCGTTGGCGAACTTCTCGAACTCGAAGACACCGGCGGGACCGTTCCAGAGGATGGTCTTGGCCTCGGCGATAGCCTCCTTGTAGAGCTTGACAGACTCCTCACCGCAGTCAAGTCCCTGCCAACCGTCGGGGATACCGTCCTTGTCGGTGGCGTAGCCAGTGTTGGCGTCCTTGTCGAACTTGTCGGCGGTGATGTAGTCGACGGGGAGGACGAGCTTGACGCCCTTGGCCTTGGCCTTCTCAACGAGGCTGCCGACGGTCTTGGAACCGGCCTCGTCGAAGAGAGAGTTTCCGATGGAGACGTTCTCGAGGGTCTTCTTGAAGGTGAAGGCCATGCCACCGCAGACGATCAGGGTGTTGACCTTGTCAAGGAGGTTGTCGATGAGCTGGATCTTGTCGGAGACCTTGGCACCACCGAGGATGGCGAGGAAGGGGCGTTGAGGCTCCTCGAGGGCCTTGGCGAAGTACTCGAGCTCCTTCTTGACGAGGAAACCGGAGGCCTTCTGGGGGAGGTCGACACCGACCATGGAAGAGTGAGCACGGTGAGCAGTGCCGAAAGCGTCGTCTGTTATTGTTAGCATTGTAGTCATAATAGAGTGTATTGGGATACTGACTGATGTAGACGTCACCAAGAGCGGTCAAGCCCTTGCGGAAAGCCTCAACCTGAGCCTTGTCGGCCTTGGTCTTGTTACCCTCCTTGTCCTTGGAGGAACCCTCCTCCTCAATGTGGAATCGGAGGTTCTCGAGGAGAATGATGGAGCCATCCTCAGCCTTGCTGACGATCTCCTCGACCTCGGGACCGACACAGTCGGGGGCGAAGGTGACCTTCTTGCTCAGGAGCTTCTCGAGCTCGGCAACGACAGGCTTGAGAGAGTACTTCTCGTTGGGAGAGCCGTTGGGGCGGCCGAGGTGGGACATGAGGATGACGGACTTGGCGCCATTGTCGAGGGCGTACTTGATGGTGGGGAGGGCACCGACAATTCGCTGGTTGTTGGTGATGTTCTTGTCGGCGTCGAGAGGGACGTTGAAGTCGACCTGGAGGGGTTTTGTTAGCTGACTGTATAGCGGGGTATTGTTGAAGATTGCGATGTTGAGATTGATTGCTAGTAATTTCAACTGCTTTACGATGTGACCCAAGGCATTTCTAGAGTAACCGCCTCGATTGATGATCATAACATGTGGTGATGCGATGCAGTGCGGGGAGCTCAACCAAGCTCAACAATCATAACCGCGGGGTCATCAGCAACTTTTTCTGCTGTGTCTTGTACTTACTCGGATGAGGACCTTCTTGCCCTTGACGTCGACGTCAGTGATGGAGAGCTTGTTGGACAGCGACATGATTGCGATGAGTTTAGGATGAAGAGAAAAAGTTGATGAGGAGGGAGGAAGAAGAGAGTTTGAGGGGAATGTCTGGTAGTAAATACTATTAGTACGCGGACATGTACCTCTGTTGCTACCGCAGACACTCAGGTGGGGGTCAATTTCAACGCGATGACGCCGGCGGGGCTTTCGCGGCTGGACTCGAAGGTGGTGGGATGATGGAAACCCCTGGACAAGACGCTTTAGCCATGAATCTGGCGTGAGGTATCTTGTTATCAGTGTTTTTCTGTATCTGCCTATAATCCATTCCCATGACATGATCGGTGTCGGTGTCGTCTCGGTCAAGTCTTGACTGTCAAGCCCACTCTGCTCCCAAATCACTCACTCAACCCAACCTCTGCACGGACTTCAATGTCCTTGTACACGATATCTCAGTCTCTACACATCGCCGGGTTACGGGGATACCTCCCGGCTTCTGGCGATGCGGATGTATACTTGCCCGGAGAGACGCGGACTACTTTACGTTATACTACATCGCCGAGACATGTGCTGTTACGTACAATACGATACCTTGTTGGCTGCGACTGAAACAAAACGATGATCAATCGGGTATTCTCAAACCATGATATGACCCACCATTAAGAATGCCGTGTTGACGTTAAAGATTGGCATATAAATAACTGTCGTGAACGTGGTAGGCTGAGCATCCATGATATGAGGTATAAGCTAGCAAATGGAACATGGAAGAATCCCACGTTGAGAGCTGATCTGATCTGATAAATGAAACCCTTGACATGTATTTATTATGCTCTATCGCCACAAATTCCTCAGACCACTTACATCTCGGTCAATTATATCAGGACAGGCCACGCCATATTCCTTTACTTTGTTGGATCCCCTGGTATTGTTGTACTTAACCGCCGAAGTCAGTCCCGGACCGTCAGCCCTACCGAAGAAGCAAATGCTACCCTTCTTTCACGATGACAGCATATCATATACGGCAATCCCTGTCATGCGACTATCTCATTCATGACCTCGTAATTGACACTCCAGTTGGCGTCTCAAACTTCTTCAACTACACTCATCACTATGGCACCTGATCGTCAAATCGATACTCGTCAAATACGTAAAAATGGGCCAGCAATTGTATTGTTTCTACCCTAAACAACAAACTCCTTTTCTTTTTACCATCCCAAACAGATCATTTTACTTTATTTCTTACAATGGATTCGACATCTAAGCCTTCTGGAGATCGAAGTGGAAAGAGCGGATAATTGAGTCCGTGTCGTCAATAGCGAGAGGACGCACATCAGCCAGGTCCTTGATCTTGGCAGTACTATTATCTGGTCAGTATTTGACGTTAAAAGCTGAGGTTTGGTGCAACTTACACTTGCTTGATCTGCTCATCGGTCATGTTCAGTCCGAGCTGCTCAACACGACTCTTGATGGCGTTCCAGCCAGTCAATCTAGACGCGAAGTGAACATATCGGGACATGCCGAAATCAGCAGGGTCGATGATCTCGTATGTGCTAGGCTGGTTGAGGATGGCCTTGGCGTGGATACCGGCCTTGTGGGTGAAGGCACAGAAACCGGTGATGTAGTTGTTGAAGGGGACGTTGATCTCGACGGCCTCGGCGACGAGATCCTCAATCTCCTTGAGCTTGTGGAGCTTGTATCGAGAGGTGACGTAGTCGTGGCTGTTGACGATCATGCGGGCCAAGAGACCTCCGAGAGGGGTGATACCGTTACGCTCGCCGATTCCGAGAACTGAGGTGTCGATGTGGGTGGCGCCGGCCTCGAGGGCAGCGTGGGCGTTGGCGATAGCACAGCCAGTGTCGTTGTGGACTGGTATTGTTAGTTTTTGGTGTTTTGGGGTAGTAATTAGGGATTCTTACAATGGCACTCGATGTCGCAGCCGACAACACCACGGAGAGTGCGGACAAGGTCGTAGACCTGGCGAGGAGAAGCGCAGCCGACAGTGTCAGCGACACCAACACGGTGAACACCCTCCTTGTCAACAGCCTGGTAAAGGCTGAGAAGGTCGACAAGATCACTTCGGAAAGAGTCCTCGGAAGAGAATCGGACCTCCTTGCCTTGGCTCTTGATGTATCGGATAACCTCAATGGCAGACTCCTTGATGTAAGTCATGTCCTTTCCGTGAGAGTGCTCTCTCAAGAATTGAGAAGTGCCAATAACGACGTCGACACCGTCGACTCCTGTCTCAACGGCGACCTTGGCATCTTCCATCTAATTGAATGTTAGCTCAGGCTCGAGCTGGGTAGCATTGATTGGGGACTTACTGTGCATCGCACGTGAGTCAGGATCTTGGCCTTGAGGCCAAGCTTGCAGATCTCCTCGCAGTCCTTGCGGGACTGGGGAGAAGCGAGAGGGCTGGTGAGCTCAATGTACTCGACACCAAAGTCAGAGAGAGCCGTGGCACTATAAACTGTTAGGATTCGAAGTTCGGTGGCAAGGAATTAGGTTCGTCGTACATCTTGATCTTGGTCTCTGTTGGGCAATGTCAGTGAACAGCTCTTGTAGCTCGTATGGAGATGGGTATGGACATACCTGTGTCAAAGTAGGCATTGGCAAACTGTTCTCCCTCTCTCAAGGTAGACTCAATGATCTTGAAGTTGTTGGTGTTGGAGAGGAAGTCGCCGACCGACTGGTAAGGCAGCGAAGCATTGTGATGGGGCTTGTGAATGGTGGGAGCAGTCCCGTTCTCTGTGACCTCTACGTTTGACATGATGGGCGATGTGTTATATGATATGAATGAATAGCAATAAAAGAATCTGGGGTATAAGATGAAAGAAGAAGGTGATTCCGAAGAAGAGAGAGAATTGGAAAGTGGAAAAGTCAAAAGTTGGGGCCTTTTTGGGTTATTTACCTACAAGAAGGCTTCATTGGTGGGGGCGGGGGAGGAGGCCATGTACTGCCTGTGCTGTATGGTGTACTAATGGCTAAGCTCCGAATGGCGGAGGAGGAAAAAAAGTTTCCAAAGGAGTGACGCAGTTGGACCACGACACTATCTGTTGATACGTCAGTTCGAGGGCAAACTCTGCTAGCACGGTACAAAGACCCGGACCCTTGACCGGGATTATTCCGATCAGTAGAGAATTACTCACTGGGAATATCAGGTAGTTTGAATCATACTCTGCTGCAGTCATATTCTACTGCATTGTTTACAGGTAAGACAAACGGATGGTTGCTGCTGCAAGGTACTCTTTAAGGAACGGAAGCTACACCAGCAATACCTCAATTGGACAAAATCTTCACTTCTTGTGTGTCTGTCTTATGCTCCATTCCCACCTCCAAGCTATGACGAACTCAATTGCCCTTGAATGTCTGATCAACACTGCTGAATCCACTACCCTTTGCCCCCTTGAACACTTGAGTCAGACGCCGAATATCGGCACCACCGTCACTTACTCACAGGGGGTCCCTTGTTTTTTGCGGGGTTAGGCACTTCAAAGCGCAACTATGTATTCCGAACGCCCCGATTTGAACTTGAAGCTGTAGCTACAGCTTTTATTTTTTTGTATGACTGTCGTGTGCCTGATATTCTCCCCCGTACTCAATTGCAAACTCTGACTGTACGAGAAACAAAAAATGACCAAGCCTGGAAAAGCCTATTTCTGACGCCACAACGGCATTATTGATGAGCTATTGGCTTCGACGACGCACAAACGACGCTCAAGTGCATATGGCTGGACTGGGTCTTATGTGAGCTTTGACTTAGGCTTGCAAAGCTCCCGTTGTCCTTTGCCTGGGCAATGACGGCTCAATTGATCATGCATATACACAACTCAGCAATTGACGATTTAACGCAGATGTGAAAAGAGATCAATTCATGTGATTTTAAACATCTCCCCCGAAACGCCAAACGAGACGCAAGCTATAAATCTAAACAAGGCCCGTATCCCAAACCGACGAAACAACAACAAAATGGAAGATGCCATGCTAGGCAATTGCTGCGCGCAATACTCGCAAATCGCTGGGCTCTGAAGCCGCTGTGTCGAATCATGCAGTATAAAAACAAAGAAAAATCCTAACGCCGTTTCTATGTGACGGCTTCACTAGTCGTCGCAATGAAGTGTTTCGATACCATCGACCTGCAACTGGCTCGACGCCGACTTAACGACGTTCTGACGATGCGGTAAGTTTACTCCGAGGCGGAGTTGGTCAAGGAAAGGTATGCTGTCCAGGCAATACCGATTGTGGACACGAAAGGCTATAATAATGTTAGCGATAGGTCATAAACAGTCTTTTGCGAATTGACATACCAGCTGGAACTGAACAGGCATCAAACGGAAGTTGACAATCTGCACAGCAGGCCACACAAGGTAGTTGGCCTTGAGAGTAGGAATGTACATATCCCTAAGCTTGTTGGACACAGCACGTCGACCACCACCCTCAGCGATAGTCATGGTAGTGTAGAAAACAGCCAGACCGAAAGGCGCAAAGATAATCTGATCGAAAGCAACGCGCTTCATGGCGGGAGCGAAGGCGCTCGTCTTGGTAACAGGGAATACCTGCGACAGGAAACGGAACCACTTGAACTGCACGGGCGCCATGCAGAAACCGTAGGCCATGAAGCGAGTCAGACGCTCAAAGTCGAACGGGGGAGGAAGACCGGTGGAGTTGGGGATCAGGTCGCGATCGTAGAAGGGGTTCTTGCGGTCGAGTTCGTGGATCTCAATAGCGACGCCATCGTCCTTCTTGAGACCGCCGGGTTGGCGGACGGCTCGTTCGCGGATTGCAGTAATGGACTGGGCGACCGTGTCTGCGACGCCTCCGAGGATGGCGTTTGTGACCATCATGGTCATGACTGCGGGTGGTTGTTAGCTATAATCGACCGTCGATTTGGTGAAGGTGACGTACGTGGTCGCTCATCATAGTACGAGTTGAATCGCGCGGTAAGTCTTGCGATGAAAGCCATTTCGATTAAGAAGATGATGGTATGCAGCAGAGGCTATATCGAAAGGATATCGTCAGCGTCGGGCCAAACAGCGCAAAGAGGAAACGAAGCCGTGAAAAAGAATGGAAATAAAAGGGAACTACAATAGTATGTGTAGGACACACACAAATGGAAAAACAAAAGTCATCAACAAGAAAAAGAGATTTGGAGCGATGACGATAGAGCTGGATACGTAGTTGGGGAAAATACTGGGGAAGCTAAAGTGGCGACTGATCATAGAGTTGGCAGCAGCCCAGCCCAGCGCAGAGGGCCAGAGCGAGCAACAACGTCAGGTAAACGACAAAAAAACAGGGTGAAACTTACAATGCGACCGTAAATGTACTTTGAGTTGATGGAGCGGACGAACCGCCTCTGAGAGAGTTCCCACGTCATATTGACCGAATAAAAGACAATATCGCGATAAGAAAAGACGATGCGATGGATGGGAAAGGAAAAAGAGAACAGAAAGGTCAAAAGGTAGGTGGGTGAGCGCGCGTGTCAGGTTCGCTCGCTGCAGTGGTTCCGTTCTCCTTCTCAAGGGCGGGTTCTTCCCTATTATAATATGACGACAGTTTTTTTCCCTTTCGTTCCACCGCACAGTCTCGTGGGGCTGACAAGGACTTGGCGAATTCAGGAGATTGAACAGAGAACACTCTGGCGTCTAAAGGCGCGCAGACAATATTGGGCAGTTGACAAAAGATGAAGATGATGGAAAACAAAGAATATGCGTGAGAAAAAAGGGAAACAGGAATTGGAGAGGGGATCAAAATAAAGTCATGCGACACCCCCAACCACTTCAAGTTGGGCAGAAGAGGAGAGGAATTGGCAATGCATTGGCATTTCAGCTGCCTTACCTTGTGAAGGAAGAAGCGACAGTGCATCGTCGCTTATATTCAAACGGTGTCACATAAAGAGTAATCTGCACTATATTCTCCACGTTTCCCCTCCTCATTTTAACACTCTAATACTGTACGGTAACCTACACCAACGAATTGCATGACGATATCGTTCCTGAATCCCCAAAACTCTACAACCGTTGCACATGCGATTTCTCTACCGGCGATTTCTATTCCTGTATCTTCACTGTCTTTAAGCGCTGATACGCTACCCCTTGTCGTTTTACTGTGGATCTTGCTTTCCGGGGATCCCGGCCGGTTAAGAGCTTCACGGGGCGCAAGCCGGCTCCGAGGGTCCGTTAATCTGTGACAAGACTGTGGCCAACAACAAGACTCAAACATTCACAGTTGACGCTGCGCTGGATGTATGACTATCACGGTGTAATTTTAGACAGTATCACTGCCGCTGAAGAGATGTAACCGCTGGTGTCGTTATGTACGTTTCATCTTGAGGCAGTGCTACATACGGCGTTGGTTGACAAGGCGTATCGCCAGCCAGCTTACTCTTGGCCCTGAAGCTTACACTTCACCACTGCTGTAACACGACGACTAGCCTTTACGGCTCGACGTATCATCTTCAAGGGAGTGAATTGCAACTCGCTACTCCCAAGAAGGCCCGCATTGGTCTGGTCACGTGGTAATCCCATCTTGAATCACCATAGACTGGAACTCCTTTGAAACCAATGACCGCCAATTATTTGAGTGCCTGTCAATATTAACAGAACAATACCCTGTTATTCGATTTGGGGTTCATATTGTCGCGAGTGCCGGTCGTGCTAAACCAGTCGGGTCTGGTCGAGTCGCGTTTCCAGGGTCCAGCGCTGATGCCGTCTTAATCCCGCCCTTTGATCGCCCTAATTAATTGCCCTTTATCCCGCAAGACAGTCTTCTTCGTGTGGCCACTTCAGCTGGGTCAATTCTTCGAGACCAAGACTGACAAACTTATACGGCTTCATAGGATCTAAACGATGGGAAAAACATGACTCACACGGGTCGATAATGACAATAACATGACATTCCCAAAAATACATATTGACTAGCTCGCTACCTCTATCCCAATGTTGAGACAAAAGCAGATCCAGATGGGGCTGCCTTACGATCATATCTTTTAAAGTAACCGCCAACTGGAAGCTCAAACTGAACGTCCGGGTCCACTTTCATACGTCTTAGGCACCGGTATACCGCCTCCTCATCAATACCTACGTTTGCATGCTCCCCTGCCGTTTTGACCGTTTTGAGATTTACTTTGGCCCCTCCGTCTACCATTTGACGTATACATCTCAACACGTTATCCTTGTTCTTGTTCTCTTCTTGATATGCCACACAGAATCTGAGAGCTTCGGCCAGAATCTCCTCCCAGGGCGTCACCCGGGTCCCTGCAGCTTGACGGTTGGGCGTTGTAAACCTCATATTTGGCTTTGCCCCTTTCTCAAGTAAGTGCTTAAGAATTGAGGCGCCATTTGGATGCGAGAGACAAACGAGGGAAAGAAGGGAAATCTTCCGGTTACCTGACCATTTGTCAAACACTCGCCCAATCAGATTAGCCAAACTTTCCCGTGAAATGTTGAGGGTTGATGGCTGGACAATTATGAGACCACCCGGCCCGGCTCTAGCCTTCACATATTCAACCACCGACATCAAACTTGCCAGACACAACATCTTTTGACGGGAGTCTAGATCGCCACTGCGTTCAAGATCCGCTAGATTCTCAACCCATGGAACTTTTTGAGACATATGCATTACGTATGGCCTGGTGTCAGATACCGAGTGCCATATGCCCCGAGGTATGTCGCGGCAGACACCAGTGAGATGATCCAACAAGCGCACAACTTCGTTCCTTGACTGGTGAGATACATCGGCGGCATGCCCCAAGCAACGTATAAAACTTAAGAATCGAGGATCATTCGCGCCCGTGTTATTTGAATTGCTCACATCAGCCTGATTCATAAGACCTTTGGTCACTGTAGCATACGCTGCAGCGATTCTAAGATGGGCATCATACGGTGTTTTCAAATAACTTTGAAACTTCTGTTGAGTTTTTTCCCTTGAAATAAATTCGTATACGGTCTTGTGAAGATAGTCAACATGGGCCCCAAAATGCGGGTTAAAGGGACGAGATGAAGCGGCTGTAGCGTCGTGGATCTCGAGCAAGCCTTTGCATCGACTGTTAAGACGGCGGCGAATATCCTCTCTCCGGGCCAATGCTTCCTCGCGCAACACCACTAGGGAATCCTCTTTGATGGCTCGGTCCATGAAGTTCACTTCATCAGCATACCAGAACAACAGCGGCGAAGGAGGTGATTTGAATGCCGACATCAGCTGGAGTAGCTGCGCGGTATGCTCGTGGTATCTCGAATCGACACTCTCGAGTATCCTCGCATAAAGATCTTCTATTTCCTCTGGAAGCTGAGCGAGTCTCTCCTGTAGGTCTTCCGCACGGTCGCCTGCTTGTATCCCTGCTAGGAGGGAGGTCACAACAATGGTTACCCACAGGAATACTCCGCTTGACTTCTCCACGATAGTTTCACGGAGCTCAGTAGCAACACGATGTTGCCTTCGCTGCAGGCTTTTGAATTGAAGGTCTGCCTCAAACTTGGAAGAGACATAGCTGGAGATGTCCTGATGAGTCAAGTCCTGCATTCCAAGCATAGGACAGTCCCCAAAGGCACCCTCGAACTCAGTCCAAGGGCGACTAGAGACGCAGACTTTGATGGGCGAATTAACGCAGCCCTGTACAAGTGATATAAGAGCATGACAATCGCCCTCGAATTCGTCTAAGCCATCTATGAACATGGCAAGCTTTGCACGAGTACTGATTTGAACGACTGCTTTTTTGAACATGTTCTCCAGATCAATCCGGCTGAGGTTTCGTGGATCGATGTTGAATAGACATAGAGACTCCCACCGCAATGGGGCAACGATAGGAATAACTTCTGGGTGAGCACGAAGAAGTTGCACAAGCAGAGTCCTAAAAAGGCCCTCCTGTGAACGTTGGAGGTCTGATCCAACAGCCCAGAAATGAAAAGAGACAACTGTGAGCTCATTCTCAGTTCCAGCCCACTGTTTGAGATATGTCGCACATCTGCCTTGAGAGTCTGCTATGTTTTCTGGGCTCGAAGATGCTACGACTGATGTTTCATCGCCATCGTCGCTTTTAATGACAGGTTGAAGAAGATATCTCATCAGAGTGGACTTCCCTGAGCCTGGCTTTCCCGTGATCCAATAAAGTGGTTCATTGGACACCAGCCAGTCTCTGAAACCTGTTCTATCGTTTTCCTCGAATATCCAATGGAAGGTACCTTCATGGGCGTCTTTGATGGATAACTCCCTCTCTTGCATGGTATCGTAGCAGAGCCTGGAGATAAATAGCTGTACTAGCTTAGTCTTTCTTTCGTCCGATAGCTGTATGTGCGAAACATCAGAGAGACTCAAGACCTTTTCTTCTGGGCCGTATATGTTTGCAATCAGATTACTAATGAGCTCTGAATTGATCTCGTCGTGGAGTTGGAGGTCATCGGTCAAATGCTTGACTACGGTACCGCCATAACCCAATCTTGAGTTATCCAAGCCTGCCGCTTCCTCTCCTGAATCTTGCGGGCCAGACTTCCCATTGGATGATTTCGCATCGCGAAGCTCTCTCAATATCTGGTCTTGCTTTTCTGCGCTTTCTCTGATCGCTGATCTACCGCTGGCTATGAGCTATGTTCCTTGCGACTGCAATTTGTGACTATTATATAGCCTGCTTGATAACTCACCTGAGGTCAATAGTCATGTAGAAAGCCAGGTCTGATTGCACTCCTCTCAACTTCGCTTCGAGGGTCTTAAGTTCTTCTTCTTTCCAAAGTGTTGACCATGCTTTCCTCAAACTGTTACGTCCTCGGCGTATCTTGTCGAGTGTGTCGGTCATTTCCTTCGAAATCGTAACACTTTTCTGTACTAGCGAGTTGACCGCTGTATTCGACCCCGGACTGGTGCTCTGGAGGGTATTTTGGGCATGTCGAAAGCGTTCCGAGCTGTTTTGCAGCTCTTCGAGACCTGTAAGGAAAGCTTGCTCGGATTGACTGACCTGCCAGGCGGTAACAACAAAGCGAATACCGAAGTCGATGATCTGTAGAATACTAGCTGCGACACCAACAGCAGCGAATTCGGCCATGATAAAGCAATCTGATACTACGAGTAGAGAGAATGGATCTGACTGGTTTCATTGAGGGTGTGCGACACATCTTGTACCGTGCGGCAGGCTCCCAGCGGTGGTTACAGGACCAGGCTATGGAGGCATAGCCGCCCTAACTATTCGTCGGGCGGCGTATGTGACATGCATATCTGCAAGGCGCATGCCAGGATTGATGCATGTTCATGATGATCCTGATGTTGGTGATGATTCTAAAGACCATGCATGATTGGAGCCCAGGGGTGTTTGACTTGCAGGCGGTGTGTTGTCTGTTAGGTACGCCCGACTTGAGGCTTGAAATATTTTCTGCCTTGCTGCCCTCCCGTCCAGTTCGTCCAAAAAGGGCAGAGGTACCAACAAGGCAAGTGCTAACGACGAGTAAACGAGAGTGCACCAAGTGATGGGTAGAGCGCGAGTCTATACCAAAGGTTTTGTGCGAAGAAGTAAAGACTGAATTATCGTCTGAAACATTAGAAAAAATAACATTACACAAGGGTATACTCCTTCCAGGCCATCCAAGCCAGACCATTTCTATATCACAAACCAACCGACCGACCGACCATCCCAACCAAAGCCAACCCAGATATTATTCGCGAAAATCAGAAATCCTACTCCAGATCTTCATCGTGCTCCCACTTCTTGGTCCCCAGCCGACGGATCTTCTTGGGACTACCACTACCACTGATAGGTACAGCCTTTGCCTTTTCACCGCCAACACGCATGCGCTCCAGTTTGCGACCTAGGTTCGTAACGCTGTCGCCTTCTCTTGGTTGCTTCGTGGCAGGGCCGACGAAATCTTCACGCTCTCCGAGGGGTTTGCGCTTTGTTGGGCTGCGGGAGGCGAGTTCGCGCTTGAGGATACCGTTCTCGCGACGGAGTCTTTCGACTTCGTCTTCGAGATCTTCGATGAGGACATTCTCTTTATCGCCGTCATCGTCAGTAGCCAAGCCACGTTCGAGGATTTCCACCTTGCGGTCCCAGTGCTCTTCGGTGCGTTCGTGCTCAATAGACATCGAGTTCTTCCAGCGGGCCATCTCAAGAGCGAGACGGTCCTCGAACTCGATGGCGCATTGTTCACGAATGGCTGCTTCGAGATCAAGCATGCGGTCCTCCATGCGATCTTCCATGGATTGAAGATGAGCTTCAGCGACATATCGTGCTTCGGTCTCTTGGTCCACGATCTCGCGTAGTTGATCAGCTTGCTCGCGCAACTTATCGGCCTCCTCACTAAGTCTGGCGATCTCAAGGGCGGCAACCTCCATGGTAGCACGGTCATCAGCGCTCATCTGGGGGGTGTAGTTCCTATACGACACATGGTGTGATGGCACTACTGGGCGCAAATGGTTATGGTGGAGGGTTGGGCTGATTGAACGGTTGGGACCCGGTGTAGTGGGCGAGAGAATAGTGCTTGTGATAGAAGGGACACGAGGCACGGCGACCTCACGAGCGAGAGCACTATATCGAAGGATCTGTGATGTAGCGTTGAAGTCTCCTCGAGGATCGGCCGTAAAGATCATTACACCTCTTTGGGGGTTGCGGCGAGGAGACTGTGATTGTGTAGAAGAGGATGAAGGGAAAGAGTTGGAGAACAGCAGCTCAGTGAGTTTGCATTGTCTGAAGGGGACGGTGTTGGGCTATCACTTGTTAGTTGTTGTCAGAGATGGTTCCATACACTACTCACCTTGTTCGAGCTTGCAGCGTCACTTTGCGCTTGGAGGCACTGGCCCAGATACATTAGACTTTCGTTAATCTTGCCGGCCTCTGCTAGCGTGGCGCCGGCAGTCTTGGCTTCCCGCGCTCGTTCACTACCCGCCAGATCAACGATCGTGAACTTGCTTCCTCCCCAAGGTCCGGGATTTCTGCTTCGTGCTCGCTTCTTCACTTCGAATACGAAGAAACCATGGCTTCGACTCGACACACTGTTGCTACCGGTACCAGTAACGCGGCGCTCCTGCAAGCCGGTCTCAACGACTGACAAGGCTTCGGTATAGTTTGAGCAGATGACCTTCCGTAGGCCTGCAACAACCTTTCGGTCCTGTGATAATTCTGTCGACTTGAACAATAGCGCTCGGCGTCGGGGCTCCTTTGTGTTTCCGGATTTGACAGCTGGTGTCAGGAGATCGTAAATTCGGTCGTTGTGAACTTCGTACATGGAGATGACAATAGCATACTCTGCTGACGGGTCGCATTGAACATCGGTGTTGCTAACATCGGGCTGCTCGGGGAAAGCTGAAGGACGTGTTGCGACGATTCGAGGCGGCGGCGGGGACATCATACTGCGGTCGCCCTTTACACTTTGTTTAGCAATATTCTTCACATACGTGGCAGAGCGGAGGGACATGAAGTGTCGTGTGACCCGCTTGGGCGTCGGAGAACAGTTCATTGCACTGGCAGATGCAGCGATGGATCCAAGGGGTGGTTTATCATCGTGTTCAGCAGGACGTTTCTATCGCTCACTGGAACGCGCTGAATCCTCCCCCTGGGTAACAAGTCGTACACTTTTCGGACTTGCTGTGTAGTCCACAGACGACGCGTTGGCGAGACGGGAAGCTTGACGGGTTGTAGGAATGTTGAGACAGGAAAGGGCTGAGGTCGGGGGTCGTACTCCTGGTGTGGCAGCTCGAGAAGGCGCTCTCGATGCTACTGAATCGCGGAACGAGGGACTCAGGAAATGCGACGCGATGGTCAAGGACGAATCTGCACCATCACACTCCTGAAGGGAGTCTTGGGCGTTGAACAAGTCGTTGCCGTCTATCATATTTTCGCCGATCGATCGAAAGAGGACGTCCATTGCGAGCTGGGTCATTCCCCGTTGGGATTTGCTGCCGAGGATGGTGTGCGTCTACATCATTAGTATGGTCTTGCTGTTGTTGACGCGAAGCTTACCTTGCCCGAACCTGTCACTCCCAGTGTAGCAACGACAGCATCGGTTCCCTCACCACCATTAGGAGCGAGGACGCCCTCAACAAAGGGGACGATCTCTGTGCCGTGAAACACATCGAGCTGGTTGGTTTCTTCTTCAAACACACGGGTAAACGCGAACTTCTCGATAGCTCTTCGTCGGTCGGTAGGGGGGTTCAAGACGACGTGTTTGGGTTTCGAATCGTCCTCTGGAGTTTCGACGTCGAGAATACGCTCGCCATCACCGTGTCGCAAGGGAGGCGGTCGTAGTCGTAGGTAAACCTCGAACAGGTTGTGCGATGCCTTCCGTGAAGAGTCCATGTCGCTATGATCGCTATGATGATTCTCGCTAGGATGCAGGAACAAATGCAAAACAGAACACAACGTGGAGAAGACGAGACGAGAACTGTTTAGCCTGGTGGATTCATGGATAGTTGACGTTACAATCCTAGCGGGATCGTGTTTACTCTATTTCGTTGGTCCGGTTCGGCTGGCAGGACAACGGTAACAATTCCAGATTCGATAAGATAAGATTAGATACGAGTAAGCGCCTTCCGCGCGGATGTCAGCACAGACCAACAACAACAAACGTTTGCGTCCCCTCAGAAAAAGTCCAAGAATGTGGAGATAATTCTTCCTCAGGCCTTCAATCTTCGCCATTGACGCCTCAGGGACCAGGATTCAAGCCATTGATTGAATGGTGTCACTCGAAGTGGTACATCGTATGGTTTGGCATAAACATTCATCTGCAATTCGCCTTGACGAAGCATGTCGGTGAATCTCTGTTGAGTTGTCGGGGGCTTCCAGATAGAGAAACAATTTTCTGCTACACAATTGAAACTGTAGTAAGCCGGGATCCGTCAATTCACATGCAAGAAAGGACGCCAAATGTTTTGAAGCTTCGTGGCAGCTAGGATGCGTGGCAGCAAAGAGTCATCAGTATCAGCATTTAGCATCAGTGCGGTAGCCCAGGGTAGGCAAGGGGGTGTGAGAGTGTGACAGCGGGATGAACCAGCCAATCAACATTTCTCTAGAGCTGCTGATTTCCGGGGGAGGTGATACTGATTTGACTCATCCAAGAGTCATATTCACCATTTTTATGTCTTCATTCTGCAGAAGCTTCACCTTTAATTTCGAGGACAGCAGCTGTGCCGCTTTGCTTCTCGGGACTCCTATGTCCCTTGTCCTAAAGCGTAATACCGAGGTTGCCAATTGTTAAATCCGTCGGGTAGCTCGACTCGCGAAGTCAGAAAAAAAAAGTCTGAGGATGATCTCCGAGAGGGGCACCCGTTTACTGGGCAATAAAAGTCTTGCGCTACGAGGACATCCTGACTCTAAAAATTGGTCTGGCGCTAAAAGCTACTGATGACGGCAGTGCTTTTTCTTCTGACGAGGGGAGGGGAATGAGGGGCTCTCGTGATGATCTGGACTCAATTCACGGTGCATTGACATAGAGAAAGATTTCGTATAGAGGGGGATTGACAGAAGGTAGAGACAGTTATTGTTTCGTGTTGGTTAAGCCATGTTAAACCGCTGAGTCTAAGAGCAATACAGCCGAGGAAACAGAAACGAAATAACGTGAAACGATAACATCAAATCTCGGCGACTTCATAAACTACTAGACCACCTACGTAATAACGGTCAAGATGTTTTGGATCCAGGCACGAGGACGGCGCGTAATGTCATTCATTAGCTTGCCTCACCAGAAATTTTCTCTTCCAATTGATGGATATCTCGTTGCGTCGAGACTCTCACCTATTGCGGGTTCTTGAGTAATTAGTCTTCGTCAACTCCGGTTGTCGCTTAAAAAAAAGCCCGACCAAGAGCGAGAAAAAAATGTTCGTTAAAAACAACTCCAGCAACAAAGAGGATATACCCCACCAGGTGTCCGTGGCAACATGGGGACAAAAGAAGCTTGGAAGAAAAAGAGATTTCTCTTATTCTTTTTCGGCCTTTCTTACTCGTCTATTCGATGGTCACCTGGTACCAGCGAGAAGACTGACGATGCTTCTCTGGATCTCGTCCCATAAGTAGATGCAGGCCGAAGAGCTCCTCTTTTTTCTTTTTTTCTGGGTCTTTTGCTGCAAGTTCTTGTCTGGACTTTTTTGGCACTTGACATTGGGCCACTGACATAACCGCCTCAGTTTAGCTCAGAGTAACCCCCCTGTTTGATGGTGGATCTTGTAGACTGCGGAGCTTCAAGATTTGAGAAATGCTTGGCCTCTGTTGGACTGAAGCAAAAACGAGGGGTCTTGATTTCTTGCTTGGCTATCCCGGCTCCAGCGTCTGTTCTGCCGTACCTGGACAAGGATGGGTCTCGATTGCGCGGCAAACCGAGGACCTCTTCTCCTCTCGTACGAGATGGGCCACTGCAGTATCCGTAAAGATTGGGTTTCTGGAGAAAGGCATCTTCAAAGTTTTCGGTCCTGACTCTATCTGCCCGAAGAAAAATATGCAATTTTAGCCACGTTGTGAAGCCACCTCCCGCTTGACTAGGTGACTGACACATTCAGCTGGAGCTGGAACGTGTCGTCTACGTATGTCCAACGTCTACCGAGTACTGCAATGCTCCGCTATCCAATATTATTTCTTGCATTTCCTTTAGTCGTACATTAGAGTGATAGCCCATGCTCAGTGTCGTGCTTTCGCTCCGGGGTTTAACTGGTCCCTTGATAATTATCCATTTGTTCGCCTCACGGACCAGGGAGCATGGGGTATCTGTTTGTGATGGAGAGTCTTCAATTGGGCTCAAACCCCGAGCCCTTGTGAGACCTGTCCTCGTCGTCCAGCGCTTGACTCTAAAATACCGGTTTGATGGCAGATAGATTCGCTCAATTGCAGACGATTCCGCATATCGCAGCATATGTAGCATGCCTGAATACCAACAGAATAGTCTCCCTGCATCGTGTCTCAGTCGATACATAAACGTTTTCTCTGTATACTTGTTCATGGTTGGGCTTCTACCTGTTGGCTTCAAGTAGCGGTGACGGTTAATGGCCAGCCTAAAGTGGACTAGCGCATCTTGTACCTTTTCCCTCCTCCCGCACTCACACCTTAGCACCTCCCGGTCACTCCCCCCCGGCACTGTCCACAGCCCACTGGGGCCTGCCTCGAGACACCTTACCCAATCAAGATGCACCCCACTTAGAGTGCGGAAAAAGTTTGGACTGGATATTTCTCTCCTCCTCTCCCCTCGCCTGCTTTTCTTCTTATCATCACCAACCCAAACCAAAACCTCAGACAACGAAGTCGCCATTTTACAGTATCACTCAGAAAATACCCTACCAAGAACTAAAGTCGAGTAACCATGCCTTCGGCCGTCGCTGAGCTGTAAACGCCCACTGCGGGCCGTGGCTGTCTTCCCTGTCGCGGCCTGCAGTCCAGCAGTTCTTCGAGTTAACCAGTCAATCTTCCCTCGACATAGTTCTTTACAGGCTTTCCCGCTCTAGGAGCTGATAGCTTCACCGAGAGTCTGTCTCTGAAACAAACAATTCTGCGATTTGCCCGATTGTGAAGGGCTCTTGATACCACTATTGATACTCTACCTATTACGACACACCCACCTCCACCTCCTACCAACTCTTAACCAATACCATAACGCAAGATATACTTGCTGTTACTTCCTCTTCAGTGAAAAGAAGTGGTTGATAACCATATTGTCAGACTTAACTATTCCAGCTTGCGGAATTACGAAACTCTAATTGAGTTCCATCTGACACTACTAAAAGTTTCGACAAGAACTCGAATACATCGTTGCGAAATATCTTTCAAGGACTACTACAATCTTCGAATCATATCCAGAATGTCTCGCAACATTAAGCGAAAATTTTCGACCCCGGTCAAGGTCAAGACTGCCAACCGCCGTCGCCGGGTGTCCGACACCCCCTCAACCTCTTCATTGGATCTCTCTGATGATGGCGGATACTCTGCTGTAGAAGACATCAGCGACTCGTCTGATGACGATGAGGAAGATGTTGCTGCGGCCGAGGAGTCCAACATTCTTGAGGAGGCTCTTCCCCCAACCCCTCAGCCAGCTCCTCGGCCGCAACCAACCATTGAGGAGGATGACGATGACGAAGAAGAGGAAAACGACAATGATGATGAACAAGAAGGCTTAGACATCGAAGACGACGATGCCGGTAGCTGGGGAGGCATCGTCTCGGATGTTGAGGAAGAACCAGCAGATGTCTACCAGGATGCAAACATCTTTGGCTCAGACAACCCTGTTGAGCGCCACGTTCACTTTGACGTACCTTCAAGCGATTCTGACGATACCGACACTGATGATGAAATCCAGGGGTTCTTTCCTGACATTTTCGTCTCCCAGAACACCCTGGATCCTTCATTCCGTCGGGAGATTGAGAACGATCCCGACGAGTCATCTGGTTCGGGCTCTTTTTGGGACTTCAACAACCAATATGAGGAGCAGGATCAGGAGTCTGATGCTGAAGAGATTTTCCGTCAACTTGACAACGATACCCCCTTCGCCACACCAATGGCTTCTCAGCAAGCCACTGCCGCTTCTACTCCCGTACCCCTCTTTGAGGAGCCAACTGAGTTGGACGGTTACGAGAGTAAGTTTCTGCACCGCGAGTTTATTCTTCTCATTACTGACATATTCAGCCGATGGCGACACTACAGAAGAGGACGAGCCAGAACCCGTGGTCCGAAGAAAGACTCGACGCCCTTCCCACCCAATGAGCGATGCCTCCGACTCAGATGCGGATAGCCCAGTCAAGGCTGAGCGTGGCCAGCCCCGATTGGGACGCTACAACCTGGACCGCTCGGATAAGAAGCCCATCGCTGTGCTCAATCCTGTTACTGGCAAGATGATGATCTTTACCCCTCATCGCCGACATCAATTGGACCTATCACCCGAACAGTTCAACTTCCCCTGGACAACAGAGGGTCCTGAGTCGCCTATCATGAGCAACTCTGCCAATCTCATGCTCAGTGCCATGTTCTCTTCCAACACCTTCGGCGACTTCTTCAACACAGGTCAGGTCATGGGTCCTCAAGAGGCATTCTATCCTTTCCCCTCTGAGCCCAATACCGCCGATGAAAGCTCGACCGCGCCTAGCTTGCCAGACGACGAGGATGAAGAAGATGACGAACTTAACTTGGACCTCAACGACTTCATTGCCTGGGAGGAGAACGACTCTTCTGGTGAGGAGGACAATGGTGACAACTGGGATCCCGCATCAACACCTGCCAGGCCTAGCACTGCCACCAGCGACAAGGAGGTCCTCGGTCATCTCAGACCTGAGAACGTCGGAGCATTCCGTCGTAACCAAATTAACCAGCAGCTTATCCTGAGCAACCAAGCTACTCAAGATTCGCTCGCATTCAGCGGTCCCTATAACTTGACTGCAATCAAGGGTCTGAGATCGGACCGATTCGACACTGCTGCCATTCCCCTTACACCCGCTCGCCGACATAAGAGACAAATGAGCGACACCACGCGCAGCCCCCTTGAGCAAATGTCTTCAAAACGCAAGGCAACCACCGAGGCTGGCAACAGTCACAAGAGACACCGAAGCATCTCTGATGTGAACTATCTACAAATCTAACGCCATGCACTCACCCCCCAAAAACGTACGAGGACGGCATAGTTGCCGCTATCCCTGGCCTCGACAATACACCCTCTTTTAACAACATTTCCTTACTTGTGTTTCATTCGGGTTAATACGACCCATGTCTACAGCGTGCTCGGGAGCGTAAAGCCCCCTCCCCCAAGGGAACGGGACGGATTTCTTTTTGGAGATGATACCCCAACTAGCTTCAGCCTGGTCGAAAAGCCGGGTGAGCGTATCGGAGGAATCGGGGACACACCCTCTTGTATTGAGTCAGAAGGGTGATGCCCAGGCAAGAGACTTGCTCTGTGAGCGTCTCGCCTACAAAACAAAAGTAGAAAAGGTTTAATGCCGCTAATGTTTTGATGGTCTTGATGATGGAAAACGGGCTAAAAGTGTTTTTCTCATGTACTTTCTTTACTGGTGTTTCCGTCCATGGGTCTAGAGGTAGATAAAAGCCGCAGCGACCAATTTCATTGAATGTTCAAATGAAACATGATTCCTATTGCAATGTGATGTGTCAATTAGTGTAGCTGTGCTCCTGCGACCGGGAGATGCGTGTCAAATGCAAAGCATGTTCACCTCCTTGTGTTTGTCCGGTGAACTCTGCTTGTGGATGTACCTATCGCAGGCATGTCGAACATTGTCCATCCCTCCAGTCCTGGATGCAATACCTTTTGCCACCTGCTTGACTCATAGATCTTATTGTTGCTCTTGTTTGCCTGGTAGCTGTTACGAGGATGCTGACCGAGTGTCACCCCAATGTCCACTTGGCTACGCGACTGTACAAGGTGTGGCTACGATGACTCACAGTCGTCGGATTGAAGATTCCGGATCATCGATCGAGCGTTGCTGCGTGTCTGGTCCGGGATTGAGTTTGGGGCAAGGTCCTTTGAACCTCGCCAGGTAGCGGCGACTGTGGCCTGAATAGAATGCCTCAGGACGCGTTGCTTCTATCGATTAACCGGTCCTGGAAGAACGAAGAAAGGAGCCGGGCGTGTGCTAGCCAAATGGCTTCTTGAGCCACAACGCAAAACAACAGCCCCCACGCCAAACGTCCTGTGGTGTGTCCTCGTACTGGCAGAAGTCGCTATTCACAACAGCACCTATAAATAAATCCACACCTGGAAGTAACACATCAGCACCATGCGGTTGGCAAAAAGCTCGGAATGAAGAGCGCATATGCCTTGGGCTAGATAACCTCTCTGCATCGGGCGTGCGAGTTGCTGCAATGTCCTCCTTTCAACATGGCAGTGGTTTGCATCTGAGTCAACTAGCTTAAGAGTCCGAAGTTCCGAAGAGACAAATACCATATGTGTTCTGTTTGTACATCGTCTGAACAATTGCTTTACCCGTCATACAGGTAGACAGAGGTGCAGTTGTGATAAGCGCTATGCCGTTGTAGCAGTAGACGCGACCCACCTACTGCAATCCGTCTAAGATGATAGGCCAGAGGGCATTACCTACTTGGGCGTCACCTCACTCAACTTCAGTAGAGGAAGATGGACTTAACCCAGGAGTACCGCCGTAAAGGCTTGTGCGATTATTTGTTTTATTGGACAGGCCTATGTAACGAAAAAGGGATGTTCCCAAGGACATGAAGTATAGCGACATCGCTAAGCATGAGGTGCTGAATGCCGGCTCGATTCATCGACTAACTGTCTAGGCGTTGGCTACGCCGGTATTGGCCAAAGGTTTCCTCAAGCTATTTGTCCATGGTAGTGACTCTCGACCAAGGCGATGAAGTGAGATTTCTGGTCAGAAACCCCGAATGGCGAAGGGAATTGAGCACTCCACGGCTTCGTTAAGAGCACATCTACGGGAGAGGTATGGCGCCGAAGTAGATCCTTCGATCGGATCCCGTCAGCTGAAGAGCACGGAGCAACAGTATAGCCTCGTCACAAGTAAAAGAAATCAGCAGATAGCTTCTACATCTTACCAGAGAGAAAAAGAAAGTCGTGTTCAATATGCGATCAATGCAAAAAAGAGACTGAACACCGAAATGTTCAGATCTTGAAGTGAGCTGCACCCAGGACTCGAACTTGGAACCTTTGCCACCGGAAAGCAACGCGCTAACCATTGCGCCAGCGCAGCGACTTTTGGGGTAAAGGTACAAAAAGACAGTATATATAGTTATGCTGATGGGCTTAGCAGAGGCTTAATATTTAGAATAGCTATCAAACCAGAGGTTTATTCTTTGTACACCATTGTTCGTGCAGTTGATCTGATGCTTAGGAGATGCGCTAGCTTCTTGATGGTTGAGAAAGTGGAGATCTGATGTTGTTGGCACGCGAGTCCAACTAATCGCTGAAGGTGTAGGGTATCTTGGTAACGAAGTAAAGCGCAATGCTTCCAACATTGAGAGTAGGGTCTTATTTGATCAAGAACTTCTCATTGCGTGCCTGTGTGTTGTAACTGTTATGTTTCTAACCGAGTGAGAAGTTAGTAGCCTGTCTGGCATTTTATCTGTCGTATGGCTTCTCAACCATTCGCTGTCTCGAGTTCTGTCTTGATAATGGCGAAGACTGGTAGCGCAAGTATTACCACCCCAGTGACCAGGGATCAACTATGATCTGCCAACTACCACATGCAATGTACCTACAAACTCTTGGTATTGAGTCTAAAAGCCTTCAATTGTGTAGAAATCTAATGCCGACGTTATGAAATTGTCTTCTATCTTTCGCTCGCCAAGTTCTTCATCCTTCGTGGGTATACTACAGCAAGCCTTCTATTACTTGTCGTTTCAGTCAGAGCTCAAAGTATCTGAGGGTATAAGTTCATAGAACCATTTACATCCTCAAACTCCTCGCAGCCAGGGTTTAAATACTAAAATTGACCCTATATCCTTCAAGATGAGGAGTGGCCGAGCGGGATCCTCTACCTAATATCCTAGAATCTTCTTTCCGAACCTAAAACCTCTTTCTCCCTGCTTGGTCACGCCTCATCTTTTTGTAATTTTTCGACTTCGAACCCCCAGCAGCTGAGGTTTAAATAACGAAATAACCTTGATACCCTTTAGATGAGGCGTGGCCGAGTGGGAATCTTCCTAATATCCTAAGAATTCTTCTCTCCGAACCTAAAACTCCTTTCTCCCCACTCAGTTGCGCCTCATCTTTTTGTCATTTTCCAACTTCGAATCCTTTAAGCATAGCGCTCAGCCGTAGGTTGAACAGCAGTCACAGCCTCCTTGCCATTTCCTGCGGGTTGAGGAGCCCAGTTCTGCATGGGAATGTTTTGTCCTTGAGGAGCGTAGAATTGAGGCGGCATCTGTTGAGGCATCTGCTGGAAGCCTTGAGCACCAGGACCCCAGTAGGGAGGACCACCCCAAACCATAATGGGCTTCTTCATAGCAGCGTTTCGCTTTTGCGTATCGATACAGGCGCCGACAAAGAGAACGAACTGCCAGAGCCAGAGAAGGCAGGTGAATACTGTCAAGGAGACAAAGAGCGTGTGCTTGCTGGCAACGCCGTCGTCGTTGCTTGTGCAAACGTAACGTCTCTCTTCGCGGCTGTATTCACAGGTTTCGTCGAGGTAGTCGAAGGAAGAGTAGTAGGCGCTGAAGGTGGCCTCCATACCGCCGATGACGGCAGCACCAAGCCAGATAAATAGATGGATAGCGACGTGAGCGCCAGGGTGGATACCAGCCTTCCACTTGCGACCAAAGCGAGTGAGAAGTTCTGCGATATCCCAAATCATAGCCATGACAAACTAATCCAGGTCAGTATGTATTACGTCAAGACAGCCATTAGATCATACCAGAGGGCAAGCACCAACAGCGACCAGACCAAGAGTCTGGACGCTCCTCAACGAACCAGTGAGAGCTAGACCAACAATACAAGTAACGATATCGACACCGTGAAGCGCCAACTTGGTGTACGTCCAGGCCTTGGGCTCTTGAACTCGGGGAGGGGTCCAATCCTGAGGCACAGGCGGCGCAGCTCCTTGCTGCGGGTAGGGCACGTAGGGAGGACCATAGCTACGAGGGTCCTGCTGGAAACCGGCCTGTTGCTGCTGTTCTTGTTGTTGCTGGTTGAATGTCTGGGCAGGGTGTTGTGCATTCGGAGGGATGGCAGGGGTAGGCGAAGTTGGCGGCGCGTTGTCCGTTTGAGAAGAGGCTTCTGGCGCCATCTTGTGATATAATGAGTTTTAACGTCGAGAAAATCGGTTTCGAATAGTTCGATGACCAGAGTAATAAAGACTTGTCGGTTGTTGCGATAGTGACCGTTTCCGTCTAGTGTCTTGAAGTCTCACTTTTCGTGTAGTGATTGCCTGAACGCGTCGCACTTGGTTCGTATAATAATGCAGATAGTCTAGGATAAATGAAGAATAAAACGCACAGCGAAATGAATATAATAAACGAAAGGTGGTGGGTGGTAGGTACAAATGAGCGAACGAATGAGTGAGTGAGCAAAGAACCAAATAGGAAATAGGGAAAAAGAGGCCCTTCGCGCACGAGGGAGGCGGGTAAAAGAGACTTATAAACCACTAGCTCACTTTAACTAAAAAGCCAAGCGATGAAACCTCTCCAGGGCAGGCGAGCAGGCGACATTGTTCCAAAAACAACCGAAGACCTGACATTGAAGTTGCCCCCTGGCCCTTGCAGGGGCTGAGAATCGTCTTAGTCCTTGCGTTTCATTGGTCTCGTGGTGTAGAGTAGCGCAATGGATGGAGTCGTTAATCCCGGCGTGTTGATCTAAGGGGTCATCGGCGCACTCAAGACATGCCTAAGCGCTGTTGGTATGATGCAAAGCTTCGATTCTAGGCAGTCAGCTGAAAAGAATTTTCTTTACTGTGTGTTGGTACTGGGATTGAAGGCATAACTGCCGGTAGGATTACGGGCCTTGTTGGTTGTTGGTTTGGCAGTTGTCGCATCCCTACATTCAAAGGAGCTGCAACATGAAACATGAAAAGCCATCGACAATTTGAACAAGCCATGCCGGAGATAAAGACCAACCAAGATCATTCTGGAAAAAGAACTCGCTAAACAGAAAGCACCATCGTTAAAAATTTCCATTTCTATTGACCCTTGGCGGCCGCCGTTACGATTCCCATCAAACCTTTAGCCCCTTTCGGCCTTGGTCCACACGTTGCTGAGATTAGTCCAGGGGACGTGATGGGAAATCGCCGAGTCGCAACACGCCAATTCGTAGGGCTACAAAGAGTCTGCACGAACGTTGGTCTTGCCTAACCAGAAATGAGTCATGGACTGTTCAACCAACACGAGTTAAGCTTGTATGGGAATTGTATATCTCTCACATGTGTCCTACCCTATGCGTGGTGTCTAATGAAAGGGTTTGCCAAGCCGGCGACCGGCCTACCGATATTGTTGTCACTTCGTCTCTGCCGGCCTTGGCATCATAATTTATCACGCCTTGATCCTTCGTCCCTGTCAGGAAATCACCGACACGTGCTTTTGCAACTATTGCCGTAATGGGTATCGATCGAGTCTTCTCTTGGCTGCCACTTTGACGACATTGTTGGTTGACGCTTCGCTTTTGTACAAAATATTCATATGCCGCCCATCATATACCCCTTTAAGTTCCCCATCTTTCGTGTTGGTGCTTCTACTCTCGCTGCAGAACGACCAACAGACCCATGATTCCCAACATCACCGTCTTGAGCCAAGGGTACTCGGACAAGAGAATTGTAACGTAGCCAACGAACGGAATGTAGCCAATAACGCTGCCAATGATGTCCTTGCGCACCAAATAGTCTTGGTTCTTGGCGTAGAGCTCGGTATCGTCTGAAAGGTTGTTGTCACCCTTGGTGAGAAGCTTTGCGGTGTCGCTACACAATGTTAGCCGTTGTATCATCTCTTCCATATCGAATACATACCCCTTGCCAAACTTGCGCACAACTCGGTGCACAATGGGAATGTCCTTATCCTTAACGTTGTAAACCACAACTTCTCCAACATCGGTCTCGGCCACAAGGTTTCGGTTCCAGAGGAAGAGGAGGTCGCCTCGCTGGAAAGCAGGCTCCATGGAGCCGGAGAGAACGACGACGATCGGGGATGGCGAATCGCTAATGACGGAGAGGCCCTTCCACATCTGCGACGAAGTTAGCATGTGTCTAATCGGAGAAGACACGGGTCCGTACCATAAAGGCCGTAGACAGGATGAGCGCAAAGTTCATGAGCTGCGCAGCAGCCTGCCGGGGGTTTCCAAGACTCGACAACATGGCGACTGGTGTATAGCAATGGCGTGGAATGCAGCGTTGAGGTTGGGGAGCTTGATAACTCCACGATGCAGCTTATGGAGGATTCGCGCTGAGGACATGTGGCTCATGGGAGCTCGACGCGCACGGGCCACCTACCGTCGAGACAGCTGGGGCGTTTGAGGCGGTAGCTGTGGCTGTGCTTGGATAAAGTGTACCCATAATTTCAGGGACCTTGTCGCTATAAATGGTCTAACGCGGGGGGTGTCACGCTCGTAGAAGGTGATGTCATGACTGCTTGAGAAGCATGAGATCGATGTCATCGGCGTTGTAGGCGAGTAGGGAGCTTGGTATTTAAAATGGTCATTCGGAGACTTTGTTTTCTATTCTGACATTCTCTCGAACACTTCATTTACCAAGATTATCTTGTCTGTAGCAAAAGCACTTGCAAAACACTTACAACAACCACTTACACCACCAAAACATCCACAATGGCCGACAACAACAACCAGCAGCCCGGTCTCGTTGGCAGCCACGCCCAATACGTCAAGGGTGCTGCAGAGGTAAGTCGCATTCCACGTAGGTCGTAAGCTCTTTCTCACAATCTTAGGCTACCATTGGTGCCATCACCGGCTCTCAGCCCTGGAAGGCCTCAGGCGAGCAGGACAAGGCCGCTGGTCTTGCCGATATGAAGAAGGCTGGCGAACTTCGAGCACAGAACGACCCCAACAACGAGCACGGATATGGAAAGGCCGAGGAGCTTGCTGGCAAGCTCACTGGATGCCAAGGCATGGAGCGCGAGGGCGCTGAGAGTGTCAACCAGAAGAAGGATTAAATGATCTCTGGAGTCCAATGATTAATGCTTGTACGATAGACATACCTCGGCGATGAGTTCACATAGATGGCTCTACTGATGATACCAAACTGTTCATAAGTTTTACTGTCTTGTCGTGGCCGTGAAGATGAACCGTGGCTGCCTCCTTCCGTTTTCTCCATCGTTTCTTTCTCCCCCAGGCTACTGCCTCACCACAAGCACACATTGGGAAGGAGCACCTTCCAACTCCCAGCACAACGCGTCTTTATTATCATGACCTCTCCTCGCCATCTCAACTCTTTGCTTCTCCATCCTCCATCATCGCCCAACTTTGCTGTTTCGTCCAGCATCACCTCTCCGACGCCCGCACTCCTACGCATCTTAACACCATCGAATATCTTTGCTGCAATATCCCCTTACTATAACTATTCACTCTTGTCATTTTTGGAACCGCTCTACCGTCTCTTGACGTCCTGCACTGAGTCTTCGCAATGGACTCAGCGCCTCTCCTCCAGAACGCTGATGGCCTTCCCAGCCCCAATGTCATGCAGGATCATGTATGTCTCAACCGCAGCGTTCCCCATTCAGATCTTGTCTAACCAGCTCATGAAACAGCCTGCCTTCCTCCGAGCATGCCATTCACCATGGTCCTGCATCCCTCAGAACGTCCTCGTGATCATCCGAGGTCTGTTTTTGGCGTTTCTCATCGCTGTGGGTATTCTCATCCTCAACTTCGAGCTTCACGAGCATAGCGAATTTTCCAACTGGCGCATCATTTTCGACTTCGCCAACATCAGCTTCTTCTTCATCGTGTTGTACCAGCTTCTGACCTTTGTGAGTTTGAGGTGACCCCGTTCCCTCTCAGCGAGCTAATCTATTGCCTAGTCATGGACCTTCACTCACCTGTACTATCCCCATCACCATGATCGGCACATGGGCGGAGTTGAAGGGTTCCTCATCAGGACCATGTCGCTTCCCAAGCATATGGGCAATCTTCGCAAGCAGTTCCACTTTACCTTGTTCTACACCCTCTGTGTAGTCTTTGCGTTTGCCAACTCTACGATCTACTTCTTCATCACCCGCCAACAGTCGAAGGAGAGCCGCGCTGGCGAACCCCAACCAGAGCTTCGTCGTGGAAACAGTACCACCATTCCTACCTGGGCTGGATATGCCGAGGACAAGCCTCAACCTCCATGTGAGAGCACTCGCTATGATCCTGATCTCTAGTTACTGACCATCATACAGTCACCGACATCTTTGGAGAAGGATGGTTCCGGGCCTTCATCATCTTGTCCTTGTATGCGTTCGGGACACTGGTTATGGTAATTGAGATACTTGTTCTCAACAGTATCCGACGTCCCTATGTAAGTTGCTACCAAAGCATGCGTGTCTCTTGCTAACAGCATATGATGCAGACTGTCGGACTGCACCTAATTGGTATTCTCTTCTTCGCTACCGCATACTTGGGTTGGGCTGCATTTGGTCGTCTCGTCACTGACTATTCCCCCTTCTTCTGGCTCGACAAGAAGGAAGTTGGTTCCGATGAAGCGATCACCCTCTACTCTATTGGCTTTGTGTTCTTGATGCCTATCAGTAAGCTGGCATCCTCCCTCGAGCATCTTCCAAAGACTAACGAGATCGACAGTGTACATCCTCATGCAAGGCTTTGTTGCCTGCCGTGAGACTTTTACAAGATCGAAGAACGAAGCCCGCGCTATTGCCGCTGCGCAAGCGGCCCTCGACCAGTGAATGGGAAGTAATTGGGAATGGTGATCGGTGCTGGACACCTGATCTTGAGTGAAGATTGTTAAACTTCGGACAAACCATTGAAAGTATATTTATTCATTGAGGAAGATTGATTGAAGAAGATTTGCTGTACGGAGACTGATCAACTTGGCTGGGGCTGGGCTCTGGCACATTTGATAGCGACACCATTAAACCTAGAATTGACCTCAATTGAACGACACACTACGTCATCAGCTCATTTGCGATTGTTTCTCATCTGTTTGTTCGAGCTAGCTCTTATCATCTGTATCAGAGTTCGGAGTTATGGCTATAACTGGCGGTTAAGACTTTAGAGCCTCTATGGTAAATGCGTGCCAGATGCACCTTACACATTGCGGCGTCGTGAAGCGTCGTGCGACAGGGACTTGACGACACCATCTTGATACAACCCGACCAGCCCCCGCTGTAGATATGACACCAATCACAGGCGAGGATCTACTAGTACAGATGGAACGGCTCGGTAGCGTCTTCACGAAGCTCGACGATTGGGTACCGGATGGATGAGTTGGTGAGGGACATTGACAGGGCGCATTTTACCGAGTGACATTGTAGCGTCTATGCTGAGAGGGGGTTGGAGTGGCGATAATAGAGCGGAATTTATGGTGTCTCTACAAAACAAGACTTGTTTACTCAGGTCCGTGTAAGTGACGACTAGGAAGATGGACCGGTAAAAAACTAGAGATGACGGTGAGCGATGTTGGGCATTGATAGTGAGGCACGGTGCAGTTATCTTAGAATTCAAGAGTTGCAGGGGCTCTCACAGGTACTGTGCCGATGATGAAAAATGACTCCCAAATGCAAGCAAGCCTGACTTTGTAGCGGTCGCGTATCAATTCAATGCAACATCATCAGGCTCGAAGACAACCAGGGCCTTGAAATTATCCATCAAGCCTATCAAAATGCAAATAACTCAGGTTGCAACAGCTGCACGTCGCTGGCTGCCTCACGCTGATCCCTGGACCCCCGCGGCGTTAAAAGTCGATTAGGGCCTTATGCATGGCTGGTGATGGCCTCCCCATAGTAATAAATACAGGTCTCTCCCCCCAGACCCCCGACTCTCTTCTCTCTTCCTCCCCCCCACTCACAACCAAAAAAGGGTCGCAAAGATTCACCTGGAGGATATCGTCTTGTCTTGTCCCAAAAGAAGGACATATTTCTCTTCACGGGCCCATTTTGTCAATCTTTCTGTTGTGCGTCACTCTCTTTTTCTTCTTTCTCTTTTGCTCTCTATCTCTACGCTCTTTTCGTCACTCTCTAGCCAAGTCGAATCGATACACAAGAAACCAGGAGTCGTTATTCTCCTCACCTTTCTATCTCGTCGAAATTCCCGTTACGAGTCCATTCTTTATCTACCGATTTCCTCCGATCAACACCGTAGCCATGTTCAAGCGCTCGTTTAGGTCGCAAGACCCTGGCCGTGTCGACAAGGCTGCGAGACTGAAGAGATCGGGCGCTCACCGGGATCAAACGAAGATGTCGAAGTTGCAAAGATCGCTCAATGAGCAGGACTCTATTCCGCAAAAGTCCGCACCTACCGCCGCGCCTGCACCCTCGCCCATCGTCACCCTGACGGTTGGTCGAGATGGCCGGCTCTTTGCAGCACACGAGGAAGTGCTCCGCCAGTCGCCCTTCTTTGAAGCGGCCCTTCGCGGAAACCACTTCGAGGCACAGAGCAAAAGAATCTCCCTTCCCGACGAAGAACCCGAGGTGTTCTCCGCCGTCCTCGAATATCTCTACAAGGGTGATTACTACCCACGTCTGCTTCACAACAAGCAGCGCAACTCTTGGGAGCTAGAGGACCAGGCACGCACACCTCACACCTCACCTAACCCCGAAACCGGAGGTGGCCGCGCAGGCGACACGTCTGAAGCCACTATTTATCTGTCGAGTCTCGACATGGCCATCCTCCGCGACACGGTCGTCTACTGTGCCGCGGACCGATACGGCCTTGAGGAGCTAAAGCGTCTGGCCCTGCGCAAGCAGGGACTGCAATCCGGCATCGATGTCGGGACCATTATCAGGTCAGCTCAGTACGCCTACGCCCACACACCCGACTCAGACAGCCGTCTGCGCGCTCACTACCTCGCCCTGATTATCCGCTGCCGCAAGACCTTCAAGCGCAGCGGGACCATGCAATCCGAGATGGAAGCGGGCGGCAGCAAGCTATTCTTCGACCTGTTCGTGGCCATGTGTAATCACCTTGACGACGTCATTGACGTGAGCAACGCTCGCACGCCCAAGACTGTCTGAGGCGATTCAAGAAAAGCCAAACACACACATGTATAACCCCTCAAACAGGCCTCCAGATGCCTCGTGTGCTTGATCATTGCTGGAGGACATAACAAACAGAATACCGCCAAAGCCGCGAAACTACAGAAAACCACAAAAAAAAGTGATGCTTATGGGAAAAGTTGGAATTCGGCGTCCGGTGCTTTTCATGCTCCATCATCAGATTGACGTCCTAAGGAGCTTTGTTTTATTACATGACTCCCCTTCTGCGAGGTTGGCCGACCGAGTTTTGATGATACACGAGCTGAGAGGATCTAATTCGACGCCATAAGAAGTCCCTCACATCCTCTGCTCACTTATTGTGCGATTTCGTCTATCGCGAGTTTCTTGTTTTGTTTTGTCATTTTACAACTCTGCTTTGATACCCAACTCACACACACCCAGGTACTGGGACATTTTCTTTCCTCTACACACTCTACTCTGGCGTTTTGTTTACCACTAGAAGAAGACCCGGTTGTCTTTGGTTCCAACACCAGAGTTTTGGAATGGGGGGAGATTTGGGAAGGATTGGAACGCTTGACTGCTGTTTCTATACCCGCGAGCAAATGTCACCGAAATTGGCACAAAGCTTGCATTTGCACCGTCTTGGAAAAAAGAAGAAAAAAAGGATCTATTCTGGTTTTGTTGGCTGTTTTTCTTGGCTTCCGCGTTTGCACAGGTGTTTTCTTGATTGAACAATGCTTACTAGAACGCGAAACGGATACAAAAACATCTCCTACTCTGGACTTTGCACTACCAAGGGGGAACGCCCTTGGGAACGGAAGGCTTTAATATCTTACTCTGCATGCTGCGTATGCGTCCAGCCTTGACTAGTACTGAGGATCACGTTCCCTCCCTTTGGTTGCTTTTGGTTCGCATCGAGACTGATACCTCGAACCACGTCCTGTTTTTTTGGGCCTGCTTTCCATGCTGTTTTTTTGTTTGCTGGAGGAGATGGAATGTTTTGGGAAGATCCTTCTTGCATGGTTTTATTGGGAGCGGCAAGTCGCCGATGAGAATGAAGTTACGATCTTGATGATTATTAACAACTTGGGATCGTTGAACGGTCCTCCCTGGCGCTTTGCACCAGGGTCGAGGTAATGAGAAATTCGGCCACCTCACTATATGTTCTTTGCAATGTGATGTTTTGTGTATTGTCAATGCTTGCTGAACTGTTGATGTCTGTATACTTAGGCGGTAGGCTTCTCCCATTCGACCTCCAACTTCTCAAATGTACCTTCGAGATCCTCCTTGATGTTCTTATGAGGATCAGGTCTAGCTACAGCTGCCGAAACCTCAAGCTCCCATCCCTCACCACCATTATCGCCATACACCCAATTCGTCTGTCTCAGTGGTGTCTTCTCGCCGTTCTCATCAACCCTGTAGATCCAGAGGCACACGCCTAGCGCATCCTCCACCTTCATCGCTTTAATCGTAACGCTCTTCTCACCACTCTTGACCCCAGCCTCATCGTTAGGGCTAACTGCCTCAACGCTCCAGTCGGCCCAAGAGTCGCATGTCACAGTTGAGTAGCGCGGGTGCTCGTTGTACAGCTCGATGCCTGTCTTGATCCATTTGCGGGGAGCGCCTGGGGTGGCGGGCTTGGTGAAGGTGAGAAGGAGACAGGCTTGGTCGTATTGGTGGACATAGGTTGTGCGGAAGGTGATTGTTGCGGAGATGAAATGCTTTAGAGGAGCGATGGAGTGAGGGTGGAAGGGAGCTATTTTTGTTAGAATGAATATTGTCTGTGATGAGGTTTGTTTGTCTCAATGAGGCTGGTGATGGTAGGGTAATTGGTGTGAGTGAGGGGTTGGAGTGAGGACCGACCTGTAAAGACATCTGTGGAAGGAGGCTGCTTCCAGACATCAGTGCCCGGCTTAGCTTTAACAGTGAAAGGAGTTTCCATTTTGTATCACGAATAGTAGGTAAGTATAGGATGAATTCTTCTATTGATCATGTACAGGGACAAGTGATGTCTTTATAGTGCCTGTGAAACGATGTCTTTCATTCAACCGCGGGGCAGCCCTGACGTAATTGGACCAACACGAGCGGAGACTCCGCCATGCATGTTGAAGCTATTGGTAAAAAGGGTATTTAATAAAGCCTTTGTTTACGGTTAATTCTGGAATTGTCATGGCTCTTTTGACAGGTAGTGGAGCTTGGGGAGGGAAGCTGAAAACGCGGATAAAAGCTACTGTGGGGAGGGAAATTGGGTTTGTTACTGCTTTTGGAACGGCATTCGACGTTCTGCCTGGGTTGAAGAGAGAGGCAGCTGACATGGAGAAACTATAGTATGACTGTTATAGGACAAAGGGGAATATTATTTGTAGTCCATTCGGTTAAGAACAGAGTAGATATCTACCTGTTATGAAGAGAGGTGTTTGTCGTGATAAGTGACCACCAAATGGCGTTCCTCTTACCCTATGCCTGTGCCTCGGCGAGTTCTGTAAAACTGCTGGGTATACAACAAACAGGGTGCCCTAAGGGTGTGAGAAGGAATGACCGCTAAAAGCATAAGAGACGAAATAGTTGAGTCACTTTATGCCAGTTTGGACCTACTCTTAAGTTACTTTATTTTTGGCAACCTAAGCCTTAGAGGACAATTCTGTCTCCCATATCTTCTGCAGCCAAGATTCAGCGTCGCTGGACCAAGGTTTCATGGCGTGCATGGCAATAAGCTTCCCTGGATGGCGGATAAACTACGGCACTTGGTCGTCACCAACCATTCCATGCAACGAGACCATCAACAGGACAAAGACTAATTCTCAGGACTTTTCTCCCTTCTTACTGTATCTTCCATTCAGAGAGAGAATCATCTTGCAAGAAATAAGCGATTTGAGGACGGGAAAAGACCTTTCGAAGAGAGATAGTCGGCGCCGACAAACCACCCAAAAACTGTCGCGCTGGTGTTCGAACCATCACTGCCTTGGCTCTGACTCAGTTTTGGTGCGGGCATTGTTACGCGAGTGAAAACTCTTCCCCACTTGACCATAAAGGCTCCTCTTCCACAAAAAACACCCCGCTTCTCTTTCAACTCACGATTTTCTTCGCCAGTATCTCTCCTACCAAACGCGACCCTTCTCACTACGCATTTTCTTATCGCGATAATCTTTTTTCTTATTGGATTTCTATAGCTGCGCTTTGCTCAGCAGCACTCGATATCGCGATCTTGGAGTGCTTGTATAGCCTCTTCAAATTGGCTGGTTTGACGGCTCGGGGGATGTGCAGAAGGTCGGTTGCTGTAGGACTTATACAGATTTTCTTCCACTTACACGATATTTACAGTATCTAATGCAATGTCGTCCTTTCTTACACCACCAAAATCGGGCCCTTCGGGGCGCCCTGCCGCCAAACCGCGATTCGCAAAGCCGAACCCCGTCCGAGCCATGCGCGAACGAGAAGAAAGGCGAGCAGCCGCTTCAGCAGCCCAATCAAATAGTTTACGAGTCGCTGCAGTAAATCGAAATGCTGCACTTGCGAGACCGAACCGCCCACAATGTCCCAACAAAGCCTGTCCCAAACCGAACGTCGTTGATGGCACATGTCAAACTTGTGGTCGTATTTCGGATGACAGTAATATCGTGGCGGAAATCACATTCGGAGAATCTTCTTCGGGTGCTGCTGTAGTACACGGTTCTTATATCGGTGCCGATCAGGCGGGTGTTCGCAGCATGGGTCCTGCGTTTCGACGAGTTGGTGGATCGGAGGACAGGGAGAAGAGCATTCGGGAGGCAAAGGGATTGATGCAGGGTTATGCGCAACAACTTAATGTCAGTGATAGTCTGGTCACTGCGGGAACACAAGTCTTCAAATTGGCTTCCATGGCAAACTTTATTCAGGGTCGTACATTAGCCAGTGTTGCAGCAGTCTGTCTATATGCTGCATGCCGAGCAGAGCCGCCCTGCAAGGTCATGCTTATCGATTTGGCGGATTTGGTACAACTCAACGTCTTCAAGCTGGGTCGAATTTTCAAGAAGCTCAATGAGGTGGTGCCAATCGGCAACGACGGTCTTATTCCTGTATACCCGGAGGATCTTATCTGGCGATTTGCGACAAAGATGGAGTTCCACCAAGACACCGCCAAGGTTGCCGAAGATGCTGTCCGTTTGGTCAAACGAATGAGCCGAGATTGGATGGTCATGGGTCGTCGACCTTCTGGTATCTGCGGAGCTTGTTTGCTCATGGCGGCGCGAATGCACAACTTCCGACGAACAGTGCGCGAGGTGGTGTACATCGTCAAAGTCACCAATCACACAATTCAGAACCGTCTATCAGAGTTCAAGGTCACTGAATCCAGTCAGATGTCCGTGGAGGACTTCTTGAAGATGGACTTCCTAGAAAGTTCACATGATCCACCATCATTTTATAAGCAGACCGCCGAGTACAAAAAGCAACTAGCCGTCAAGAACAAGAAGCGAAAGCGGCCTTCAACCGATGGAGACGCCGACGAGGATGACGAGGAGGAGGAAGACGACAACTTGGCCGACAAGATTGATCCGCGACTAATAGAAGGCGGCGCCGATCTTTCCAACGCGCCAGTAGTCGAGTACCGTCGTGATGATGACGGCTTCATCATTCCACCTCTACCATCCAAGATCGCTAAGGATCCATCACTCGTCAGCAAATTGACTGAGAATGGGGAGGCCGAAGAAGGCGATGAAAATGAGGAAGAGAACAACGTCCAAACACTCGACACATTGGTTGAAGAATTCGGAGATGCATTGGAAGAGGAGATGGCAGAAGACGCTGCATCTCAAAATACCAATACCCGCAAAGGCGATAAGCCCCAACTACCCATTAATGAGGAGTGGGAGCAAGATGAGCAAGAACTAGAGGGCGTTATTGAAGAGATCTTCAACGATCCATTGACTTATGAACACGCAATGGCCTACACGACTGCCGAGCAGCGAGCCCGAATCCACACAGTCTGGGCTCTACAACAACGCCCACAAAAAGAAGTTTCCATGTCGGCAGACGTCACAGAAGACGAATTCGCCGACGATCCTGAGGTCAACAACTGTCTACTATCCCCCGAAGAAGCCCAGATCAAGGAGATGATCTGGGTCAATCAGAACAAGGAATGGCTACGGAAACACCAAGAGAAAGTCTTCCGGAAGAAGGTTGAAGCCGAGCGACCGAAGCAGACACGAAAGCGACGCAAGCGCGCTCGAATGGGTGAAGGCCAGACCAGTCCCGCCAGCTCAGCCGCCGAAGCAGCTGTCAACGTCGCCAAGGACCGCGCATGGTCAAAGAGGATCAACTACGACGCCATCCGTAATATTTTCGACCTGCCTAACATCGGCGGTCCCGGCTCAGAAGCAACAAGCCGTAAGACGAGCCAGGCTGGGAGCACACGAGGCGACGATGCCGTGGAGGCACCCGATGAGAGCGTCGCAGGGGATGAGGCCGAGGCTCCTCAAGAGGAGGAGGAGGAGGAGTATGAAGATGAAGAGTACGACGAGACACAGGGTTATAACGATGGAGAAGAGTTTGGCGGTGGTAACGATGAATTTGGTGGGGATGGAGGATATGATGAGGATGATCCGGAAATGGATGCTGAGTACGGGCTGGAGGAATATGCTTAATTGATACCCATTAGACAGGCTTTGGGCAAGACCAGCCTTGTTATACCTACCAATAGTAAAAAAAAGCAACATTCTGTATAGAGGCCACAGGTTGTGAGAAGAATTGACCGTCATAAGCATAAGAGACGAAATAGTGAAGTCATCTTAGAGTAGTTCAGGGAAGCACTTAGACTACTTTATTCCAGTAGTCTAAGCCTTAGAGGATCTTTCTTCTGTCACCCACCTGCCTGGTCATACCAGTAACGAAAAAGCAAATTACAATTAGCCATTCTGTATAGAAGGTACGCTACCACTCCCCAAGGCTGCAAACTAGACAAACATCTGTCGGCCAAGAGCCAGTGTTGATGGAACCTGTGATCGCCAAAACTCCTCGAGATCCTTCAACTATGTATACTCGGCTGTCTGATCTCGGAATATGAGTCCTTACTCAAAACACTCCCCAGTAAAACAATGAAGATCGCTCGATCCTGGATGAGAGAGCCCATGTACCAATGCACCAACAACTGCCTCAGATTCCCACCCTCATGTATAGATTCGACTATATGAGGACAATGCAAAAGCTGACAGGGCTATTCTGTAGATGGATCGAATCCAGATGCCATACTGACCTTCAAAACAGCTTCAACGTTGCCGTCAACGACAGCGCAACCTGTCACTGGTCAGTATTGAGTTGTAATGGATTGAGGAGGCGATGAGACATACAAGCAAGATTGAGACCATCGACGACGAAGTGAATCTGCCAATGGAATTCGGTATGGGGCTCTGTCACCACTACGCCATCGTGATTCTGTCCCGCATGCCTAGTCAAGAAACGACCTCGCTCATAGTATCGCGACACATCAAACTCGAGATAGCCGAGGTTTTCGGCATCTGTTGAACAGTTAGTCTCCCTGCGTGCCTTCACGTCTCTCTGACTTACCCAGGTTGTGTTCATGTTCTTCATGCCGGTGGCATTTGTAGGCCGTATCTGAGAGATAGATATCTTGCCGACAGATATAGGGGCCTCGGAACTTGTTACGAGAGTTTCCGTCAAAGAGTGGGAAGGGCGTCATGGCTTCGTAGATCTTGGTATCAGATGGTACAATCTCGGAGCCCTATGCATGTGAGCAGATTTCTATGATAGAGTGTTCGTTGTCAAACCTTCTGAATGACCCAGTAAATAGTACGTAGCCACTTGTCCTTCGTGAATGAATTCCTTAAGCCCTTGCGTCCTTCCGGGTCTTGAGGCTCCAGACGCAGAAGACCATAGCTGCACCTTGCTTGGCGACTGGGACCATTGCGTTTGTCCAACGCACGAAGGACAGCACCCGAAGCGACAGCATTAATCACCATCCCTCTTGAAGTTTGTTATCAACATGGAATTTGAGACAAGCTATTATGACATACCTTTTGATCTCGTCTGGCACCTGTATTTTGCATTGGGATCGGTTCTTGTGGTTCCACATAGCGAGCTTTTGCTGCATGTATGCCAGAAATGACGGGTTTGATGCTAGACCACCGATGACAACCACCTTCTGTAGATAATGTCAGCATATGACCTGAAGTGCTCGACTGGATTGTCAAAGGCTTGGAGCGACGAACGTCAACTGAGATACGCTTCCTGCGGGCTTTGTCCAATTGATCTGTCATCACTTTCGCAGCTCGTTTGAACACGTCCATGAAAATGTGATATATGCTCTCCCTGGATACACCTATCAGTATTTGACTCTTCTATGATCATGAGATAGTAGAGGTGCAACTCACCGGCTGATTGCGAGCTCGTTATCGTTGAGCTCTGGCCTCCCACCTTTTCGCAGCCCCTTGAGGTGGACTCGATGATAGCCAATCGGCCTTTCACTGAGATTGAAGGACCTTTTTATATCGTACTCGAAGTCCTTGAACACAAAGCCTTCAACGATACCTTGAATGGTAGTCTGGCCATCTTCCAAGTACGTTTCATCGTCAAGAAGCTGGTGCAAAAGCCTTCGAAAGCCTGCGTTCAGTTGAGTCGAACCACATGTATCACCTGTGAATGTGTGAGCTCGAGTATTAAGAGGTGCACGATATTCTCAAGGCGTACTGTCAGGATTAACGACTAGTTTCTCGAGTCGTAATGGTGCTTGTGCGGTAACCTTGTGAGTACTTCCATTAACAGTACCCCCACCTGGAGCACGATCAGTAGTGAACGAGATAGAAAGATGTGAGTGGAACCATAACTGCATCAATCTGCACAAACGTCTCGGATTCCTATATCATATATTAGCTAAGCATAATAATTGCTTAGAGAACATACTCTAATGTTACCTCTACCTGTGAGCATGTATGTCGCCGCAGCCTCTGGTTCAGTAACCAGGAAGACTCTATCAATAGAGTTGTCGTTGGGGTCTATGCCCGGGAAACGAACATGCTTCATCGCTGCAGTTACACAGCTTTGCATCTTGCGCAGGACCTTGGAACTCCATGATTCGAGGACGCAAACAACCACCTCTGTCGCAGTAATGTCAAAATCCTTTGCTTCCAACTCATTCTTCGTATGCTGCAATACAAAAACGAAGAAGTCGACGGTGACGTGGAGGTGCAAGTCGTTCAGGGTAATCTTATGCCGATTGGGGGTTCGTGAATGGAGGTCTCTGAGGGAGTTGGTGCCGTCTCTTCGAAGTTCCTTTTCACTCTCGACGAGACCGAAAAGAGGTTTGAAGTTCACTGCGGGACGCTTGGAGGGGTCATCATGTATTGAAACAAGACCCAAGTCTCTGTGTACCTGATACCCCCATCGTGGTTGGACGACTGCATCGTTGGCCACTCCCCCGAAAGACTCGCGACGGAATTTGCGCATTTCTCTGATCATGTCATCGAAAGAAGAAATAGGTGGTGGATCATCAGAAGAAGGGTTAGTTCGGGATTGAAAGTCCCAACCGGTGGGATATGTGATGACTGTTGGCACCTCCATCCGCATGGGTTCCGAGGAGCGCAACTGAATACAAGTGGGCCAATTCTCGATCGTCTCGATCGCATCAGGACTGACATCCTGAGGATTGGTCCCTTCTGGAACTAGGACGTAGGAAACAGCGGTGCTGGTAGTGCCAAAATCCACCGCGACGACCAGATGCCCGCGTTTTCGACGAAGAGGAGGCATGCTGGATGCTTGTGATTCAGATGCAGAAAGGGAATGGATATGAATGAAAGAAAGATAGCGAAAGGAATACAGAAAAAGTACAAGGAGAGAATGCAAGATGCAGTTGAGATAAAAAGGATGATCGTGGGATGAAGAAGTGGATGAGTTTGAAGGGGAGGGCAGAGATCCCAATGACTTTTTCTCTATGGGAGGAGTAAACAATGGAAATCTCCCGTCTGGCGAAAAGAGATATAGACGCACCTTGCCTAAGGTAAATAATTACCCGCGTTGCAGTGACGGAGTGCCAGGCACTGGCTACACTGCCAGTGCAGATGCAGGTACGATGCTTTACCACTCTAAAGCTCCCATTTCGGGCAGCCTGCACTGAATTGCAAGTCAATTGATCCATTTTTTTTTCTTTTCTCTTTCACTTCTATGCAGGTTTAGAGAAGACTTCTACGTACAGCATAGCGCAAATGTCACCTCGATTGCATTTGAACAAACATCAGCTGGTCGACCACCGAGAGCACAACAGGCGCTAAGCAAACGACAGACGTCTTCCTGCCTCCTTTCTCCTTCCTCTCTCCTTATTTATCTTTGTTCTGATCAGATTGTCGATCTATCGGTATCTGCCCACTTCATTTCAACCCACACGAACTCATTAGCCGTCAAGTGACCTTACCACCGCTTCGCGCACGTACAAGAGCATCGCAACAAGCATGGACCGAGAAGAATTTGAGGAACCCGATACAAACAGGACTATGATGCCTAAGACTCAGAACAATGCCGAAGATCAATACGAAACTAAGAGCGAGACCCAAGCGGGACCCGAAGAAGAAGAAGTTGCGTCTCATGACGAGTTTGAGATTCGTCCTATTGTCAATCCCCGGGCAGGAGCAGCGGCCACGTGGAACCATGAGTCTGTTATCACGCTTTTAGCGTACATTGAATGGTGCGTGGAGAGCGACAAAGACTTTCGGACGGAGGGATTACTGCTGCTCAGCCAAGAACTGGGAACTAGCATAAAGCGGTCTAAGAGGAAGGCATTTGATATCTGGGTAAAACATAAAAGTCGTAAGTATTCCCACAAGCCATACTCGTGTCTCTATACATTGGGAATCGAGTCTTTGAACTTGGATTTTGAAGTTATCCAGAGTGTACGAGATCGAGTTCGCGAGATTAGGCCAACCACAGGAAGCTCGGCTCTGTCCACTGAAACTACCCCGACACGACGTCGTCTGGTGACCATAGTAAGTGAATCGCACCAAGGGTGTTTGAACCTCAACCATTAACTGACGCTAGAAGGTCCGCCCGAGCCCGACAAAACCCCAACAAGTTGGAAATACAGGAGATGCTACGATTGATGACTCTCAGGAAGAAGAAGATCCCGAAAGCCCTGATAGCCCAGCCCATACCGTCGCAACACCTGGCTCCTCTCATGGAACAATCGATGTTGCCAATGATGCAGCTTCGAACGGCACCCACGACCTAGAACATGATGAGGACTTGGATGCTGAGACGACCCAGGGAGCCACGGCTGATGCCAATCCTCAGATCTCCTCCAGCCCCCCAAGCCCAGGCGATCCGGATCGCGAGGAGGATGATAGTTTCGACGCATCTCATTTGCAGTTAAAGTGGCTGCACAAGGAACCCCGACGTTTCTCCTTCACATCGCCAAGCAGAGATCAATCGGATGGCATCAATGAGGCGCCTCAAATGGACAATTGTCGACAAGACCTTGTTGACAACACACATACCCAGCCCGGTATGGTTGGCTCGCTCTTGGATTGCTCCCAAAAATCCTTGCGCCTTGATCTTTTTGAGGAGAAAAGAAAGCGTTCTTTATGCGAGGAAGAGATCAGAACTCAGTGTGAGAAGATAGCTGAACTGGAGGGGGAACTCAGATCTCTGAAGAGATGCAAACCCGACGCCAATGTTCGACATAACCTTGAACAGCATTTCGTAGCCACACGAGCCATGATAGGAGAGAACAACTTGCTGCACAGAAAGATTGAAGAGCTCTCCCTGAGTGATATTAGACGCAGAATCATCGCGTTGAGCAATGCTATCCGGGATTTCGGTCTTACGAACGAGGAGATAAGTGACGAATTGCCTGACCTTGAATCGATCTTTGGGCTATCAGTACAATCTTGGGCAACGAGGGCCTTTGGGAAAAATATACGCCTATGCATTTATTCTGTCTACAATCAAGAGTTTCGGAAGGAGGGCCTGCTCCGAGGACTTCTCGCAGCGGCTATAAACGAGCTGATCTTCGAGCCGGTTTTCCCCCATATCTTCAACGTATACTCACAAGACACCAACTTCTACCGCAAGTACATTGTTGTTCAACGTGCGTATCAAGACGTCTGCAGAATGAACTATGCTAATAGTTTCGCAGATGGAACCGAGGATCTTCACCACGCAGATCACCACGTACTGAAGGAACTCGCGCGCGACAAGCAAACAGCCATGATCGAACCTACTGCGAACAGTCTGGCAGACAGGATCTCAAAAAACCTGGAGGGTCTCTTTTCGAGAAAAGAGGACCAGCCAGCACAGCAACATGACTTGGATGGCGATTCCGACATGCTTTTTCCTGAATCTGACGTGGATACGACGACCTTGCACCTGCGAAGCGTTCTCTCCCAGGCTATGAGCCTCAAGCTTGACCTGACGATGCACATGAACCGGCTGAGGTTCTTTTTCTTCAAGCCGAACGACCTTTGGGACGCGCAAAACATGAAGCTTGATGATCCCTCCTTCCAACCCGACGAAGGCTCTAGCATCAAGGCCTGTATCTCGCCAGCTATCTACGTAGCACCAAAGCGAGAGATCAACCGTGACGAAGCGATCCTGGAGTTCGACACACGATTCAATACCTACTTTCTGGAAGCAACGGAGGATGAGGCCAAGACACTTGAGTTAGTGTCTCAGGCAATTGTGTTAATCTAACGGAGGCTGGACGGAAGTGGTACTGGAATATGCGAAGGTATTGGGAAAAAGTTGATTAGGGTTTGTAGTTTTGCTCGTAGTTTCTAAGAGTAGTTGAATGCTGAGATCTAACTGAGGACGGTAGGTCGTCTGTTCTTACCAAGATGTTCAACAATAATCCACTAGATGGTCTTCGTGACCAGGAAGACCTTCTGTCAGTTGTATAAGACCGATGCCGACAGCAAACCTTCATCCTAGGCATGGCAATGCGAGCCTAAGCCTTGCTCTGGGTTTACGCTCGCCAGACCTCGTCTTCTTGTTGGACATCTTCTTCAGACAAGATTCGATGACGAGATGCAGATACTCCAACCATACGTCGAAAGGGGCCAAGGTATGGATGGTCCCTGCACTACTACGGATGGATAGTACGCCTGACTTAATGAGCGATATCGTGTATGTTTTCAAACATACCGCCAACTACAGTCTGTTCTTTACGAAGTCCCAGAGGAGATGGTGTCTAAGGCGATTGTGCTCACTTGGCTACGTCCTAATACTACGGAATACATGTATACGAAGTGTAAGTAGAACAAGAAACCGCAATTCGTTTCGATGACAATGTATGATTTATCCAGGGGTTTTACGGTGTCAAAACCGGCTTATTTTGTAACAGGAAGAAAACGTTCAAACTTATCCACAACATGTAGGCGCCGACATACGAAGGCTTTGCATATATCTTTGTCATTTTGAGAGCTCTCTGCTTCAAAATCTTTGGAATCAAGAGCACAATGCCAGAGTTTTTCCCGTCGTCCATAGGGTATCTGTAATAAAAGTGCTTGCAGCCAGGAGGTTAGATTGATGGATATCGGATCAACTACTGATCCGTTCCTCTGATCCTAGCACGGCTAAGGCAAGGCACCTGTAATTTACAAGAGAAGTGCACCCAACAAGGATTAGCATTAATCATGGAACAAGATACCAGACCTCTCCAATCGTCAGTATGACTCAAAGATCTTGAAAACATTGACTGATCTCATCTTCAGACCCTACGCAGGTCCACAGGCTGTACTCTATTTTGGGAACAAATCGGTACCCTTGAGATTGCCTCTTGATATCTTGAAACCCTATGAGGAGCTGACCCGTCAAATGAAGGACGGAGGGGGTGGTCTATTTGGGGGATCTCATTGTACAGACTTTGCGCTGACTGACATACCTTATGGCGCGGGGCATGTTATCGTTCACTTCCTCATGACTGGAACTTACCAATGCCTTAGCTCAACGCGTGATGCCCTAAAAGGAAGGTGTGAGGAAGAGTTCAAGACGGCTGTGTTTATGTCGCGGCTATGGAAAGAAAACTTCCCGAACTTCACGATCTTGCTCAACAGCAGGTCGCCAAACTTGGACAGCAACTTGATCTCCTAACGGTCATCAGCGTCATCGAAGACTGTGGGTCAACATCATAATTTGCCCCTGGAACCTTTCATCCAGGTACCGTTGGATATCTGCAATTCAGAATCCAGTCTTTTACCAAAGACGCCACTGAGATCGAAGCTAAAGACATGCTGGCGAGGATGGAGACTCCCCAAACGCTAAGTAAAATCCTGCTGAAGAGTCTTATCCTAATGAAGCTCCCCACCGAGCCCAAACCAGAAGATGAGACTGACGAGAAGACGAACAATGTATCTACAGAGAGGGATAGCGTGCAGCTGGCAAAGGAAGCCATCCTGGGGACTGAAGACGCCTACAAAAGAGCTCAAGAGCGAGCTGAGCGTGAAACTCAAGAAGCTGAGGAGATAAGGAGGGCCAAAGAACAAAGGCAGCAGATTATAAGAGACAAGCTAGAGCTGCGTGAGCTCGAAGATATGAAAGCCAGAGACGGAAAGCTATCCCAATCTAAGAGACGAAGGTTGTCCCAACTTCGAGAAGAGGAAGCAGGGAGAGCTCACAGAGCCTCTAATACCGAGCCCAAACAACCTGCCGAACAGGAGCCACGGGATGAACCTGTAGCAGTACGTTCTGCCCTGATCAGGCAAGAACAGCCTGCCAACTCCGCGGTCGAATTTACTAATGGATCTGATTCTGCGAATAAAACATGTATGTGATACACCGTGAAAGGATCCTCCGTTCTACATGGGAGCGTTGGACGCTGACTCTCAGAAGCTACGTTGTTTAGGAGCCAAGGAACCCCGCCCCGAAAACCATTTATCTTTACAGCATCTCCCACCAGATAAAGTGCTTAATGGCGGATAGTAACCAGCTGAACAACAAACAGGAGAGGAAGAACATCATGGCATCTACCTTTCGGCTAACCCCAATCCAAACCCTAAACCTAGTAGATATATACATTTGAAGGAAACTCTTCTACATGCTGACTCAAACACTTCCAGCAGATGGAAGTAGGACATACCGTGATCCTGGTGATGTTGCCTTGAGCTCTCTCTGCGTACTGACTCAGATACGCTGTCGTTGCCAGCCGAGCTAGCCAATTTCCGTTTGCTCGTACCACGACATTACCAGCATGACAGTCTCGGAGTTCATCCCAGCTTTCTATGGACGTCATGTAAGCATCTGGAGGCTCTGAGTCCAAGTGATCGCACAGGCTGCGAGACCCTAGCCGATAGATCGCTGAACTGTTAAGCGCAGGAATCACGTCAACATCGCCAATCCATTTCCCTCCTTCTCGAATCGATATAACACATTCCATAAGAGTCATCTGTACATCTTGACTGCCCCTGTAACTATAACCCTCCAAAGGTCGCTCCCAGTTGGTGAATGAGAGATGCATGGATGTGTTGCGGAAGAGGTCTACAGCCGCCCCGTCGAACTTCTGCGCCTTGGCAACCCTCCAGAACGTGTTGTCTGGGGGAGGTAACTCAGGTTCTTCGACAGAGAAGAACATTACAAACCCCGGTTTACCTATATTACCCAGGATGCGTGTGAATGCGCTTTTATTGCCAACCGTTAGCGGGTCGCAGAGCAGCTTTGGTGGTCAGTTGGCATAATAAAAACCTGAAATATGGAAGGTTGTGGAGTACCTGTTTAGGAACAAACATGGAATTGCCCATAGATATGCCAATAATGTTGCCAGGAATCTTGGTAGGTAGAATATCGTGACCGGCTACGAGATATGAGAAGATCGAAATGGTCCGGAGGGAGCCCGATCGTGGATCGTGAAGGGACGGTTGCTCGTTGCTAAGCAACTCGGACATACAATTGGCATCTATCCATGGCTTACTGAGAGTATCAAGCTGGATGACCGGCTCTGATATTGTTCGAAAACCATCGTTATGGGCCACAGCAAGACTTCTCAATGTCTCTGTAACACCATCATGTGCTTGAAGCAGACATTGTTCAGGCGTTAGCAGATCATACTCAAGACACCACAGTAGATCTACATAGGTAATTGACGGGCTATTAGTATGCGGAAGTTGTTGGTCTCGAAAGATATAGATTGCGGCCAGCTCCGGCTTTCCATACCACAACTGGAGATCGCACTCAGCAGAGCGCTTGGGGTTGAGGGTACACGTGAGGTGTGGCGCAGGGGATGGAGAGTACAAAAAGTAGTCGGTGTTCTCAAGGACCGTGTCTTTGGTAATTACCGTATCAATCATGAGAGGGTGTATCCATCGAGTATGTGAGGCATTGTGCTTTTTAGCCAATGCAGCCTGATCTTGTATGGAGCTGTCGGAAGAGTGGCCGAAGACCGTGGCGAAACTGAAAACCTTGTGATCCCTGTCAACTTGGTCGGCATATTGAATGATACAGGTGTGCTTTTGCAATTCTTCCGACTTAGCGGCCATACGCCGTAGGAACTCAATCCTCCCATCTGCATGTTGAATAGACTGTAATAGGATATCAACTTGGGTGAGGCCGAAGAAAGGTCGAATGAAACCTTGGGTCATCCGGTTGATATAGGTGCGGCGAGGAATGAACTGAGTCCGGTTTCTCCCGAGATTAATGAACGGTAGTAATGTCTCCTTGTCGTAGGGAAGCTTTCTCGCTGCCTCAGATAATAAGCGCAAGCCTTCCACAGTTTGGCTAAGTCTCCCCAACAACGGAACAGGTTTCTGACTTGGAAGACGATGTGAGGGATCTCCTGGAATAAGGCTGATGATTTTAATAGCTCCCATAGTGGCAGTGTCATCTGTTGGGACACCCCATCGGGATAAGATGCAACCAAGAGTGATGAGTAGCAGATCATTGAAGGAGATCAAATTGGGATCTGACTTGAAGGTCCCATGTCTTTTGACAGGCTGGCCGTACGATCTCAAATGTGCCAGTGATAAGGACCATGTAACACCACTGAGAGGCGTCGTAGCCGACGGCGAACAGCCAAGTGAAAGGACACCTCCTGGAGCTACAAGCGGGTCATTCATGCAGACCTGGACATTCCTGATTCCAAACACATGAATGTCGGGATAGATATGCCAGGCAGCAAGACCAAGAATTGCCGAGCCGTCTTGAACTTCCTGAGGAACGCCTGAGACAAGCCTCTCCATAGTTCTCAGCGTTTTCTCCCAGGTTTTGACAACACTATAATAAACCATGGTATCTGGGCCCAATGTAAGATTGACATTCTTCAGGATGAGTCGAAGCTGTGTTTGTTTGTTCACCATTGTGGAATCGGCTGTTTGAAGCCATGCACGGGCGCTTGCGTCCCATTCCGCAATCTGAGATCTCGAGAGACCCTGTTGAACTGCTGCAGCGACGGTAGAAAAGGGTATGTCCTCTTCTTGTTCCCAACTCTTCGCGATCGCTTTTCGTCGCTCATCTGCTAGCTCGATCCATATGGATATAGCCTCTGTGGCATTAAACATCAACGCCAGTACACATGCCAGAAGATGAACATGGATTGCGCCATTCATTCTTCCACGCGAAGATGTAGCAGCAGCCCAGATGGATGTTGCATCGATACCGGCGTAAGAGCCAAACATAGATGTCGAATACTCCTCTATCTCTCGACTGTGAGCTTTCTTTGAAATTTCCGAGGCCCTTTCACCATATGCTCGGATAAGGTTGGGAGTGTCCGGGCAAATTCCATCAAAGAGGGCTGCCAGACGACGGGCGGTGACGTGGCTGGTGCCTGCTTCGGCATTTTCCTTGCGACTTTCAGAAAGAAGCTCTCCTATGGGACGATATTCTTCGGGAGCCTCATACTTTACAAGACAAAAGTCGAAATTGATGTTAGCTGCGGCGACAGTGACTTCGCTTGTAGCTAGCAAGGGCAGCCTGAAGCTTTCCAATCGACATGATACAGTATACTTTGGGGACAGAAGAGCATGAGATTGTAGATACAGTAAAACTCGACTTGCTGGTGGTACGGAAGATGAAAGAGCAGGCGTTTAGTACTTCTAGCACTAAGCATCAAGACAACAGAACGAAAAGCAACTAAAGGGTTGGGACAGTTGTGATCACACGGAACAACCAAGTCTGCCTTGCAAGGCGGCGCGGCGTAAGCCTGATCTGCCGATCATGAATGTGAGAGAGTGGTTATGTCACTTGACGGATTTTCATCTTTATCCTGCCTGTCAAATCAGCACTCACGTTTAAGAGTGCAGGACTGCATCATTCCAGCACTAGCGATACCTTTATGTCCTATTACCTGAATTACATATAACCGTAACATGTATATATATCTACATGAAATCGTGGACCCGCTGTTGTGATCAAACCAAGTAACAATGCTCTGATCGAACAATGCCAAGACTTATCATGTTGGGGGACGGTATCACCTCCCTTCCTCAGGCCCTATGCCATAATGCCACGTCAGATATGTGGCTTGAAACGGAAAAAAAAGTCGCTTAGTCAATGATCAACCCTCACGTCTCCTCTGAGCATGCCATTTGGTACTGCAAAATCGCGGATAGCTCCCTCAGGTCGACAGAGGCAATGCGCGATACAGCTGGCAAAAGGTATAGATGCATTACAATTACCGCAAGTTGAGACTCTAAGCAGGAATAGCTCAAAACCTTTGTGCAATGTAAGCTAAAAGACTGGCAGCTATACCTTGTTAGCTTTGTTTACTTTATGTATTACTATGTATAAAATAATTCATTGGCGCTTATTATAAAGCAAAAGATCAAGGTAAATTGTTCTCGGTGGCCCTTGGAATAGTAACAATGATTAGAAGGACCTCTCCTGCATTGGATGTCTTGATTGTAATGAGACGTGCGGTCTGAATGCGACGGGCTGTGGCGGTCGCCTGTGGTCAGTGAAGACTGCAGGCAAACGAGAAAAACGGCGCGCTCAGAATTCAAGAAACGTCGAGCAGAGACGCATACGCCTTATGCAATACAGAGCGATAACCAAAAATACATTAATTTCTATCCCGGCCTTTCTGACATCTGTGTCATCCCACTCAATGAATCTGGCACTCCCCCTGGAACGCCACTATAAGAATGAAGACTCAGCAGCCAAACAAAGTTATGCAGCGCGCCTTTATACAGAACACACAGATCCGCCGTAAGAGGAAATGCGCTGTAAAATGTTGGATGTTTGCAGAATTACATTAGTCACCTGGAAATGCGGTTGGCGATGAATTGGGCTTGGCGGCCGACGTGGGAGGCCGACCATGGCGCGTCATGGAAAGTGGTGTTGGTGACAAACAACGGTGACTATAAGAAGAGAGGGGTCAGCAACTGTTCAGTACCAGTTTCCTGCTCCTTTACCTTCCGATCTTGCTCCTCCGTATCTGCATCCCCAGCCTGCAACAAAGCTGCGCAATGAGTTCAAGCTATCCAAAGTCGTAAGCGGCCTGTCCCAGTTGATGGAATACATCTAATGACTGTGATGCAGCGTATATGGAGACGATATCTACAAGGTGTTCTTCCGAGATGGAGAATACTCATGGGTGCACTCCCTAGTCCTCAAACCCCACCACGAGCTCGACAAACGAGGCTATGGCAACCCAGATGAGCCCTGGCCTTGGTGTATTGACCTGAAGGAATTCGAGCATAACACCGGCCACGCCATCATTCATTACTTATACACAGGTACCTACCAGTGCCTCGCGAACGCGGAATGCCCACCGGAGGATTCGGATCAAAACAGCCTCGCAGAAGGGCTCCTGACCTGTATCGCCGCTGAATCTCTTGGATTATTGGGACTCCACGCTCTAGGAGTGGAAGAGGTGGCGGAACTGGGCGACAAAATGAGTCTGCCCGCAATCTTTGAAACAATGGAAGACTCGGATATCGCGCTTGGTCTGGTACCAGCCTTTGATACATATCTGCAAAACCGCATGACCGATGCCAAGTTTGGTGCGCCAGGACAGGCCATAGAGGACGTTCTTGCCCGTCTCGCCTCTGCGAAATCCCTCGGCACGTTGGCCCTTAGGGCAATGGTATTGCAGCACAAACGCAGAACCGAAGACGAAGTAAAAACCCATCCTGAAGAAGTTGAACAGGATGACGCCAAGACAGATGACCAGCCATCTTTGCCAGAACCGGAGATCCCACCTGCCTTACAGGCATTAGAAGCGAAAATCCAGCTTCTGCAAGAGAAGAAGTGGAAGCGCGGAGGAAGACTCCTCAGGGCAGATCGCGAGAGGTTGGAATTTCTCCAAATGGCTGCTAATGACATCCGTTGCAAAGAACTCGATAAGGCCGTCGGCGGAGTGAAGACGTCCGACGGCCCTTTATCCGAACAACCAAGTCTCGATGAGGCAAAGAAGGCAGGGGCCCTACAGGAGAAACCCACAGGGTGTTTCAAGTTCACGGATGATGGAGTTGGTAAGTCAATGTGTCTTTCTGATGGAGAGGGTTGCTAAGCTTTGGTAGGGCTGTGACACTGATCATGTCGTAGTCGCCAAGTCCAAGGGCAAACGTACGGTAGAGGCGTGGTTGGGTCGTGATACCGATTCCAGCCACTCACCTCTTCCCGGCCCAGACGAAAGTTCGTCGGACTGGACAGTATCAATGACGCAGATGACGCCCAGTTCAAAGGGTGGTTCTTGGGATGTATTGGAGAGCGGATCAGAGGATTAGATTCGTTATCAAGGTTGCCTGTGTGTAGTTTGACCTACGCTGATTTGTTGTTTTGGTAAACTCTGTCGTTATCGGTAATTGAGCTCCCTGTTATTCAGAATATTCTGTCCCTTTCTGTCCAGTGAACTTCATCCCCTTGTCCTTCGAGAAACCTAAACAGATTTATACTCCTGTGCAGACAAATGTTAACAGGATCAGTTATGTCCCATTATTTGCTTTAGAAGAATTCTCTCTTGCCGTGAATTCCTTGACATCTTTACGTCCCACAAACTTCTCTTTCTCCATCCTGCCATCAACGCTGACAAACCTGGCATCGCGGCATTATTAATCATCAACAACCAGTATAAAATAACTACATCATGCCTTCAGATGACAAGAAACCCACCATACCCGCGTATGTACTCCTTTTTCCCCAAGAAGGCATGCAATACTGACGTTCTCCAAGCTCGTACGGCGATGACGTCTGCAGGATCTTCTTCCAAAGTCAAGGCCCCTGCCTAATCTCTCGCAAAGCCCTTGCAAAATGCCCGGCCATCGCATCCCGCCTGACCTCCAAATCCTTCTTCTCCAACTCCCTTGACAGCGTCAACATCGAAGAGATCCCCCACGATGTCGGCGCCGTGGTAATCCACTTCTTGCGGTCAAGGCGATACCGAGCGCTGACCTTCGACGTCGAATCTGAAGAAGAACGAACACGTCTTGAGCTCAGAACCGCTTTTCGGGTTTATGCGGCTGCTGTTGATTTGGAGTTAATTGCCCTCAAGAATGTTGCCCAGAATGTTATGTCGGATCTCGAGAACCTGATGGATTTGAAGACTGTTGCGATCGTGTTGAAGGAGACTGGGTTGCACTTGGAGGAATGGCCTTGCTTGTTGATGCATATCTACTCGTTTATTCAAGCTTCGAAGGGCGTTGCCTCGAGTGAGGATATGACGTGGATTATTTCCGAGCACGGGTTTCCAGACAGCGTCAATGTTGACTCGTTCCAGTCTTCGCTCGTGTCTAAGGGATCGCCTTGGAAGAAGGAAGAAGAAAAAAGCCCGAAGGCTCAACCGACCAGAGACATAGCCGAACCGAGGGCAAAGACTTGGTCCCCCTCCACCTCCAGCGAAACCAAACCAAAGTTGAAGTCCAGCAAGACTTGGGCAAACATCTTTCCAAAGGATTTTTCGATGTGGAGGCTTGGTAGAGACAAGACTCGAGCTGAGGCGCCAGAGGAAACCATCGTTGAACAGAGGCCGATAGACGAGATCATGGAACCGCCTCAGGGTCTTTCGGAAGTTGCGATGGCATACGTCAAGCACCTGTCGCTATCCATTGTAGGACAGGAATGTGAGGCAGGAGATATTGCTCTCCAGAGCACAATTACAACTCCTCCACCAGGTAAGCAATGTTTTGCATTGTGATAGCTATCAATACTAACAAACATCCAGTGAAAGACCTACAATAATGAGTCCATATTCATTACTCAGCAGCTAGTAACACGATATCCCCACCAAAGATCATGTCGTTCCACCGTGATAACCGCCCGCTAATCGAGATCGGCGTATCCACTAACTTGACAATTTGAGACACTACCAACACCAATGGAACTCTACAGCGGCATGGACCGAGGTAGCTATCAAACTCTCTCTACACCGCTAATCCCATCGCGGATCGAAGCTCCGACCATTGACGTGATGGGACGGTGATCCCGATGGGTCCCAGTTTACCTTACCAAGAATGACGAGAACGTTCGACGTCACAGACTCCAATTGTGTAAATATCGAGCTTTCCCATTATCGACCTTGAATTTCCATCTTTACTTTTTAACAATCCCATTTTTTACAATATCTCAAAATGCCTTCAAACAACGCTGCATGGCTCGTTGCCGCAAAGACGTCACCACTCGAAGTTAAATCAGCCCCTCTCCCTGAAGTCAAAGACGGCCACATCCTCATCAAGAACTCAGCTGTCGCGATTAACCCCGTCGACATCGCAAACCAACATGTCGGAATCTTCATCTCTGAGGAGCAATACCCTGTTATCCTCGGTGAAGATGTCGCGGGTGTTGTAGAGGCTGTTGGCTCTGATGTCACCGCTTTCAAGGCTGGCGATAGAGTTCTCGGTTACGCGACCTCGCTGGCTAGCAAAGATAATGCGAATAGTGCTTTCCAGGAGTATACGGCTATTCGCGCCGATTGTGCTTCCAAGATTCCTGAGGGATTGTCGTTTGAGCAGGCTGCTGTTCTACCTCTGTCCCTCGCCACAGCGGGCTGGGCTTTGTTTGGCGATTCTACGCTCGGAATGAAGTTCCCTGCTGCGAACGCCGAGTCTACTGGAGAGACAGTTCTTATTTGGGGCGGTTCATCCAGCGTTGGTGGATCAGCCATCCAACTCGCCAAAGCAGCTGGTTACGAGGTCATCAGTACCGCTTCAGCCAAAAACCACGAATACGTCAAAAGCCTTGGCGCCGACCACGTCTTCGAATACAACTCCCCCCACGTTACAAAAGACATTTCCTCCCTCCTGACCAGCAAGAAGCTGGCTGGTGCATTGGAAGCAAGCGGCAACGAAGAAGCCATGAACAGCGCATCCCAATCAATTGCTCACGGCGACGGTCTGCGCAAAGTAATCTGCGTGCGCGGTCCTCAATCGCAGGTCCCTGAAGTTAAGGCGCAGCCCATTATGTCGACGAGTATCATCGGTACGCCTGTTGCGAAGGCTGTGTTTGGAGATTATGTTCCTGCTGCGCTTGAGAGTGGCAAGTTTAAGGCTGTTCCGGAAGCGGAGGTTGTTGGAAAGGGATTGGAGAGTGTGCAGTTGGGTATCAATGCTTTGGCCAAGGGTGTTTCTGCTAAGAAGATTGTTGTTTCTCTATAGATTAAAAGTATAATCTTATAGAAGTAATAAAGCGAGACTATGCAAAGACAGATACTTCGTCAGCAGACTACAATTCAGTGGCGGTTTGGGTTAACCCTGGAGGCAGCTTCTCTTCTACCCACCATCAGGAAGTGGTTTTGACGGGAATAAAATGTCATGATACCCCTCACTGGTACATATTCATATTTCGAGAGTTTCTATTGGCTACGCACCCCTGTCTTTAATTCAGCCTGCTGGTCAGCCCAAGACACTCAGCCGCACTCAACACGCGATAAATACCTCGATTCTTGTCCGTTTCAAAATAGCTTTTACGATACTTCACCTTCAGTCATGGAGACTATCGAATGCTCAGACGGCGATACCCGCACCGAAAAAGAAATCATCGTCAAGTTAATCGTTGCTCATTTCACAGCTATTGTTGCTTTCTGCAACTTCCAATCTCTTCGCAACGAAAAACTAGACACCGTCGAACCACTCCTATTTCTTCTATCACCGCTGCTAGTAATAGTCCAAACGGGCCTCGGAATTGTCATAATTATCATCTCATTTTTCACGGATCTTGCTGTATCGCCTAAGCTATATCTCGACCATCTTGCAACTGTTTCCCGACGATGGACCGCTCTATTCGGAACCAAGTCTCGTGATACACCTACTGGCTCCCGCTTGGGACGAGCTTGGATAAGGCTTGGAAGAACACTAGCCATCTTTGCAACCCTCTTCCAATTCGCAGCTACGATATTTCTCTATCGGCGCCGAAAAGAGCTACACGGCTCGGAGGCACTTACAATAGTCGACCATCGAACCTTTGAACTATCTGTCGGCGGCGCCGCTGTTTCCGTTTTATCACTTGCTCTCATCCTCAAGTTCCCTGGTTTCGGGCGAACACCAGAAACCCCGTATACACCGGAGATTGAAGCAGATACAGATACAAAGATCCTCTTCTGCCGCGGCGACTCACGACGCTGTCCTAGCTGGTATCAGATCCTCTACGCTACAGATATTGGTTCAGGAACCTCGGCTGCGACGTGGCTAGCTTGCGTTTCGTCTTCAACTTACAAAGGCGAATCCCTTCTTCTCTCATACGTATCCAAGGTCTATTCTGGAATTTACAAAGACGCCTCCCACACACTTTCACTCGACGTCTCAATGCCGATATTTTACCTCTTGGTTGCAGCCTTCTTTGGTGTCTTTTTTACTTTTTCGCATTTATGCAAAGATTCGGGCTTCTCTAAGAGACTGAGCAATAGCCTCTGGGTGCTGATACCAGCTCTTCTCATCCTGGTAGTCGCTATAGTTGCCTTTATGTGCATGGTCATACTCATGGTGGTGCCTATATCTCTTTATCTGGTCCCTTCTGTTCTTAGCGGTCCTGGATGTATTTTCACGATGAAGGGCTTGGAGATTCGCGATGTATTTTCTCAGCCGCCCTTTGAAGTGTCGACAAACAGGACTGATTGCCTTTTGCTTTGGAAGGATCCAGCGGCGGATTATTTGTGGTCGCTTGTATAACTACAACAAAGACATTTCTTTTTCTTAATAAATGTCGGCAATAAATATATTAAGATATAATCAAAGATGCTGGAGAACTCAAAATGTCTTCAGTCGTACGAACCCCCTACTCTCAACTAGAGTCATGCCTTGACGGGCTCATTCTCACTGGCAATGGAAGTCTTGGTCTGGATATGTGAAGCTTCAATCGCGACCTCATCACCAAAAAGTGCCGAAATCTCCTCCAGAGTGAGCCCCTTGGTCTCAGGGAAGTACAATATAAAGATAATCGCACAAATGATGGTGAATGCCATCATAATCAGATAGAATTTCCAACCGATAGTCTGGAATGCGGTAGGTGCAGCTTCCAGTAATGTCAACGATCCGACAAAGAGACCAGCGCACGAGACAGCGAAGCCCTTTCCTCGTAGATGTGTAGGCCAAATCTCGGATCCATAAACGTATGTGGATGCATCCATACAGGTGGCATAGAAAGTCAGATGGAGATACAGGAAGAAGACACCAGCAGAGTTGCCGCCTGTGTTGTTTGTACCGCCATACAAGGCGACCATGATGCTGACACCAAGAAGGGACACGGCACAGCCAAAGAGCCCAGTGACCATGAGCCACCTGCGGCCAACATAGTCGAGGAGTACGGCGTTGATGGCGTTGCAAACAAGACCTTCAGTAAGCCACCCAGCAGACAGTGCCAAACTAGCCGCAGGACCGTGACCTAAAGCAGCATACAGAGAAGGACCGTAGTTGTTGATGACAGTAGTTCCGCTAAGCTGGCCCGCAAGAAGGGTGGTGAAGCCGATAAAGGCTCTCTTGCGATAGTGGGGAACGGTAAATAAAGATGACCAGGACGAAGGGAGGCTGCGTTCCAGTTCAACCTGGGCCCGAATCTGGGCGAACTGAACATTGGCTTCGTGACTGCTGGGGTCGTCCGAGTCTCTGTAAATGCGCTTGAGGATGGTTTCCGCTCTCTCATGCTGATCATGCTCTACCAGCCAACGAGGAGACTCTGGGATGAAGTAGACACCGCAAGCGAGGATCAACGGAGGGAGGCACTGGATGGCCAGAGGTGGCCTCCACTGTGCTCCATCTGCGTTCACATAGAAGAACCCGAAACCAACCCAGGCAGATGATGAGTAGCCGAGCAGGATTGAAACACCATGGAGACCCACGAGCAGTCCTCGGGCGTGTGAAGGAGCAACCTCGGTTTGCCAAAGGGGAACAATCATGACTAGACCACCGACGGCAAGGCCTGTGATAAATCTAGCCACCAGATACATAGCTAAATGCACTGACCCTGCTTGGAGTCCACCGCCGATAACAGCGAGGACACTGGCGAGGAACATAGCCTTGCATCGTCCGAATTTGTCTGCGAGACCTCCAAAGGTCAATGTGCCGATGAGACCTCCTCCCTGGAACAAACCATTGATGGCTCCGATTAACGCTGGTGCATTCTTGGCTGTGTCGAGGCCGAAGTAGCTTAGGAAGGAAGGTTGGCCTAGTGTGGAGCCGATGATGGCGGAGCAGTAACCATATGTGATACTTCCAAAGGTAGCAAAAGCGATGATCTGGCGATGTTGTGATCAGCAGAGCAACGTTGATAGAGGGAATGCGGATACATACTAGAACATTGTAGCCGATGAGCGGCTTCCCACGAAATTTGATTTGAGCCATAGGTAGAATCTGTTGTTCTGTCGAGAACTGAGTTGAACAGAAAGCAACTGCGATGACGAGAAGGGCATGATTGGTTATTTAAGGAGAAAGATAGCACCAGAGTATTGAATCTTAGCTGGAATAACTTGATACGGTGATCAAATGGCAGTTGTGGAAGAGTCTCAGTATAGTTCAAGGGACTAGCCCAGATAAGAGTGCGTTAGCGTCTGGATAATGCTTAACCGGACAGGGCGGGGAGGATGATAAACAAAAGGCAGCGATAGCTTAGACGCCGCGCTCACTTTGACGACGCTAATCTGCGGGGATGAAGCTTATCTAGCTCACATGTCTAAGCTTGCAAAATGGAAACGCCTCGTTATTGATGATATGGTGGGTAATGCCTATCCGACTCTTTCAGATACGTCAACTTCCATCATCAAGGGAAACTCGGTTCGAGAAAGCCGCGTTATCGATCCCTTACCATGGTTTCGGTAGGATGCAGGCGGCAATGCACGGCATCCACCAACTACTCTGGTCTCTAAATAGGATAACTAGACGATATACTCTCCAGGGTATGTCAGTTGGATCAGGCAGTACACGTTGGAGAGAAGCATGCGAGAAACAGGGACTGCAACGAGGATACCTACGCTGCGCGATTGGCTTAACAACAACAAATATACATGTATGAATATATACGGCTCACAACTTTTGTAGTTGAGCTGTCACGTGCAATTGGCTGTCGTTTGTTCATTAGCCAGATATATCAACCCCGCTTTGTGTCTATTACACTTCCCATTACCGTCACCATGAAATCTCAGGTGACAGCCTCTGGGAAACCTAGGCAACGCTCATCCCTAGCTTGTAACCTATGCCGAACAAAGCGAATCAAGGTAAGCTACCTCTAATCTTCATCTGATTGGATCGACCGCTGACATGATTTACCAGTGTGATGGTCAACGCCCCATCTGTACAACATGCATCACAAACGGCGAGCACTGTGAATACACAAGCCAGGATAGCAATAGAAAGTAAGAGAAACAACCCCCTTGACACATATAGCCGAGAGTACTTACCATTATTCCAGGCCCCCAAGTAAACGCTACGTTGAAGCACTCCAGCAACGTATAAGAAGCCTGGAGTCACAGCTTGAGAAATACCAAGGGGCGAATGCTTCTAAAGATGTTGACGAGTCGTCGCGTCTGGAGGAATCATGTGACAACTCAGAAGACGACTCCCTTTCTGACGTTCCCAACTCAACGCACCGATCACCAACGAGAGACATTAGTGACAGACTCGGTGCTCTCAACATTGGCGAAGATGGCCAGATCCACTACTTTGGCTCGCGGAGTAACTTCTCTCTACTCAAGAATAGCCCTGCTGCAAGCTCTACAGTGTCATCTCGTGAACTCGAGGAGCAGGCTGCACGTACACTCGACTGTCTAGGTCTGCGAGTAGAGGTATCCGATGAGCTGCGCGATCACCTCCTCGAACTGTTCTGGAGCTGGCAAAATACCTGGCAATATATCGTCGTCAAGCAGCCCTTTCTTGATGACCTTCTCATCAATCATACAGAGCAATATGCTACCCCATTGTTACTATCGGCTGTTCTTGCTCTTGCTTCACGATACTCAGACCGCGATGAGTTACGGTCAGATCCTCTTGATCCTAATACTGCGGGAAATGCGCTGGCTGAGCAGGCCAAGATGATTTTGTTCTATGAGAGCCAGGCACCCAAGGTCACTACCATTCAAGCAACGGCATTACTTTGTCTTCGTGAGATAGCTACGGATAAGGAAGCACTTGGGTGGTTGTATTGCGGTATGATTGTATGCTCCAATCTTGTAGTCATGCTAACAGCCATTTTCACAGGAATGGCAGCAAGGATGGCCTTTAACCTTGGACTGCATCTAGATCGTACCCATTGGTGCGAGACAGGCCATATTACCGAGCAAGCAGCTGAAGTTGGGGCAACTGTATGGTGGAGTTGCTACGTGCTAGACAAGTAAGCCTGAACCGGGCCCCTATGCCATGCCTAGATTGCTAATCTTCCAGATTATTCAACATTGGCCTTGGTCGGCCGTCGACTATACAAGAGAATGAGATATCAGCTGCCCTTCCTTCACTTGAACACAGCGCAGAGCATGAGCCTTGGTCTAATCAGCAAACATCCTTCCCGAAAGGTCATATAATTTCAAATGTCCGCGCCACGATTGAACTATTTCGCATCACGGGATCTCCCCTTGACGAGATGTATGTATAGCTCCAAAGCTCGGTGTGTAGATGCTAACAGTGTACTAGTTACCGCCCAAGTAGCCGGAGACTAAGAGCTCACACCCGAGATCTGGTAACAAAGACACATGTAGAACTGATGAAGTTTCAGACTAATCTACCGAGTTGCCTCCGACTTGTGCCGTCTCCTCTATCACCCACTCTGCCACATGTGTATCAGCTTCAGTGAGTCATTGAACCCATGTGAAAGAATTGGCGAATAACATATATAGTCTACAATATCATGTTGCTATCATTTTGTTACATCGGCCCTTTATTGGAGTGAGGGGTCATGCGTCAGATCCTGGAGGATTTCATCCTAGAGAAGGATCTACTCATCTCGTCGAATGCAGCCAGTCTGCTCAAATGATTAGTACAATCTTAAGATTGTACAAAAAACACTATACATTGGTAAGCGAGGAGGCTTCCAATCTGCCTTTTAACTCATACTGACCTTGATCAAGCGTCGGATACCCATATCATCCATCCACTGTGCTTTTACAGCCTCTATAATTCTGCTGCTCGAGGCAACCTCACCTGATCCGAAAAGTAAATCGCGGGCGATTGCTTCGTTGAACATTGTAGTTGAAGCATTGATCGATATGAGCACAGCGTGGGCTTGGAGTCAACGTGCACTCCAAGCAATCCAGAAACTGGCCCGAGAGTGGTCGGTGTGTGAAAGTGCATTGATGGCAGTAGGAATTGATGACACGGCACCTTCTGTTGAGGATGCACGGCCAGGTGAAACTTGGGACCCGAATACTGGTATCCCTATGTGGACACTCCAAGGTCTTGGGGGTTTTGATCTTGAAATTCCCTTTGTTGGCGTGGGGGGTGAGGGCCTTGAGTACGAGGATTGGATCGGGACACTTTTCCATGAAGCACAATTTTCGGGTGGAGGACATGATACATAGATCCATCACTAAGCTTCTGTCAAATGTAGATCATAGGTATTAATAGCGGACTATAGTCTTTAGAGAGTGGCCTGTGGGGTGAGGGATTAGACCACTTGGAGTACAGCAGAGCTTATCTCGACAATGGCAATCTCTCATGTTCTAGCCAGTAGATAGGCCTCCACCAGATAATGGGCAATTGAGTTTCGCTAGCCGCCATCTCATGTTACTCACGCGGCGTTTGTAGTCGATATCCGGCAATAATCAAATCTCCACACCCTCTGGATAATGCTTACCCGAGACGTAATTACACACCTACCTACCACATACCTCCGGATCTTCTTATCTGTGTGGTCTGCACTTTGCGGGGTAGCGCCATGTGGTAGGTTAGGATGACTGGGAAATGCCTATCCGAGATAATGAAGCCCTCAAGTCTAAGGCCATGAAGCCACACCACGTGGATTCAGGCTTAAAGATAGCCGTCAGAGTGATGCACAAACTCTATATAAACATGTCTTGGGCAATCCTATTTATTACACTGGTCTCATTATCATTCCCATTAGCTGTTCATCGTTGCATCATTCACAATGTCCATCCGTCAATGGAAAGCAGCCATTTGCCAGTCTGAGCCATGCTGGTTCGACAAGGCAGCCGGCATTAAAAAGTCAATCAAGCTTATCAACGAAGCCAGCCAGAATGATGCCTCCCTGATTGCCTTCTCCGAGGTCTGGATCCCAGGCTACCCCAATTTTCTCTGGTCCGGAACTTACAGAGAGAACATACCCCTGGTGCAAAAGTACATGGCAAACAGCATGTCTGCTCATGGGGACGAGATGCTGCAGATCCGACAGGCTGCTGCCGCTGCAAAGATGTATGTATCTTTTGGCTTCAGTGAGCGTGTCGGGGCGTCGCTGTATCTCGCCCAGGTTCTCATTGGACCTGATGGAAACATCTTACTTCATCGTCGGAAGACTAAGCCTACACATGTTGAGAGAACCATATTTGGTGATTCTACTGGGGACTCTCTCACCACTGTTGTGGCCACCCCTTTGGGAAGAATTGGCATGCTTAATTGCTGGGGTAAGTCACACGTTCCGTAGTCCATGCCCACCTGTCCGTGCTAACCTCAGCTTTTAGAACACCTGCAACCTCTTCTCAAGTACCACACATACTGCCAAGGAGAACAAGTTCATATTGCTGCATGGCCGTTCAACGCCAAGTGGACGCCCAACGCAGTCGAACCATACTCAGTCTTCTCCGAGGCCAACGAGGTCACAGCTAGTCGCATGTATGCCCTTGAGGGTGCTGTCTATGTCCTAGTCACCAATCAGCCACTCTCAGCAGAAGGTGCCAGGCTCAACAGTCAAGGTCAGGGTAATGCGGATAAAGATGGCTTCATGCTCGCCGGCGGCGGAGGTCGTGCATCGGTCTTCGGGCCAGACGGAAGACAACTTACCGAACCCACTGATCCAAACTACGACGGTCTAATTTACTGCGACATCGATCTTGATCAGATTGACTATGCCAAGACCTTGACGGATTGTGTTGGACATTACTCCAGGCCTGATTTGCTGCGCTTGGTGGTCGATGATCAGCCCAAGAACTATGTTGTTCGCGTATCGGATGAACCTACAAATACTCCCTACCATACGGGAACGAGCAGCGAGACACTTCTTTCTGCACATAGAACGTTGGATGTACTGCTTGCTGAGAAGGCCAAGTCAGCTCGCGAGGACAACGGCTTTGCTGACAAGGTAAACAAGGCAAACGGGGCAGACGGAAAGACCCAGGAGACAAACGGAGTTCAGATATAATGACTATCACTTCTATTCTAGCACAGAACTCAAGCAATGATATCACATGACATATTTAACTTCCCCAACTCGGAGTACAGCTCAACACATGTTCTATGTCTATCGTTATAGATGATCCTGTGAAAAACAAAATCGCTTTCTCACCAAATTGTTATTCAGTGACGGCTTGGTTTAGGTGGGCAGTCTAAGAGGCAGCTTCTGTCCAGCATTGTGTGGCTTCAACTCAGCACGGTATTCTCGGCCCGGCACTACCGTTCCACTTCCACCTCGGGTACATCCACCAAGCATTTCCCCACACTCACACAAACTGAACGTCACATCATACCCATCTTTCATCTCCAGACTTAACAAACAACTAAAACTTCGACAATGACAGAAGAAAAGAGACAAGAAACAATTGCACTTATTGGATTGGGCACAATAGGCATTTCCTTTGCTGCTCTCCATCTCCGCTATTCAAATGCCAATGTCAGACTCTTCGACGTTCGGAGTGATCTGAAAGAACATATTGAAAGCATCCTCCCAGTCTATCTTGACTCTACCAAGAAGGAGAACAATGACAAAGATCTCTCTGTTCAACAACTACTTTCCGTTGGACGAATTGTGCCGTGCTCTTCCATTGAAGAAGCTGTCTCGAATGCAACTATAGTTCAAGAACAAGGACCCGATAGTATCGATTTCAAAAAGTCAACTTGGGTTGAAGTCATCAAATATGCACCTTCTGATGCTCATCTATGGAGTTCGACATCTGGAATCCAGGCTTCGAAACAGGTGGAGGATCTGGAGAACAAGAGTAGGGTTCTCGTGGTCCATCCATTCAACCCAGTAAGCAAGCAAATACCTCACTCCTCACAACATTTTACTAATTTGTCCAAAGCCCCATATAATGCCGCTAATCGAAGTTGTTCCTTCTCCTCATACAGCACCCGAGAGAACAGACTTCGCAATTCACTATTTCAAAACCCTCAATTCCGGCCATCGCCCGGTGAAAATCAACAAAGAAACTCAAGGCTTCGTCGGTAATCGCCTAGCATTCGCCTTATTCCGCGAAGCATGCCACCTGGTCTCAGAAGACGTCGTCTCAGTGCAAGACTTAGACACCATCGTCGAAGCAAGCATAGCACCGAGATGGGCTGTAGCAGGTCCATTCAAGACGTATAACAGCGCTGGCGGGACAGGTGGTATCTCGGCCTTCTTGAGAAATCTGGCTGATACCATGGAGGCGTGCTGGGATGATGGAGGGAAAGTTAGCTTCAAGGGGATACGTGAGAATGAGGAAGGGGAGAACTGGACGGATAAGATTTGCGAGGAGACGGACCAGATCTATGGAAAACCGACTGCCAAGTCCTTGGCTGAGCGTGATCGGAACTTACAGAAGGTTATAGCCGCTCAGCCTGACGAGGCTTAGCAGATTCCCATGATTGATGCTTGATTCTAAGCTTGTTGACCCTGGATCTTGTTTTCAGCCTATGTTACCCTTGTCAGGCTCAGCCACAGAAACGCGCACCTGGACCAGAGTTCCAAGGCGATGACAGATAATGGGGTGATTAATACAGGGTGCCTCGCCATTCCTTCTGTTTAATTTTTTCCTTCGAGGAGAGGAGTTGTAAATCTATAACCTGGGTGACAGAGATCGAATGGACGGCTCGAGTTTGCTTGATTGAACGCAGGTTACTTGGGTACCTCCAAGGATACACCGCAAACCAATTCACATGAGCATGTAGGTGGACTTTACGAACACACATTTGTTCTTACGAGTCACAATATTAATAATGAACGTAGCGCAAATCCCATTCGATATATACATCACATTACCTCGCATCAACTGGATATATCCAATCGAAACCCATCAAGCCATGTCAGACACACCAAATCGCGACGACACAGGCCTCGGTACTATGTTCATTACTATCGTTGTCGTCGTCCCAGTTATCTTTGTCCTGTTGACAACATGCGGCTGTTGCTATTTCTGGCGTAATCGAAACACAAAACGTCGAAAAGCAGCACTCAGGGCTAAAGGACCCCAACCGCCAGCCTACAGCAGGACACCCCCCATCAAGTTACCAGTATACCTACCCAAGAAACCAGACCAGGCTAGGACTGGGGAATGTGTTTAAGTAGGTTGGTATGTGTCTTTATTGATAGCATGACATGTCCGGGGAGTCTGGCATTATAAAATATAATATTTAATTGCTCATCAGAAGTGTAGTCAACGGTGAGGATTCCTAGGTAACCAAAACTATTTTACTCAAACTCCAGTTCTCAGCATCATTGGGGCATATATAATAGAAAAGATATTTGCGAATTACAGTTTTCCAGTTGTCAGACAATCGTCAACTCCGTTTCGGGGACTTTCAGTAACCGCAGCTTCAACTCCTTATTAGTCCCGACGGCCCAGGCCACGCACGTATTGAAAATTCCAACTCGTCTAAAGCTGCCAGTAGTATCATCGCGACACAGAACCAACCCCTCTACTGGGAAACAATTATCCTCCCTGGAAAGGTGTGGCATAGGATATTGACAGATCGGTAAAAGATAAAAGACCTCTGGCTCGATCTTGGGCCAGGAACTCAAATCCAGGGACGTGTCGACCTGTTGTGCAGGAAGAGCCGCACGGTCGAAGGCCATCGTATATCGATCCCAGCAGATGCTTAACTGTTTCATGATTCCGGCGGGATGATTTTCCCACTCTTTAATGCTTTGCGCAGTTCTTGCTTCGAAGTACAATTTTCTTTCAGAATTGGAATCACCATCTCTTATTGATACCACGAACGCATCACCGATCCTCTTGCGGTGCATTTCCACAAGCCGGCCCTTCAGAATCAACGCTCCATCAGCGAGCGCCCCAAACCGGCTACCGCCAGGTATATTAGGCACTGTCCAGACATGGATTACAGTAACTAAGCTCTCCCACTCGTCACGATAATCCTTTCCGCCGATTATTGTCTCAGCTTCGCATCCAGCCCAAGACCACGACGGGCCGATATACCCGACGTGTTCAGGATCCCACTTCCTTACTCCGGCTTTGTGGTTAGCCTTCCACATCAACGCCTCTGGTAGATCAGGTCCCCATAGACCTGCAAAGTACTCGTTCTCTCTCAGACCTCCATCAACACTGATCTTCTTTGCAATATCAGCAAGTGAAGCTAACCTGTCTTGAGGGAACGTGAGCGAAGTGTAAGAGTAGTGATCCACGAGACCCCGGAATCGGTGGCACCAATCCTTCTTTCCCATCTTAGTGTCGTCAATCCCTTCCATTGACGCATACCGGGCGTATTTGGTATGGGAATAGCCAATCCCTTTTTCTTCAATAATCCAGGGTGAGTAGTTCTGCAGCTCCGTGGCAGTCTCTCGCGTACACTCCCAATGTATCCTGTTTCTGCAAAAGTGGATGACCCGCGGGGCTAGAATGCGCTCTTGGAATACCCATGCCCGTTTGTTGACTGGCTCACAAACGATAATCTCCCTTGGTACACGTACCACCAAATAGTCCTTCTTTTCTTGAAGCATTTCATCTTGGGTCTTTTCTAGGGCAGGTTCTTTCCATTCACAAGGAAATAGCTCGTACAGACTGTGCTCCCGATTGAATATCATACCGTCGGCGCCAGACGATGCCGATGTGGCAGATAAGTTGGCTTCTGCTCCACTGAAGATCTGGTCCATTTGAGAAATCTCAATTGATTTCTCGGTCTCATCCTCTTGATTGATACATAGTGCATCAATCCATAAGTAACGATACCCCAAACATCTGGTAATCCATATTGCTTCTTTGAACACTTTTGCCTCAGGGCTTGAAAGATCGACAAGCGGGATTTGGCTTTCGTATATGTTGAGTAGCTTGTTCGGGAGTTTCATAGAAACTCCCGTACCCCAGCAATGACTCAAAGTTAAATACTTGGTGTCACTGGGGAGGTCCGCCGTCGAGAATAGCTTGACTTGAGGCAAAACATCAATCGACAAACTGTTGATATCGTCGACGGTGGTAGGGACGGCGGTCCTGGTTCCTGCTGGGCTCACGTCCAGAAGACGCATCGGAAGCGCAAAGTTTGAGGGGGTTCTGCATTCATCGTGTGATGAGATACATTCGTCTAGCCAGCCACGAATTGCAGTTACGGTTCTTGGACCCCATGTCGAGCTGCCCGCCTCGCCGCCTAAAGCCTTCAACTGGAGTACTGCAGTCAGAATACTTGTCAGTATAGATCTGTCAGTACCAAGAGGGTGTCACTACCTTCCTCATCTGTCATTGACTGACGTTGGAAGAAAACCCCACCAGACAGTTCTTTATATGTCGATCTCAAAAGCAGGTGAGCCCAGTCTTTTGAGTACCAATGCACGTACCACGTCATCTCTCCATGGTGGCTTATCTCGTCCAAAGCCTCCTTGTATAGATCAGGCTCAGGATTGAAATACGTGAGGGAGCAGAGGTCGCATGTACCTTCTGTCGCAGCTGTGATCCATCCCCGAAATCCGCCGGTGAACAGAGAGGAGTTATAATATTTATCACCAGAATCATTGATTCCCCCATCAGTGAAACGTTGATCAATGGCGCAAAGTATAACTTGACAATTGTAGCAAAGATGAGGCATTTTATGGTAAGGTATTACGGTCTCACAAATTGAGTAATGGAGTAAGATTTGCCGCCGTCTACCTACTTGGAGAAGGCGGCAGCCTGAAGAGCGGGCGACTATTTACCAATAAGAATCTGCATGGTTTGTAGCATAGCTATTGGTTAGACTGCCCGTGCAGAACTACATCCTGTAAAGAGTCGCGTTCAAGCCAATGAGTCTCGAGATAATTGCTTGACACATTCGTGATGAAACGACTTCCGGGTGAACAGATGCTTGGTGCTTGCTTATCTACTTGAGTTTTGAAAGGTTGGTTTTCAAGCTATACCATTTGAAACAATAGTGTAAACAATAATATGGCTACAATGTTAATGCTGATGAAAGTTTAAGACTAAAAGTATGCACGAAGTTGTATAAAGTTCATAGTTGTTCTTAACTATAATGTGTACAATAAAAGGTTCTGCCTCTCCAGATGTTGGCAGTTAAATCCTTCACTGCCTATGAGTGACGCGACTATGGGCTGAATTCTACACAAAGCGGTGAACAACAAGCGGTATAAATTCACCAATGCGTCGTCAATGCTTCAATTTTATGCTTTGTCCGGCCCAACAATTGCGCCGACCAAAATCCAGCCGTTGCAGTCGGAGACTTTTAAAGCAATAGTATGATGAAAGATCATAGGATTGAGATGCATGAACCTGTAGCAAGGGTTCTTCCTCGTACGGCCCGTACGGACAAGGCCATCTACCGTGCCGATCTCTCGCTATCTTCCATAGGAATTCCACGACGATCGGCTTACAAATTCAATCGCACGGTTCAACGACGTTATGGATCTCATTTTTTCTATCGCTTTGTCTAAAATAAGTAACTACTCCGTAGAACTAAAGCGAATGATTCGTGAACCGAGGTTTAAAACTCCGCAAGTGGAGCCTCGCGATACCGACACTGGTCTGCTCGTTAAGGCTTCGTAAGGGCCGTCTGAAAATTTGCAAGGATTGATTAGTCAAGAGCCTCTATATAAGAACATTATATCACCTGTTTTCTTGTCTCGGCATACTCATTGATACCCTTTTATACAAATTTACAAAGTTTGCATTATACATAATATTTCAATATGGCTCCTTCAAGATACGGTACCGAGGTCGTTGACCCTTCTCGCCTCCTAGAACCTCTCGAATATGTCTTTGCCGGCCAAAAGGCTCCCAACCGCTTCCTCAAGGCTGCCATGTCTGAGAAGCTTGCCACATGGGACGCCAACGATGTCTCAGCCCGAGGATACGTCACACCCGAGCTCCTCACCCTTTACAGAAACTGGGGTGCCGGTGGCTGGGGCTCTATTCTTACCAGCAACGTTATCATCGATGGAATGAACCTTGAAGCTCCCGGTAACCTTACCATTCCCGCCGAAGAGCCCTTCGAGGGTCGCCGTTTTGACGGTTTCAAGGAGTTGGCTACTGAGGCTAAGAAGGCCGGTAACTTGTTGATCGCTCAGGTCTCGCATGCTGGTCGTCAGGTCGAGGAGTGGATTCAACCCAACCCTATCAGTGCTTCTGACGTTCAGCTCGTCAGCAGCTCACCCGGAAAGACATACGGTGTTCCCCGACCTGCTACCAAGGAGGACATCGCCAATGTTATCAACGGCTTCGCCCACGCCGCCGAGTTCCTCGAGAAGGCTGGTTTCGACGGTATCGAGCTCCACGGCGCTCACGGTTACCTCCTCGCCCAGTTCCTCTCTCCGCGCACCAACAAGCGCACAGACGAGTACGGCGGCAGCCGCGAGAACCGCATGCGTCTCGTTCTCGAGGTCATCGCCGAGATCAAGCGTCGCGTGAGCCCCAAGTTCATCGTCGGTATCAAGGCCAACGCTGTTGAGTACACCCCTGGCGGTGTCGACGTCGAGGACGCCAAGGCTCTTGCTGTCGAGCTCGAGAAGGCCAAGGTCGACTTCCTTGAGCTTTCTGGTGGAAACTACGAAAAGTTTGCTTTCGCTCATATCAAGGAGGAGAACCGTAAGCGAGAGAACTACTTCCTTACTCAGGCTGAGGAGATCGTCAAGGCTCTTAAGCGTGAGATGAAGGTCTTCTCTACTGGTGGTTTCAAGACTGTCAAGGCTATGGTTGACTCCCTTGACATTATCGACGGTGTCGGTCTTGGTCGCGCCAGTGCTCAAGAGCCTCGATTCCCTGAGACTCTCAAGAAGGAGCAAATCACCGGAACTATGGAGCAGTGCTTCGACCACGACGACGTCCTCAAGCGATTTGCTGCTGCTGGTGTTCAGATCTGCCAGATTGCCAACGAGCAGGAGCCTGTTGATCTGAGCAAGCAGGAGAACACTGATAGCTTGTGGAACGATGTTATGCAGTACTATGCCAAGGCTGGTGCTGATACTGAGCATAAGCTTTACAAGTGGCCTGCTGTAACTCAGGTTGTTTACCCTTACGGTGCTCCTGAGCTGTAGATTTATATGTCAAGGATTGGATAGAAAAGAATTATGATATAGAAATGCGTTATGGATGATATAGAATAATGGTTACATTGACCAAATGAATTGAAACCAAATTCCCAAGATCATTGCCTCATTTAAAGTTTTGTTGAAGTCCGGCAATTTACCCTGGTGGAACTTCTGAGCTGGAGATTAAATGTGTCAAGGAATAGGTGAAAAAGGTTCATGACGTACAAATGTGTATTGAATGATAAATCAATGGTTACTTTTACCAAATAAATACAAATTGGTTTCTCGAAGGTATTAGTTCTTAATTAAAGTGTTGTTGAAGGTCAAAGGTAGTCGAGACAGAATGTTGAAATTCCAGCCTCCAGGGTTGATTTGCCTGCCGGGTTCACTTTCCATCACTCTTCACTTGAACAATTATCATGCGTCAGTGCTATATGCTCTGACTGTCACTTATGCACCGCTATGACTCGTCTCTCGCTCCCGTGCCCAAAGATAAGCTTCCCTCCAAGCTTAATCCCCAAGACATCGGCAGTTACATCAACAAGGGTCCAGGAACAGATTCCGCCCTTGTCTATCCTCTTTTCGTCCCTCTGTAACATAGCCGCCCAAGCTAAAAACGCCTTTCCGCTGTGCCCTTTTCATCTGACCACTCACAGCTAACCAGTGAGTTCAGCTGACAGGGGTCAAACCGTTATTTCGACCTTTCGTGTATGCAAGGATGAAATTAAAGCTGAAAACAACGAGACAAGATCGTCAAAAGATAATCGGTTGACTGGTGTGTTTTTCGGGTGTTGGCTTGGCGGCGCTTCAGAGTGACACTCGGACTTAGACCCTGGGTTGACTGTTGTTGGAGGGTTTGAGAATGATTTGTACAAAAAGGGTGCTTGGTCTCTTGGACTAGTAGTTTAGCAGTTCTAGGCGTGTCCACAAGGCTGATCCAGACCGTTGAATACGAAAAAGAAACGATGAAAAGCATCCTTTGGCTTATTTTTTGGAACTTGGGTACGCTAATCCTCTCAATATCCACATCCCTTGGTTTACTAACAACTCATCCTTAGGACTTATCGTCCTTTCAATCTGTGTACTAGCAGGATGTCGAAGCACGGCTGAGAAGAATTATGCTCTCGTCCAATGGCCACGATCAACCATCGGTCTCATCTGGGGTGAGGAGTGTGAGGAAGCCACGGCTGATATCATACCCGACTGGTACAAGTTCGGTGCTTCAGGTCAGAATCCAGTTCTTATAGCCTCGAATTTTAATTATTAACATATTTTTAGGAGTCTGTAGGGTCACAGATGGCGAGACATCTTGCAAGCGCAAATTCCCACCAACATTCAACCTCGCCCAAGCCGTCATCCAAGATCTCGACGCCGCAGACTCCTCATCAACACTCGAAAAGTGCAAAGAAGCAATCGACAAGCCCATAGATCATAAAACTCCCAAGACGCTTGGTGCAGTCCTGGTCGCCTTCCTCATCACATCAATCTTCATCAATCTATTCTCTGTGGCTATAGCAGCGGCAGAAGGTCACGCCTGGGCACTATGGACCAGTGGTATACTGGCCGTAGATATGTTACTCATATTCGGAAGTCTGATTTTAACCGTCGCTATGATGAATTATGAAGGTGGTGGGTATCTTACTGGTGTGCACGCGTCGGAGTTTTCAGATAGGGAGATGATGGGGATTGCGCTTTGGATGCTGCTTGCCATGCTTATTGGAAGGCTCTTTTCGAATCCTTGGTTGATTATTCTTTTTGTCTTCATTTTGGTTACCATCATCGTCGTTTCGCTGGTTCTCATCCGAACGAGGGGGTTCTTTTATGTCGTTCGGACGGTTGTGGTTTAGCAGAAATACCCTACATCAATGGACATAACGCCACTCCAATAGTCTCGCCAAAAGTGGCTTACAATCGCATTCTCAATCCCTTGACATTTCCATCCCAGCGCCCTTTCCAATAAACGCCACGAAAAATTAACCTCTTGCCACGTTCCTTGCATGCGCGTATGCTTAACTACTCACTAAACCACATATAGATAACACTTTTGCCCCTGGAATCAGGGACCAAAGCTTAGCAGCGAAATAAATCAGCCACAATTCCAGATCTCGCAGACGTGGCGTCGAGGAACCTCATGCCTTTGGTATAGTGCGATGGAGATGGGGAATTGAAACCAGCTGAGACATGTTCCAGATTCAATGCGATTGTTCGCTTGTTAGTCTAGACCAATATTTGCATCCTTGGGATGAGGGGAGGAGATATCGATGATGGATATGACTTTGCTGTATATAACCTGGGCTGGAGTCTCGCTCTTGAGGAAGGTAGGCGTCAATCATAGGTAGTCAACTTCTCATCTCTTTTCAACTCTCCTTTACAAAGTGCCCAGCACTTATTCTTCTACTGAAATCCCCACGCGGAAACACCGCAAGCATTCCTTTACACCCCCAACCATGTTATCTTTCACCATCATCATCACCTACCTGCTCGCCTCCGCAGCAGCAACAACTCCCCCCTCCTACTCAGGTTACTCCCGAGTCTGGTCCCAAGGCTTCCAGGGTTCCGCAAACACATACCCCGACACAAACGTCTGGCACATCATCCAGCGCGAAAAGAACTTCAACAATGAAGTCCAAGCCTACGTCAAGAACAAAAACAACATCCGCAAGACAGGCAAGAACTCTCTTGAGCTCATCCCCAGACGGTCTAATGGTCGTTGGACTTCTGCTAGAATCGAGAGCAAGTACACTCTGACCCCTAAGGCTGGGAAGATTACTCGTGTTGAAGCTCAGCTTAGACTGGGTGGTAACTCGGCTAGAAGCAAGAAGGGTATCTGGCCTGCGTTTTGGCTTCTTGGTGATTCTATCCGTAAGGGTGTGGAATGGCCCAAGTGCGGAGAGATTGATATCATGGAGAACATCAACGGCGAGAAGATCGGTTACGGTGCTGTTCACTGCGATAGATCCCCTGGTGGAATCTGCAACGAGCCCGGTGGTATCGCATCCAACATCGATCTCCCTGATAGCAACTACCACGTCTGGCGAGTCCAATTCGACCGTCGAAGCAGCAACTACCGATCCCAGAGCATCACCTGGTATCGAGATGGTAGAAGCTTCCATAGAGTGACCGGTGCTCAGATTGGAAACCCCAACACTTGGAAGACGCTCTGCCAGAGTCCCTTGTTCATTATCTTCAACGTCGCCGTCGGTGGAGACTGGGTAAGTCAGACCTTGAACCATTTGGGACAATTGTTAACAAGTGAATAGCCTGGCTGGCCCAACGGTAACACCAAGGATGGTATCGGTAACCACATGGAGATTGGCTACGTCGCTCACTACGTCTCAAAATAGACACAACAATCAGTTATTTCCTTATGTTTTAGATGTATGCTTAGGATACCAATAACAAACTTTGGCGTTAAAACATGTCTTGTCAGTCATATACCAAAATCTGACTATTGCCTATAAATGTCTCGCAACAAACCATGTCCAGCGTGTGCTTATCCCAATTGTTCATTGAAGCTAATATTACAAAGCGCTCGCTCACTGTTCACCCACTCGTTCTCCAACGACACTCAACTTGGGCGTGCCTGGGCCTGAACTACTCCTCTTCTTCAACTTCTGTCTCTCGGCTCTTGGCGTCATTCCATCCGCACCAGGCTGCGACGCAGCTCTATGCGAACTCTTTCCAAAGAAACTGCTAAGCCTACTACTACGGCGCTCCCTATCGTTTTCTGCTACAGGGGGACTTCCCGTGGTGTTGCCCATATTGAACGGCGGGTCGTCGTACTGCGCGTCAGGGATCGGCGGTGCGTCGCTTGACGGACCGGCATCGTCGTGGGGTCTTTGTAGACGGTATTGGTTGGGATGATAGAATTTGCCCTGGTCGATCTCGTAGCGTCCTTGCTCAATGGTAGCTTGGTTCCTTTCGATTGCCGCTGGGCCAGCGCCGAGTGCTCTGTCAAAGCTGGAATTTAGTGTTCCACGGAGTGTTTCCCCAGCGCCCTGTGATAGAATTAGCATCAATTAATATTGAGTGTGCAATACGACTTACGTGGATACCTGCAGCAGCAGTCTTCAAGTTCGCAAATGTGGATTTGCTATTAACAGGCCGGGAATAATTGAAGGGTTTATTGTCCTGTGGAGGTGGAGGCTGTGGGAATGCGCCCTGGCCGATTTGCAACGGCGCGGGGACGAATTCGGCTGATCGTCTAACATTGCGCTCTGGAATCGCGGGGGAATTATTGCCGTCTGCGACTGAAGGGGCGACGGATGGTGTAATTGACGGAACTGGGTCGCGAGGTGGAATAATTCGTTTGCCAGGTGTTTCGAAACTCTTGCGACGGGCTGTGGGGGTGACTGGTGATGGCTCGCCTGATGGTGGTTCGAATTGGGATTGAGAAGGGATTGGAGGTGGTTGTAATTGTTGTCCTGGTGGCGGCCCTGGAGGCGCAGGCGGTTGGTGCTGTGGTGGTTGTTCCTGTGTTGGCGGCAGCGGGGAAGTTGGTGTGACCTCTTGGTTTGCGACAGTGGGCATCTCAGCGACAGGCCTCGGCTCCTCAATAGTCTGCGTCGTACCATTCGAGTTCGTCACAGTTGTTGTGGTTGTCGTCGTGGTAGTAGTCGTCGTTATCGTCTGTCCAGTATTTGGGTTCGTAACAGTTTCTCTTTTAATAGTAGGACTGGTCCATGATTCTGGCCCCGAGTTGGGATTGGAATTGGGATTGTGACTTGGTCCTGGGGTAGGCGTTGTAGTGTCTGGCGTCTTTCCAGGGCTCAATCCACTACCGCTGGCGACATTGCTTCTCGTGTTGCTCAGATCGCCCTCTGTGGTAAGCGAGTTATTCGGTTCGCTGCTTCCATATGTTGAATCACCCGAAGTCTCAGCTGCTTCATTGACGGGTGGAGGTGGTAGGTGAATGTCCTGGCTTTTTCGCTTTTCTTTAAGATGATCTTTGTCCTTGTCCTTGTCTTTGGAAGAGCTAAAGATCTTCCATTTTGAGCGCTTCTCTTTATCTTTGTGATCGTCCTGCATTTTGTGTCAATTGGTATGGAATGAATAGAATTGAAAGAATTGCAATAAGAGAATACGATTAACGGTCGGGTCTTGAGTAAATCAGGCTTATTCTTGTGGGATTCTGTGGTGCAATATGACGGTGATGATATCATTCTACCCAGTCGCAACTTGGAATCTTTCAGCCACCGCCGATCACGTCTTGGGAGCTGCCACTAACGCGCAATGACTACTCCATGACTTCAGAACTTGTGGCGTGAGCTCAATTAACTCTTTGCTCAGCCACAAGGCTTGCATGTTCATTGACGAGTCTTTGGGGATGGTGATGGTGTACTATCAGATGTGGTGGTGGTTTGAGTGTGTAACTGTTAGGACCGTATCCCAAGAATACTTGGTTGAATCAAGTATTGTGCAGAGGCCTCACCTACTGTTCCAATTGATGACACCACGATGATCGACCAGCAAGATTGACTCGGCACTTGCACAGCATTTCGATCCCGAATAACGTCGGTGTTAGCCGCATCATGAACTTTAGAGCCTCAAAATCTCTTTTAGATGCCGAGTTGTCGATATTACTGGCGGACGCTTGAAGTTACCCTGCACAACCTGACATTGCCAAGCGCACCAAGAGGTCGCCCGTTTTATGCAACGGCCAATAGCTCCATCTCCGAAATTTAAGTAAAAGCTTGTCTTCTTGCCCGTGATATGTCAATACAGTAGTCTCCAGATGACAGTGGGTCATGCATCGGCTCAGATCCGAATGAACGGGATCCAAATGCATCAGGTCAGCATTTCTCCGATAAACAATTGGACTTGACCCCATATTCAGGCGTAAGCTGAGGGTCTAGCCAGAGTACGCGAAATTCGCGGAAAGAGAATTATGTGATTGGTTGAAGTCCTCCAAAGTGGATACTTCATCTCAACATCCATTAACTCGTGATTCCATTGTCAAGAAATCCTTTGTTTGAGTATCGGGTAGACCTTTTGTCTATACCAGATTTGCTGTTTTCTTCGGTTTTCAATATTTGTATTTGTTAATCAATAAATATTTGCAATGTTTTTATTTGTCCTTCGATGAATATTGCCTACAGAGCAAACATGAGGAACCTTCTGGACGTCCAGCTGCCCAGTAGGTTATAAAAGAATCAATGAACATTTTAAATTTTCGTCTCTAGCTTTCGTATTGCTATTATATACAGCTTGTATCAAATTGCATCCATATATAACTTAAAGATGGTACTCGGATTAAGAATAGTGAGTGTAACCCTGTCGCGACCATAAAGTAGCCAGGTGCTGAACTCCCCAATGCCAAAGCACACATCAGAGCCAAGAGTACTAATTGTACGCAAAGACCCCTCACTATGAAAGAAAGATATTAAAAGCTACCGCCTCGGTATACTAGAGCCTGAGTATGGTCAAGGCTTTGCTGTGGCATTGGCATCGGTTGGCACTCACGAAGACGACCAGCCGACATGTTCGCCAGCCCGTCTCCCTCTGTGCCAGAACGCCACGAAATGCTTTATACTATAGAACCACCAAAGGGAGAACTGCGAACAGTAGCTCTGTTTCTGTCAGTGCCAGACTGTGGGCCTGTTCAGTAGTGTCACCCATGGAACAGACGCCGTGGCCCTGACAAGAATTTCGAAGCTCGAACATCCAATGGGAGACCTGCGAATAATATCTTTGTGCCATGTCAGTGCCAATACACCAGCCAGGACAGCTCTGTCGCTACCAGAACAGCCGGAATGGACCTCACAAGAGCTCTAGTATATAGTCCCTCTTTAGTCTGCTCCCTGACAACTTTCCTCCCCTCTCTCTACCACACACACACACACATACACAGCTTTCAGCTCATCGCTACTTATCATCACACTCTTCACACTATCTTCACATACTCTTCACACCTTACCTACCTTTCATCAGCACTTTGACATCATTCATAATGTCTCCTTCTACTTCAGCTACCATGCTCTGGCCCCAGGCCAACCGTACCGTCATTGACATCGGCGGTTCGTCCCTCAACCTGACCTTCGACCGTCAACTCCCCGATGCCTTCCGTGGCCAAGGCTACTTTCCTAAGGAAATGGCCTATACTTATGGCATGGATAAGTGGAACGTCATTGCTGGCACTTCGTACCAGACATCTGACGAGATCTCCATCATCTCAGCTACCGCCGGTAAAGTTGTCTCTGACATGCCAAAGACTAACAACGTCATTGTTGACCTTGGAGCTGCCAATAGCCCGAAGTTCGAGCCCTATGTCAACGCCTTTGTCAACCAGGGTAAACAGGTTACCTATATCGCTCTCGACATTAACAAGGAATCACTCACTGCTCACATCAACCGCGCCGCCGATCGATTCCCTGGTGTCTCCTGCATCGGTCTTTGGGGAGACTTCTCACAGGGTGACAAGTTCTACAAGAACATCATTGGCAACCGCATCTTTCTGTCTCTCGGTTCCATCTTCTACAACGCACCCGATCAGATGTGCGTCGACCGCTGCCTCGAGGTCAAGGCTCACCTTTCTGGTCTCGACCGTCTCATCGTTGGACAAGACGGCCCCTCGGCCGGTGAGAGCGCCAACACCCACAAGGCATATGGCACTGCTGCCTATGTTGACTTCTTCAACACCTATCTGGCCGGTATTCAGAAGCACGCTGGTATCGTGGCTGACCCCAAGACCGCTTGGGGCTACGAATCCAAGTTGATCAACACTATGCACTTCTTCGAAGTCACGGCCCTGAAGAAGATGGTCTGCCAGCGCTACGGCGGCTATGTTGTCAGGAAGGGAACCAAGTATGTCATGTTCCCATCTTGGAAGCGCGGCGAGGAGGAGATCCACGACATCACCAACAAGCAGGGTCTCAAGATCATGACTCTCGGCAAGTCTCCCTCTTCTGGTATGCGCCAGTATCTGGTTCAGCCTCAGAACTAAGTTGACGATACACTCGCATTATCTTGGATCTGTTTGTGCTTTTGGAGTTTGGAAAGAAAGGAATTGAACTCTCGTTGAGCGAGAGGAGCCCACACGGGCTTTTGGAATGATTGGTCTCCAGTTTAGGAGCAAAGCATTGTACCTGATTTTTGAAGGATGAACGAGAGTCATGTCGTGGTCATAAAGGCTCGAGACTCATGAGTATATAAATTCTCCTTAGACTCGGCCACACGGCCTGAATAGACACAACCTCGGGAACCTTATCTGAACACTTGCACATGTGATTCCCAATGACTGGTGAAACTCAACAGACTATCTATTTTTAACTTACAGAACTATTCCTTGACAATTTACGGAACGGTATCCCACGTCGACTTAGAGGTTATCCCGATGACGTAATCATTTAACCCTGTGGAGAAACTGAAAACGCGACACTCATCAGCACCACAACTCAGCTCTTCAACTCACACCATCAATCATGTCGAAACGAAATCTCCTTCTATGTTTCGACGCCTTCGGGACTCTAATTAGGCCTGTTCAGCCAGTCGCGCAACAATATGCTCAAGTCGCACGGCAATGCGGTCTTACCGACTTTAGTGATGAAGAGCTGCAATCCACTTTGATATCGACTATCAAGCAAGAGTCTAAGAAGAATCCGAACTTTGGAAAGGAAACTGGTCTAGGCGCTACAAAATGGTGGACAAATGTGCGTTGTTCTTATTATTGGTATTGTTCGGTGCTGATGTTTGCAGGTTATTCATAATACTTTCACGCCTTTGATCCCGAAAGGCCAATCTCTTCCTCAAGATCTCGCGCCAAAACTACTACATCGCTTTGCTTCAAGAGAGGGCTATGAGACTGAAGAGGGTCTTGTAGAAGCTTTAAAAAGCTTGAAGGGTAACACCTCTCGACATTATGATCAGCTTGTTGTTGGTGTCGTGACCAACTCAGATGATCGCATTCCCAGCATTCTCTCATCCTTGGGTCTCAATGTCAGTCCTCTTCGCTATGGCACCGACTCCGACCCAAGTAAGATCAAGAACAGCACTTTTGATATTGACTTTCACTGCATGTCCTACGACGTCGGTGTCGAAAAGCCAGACAAGCAGATTTTCAACGCCGCAGAATCCATGCTGGCCCAGATAATCAGCGCACGAAACGGAAGAAGTTTGAACGAAGCCAAATCAGAAGCTGGGAAGTGGCAGAAAGTCTACGTTGGTGATGATTATTCAAAGGATGTGGTTGGGTCAGCGAATGCGGGTTGGAACCCCGTTTTACTTGATCCGAAAGATGAATGCGAGAGTATCATAGATCTGAAACGTTGGCGATCTGACTCTGGTAATAAGTCACATGGAAAAACATGCAGAATTGAAGATCATCCGAAGGAGACAGTCGAAGGATTGTTTGGGGAATATGATGTCGCGACTGTTCATTCGTTACACAACTTTGTTTCATGGCTTAAGAACGGATCGCCAAACTGAGCGGTAGAAGACTATAGCCATTTGGATAGAATTAATCTCGTTAACAACATGAGTCATATCGAGTCGATTGCTGAATTAAGCTCGCCGAAACGCATTATTCCCAAAGTAGACTGAAGGAATACAATGGGCCGTTGACCTTCCTTTCTGACATTGTGGGGCATTTCCGAGCCAAAGACTATCTGGCCTAGCTATTCGACGTCTTCATATCTGGCCTCTCATCCTTCGCAACAACGTACTAAGGTCTCAGGTCACTTTCAATCATTCAGCCATGTCTATGTCAAACATCAACTCAACACGCTTAACAACAAAATGTGAAGAAAAAGCCGTCCCGCTATCACTTCTCGACAGCACGACCGCCAATTTCTCCGACGCAAGCGCAATATGGCTTTATGAAAAGCCAACTCGTCAAGACATCAATTTGGCTCATCACCTACGCGAGTCATTAGCGATTACGCTTGAGTCTTATCCCCAGTTATGCGGCCATTTAAAAGCTATTGAATCTACAGACGGGACTGCTCCACCGGAAGCTGCGCATTTCCCTCCACATGCACGACGCTTTAGACGCTTGTATGCGCACTATGGAACTGGAAACGACCCAGGTGTCGAGTTCGTCCATGCTAGAAGCTCTACTGCACTCAGAGATTTGTATCCAGAAGACAGAGTTTCTAAACACCCTGCCTGGCTTTGCGACTCTGCTGTGTTCAAGCAGTTTATGCCATCTGTACCGACGCCACGGCTATTAAGCCATGCTATCAAAGATGAAAACGGCCGTCTCTATCCTTTTCTTGCGATCCAAATCACCGAGTTAGCATGCGGTGGTTTTGTCTTGGCTTTGAAAGAGACGCACCCTCTTGCCGATATCACGGCTGTTATGTCCCTTCTGAAAGATTGGGCAACTGTCAGCCAGTCTATGCTTCTCGGAAAGTCTATCCCTCGGTCAAAAGCGGTTTTTGACCCTGCTCTAATCGACAATCATGCCGCCGGAGATATAAACGCTGAACAACCCGACAAAAAGCTTATACAACAAGCTATGTCGTTGCCGATGCATAGATATGACTGGTGGGCACCTGGCCCAAAACCTTCATGGGCACCTCCAGTCCCAGAGGCTTTCGATACACCGGATCTCGAACCAGCAGGCTCAGCCATGCCTTGGGAAGAATGGGATGTGACCGCCCCTGTGTCGAACTGCGTCATTCACTTGAGCAGAGAACAAATTATTTCACTATGGGAAAAGGCGAACAAGGCGTCATCAGAAAAGCTCAGTCAACACGATGCAATCATCGCTCATATTTGGTCCTGCATAGCCCGTGCACGGGGTTTGGAAGATGACACAGGTCCTATTCACTGCAATCTCGTATACGGCGTTAGATCATCCTTCGGACTCGACGAGAAATTCCTCGGTTCCCCGGCTGTAATGATGAACATCGAACACCCCGCCTCTAAAGTCTGCAGCCTTTCAAATTCGACTGAACTAGCTAATCGTGTCCGGAACACGCTTAAAACAATTTCCGAGCCGAGTAAGATGGCCGCTCATCTACACGGCATCGCATTCGAAAAGTCTCCTCAACGAATATGGCAAGCCTTTCTAGGTCAGAGGCATATTCTGGTGACGACATGGGCACGTGCAAACGTTTACGAGGTCGATTTTGGATTCGGATCTACGTGTTCGTACGTTGAGAGTGTTGTGCCAGATATGGATGGTAATATTGCGGTTAAGGAAGCACCGGGGCCTTCTACTAAGTATTGGACTGATAATGGTGTTGACATCTCTGTTCATATCAGAACGGAACATATGGAACGGCTGATGGATGATCCGCTTTTGTTCCCAACCATTACGTCTGGCGAGGAGTACGAAACATAAACTTGGTTATGTATCTGAGAAGAAGCCTTGGGTCAGTTACAACCAGTGTACCCAGTTTTTATAACTCGCATTTTATGTGAGGGCATGGAAATAAGACTTGTCGAGAGTATAAAAGATCAAATATTCTAAATACTTATGCCAGTTTAGATCAGCATTTATAGGCCAGCTTCCTTTCAAGACCCATGTATTATAGGAGATTTATACGGTATGTACTGTTCAGCTCAAATCCCAACGATTGAATAGAAGGTTAGCGGAAGACAGGTCTCAGTTCCTCAAAGCCCATTTGGCTTGTCATGGCCGCCCAAAAGCCAACAATAGTGTGATTGCCAGCCTCAAAATCAATGACTCGGCAGTCACCATCAACCGTTTCGTGACTAGAAACGGTTGATCAGTGTACCTTTGAATAATCGCGTGCTTCTATGACGGATTCGAATCGCTGTCCCCATTGAAACATTCCTCGCCAAAAGCTGCTGGGTAGCGGCAGTTGGGCAAAGGCACGCGATGATTGTTGCAAAGGGGAGACATTCTCTAGAGTGAGGTAATGAAGAACAGAGAATAGAATGTCGTTTGGCAACTTGGCGAACGGATCTGTGGGTGTATATCCGCCAATTCTGGTCTTCTGATGACTAGAGAGTATCGGGAGTGTGAGTCGTCCAGTCTGTGTTTCTCAAATATGTCCCGAGGTTCGCTGAGGTTAGCAGGATCGCCGTCAACTGCTTTAACAAATATGAAACACAAGTCGCCTTCCTCACCGGGCGTGCTTCCAAAGATGCGACGTGCTTTGCCTCCATGGTTGTGACCCCAGTCTAACCCACTCTCATGGCTCGGCATCAAACGCGCAAGAGTGAAGAGCGACTGTCAATCATGTTGGGTAATCGGACGAAAGGCCGTGAGTAGCTTCCAGCATGTCGAATGGAAGGGATAACCCAACGCGTCTGGATCGTTTCCTGATGGTAAGGGCCTGTGAAATTGATACGAGAGCGGTGTGTTATATTGGGATAGTATATCCGTAGGGTCGGGGAATATGTTGTCACGATCGTGCCCAGATGTAGAAAGATAGACTCTTGATTGGGCATCAATAGTTGCAGCACGAGTATATACGGTATGGAAGTAGCGTTGCCATATCGAGGGGTTATCAGGATGGCCATTAGTGGCAATCTCTATCCCGCAAAGACAGCAGCAAATGGTTCGCGACTTGGCACAAAGAGAAAAGGTAGTTGAGTAGTAAAAGAAGAAGAAGGAGAAGGAGAAAGTAATAAAGAAACAATGTATATTTACATCGATCTGGTTGATGGGGATATATTTTGCTAATATTTCCACAACAACTTCACCTCCATGTAACTGCTAGGAGAAGATCAAACGTTGAAACTACCTAGGTACCTCCTGATCAATGACCCGGCAACGCCCGTTTCATCTAGGTCGTCAAGAGACAGGTGGAAATTGTAGTCATGGATATTACGGATACGCACACTACTACGGCCCTCCTATTTAAGGATGCGATTGCAACCAGCATACTACCTAAGACTAGGTACGCAACAGTCCATCAGACAATCGGACTTCGCTTTGTGAGAATTTGATTGAGAAGATGAAAGCATTCCGGGCGCAATTCGTCATCACGGTTGCAATGGCAAATACCGAGGTATGGTTTCCTCTCTTATATTACCTAGGTAGGTCGTACTTCAACTTATAGAAATTGATCAGATACGAAGATACCAAGCCGTTTTTCACATGATCTGATTCGCCTGATTAGATCTATGACGCGGTGTATAATAAGCTATTTTCATATCTGTCTAGATCTGGATGCAGATACTATGTATAGAGAAGGACGAGAGATCTCAACATCAAGGTTTAGTTAGGGCAATGCCCAGATATCAACACATAACAATCAGATTATCTCATTCATTCACATCGCAATAGCCTAAAGGTTACTTTCTTGTTCAGTCGCACATTGGCTCGATGTCAGATGCAAGCTTATGGTTGGCTATTCATCAACGCCCAGTCAGCTTATGTCTTAGAAATGCTGTTGGTCACGCTCAGCACAAAAAGGACAGCCTTTCTTCTTTGTTAGTACCAAATCACTTTCTCCATCACCATGTTCGCCCCTAGTAACGGAGGACAGTCCGCTGATGCGGAGTACTTGGGTCTAATGCCGCTGAATAGTGATCGCATTCGCCACTCCAAACCGGTATGTTTTAGGTTGGGTTACTGTCGAGCATGTCTCTTCGCTATCGATATAGAGACGGACACTTTCGTGGCAGGTATGTGATTTCAGTCCTATGTTTTGTTATGATACTAAGTTATATAGTAGTCACACCTGATGATCGTGTATCAACAAGATTCCTCTGGAACCCTAAAAACACCTATCCACGTATGTTCACCGACGATTCTAACAGCATGACACTGTTGTTCTGCGCGAATCACGATTGCAAACATCTCGACGGTCTTGCGGTAGCTATCCATGCTGGTTGCGCTCGCATGGCTACTCGCCTTGGAAGTCCACTCAACAAATATCGACATTGTACGGAATATTCTTACCAGCCAACCAAGGAATACCAACGTCGACGAAGGGATTGTATTCGGGATCTGGTCGAGAACTCCCTTCGTCAAACATTCGGGAAACTACCGCTTGAGCTTTGGAAAATAGTTTCTGATGACGATGACCTGATCAAGCTATACACCCTGGCAGAGATGTCTTTTAAACGTAGGCAGATGTACTGGTCCGTTGACTTGACACTTCCAGTATGGGCAACATATACCGCGATCGATGGAGTGGAATACATGAGCTCGTTGTCCAGCTCGCCAACCGCCCGGGCCCGTCTCGTCTGTCAAGGCATCAAAGCGGACAAAGTCTTGTACATATCAAGCGACCATCTCGGTATCAGACAAATCCTAACAGACCCAAGTCAGGCCATGCTTGACCCATACCATCCTGCCTACTGGCAGACGGTGTCTGCTGAGAGCCAAACCCTTTCTTTCGATGGAGATGTAAGTCCCAATAACGAAGTGACAGCCCCGTACTCTATCTAACCGACACCAGGGTTATAAACTTCGCGAAGTGGTAAGGCCGCCCGATCAAGCACCAGTATTCTGGCCAAGTCCAAATATACCACAACCTCTGGCCCTCTTTTATCCAGGCTGGGGCGAAGGTGAGATTGTGGCAAGAATGAAGGCTCTCACTTTCAACGAACCAGATACCACAGGTTACTCGATCTGTTGGGCTAGCACCGAGATGGATGCTATCCAGGCACACAGAAAACCCAACGAATGCAACAGAAGTAGCGGTGCCACCGGCAGGGAAAGCTTGGAATACGAAGAATCGGGCAACTTGAAGTGGACGTACCATCCTATCGCACAGGACGAGTACGTGAAGCAGGTCTGGCTACGTGATTGTGTCCCGTACGATACCGTCGAAGAACTCCCATACTGGAATCAAGATGACCGTTACTTCTATCACATGTCTACGCCTTGGGGTACACAAACGTACAAGGGCATGGCAAAAAACAGGAGACCTAGCGATATGGCTCTTGCAGTAAGAGAATCCCCCAGCCAGGCTATTATCTCGTTATACTAATTTCTTTCCAGCTTGTCACTAGCAAAGGCCGTACCATAGTGGCGGGAAATCACCCAGATCATGGGTTTCACCAGCCTGAATTCGAACGAAAGCGCACATGGTATTTAGTATCCGAAACAGAGACCCATGCTCCCATGGCGATATTCCTCGCTCTACCGACCCACGGAATTCCTCTCTTCGCGGCATCTAAATTGCCAGGTAGCGAACAAAGGCAACCGCCGCCGAAACAGAATTGTTTCGGTCGCATGCCGAGTTTCAACCCTTACTTCTCGATGCACTACTCCTCAGCCTCTCTAGAGAACGTCACCAGCGTTACCGTCTGCAGAAGCAGAAACGTGAAGGATAAATGCAGCACAGTTCAACATTTCGATTTGGAAAACAGCTGTTTCGACATGATAGAATACAAGAAGGTCGCGGGACTGCTGTTCAAGTACGCGGATGGTCATGAGGAGAGCGTGGGTTGTTTTCGCTTTGACTGGGTCGAACCGCCGGTTGATACGAGGGGTACAAAAGGCTTGTTCATAGGAGAGAGACCGGGTAAGATTGAACAGATAAAGTCTCATGTCGCAGATGTGGATATCCAACCTCCGAAGGGGAAGACTGAATGGACTTGGATGGAAATACCTTGGGATGGAACAATCGAGTGGTGGTTCAATCCTGAGAATCTCGATACTAGCATCACTCATGTTGGCTCACAGCTCCTTGCAAAGGCCGATAAAGAACCATCAGCGAGGCTATTGTATGAAGAGGATGCGTTCAATGAATCAGAATGACTGTCTTCATAGGGGTACCTTTCATAGCCTGTTCAGCCTTCACTCACTTGCCATGCCCCAAATGTTTCCTCTTCGACTGTGAATATGCTTTGCTGTTCCACTCACCTACCACGAAGTTTGCAGTGAATCACTGAAATCTTCAACTGTATACCTGTATTTCACTGGATAGCGGACTTAACTTTTTAATCTTAGACTCAAAGTTTCACATCTGTCAGCCAGTTGCAATAAGTCAACGCATTCATGCCTGAAACGTTACCAAAGGCTACACAATTTACTAGAAGCACTAGAACAAAGAATTTGTTTCTCTCATCTGCCTATCTCCTCACCGGCACAGCTGCATCCAACGGGCCGTCCCGCCTTGTCAGTGTCACGCACCTTCCACCACTGTTCATTCTTCAACACCTAGGTTTGTTGCCTTGCGAAGGCAGGTAACAGCCTTTGTTCCTGCCACACAGACACTAAACTCGCCGCATAAATCTTCTTCGAACAAACCTTGACCTGTGTAGTTATATTCTCCACCACCTCGCCTCCATCCTTCCTTCCTTCCTTCCTTCGATCTCCCTACATCCGCACTCTGACAACAGATCACGATGTTTCCTCAACTCCCCTGCCAGCCAGCGCAGAGCGCTAACAACACTCAAAACAAAACAGTCCGTAACCCCTTCATCATCGCACCTGGCGATGCAACTGACCAGGCTCCCGAACAGCCTCAGCCTCAGCCTCGCGCATTCGTTGAGGTCAGCCTGAACCCAACCCTCATCATCAATTTCGAGCGTCTTCGTGCTGGGCTCGAGAATCTCTACGGCCGCAACAACTTTTCTGTCTTCGGTGACGTCGTCGGACTCACCATTCGCATCTACTCCTTCGCTGCTGATTCCGCGGTTAAGCGCCTCCAGGCGGAAGGATACCTGCGTTCTGAGACTGCGGATACACTGTGTCGCAATGTCAAGCGAGACATTCAGTCCCTGGGCTGGGTTCAGATGAAGCCTGGTGATCGAGGGTAAGTTATTTCCCATGTGATCTTCTTTTCTTTTGGTAGGATCCCCGACTGTCAGCCATGCTGTTTCACACTTGCGCTTTGGAGTCATAACGACTCAAATGTGTAGGTTTTCAACAAACCTAAACTGCCATCATCCCGAGCGCATCTTTCCATTTAGGTAGCCTCTTTCGCATCGCGACATACACATTGCCGAACAGCTGCTAACTGTACAAAGTCACGCTGTACTTCGGCTGGGTGGAAAGGAGTATGGGTTGACGTACAAGAAATCGTAACAATAGTCATCACAAGTAAACAGAACTCCTTGCACCCCATATTGTCTAAAATAAATCGTGATGTAAAGTGAAGTAAAGTTTGTGAGAGCCATGCTTAGTTGAAAGTGTGTAAATCGCTGCACAATCCACGAAGGACGTTAAATCTGACCAATCACGCTTCTCAATCGTGTCGCTCATGGTACATGTGCTGTGTTTGTAAAACGTTTCTCACCCACTGGTCCTATAGTTTAGTGGTAATGACGTCGGATTTTGATACTTGATCGGAAGCCTTCCGAAGACCCCGGTTCGAACCCGGGTAGGACCTCACTTTTTGACCCTCGTACATCCGGGTCGTTATTAGGTTATAGGTTTTCTATACAGCGCATCAAGATATCTACTGGTCCTATAGTCTAGTGGTTAGGACGTTGGATTTTGATGACCCATCAAAACGATTTCCGAAGTCCCCGGTTCGAACCCGGGTAGGACCTTATTTTTGCCGGCGAGGTCCTGGATGATGATTCATCGCCCATCGTTGTTCGACGGGAATAGCCTTTTGCCGGAATAAGTTTAACTTGACAATCAGGAAGAGAGCACGGTTGGTGACTACCCTGTACTGTTCTGTCTGACCTTGGGCCGTCCCTTTGGTTGTGTGATTAAGCTTCAGCATCAATTACTCTGGTAGTACCTGTGGTGTAAGAGACAAGTCGATCATTTTTTATCTTTCGGTTGCACTATCGCTACATGTAACCTACTGTCCATGTAAGAAGCTCTGCACAGTCAAATAGCGTTTAGACATGAACAGCGTGGAGCCCAATCATGCTTCAATAAATATTCGCGTAAAATTATGTATTATAAATATGCATCAACCATATATCCAAATTAGATACCACTCGAATCCATAGACATCCGTCGCGCAATCTTAGAAAGGCACTGGCACATTGCGTTCAAGATAGCCGAGCCATTTGGGAAGGCGACGCTTTGAAGGAGCATCTTCGCTGAGCTGCAGGTCCTCAATTGCACTGGCCCACTTGACGAGCTCTGCCTCAGCCCAGGCAGTCTGCATAATTCCCAGACCAAAAGGCATGCCAGACTCCTTGGAGTAGCCTCCGGGGATTGTGATGACAGGATAACCAGCTTGGGCGGCGATTTGGGGAGCCTGGGCGACTTGAGGAGGGATGAGAAGGCCGGACAGCTTCTTGCCCTTGTAGGAAAGAGCGTCATTGATGCCCTTGCGGGTGGAAGTTTGACAGAAGTTGAGAGCTTGCCAGTAAGTTTCGTCTCGTTCGCCATTCGTTTCCAGCGATGCGAGGAAGCCGTCTTGTCCTGAAGCAAAGGCGGGGTGGCCCTTGCCATCCTCGTAGGGATAACCACCCTCTGTGCCATCATACTTCTTGTTGAAGCTAACGAGCGTTAGAAATGCTGACTAGTCATTGATGGGAGTCCACTTACTCGACGATATCCTGAAGATTGCGGACATTGGTGTTCTCCACCTCGCTCAGGTACGTCTCAATGTTGCGGTAAAAGTCAACCTTGATGTAGGTATACTCAGACTCATTGGGGAAACCTCGAGTGGTACCATAATCCCAGTTCCATCCATCAGGACTCACCAGAGTCTCGTAGTTGGTGATCTCGGTGCCATTGATGATTGTCGCTCCTGCAGACTTAATCAGGTCAATAAGCTCGAGAAGCTGAGACTGCATATCCTCATCGGCATGAACCCAGAAACTCTCCCAAGGAAGGCCGAATGTGGCGCCCTTGAGAGCATTCTTCTTCGAGAGGAATTGCGCATAGCCACCTTTGGGGGTCTTGTTCTTCTGGGCAGAGGTGTAGTTATCGCGCTTGTCAATGCCATAAATGGCGTCGAGAACAAGCGTAGCATCCTTGACTGTACGCGCAAAAGTTCCGACAGAGTCTTGATGCTCGCTCTCAGGAATGACACCGGCTCGGGACGTCAAACCAACAGTGGGCTTAATTCCCACGAGGGCATTGCGATTAGCGGGATTGATCACTGCGCCAAGGTGTGTTAGTGGAATGCTACAGCACGGTATCCGGCTTAAGGTTGAACTCACCACTGCCGTCCGTCTCTGTACCAAGCGAAAATGCTATAGCGTTGGCTCCAACACCGACAGCGCTGCCTGTAGAACTACCGCCAGGGTTGACGGTGAAATTGTAGGCGCTGCGGACCTGACCACCGCGGGCAGAGTAACCCTCGGAGTAGTCATTGCTGCGCATGTCGGCCCATTCGCTTAGAGCAGCCTTGCCAAAGAGCACGGCGCCTGCATCGCGAAGCTTCTGAACGGTATGGGCATCGCGAGGGACAATGTTCCCAAGGAGAGCCCAGCTGCCTGCCGTGGTCTCGAGACTGTCTTTGGTTGCGAAGTTGTCTTTGACGGTGAATGGAATGCCGTGCAGGGGACCTCGAACCTTGCCCTTCGCTCGTTCGGCGTCGCGCTCAGCAGCAATTGCAAAAGCATCAGGGTTAATCTGCATAACTGAGCTGTACAAGATCAGCTTTCTGTCGCAAAGTATATTCCACGTAGATCACGGCGTCATTCTCAGAAAGGTATCCATGTCGCGAACTCACTTGATGTACTCCTCGGTCTGGTATGTGCGGATCAGGTAGCAGGTGAGGAGCTGAACAGAGGTAAGCTTCCCAGACTTCATGGCGTTCTGCATCTCGGTGAAGGTCGCTTCTTCCAGCTTGAACCCATTGCACTTTGCCATGGGGAAAAGATCCGACGATCCGACATTCTTTTCGAGAGGAAGCAGGTTGGCATTATACGAGAAGAGAGGTTCGTCCTTGTTATTCGGTTTGGCGCTCGCGCCTTGATTGGCGATCAGGCCAGCGGCCAGAGACAAACTGAGAAGCTTCATAATGGCGATGGGAGCGAAAAAAGTGAAGCTGAGAGAGATGAAGGAAGAACGGAGGGCATGAAGCTGTTATTATGTTTGTTAGGTACCTACCTACCTTAGACCTGCAGGAACTCCCTGGTCTAATTGAGCTACGGAGTACCTGGAAGGAAGCTACAGGGGTTTCTCTAGAGGCGCACCTTCCTCGGGATTGCGAGAACGGCGTCCGTTCTTCAGCGAGTGGATCAAGCGGGCCGAAAGACGTTTAGCTAAGAAAAATGTCATGACATCGAATGTCAACTGGGCAATTTTGCCAGAAGCCAAACATGGGTCGAAGAAATTCCAGCTAGCAGATCACTGTCAGAAGCTGAAGCTTTGGAAGATTTGACGGACTGGGGCGGGCCTGCTCCCCGTAAACTTAGTGGATTTAGGGATTTGCGGTAGGCCTAAACTTGATTGAGGGAAAGTCGCGCAGTCAGATCAACCATGGATGTGCTGAAGAGAATTCCTCAAGTAAAATTCTTGAAGACGTTGGCTTGGGTATGAATGGCAGATAACCGTCTTTCGATAGCAATTTCTCGTGGCTGGTGACGTGCATCTCGTGCGACCATGCATGCCAGGCACTGTGACACCATCGTCCGTCTCAATTTACAGATGCCACAGGCAAAGGGTGTTACTCCAGGCACTTGGTATAATTGACGTGAGACTGTGTTGGATGACATCGTCCAACAGCAAATGAGAACAATTCTTTCTGAATCATTTAAATCTCAAATAAATGTGACAATACGCTGTGCAGATCAAGCCTTCATTTCCATGATCTTCCCGCATCGCTCCCACTTTGCCCATGCTGCATATCCTCCTTCAACCTAAAATCCACCTGCACCAAAATTCCATCCGCACTATTCTCACTCCTATTATCCGCCGTCACATCATTCATCCGATAAACCTTCGCCCCCTCAGCAGAAGTATCACGACTGTTCAGCACATCATGTTCAGGTCTAAAATTCAGCGATCGCAGCGCCGTGCCTCCCTTGGAACTCTGCTGTAGTTTCGACGCCTTGCCGGTGTCTTCGCCATTGGTGATGTCTCGCTGTAGGATGAACTTGTCGAAGAGGGGCTTGAAGCCTGGTACTGATAGGGCGATGAGGGTGCCGCCGATTTCGCTGACTTCAATTACTAGCATGGGATTGTCTGTGGAATGTTAGATCCATTGGATTGGGAGTGGTGGTTTGGTGACTTACAGGCCCATGACATGTCCATGTTCCATTGTCCTTCGATGACCAACACCAAACGTGCAATTGAGATGGCGATAACACTAACAACATATTAATATCCATTGATAGGGTTGATCAGGAGTACAACTTACGATATACCAGGCAAGAGGATACATGCAAGCTGTATCTTTCTCTTCCTGGGCATCTCCAACACTCTCAGCATAACAATCGGTATGCCAAACAGCAAAAAGTCACACACAAGCGACACCGAAGAATTGACGACGTACACCAATCCCCACTGCAAACATGTAAAATCCTCAAAGTCAGGCTGCCATTCATAAGGCCAAAGTCCAGTAACGGGCATACAATGGAAAATAATAAGTAAAAGTTGAGGAAGATATCCAGCGATGAGAACACCAAAGACGACCAAAATTGCTAGTCGTAAACGATCGTGCACAGCGCATATGCGATGGTAAAAGGCAAGACCGGATATTCGACAAAGTAAAAGTGTGGTCGTGTATATTATGTGAGCGATAAAGTCGAGGACTTCGGTGTCTTCGACGGTTGGCATGTCGAGGACGTATTGGATGTAGGCAAAGTGTCGTCCAGAACCCAGCTGGATGAGTCTAATGCACAGACCTACGAATACCACCAAGCAGATCTAGATTGTTAGCGATGTTTTTCACGATGCTACGCTGCAGTGGAGAGATCTACCCGCGATCGGGCGCCAAGAAGAGAGACTTACCCATGATACGAACGTCAATGCATCGTCGATTCCAAAGCGGTGCATAAGAAATGCTCGTGAAGCAAGACGACCGAGAACAATAATACTCGTGAGGACCGTAACAAAGAGAATTCCCGCTATAGCCGATGCATCTCTCGTTTCGTTGAGATAATCAGCTGTGATTTCTTTAGGGACTCTGCCGTCGGCAATGGCCTGGGAGACCTTTGGGTCCGACATGGCGAACAAAGTAAGAAAAGGTTATATCAAGACTCCATGGGATATAACTCGTATTGAATTGTCAAAACCAAGAACGAAAAGAGACGAAAATGAATTGGAAGTGGACCATGCCGTCCCTTATATCAAGCTGCTACCCAACATCCCAACTGCAGAGATGTACATATTCCTTCAGGCACACACTACACTCTTGTAACGAAACCAAATCTCCACACTTCAAACCTCGGGAGATAAAAAAGCAACGAGTCCAAAAGCGGAACAGTAAAAAGCCGTTGCCAACCTCTCTACGGATACGTACATGCTACTGCTGAAGAGAGAGAGAGTTTTTACAGTAAATTACCTTCCCTCCATCTTCCAGTAGCGTATGTGTCTATGTCGAAATCGGTGTTAGCCTGCGGCAGCGGGAAGGTCTGGATCAAGGAACCCGTCCTAGAATGACACAGATGGCGCTGAATTAACTTTGTCTAGAGGGTAGAGTTTTTCGTGACTACCGGAAGTGATAAGTAAAGGAACATCTCGTATTCAACGCTTCTGTGTTGAGATGGAACAGAGAGACCGAGATCAATCGCCATTCTGACAACATCAAACTTTGATCGGTGGTGCCTGAGCCGTAGCGATGGGACGTTACAGGGGATGAACCCCTGTAAGCACATCAAACAACTGAACCTCGCTTAACTTGACAATGCCGCTTCTTCCATCCGTCAGTTCTCGTAATCTTGAGCCTGGTAACTTTGTTGGTTCGCTGGAATGGTTCCTGACATGTTGGCTTACGCCAAGGAATATTCTCCGTCCCTTCTGGATTAGCATTATGACCTGTTTTCTACGAAATCTTAGGGCGAAGCATTCCTCGCTGGCTGTTGGTGGAATTGTCTTGTTTAGGTCTCCCGCTTTTAGTCGACGGCAGCTTAGCGTTGGAGATCATCTCTTGCTTGGACTGGACTGTGATTCTTGGCTTCGATCACTATTCGAAAAACTTGCTATCACTTGCAACTCTTGTGAAGAAATGCTTGTTGGTTCTGACAACTTGAGAACTTGTACTCATTGCTCAAACCTTCGACCCGAGTTCCGCCGCTCAAAGGATCATCATCCTGGGTATATGCAGCTGCATGTCCTGAACCACTAGCTTGGGTCTAGTCTTCAGCCGCTTCCTGACAGCTTCTCATCTTGGTCAAGTCCATTTCAACTGCATGGATCAATGTGGATGGACGGAACTGTCGGAACCACAGCAGACAACATTCATGTGATTTTGAGGCACCTTCTCAAAAGAGGTTTGACGTGACTAACTATATTCCCATTGACGCCTAGAATAGATACTTTTTGAATTCTCTAGTGTCTGGGCTAGTATTTATACTGGCCTGTGCTTGCCACTATGGATTCATCCAGGCCAGCCTTGGAAGGCGATCTCGGTCATAGGCAGTTGATTGGCAACCGATTGGTCGTTCTGGACTTCGGTCAAAAACTCTTGTTTTCAAGCTAGAAACGTTACTTGAATTATGGCTCTCGAAATAATAACATGCCAACCGTTGGAAAGCGTGACGCGTTTTCAGAATCTTACATGCAAAGGTTATTAGGCCTTGATGTTTGTCACTCTCGTCATTAGGTTGGTACGGCGCAAAGCACAGGATACCCTTGAAGCCAATCTCCGACAGATGCATTAGTACTCAGTTCTGTGTTCCAGGTTTACGTCAGCGAAATTTGATAATAGGATGTGAGTAGTAGACTTTTTTGTTTTATTTCTTTACTGTTGTTGTAGGTATGTTATGAAACTTGTTTGGAGCTATTCTACCTTTCGTAAGGTTCTTTCCTGTGAAGTCCATATCTATTGTTCTCCTCCTAGATCTTCTGTATCTTTCTTCAACCGAGAGACCTCTATCTTACTGTTATCTGATGAACAAGGCAGACCATAAATCTGCTTGTCTCTACCAGTCATCTTAGCCCAAGGCTCAATCTCGTGATCCAACATCATCTCAGATGATTCGATGGCCTCTGCCATACGAGCTGTTTGCGTAAATGCGTACCATGCATTACCGAGAGTCGAATACTCTGAATGGAGTGCAAAGAGAAATATGATGGTCCAAAACATTATGAGGTGGCACCCAATAAGAACAAAAACAATTATGAATCCAGTCCATTTCGTTAGAATAAGGGTGTCTGCCAAATTCAAAGTCTTGGCAGGGAATTCTAGGTCGTTCTTGTCCAAGTGATCATAGTACGTCATTTGATACAGGCGAGTTACCAAATCCTGTACTGCTGCAGCGGGATCGTCCCCAATGGTAGAATGGAAAGGAGAAGTATGTGCAGGATGGGCAGCCCAAGATAGATCGTCAACACTGTTAGGTGCCATACTCCAGGCACTACTAGATCCCAAAGGAAGCTCGTTGAATATGGTGAGGAAATGAGCGTCAGTATTTGACTCGAGTGGCTGTTTTTGATGCTTTGGGAAACTGTGACGAGTAGTGAAGTTCAAAGGGGGGTCAAATTCAAGATCCAGAACATCGCCCTCAGACGATTGATCTGGCTGTACCTTGTTCTTTTCAGGGTCAGCAATGGCTTCAAGCGGAATTGGCTTCCCGGACACCGCAACTCTGTAAAGCTGCGGCGAGTATTGGTTGAAAAGACAGACTGTAGCATTCACCACCATGTTTCCCTCGCCGTCGTAGGCTGCAGCCCAGACATTATCAGGCTTTATGTCGAACTTCAATCTTTGCAGACGCTCGGGCGTGCTGATGGTTGACTTTGACTTCGTATCTGAGGCTATATGATCGGTTGACTTGAGCATAAGCACTGGCCGAAAGTTGTAACGCTCTCCAGTCTGTCTGTTCTTCTTCAAACCATTCAAGGTCTTTGGAGAGAGACCTCCAGGCTCTTGGTCTAAACACAAAGATGTGGGCCACTCATCCCAGTCTGTATTATTTGTCTTGTAGTGCAGTTGACACCTTTTGTCTTTACCCCAACGCAACTCAGCCATTGTTGCAGGTTCCGTTGAATTTGAGTGACTCCTGATATTTCCCATCGTCTTCTTCCCAAATTCGATGCCAGCATTTTCGAATGATGGAGAAAAGCAGGTAGTTCGTGCATTGATGACCAGAGCCGGCCCTGCATAGGACTGCAAGGACGTTCTAGAGGCTGTATCGAATAATGGCAACATCGCGCGATAGGTATCTCCAGTATCCCCAGACCAAAGCCTCTGAACTGGAAACTCGTCGTCATCTTTCGACCCGTTCCTTCTATCCTCAGCGAATCGCCATTTTGCTGCTGGTTCCAACCTCCAGTATGATGCGGCATTGTAAATGTCATCGTATTCGGCAGGTTTACTGGATGTTCTTGCGCGGGGTTTTGTGATGCTTGGGGCGAAAATGTGCGTTATTGTGAAGTCAGATAGAAGTATAGTAGAGATAAAAGGTTAGAATATAGTGATAGTGACGCCCACAACAATGATGAACGAATATACTTTTCCTGACCGACCCGTGGTAGTTTGTCTTAGCACTACCGGGAGGGCGTTAAAGAAGCCCGACTTCGATGCTCTCTCCAAGGACAAAGCCGGAATATCGTTGAGGTGTGCACCAGATATTTCCAATATAGTTGCCGATAGTGCTGCGGTAACAAGTCCACATTGTATACCCATTGACGTGCGTATGGCAGCAGCACAGATTTTAACGACTCGGGCGGTCCAGTCATTGGAGACTATGGTCCTCCAGAACTCCGGCTCCTGACGATCTCGGGCTGACTTGGTCCCTCTCCATAGGTACAACAGTAGCATACAGGATGATAGGATGACGATATTTCCCAAGGTAACTGTGAGGAAACCTGTCAAGGCGAACTGTTGCCAAAGATCGAAACGTTGTCGTGGGAGACATGGTGGCGTATGACCATATTCTGTGCAAGCCGATACAAGACAGCTTGATTCGTCCTTTTCGTCTTCTTCGAATAGGCTGTGAGTATAATTCGATTCTCTTTGTTTAAGATTCGACTTCGATCTGGTTGTGACGTTCCTCTCACTTTGGTCAACGCTTAGCACAGTTAGTATTAAGACCAGACAGAGTAAGCCGATCTGGTGGGAGGTAATACGTACAAGGTGACCTCCGAGCCCTGCGCGGCCTGGTACTGTGCCGTGTCTCATAATTGCGAGCATTCATAACTGCAGTTGAAGATGTCAGAGTAGGGAATAGGGACGGCCTGCGAATTTTAAGCTTGAATATTGGTGTCTGATGACATGAATAGCACAAGGTAACGAGCTGAAATTTGGCATACTGTACCAATTGCAGAATTCCAATTTCATAGCCACTCTGATCAAGCTGTAAAATGAGCTATTCTGGGGCTTGCTTTGGGTGCCTGGCTCGCCGGTCTTGGACGGAGCTGCAGTAAGCCAAGCCACCACCTCAATAGTCCTACCTACACGTTGGCGGTGGTTCTTACTGAAAGTGGATAAGCATGACTGGCTGTGACAGCGCTATATCACTATTCAATAGAAATGGTAGCTGAGAATTTGCATCTCGCTGGGTGCCGTGGGTAGTACAGACGGCCAATGTCAAGTCTAGAATTTCGGCCAGCAGGTAAGGCACTTTGCTTTCCCCAGGCACCCTTTTTCTAATTCTCGAACAGGTAAGGCCCTTTTTCCTCGAATTTTACAGATGACTCCTGTTGGGATTTTAACAGTATTTTCCAATGTCATCAATCAAGCTACTTCTTTGAGAAATTAACAGGAGATATAGGCGACCCATTCTTGAATAACGCCTTGATATTCTCAAAAGCCTCTTTCTCTCCCCTCTGAAAAGCCAGATCCGTCAAGCCAGCGACATGAGGCTGTATGACTACCTTTTCACTCGTCTTGAAATAATCATTCAAGCCAGGCTCCTGCAAAAAGACATCTAGTCCGGCCCGCGTGATCTTCCCACTTTCCAAAGCATCGATAAGAGCAGTTTCATCGACGATGGCTCCGCGTGCGGTGTTGACAAGAAAAGCACCATCCTTCATCATCTTGAACTCTTCAGTAGAAATCAGGTTCTCAGTTTCTCTCGTGAGAGGACAGTTGATCGAGACTACATCTGACTGGGCCAGTAGCTCGTGCAAGGTCGGGCAGTATGTAGCTTTATACTTTGCTTCATCTTCAGCACTTAATTGTCGACGGTTGAAGTATTTGATCTTCATGTTGAAGGCAATAGCTCTCTTCGCGAGACACTTCCCAATAGCGCCCATTCCGACGATGCCCAGTGTCATACCCCAAGGATCTCTACTCGGTACGACAGGCCCTCTCCAGTTGCCCTCTCGTAGAGAGCGTTCGCCACGATAGGTATCTCGGATGACAGCTAGAGTTAGAAAGAAAGCCATATCCGCGGTGGCTTCAGCAACGGCATCAACGCTGTTGCAAAGCCAGATTCCTTGCTCAGTACACCAGTTGACGGCCAGATCATCGTAGCCGGCTGCTGCTGAGGCGATGATTTTGCAGTGTGGGGTGAGAAGTTTGAAGATCTTATCGAACGGACGATAGGGAGGTCGGCCCATACGAATGATGAAGGCGTCTATAGGGCCGTGTTGTTCGAGCATGAGTGGTAGCTTCTCAAGAGCTTCTTGGTGGTTTCGAACGTCAAGGAACTGCCAAGCACGAGTTAGCATTGCAACTGAAAAATATTTTCGTATGTGATAGAGAAGCCTTTTTTAACTAACATCATAATCAAAGTCTTTTTGGAAGTCTTGGATGTATTCAGTGTCGATAAACTCGGGCCTTCCCAAAGACACTACACGAGGTTTCTTCCCAACGTTGATATCCGAAGACATGTTGACAGGCACTTCTCTAATATCTTTTACCCTAGTGGCTCTGATAATACTCTACGATATCAGACAGTTCCGAGTTCCAAACTGGCAAACTGGGGATACTAGGTGAAAGCGGGATTTATTGGTCAATCAAGTGGAGAAGTTTGATATATCATCCGGCACTTATTTTAGATGCCGATCCGAGTGCCAGTCTAAGCATGGTGGTTCTCTGAGTGTTAATGCATAGAAAGATTTTAGAGATCTTCTGGGTTCCTCAAGGATTAGTATATGCATCAGTCTATTAAGTACAATGTCGTTATAACTTCAACAACTACTCTAGCCAGCTACGTTCATAAGATATGCCAGTGTTTATTCTTTGCATCATTCTATATAACAATCTATATAGCGATCTATATATGCGGAATAAAGTTTGTCCACTCAACAGTCTGATACGCACTCAACGGAAGAGATCTCAACCCAATAAAATCCTCCACAAAGATATAAACCCGAAACACACAATAAAAGACACACAAAACAGACGTAACAATGATAAACCCAACCTGAACGCCCATATACGGATCCTTCTCGTGTGATATGTTATGCGATCTGCTCAAAAATGCGAAAACACCTCCCTTCTTCCGCCGCGGCACAAGACTATCCTGATCAAGATCCATACTCCTTGTCGCCCTACTCTTTCGATTTTTGAGCCATTCTTGTACCTTGAAGTAGAAATCCCGAATTGGATGTGATCTGTCCGCATTTTCCCTTTCAACAAAACTCGGTTCTAAGCCTTGATAGAGACGATCCTGCGGCACGAAGATCCACATGGCGAATTCCATCCAAGCCGCGCCAACAAAGCCATATACTAGCATATAGATACTAGCCGCGCGCCAAAAGTCTCTTTCTACTGCGCTCGGGAAAGGGATATTCCATGCTGTAAGGAAGACGGCGCTGAAGACGAGGATGAAGGCGACACCGACTAGTTCGAGATCGAAGTCCATGCGAAGGAATATGTCGCCGGGGTTTCTATCCCAGGGTACCTTTTCGACGCGGCGGGAGAAGGGCGAGAAGAGGAGTTTGCGGGAGAGTTCGTTGTAGTATTGCCATGCGAGGTTCAAGGCTGTTTCGTCTCTGCTTATGAAGTCTAGGGGTGTTTGATAGTATGGTTGCTCTGGTTGACGTCCCGCCTAGTTTTTTTTTTTAGTAGATTGCAAGATGGTGGTCAGGTTGATACTCACACTTCTAATGATATCCTCCATCCTGACATGACTTTTAAGGGGAATAGTTGTGCCTACGTCGGATGGTTTATCCTTCCAACACCACGCTGTTCCAAAAAGAATAACCACGAACGAAACTGCAGTGAGCTCCATGGTGGTTACATGAAGTCCCTGGATCAGTCGTGCTATAAAGGTGATAATGAACCATGTTGCTTGCCATATAGTAACTAGTCTGAGGATTTAGTTAGTTAACAGAAAAATGCGGTTCGATCTTAAATACTGACCTTGCGAATCCATCAGATTTATTTCTGTCCCGGAGTTCTTTCTCAGTAATATTCGGACACTCAATGTAGCGTTCCTTAACTAAATAGAATAATTGTTCTGCGTTGAGCGGTACCGGACGTTCGAGATCGTCGGCTTCAAGGACAAATCCGCCCATATCAGCAAAGAAGCCATGCGTAATACTCCATTTCGTATGTCCTTTCGAATGGAATTTCTACAGAACGTTAGCCATCAAATCATTCTCAACACCCACGATCAAAATCTTAGTACTTACAGCAACTGATCTTCTTGCGGAAGACTTCTGTCCAATAGCCAACACTATAATAAACTCGGGCCCAAGCAATCCCATACAAGCAAGCCCAAGCCTATCCCTAATAGACGCCCAAAGACCATCTCCGGGTGCAGGAATATTAGGATAGACAGAAGTCCAACAGCAGAGGAATGTTGTAACTAGACATGTGAATATTATATCGTATGTGCCTCGTCCATCTGGCGATGGTGTCCAGCCCACGAATTCGGTCTCGTTGGATGTCATGGGAGCAGAGGTTGGAGAGTGGAATGGGAATTGGTAGAACCAACAGCTTGTGCTGGGATACTTATTCCTTCTGCATGGTTACGACCAACATGCCCACCTCACATTGCTGCGCGGGCGCCAAGAGAGGCCTGCCTACAACTATGTAGGGGAATGTCTCAAATTTTACGGCACAGTGGTGGCTATGTATGGTCCTGGCAGTCCATTCTCTAGCCATCAAGGCTTTCAATTGCAATATCCTTCTATCTTCGCTTCTTTATATTGACGTCCAAGTCTCAAGTCGTAACCTATCTATAATGGTCAACTAAGTACCATCGGGTAGACTTTAAGATCCTACGAAGTGCCGGCGCCATCAAGTTAAAGATGTGAGCGACAACGCGGGCGTTTAAGAGCTGAGCGGTACCAAACCACCCATAACTGGCTGTGCTCCAGGCACCATAACCAGGGTCTACAGGTCTGGCGGCCTCTGATTGATCTTCTTCGCTTGAGATTGTCGAAAAATGATCTGATATGCAGGGGTCCGGGCGCGTGGATGCAGCCAAGAGCGGGCCGTGGTAGTCTTCCCTTCCGTTTCAAATCCGTCATCACAAGTGCCAATTGATCTTTGGTTCAATAGTTTCGGTCATCGATTGTCGGCGGTGCCATGATGCCGTAGGCTCTTAGATAGACGCGGCAATTGTAGTTGCAAGTCATTTGTGTTGTGGGATGGCGATCAACCCCCACGGTGAAAGCCCTGTCAGAGTAAATAATCCTCTGCTTTATTCTGAAGTACTCTATGACTAGGGAAAATACACCGGGTCTGTTCTCGCCACGATCTAATAACAAACGTACTCGTAGTTAAATGCATACTGTCTAAGCCTTACCAGCGTGACTTCGTACCATGCATCACCCTACCCCGATATGCCTATGCGACCACTATAACACCTCTACTTGTTCTGATAAGGATCCTTGAAGAAAATAACCTGCACAGTAATATCGTCCCTCACATTGCGGCTCATGGGCGCATACGTCGTCATCGCTCCAAGGAACAAGCCCCGTCTCGACCCTCCAAATGCGTTCTTCACCAAGCACACAGCCGCGTTGTCAAGATCCTCAATGACCTGATGGTCCGGGGTAGCCTGCCATCCATCTTCCAGCTTGCCCTCGAATTTTGTCTCCTTGAAGGCCTCAGGCTTGCCGCTCTTCTTGGCAGTTAACCAGCGCGAAACGCATGTCACGGCGTCTTCGTTGCTGATCATGTCCCAGAGTCCGTCGGAGCCCATAATAACAAAGTCTTCTGTCTGGATCTTTCTGGTTGTAACTTCTGGACGGGCTATCAAGTATGGAGGGGTGGTGTAATTGGGTCGGGGTGGAGTGCCGTAGTAATCGTCCTGGACTTTGCGAATGACCTTCTCGGGCCACTTCAGTCTGTGGTCACCAAACGCTCTTGTAACAGCAAGACCGAACAAGCGTCCCGAGTTGAGATTGAGCATGCTGTTGAGTTGTCCGGGATGTTCCTTGTCCAGTCTCTCCACTTCAAGCTGATTGAAGCCAGTCTGGTCGATGCTCAGAATATCTGTCTCGTACTTATTCGCCTTAGCAGACCACGCACCACGAACAGCTCGTGAGTCGCCTGCGACGGCAGTGCGGAGTGTCGAAGTGGTAGGCTCGTACATGGTTAGAAGCGCACATGATCCGGCGATGGCGGGTGCAACAGCAGAAATGACAGAGGCAGACCCTTGGTCTTGTCCGGATTCGACAGCTTTGAGGGCGGTGTCAAAGATACGGTCATCAAGACGGACGAAAGCTTTCTGGATCGCATCGTCTACCATCTCGCTGGAACTGGTAGGCGTCAGGCTTGACAGAGCGCCCGATACGTACGGGACCAGAGCGTTCCTCAACACTTGAGAAGTCGCCCATCCTCTAAGCTAGTATTAGCATCTCACTTCCAGTGCTAGAGGGTCAACTTACGCATGTCCATCATAAACACCAGCGTACAAAGTCTTCGTTCCCCCAACACCCTTCGCAATCTTAAGGTCCCAGTCATCCTCAATGGGATTATTGCTTCCCAGACGCGCAAAGTCTACGCGTCCCTTGGTGCCTCCGTGTCCCTCAAACACAAAGGTATGGGCGTCCTCCCGTAATTTGGCATTGGCATCCTCAAGAATGATCGACTTGACAGGTGAATTGACGGGGATTTGTTCTTCTGTTGGATACTCGCTCAAGCTGGGAACACCATCATTTGGAGCCTGGGTCTTTGTGGTACTCTTGCTGCTGAAGAAGTATGCTCCAGAGCCAACTCCGACAACGGCTGCCGCTGGCCACACGAACTTCGCATTGCCCGATGTTGAAGTCTGCGTAGATGAGAAGCGTACACCGACTGGTACTCGCTTGAGCGCCGAGCCTGGGACTCTCAGAGTCCTTGTTGTTGCGCGGAACATGTTTTGTTGTTGATGCTAATTGCAAGACGTTCCAGCGACGACCGTGAATAAGCCAGCTGGCGTAACTCAGTGAATCGCACCTTTGTAATGGAGTTTTGAAGTTGTTGGTGAACGCGCCCTTCAAAGTGAGTCGTAGGGCGTGGACATGGATTGGAAAATGAAACAAAAAAGCTGCACTAACCCTGGAAGGGAGAGGTCGATTGTCGTATGTTCAAAATCGATGATGCGACGTCGTGAGGACCTATTTAAGCCAATGGTTCTGTAATAGCGGTGTTGAGGTCGTGCTTACCCTGAGGCGGAATAAGACACATCGGTCTTTCCAACTTAAATACCAAGAACAAGTCAAGAATCTCAAAAATGAAGATCGGCATAAACCAATTCAATTGTTTTGTCCCGTTTTAATATCTTCGATTGAAGACTCGAAGTGAAATGAACCATGGATGCACATTGTCTCAGCCCTTGTCCAATTGAGATGTCGCCGCCATTGTCACGATGTTGTACAGGGCCCTTCACCATAAGAAAATAATATCACAAAGAATCACAAAGGTGTTCATTGCCCAAACCCAGATGCCACGATATATACAACGCCAAACCAAAGCATGCAATTATCAACCGTCTAAAGGTTTTCCACTCAGCTATTGGCAATCTCTTCCTCCTCATCTTCCCACTCGCCATCCTCCTCCATCTTCTCATTGACCTTGAACTCAGCATCGCCCGCTAGTCCCTCACTGTCAAACTCGTCGACATCCATATCACTATCGTACTCAAACTCGTCCTCGTCATCGTCGTCGGCACCCTCGCCCTTGTTGCTGTCCTTGGCCTTGGCAGCCTTCTTGCGCTCCACGTTGGCCTTTTGCTCCTTCTTTCGCGACTCCTTCTCTTGTCGGCGCTGCTCCCATCGCTTCTCGAGCTCCTTGATCTCTTCCTTGCTCTTGTGGACGTACTCGTGCCACATGACCTTGCCGGAAGCAAGACCCTCCTCGACCTTGGTCAAACGGAGGCGCATTCGGGGACCGAGCTCGACGAGCTTGACAGCGCGGCGTTCGACGTGCTCCTCTTCGACCTCGGGCTCGGCTTCGTTCTGGGCAGCTGCTTGTCTAGCCTTGGCAGATAGAACCTTTCGGGTTGTGGCGTCCAAGATCTCGACCTCGGCGTCTGTGTCCATCTCACTACCGCTGGTGGCATCTGTCATGTAACCGTCGCCGTTCTCGCCTCCGATCAAGAAGTCCGCGACATCCTCGAGTTTACCCAAGTTGGGCATCTTGCCCTTTCGGTTGGTTTTTGAGGTAACGAATTGCTCGGCAGCGTTCAATCTTCTTAGAGGCTTGGAAACGGTGGTTGACTTTGTTGTGATGGCATAATGTCTAAAGTTGACGATGAAAGTACCATCATCCTCCGGTGATTGCTCACGGTTCAACAACAGGACTCGTCGGATTGACTTGAGAGGTGTGGCTTGAGGGTTGATAGGAGGGAACATGGATTGGAAGACCGTTGTGGCAAGGGATTCGAGGTGTCTGGGAACTTTCGACTTTGCATCCGAGTCTGGGCGGGTAAAGTTGTTCATGACCAGCTGTAAAAGGTTAGCAGGATAAACAAACAACGATTAAAAAGTCTTCTTACCAGAGGGGGAGTGATGAACTCCTTGCCGCCACCCTTGGGGTGCTTCTGAGCTCGCTGCACATCTTTGCATAGCGAGTACTTTTCCACGCGAAAGTTCAGAGTAGGTCCTCGAGGAGTCAAGGCCATTCGCAGGTTGGTGTTTCCGCTCTCCGATCTCGAAAACAGCATCAGATGAGTGACGCCCAAAGGACCGCACATGACAGCGTAATCTTTTAGTCTGTTTCCACGTCTCTCCTTCAATCGACTCGCAGTACCAGGCTCCATGACCTTACGAACGTCGGCCGCAAGCTGGCTAACGCTGGAACCGACTTCGCCAGCGCCAATTCGAATAACCATGCTCTTGGGATCCTTCGCGGAAGCATGACCGGCAGAATCCACTTCGGGATTGCTGGCACCGAGATGGGTTCTCTTCTTTGTTCGTTTGCGCGCCATTGTTGTGATTTTTTGTTGTTTGATGTATCGTCAAAACTTGCTTGAGCTGTCTGTCGCAAATCTCAATGTATGGCAGAAAGAAAAAAAGTTTGGCGGGGACCGCGATAAGACTAGCGCACGTGCGATAAGAGGGTCCCCACTAAAATATTTTGAAGTCTTGGATCAAGATCATCTTTCTGGAAGTTCAAGTTTCGTTTCTACACACCAAATTGCCCATCATGAACAGCGCAAAGAGAAGAAAGGTCGGCCAGGATGCGCCCAGGAAGACTAAGCCCGTCGTCCAAGAGAAGCCCCCTCAACCCGAGCCTGAATCCTCTAGCAATGAAGAATCCGAAGAAGAATCTGCGACTCTAGAGGAGCCTTCCGCCGAGGAGGCAGCTGTTGATGCTCCCAAGAAGACCTTTAAGGATCTGGTATGACTGATTGACTTCTTACCAATTTGAAGACTCTAACGATTCTCAGGGTGTTAACGATGCTCTCTGCGAAGCTTGCGAAAAGCTCAACTACAAGTACCCCACGCCCATTCAAGAGAAGTCGATCCCTGTCGCCCTCGAGGGCCGCGATATCATCGGTCTCGCCGAAACTGGTAGTGGAAAGACCGCCGCATTTGCCCTGCCTGTCCTCCAGGCTCTTCTCGACAAGCCTCAGCCTCTGTTCGGTCTCGTTCTCGCCCCCACCCGTGAATTGGCAACACAGATTGGTCAAGCCTTCGAAGCTCTCGGAGCCCTCATTTCTCTGCGATGCGCTGTAATTGTCGGAGGTCTGGATATGGTTCCTCAAGCTATTGCGCTTGGAAAGAAGCCTCACATTATCGTTGCGACACCCGGTCGTCTTGTGGACCACCTTGAGAAGACCAAGGGCTTTTCGCTGCGAACTCTCCGATACCTGATCATGGACGAGGCTGATCGACTTCTCGACATGGATTTCGGACCCAGCATTGACAAGATTCTCAAGTTTATCCCCCGAGAGCGACGCACATACCTTTTCTCTGCCACAATCAGCTCCAAGATTGAAAGCTTGCAGCGCGCCAGTTTGAGGGATCCTGTCCGAGTGAGCATCAGCTCCAACAAGTACCAGACTGTGTCAACTCTGCTCCAGCACTACTGCTTCATTCCTCATGCTCAGAAGGATGTATACTTCATCTACCTTGTCAACGAGCATGCTGGACAGTCTATGATCGTCTTCACACGAACTGTCTGGGAGACACAGCGCATTTCCATCCTATTAAGAACACTTGGTTTCGGCGCCATTCCCCTTCATGGTCAGCTCTCTCAATCATCCCGTCTAGGAGCCCTCAACAAGTTCCGTGCTGGTACACGAGACATCCTGGTCGCTACCGATGTCGCTGCCCGTGGTCTGGATATCCCTTCAGTCGATGTTGTTCTCAACTACGATGTGCCCCAGGACTCAAAGACATACGTTCACAGAGTCGGACGAACTGCCCGTGCTGGTAAGTCCGGTGTTGCCATCAACATCGTTACCCAATTCGACCTCGAAATCTACCTACGAATTGAGGCCGCTCTCGGCAAGAAGCTCGGAGAGTACCCCACAGAGAAGGAGGAGGTCATGACTTTCCAGCACCGAGTCCAGGAGGCTCAACGCCATGCTAGAATTGAGATGAAGTCCTTCGTCGAGAACAAGGGCAAGAAGAGTGGCGCAGCCCGTGGCAAGAAGGGCGGTAAGAGAGGTAGAGATGACATGGACAGAGAGGAGGGCTAAAGCTGAAGCTAGCTGTACTGGAGTTGCGGCAGTTCGGCGTTGTGGCAAAAGTGTTCATGTTTAATGGTTTCTAAACAATGTTGTTCCAATTGTTCGATGGTTTTTAATATGTTAGATGTTAGCCATCAATAATGAAAGCTCTACAAAAGTTTATAATGAAAGACCCTACCAGTGACTAGCCTGTCCTGCCTCAACAACCAAAGCGCTGTACCCTATTCTCCGTCAGCCAAGTAAACATGATATATTGATGAACTGAGAACATCAGCAGAGTTTAGAGGACAAAACTAGACTTAGCTCAGATAAGCGTATCTTCAATCCTTCGTCTGCAACGGTAATTAATGGCATCTCAGCCAAGCAAGTCTGAAACGCCGAACGTTCTTTCAGGTCCCCGACAAGCGGCCGCCTTACGCAGGGATCACGAAGATCACCCCAAGTTTCAATCTTAGACTGATCCGCGAATGGTTCAGCTCGTTTCAACAATTGTCTAAGACGCTGATTTATAAGTGCGTTCCCTGTTGTTTCGAGCGGCCGCTTATTGACGATGAGATGAAAGGACCTACGACTTGTGTAATTGTCTAGCATGTTTGTACTCGTAGTTGATATATAAAGTGAAGATGTGATCAACTTTAGGAGATCAATTAATCTTTGTTCATTCATTCGTTTCTTTAGTGCATTGATTGCACTGTCCATTCGTTCATTCATTATTGATATATCGTCATTCCTTCATTCATCATGTATACTTCAACTCTTCTTCTCACCCTCGCTGCATCTGCGACTGCTCACATCGCCTCTTGGAACAAGGGCATGTACTGCAAGGTAACTTCATCCCTCATCAAGACCTAAGCAATACTGATTCCTCAGGGCGGCAACGATTCCTCCGTCGATAACGCAAACACCAACCTCGCCGTAAACCCTCTCTACGACCTCCCCAAGTCCAAATGGTGGATGCAAGCCGACCGCGGATACGACGTTGTTCCTCCTCCCAAGGGCGAATTCCTCGAACTCCCAGCTGGAAAGTCCTTCATGACCGAACTCGCCAACAACCGCGCCTTCACCACGCTTTCGTACAACGGAGACTTGACTACTGATTGGCAAGACGGCAAGAACCGCTCTGTGTCATGGAGAGGTCCTGAAGGTGGCTGTCTTATGGACGGTGGTGATGGATCTGGTGGAGAGTTGCACACTAAAAATATTGAGTCAACTGGTGGAACAGCTTGGGCTATTTCGTATGAGAGTGATATCAGCAAGGTTATCATGGATAATCTTGTTGTGTTCTCAGTGCGATACTAGTAAGACAGTCTTGCTTCAGACTTGTTGTTCAGGTGGCTGACTTGTATAGTTCCCCTTTCTTTCGCGAGACTTGGTATGACGTTCCTGCCGATATGCCCGAGTGTCCAGAGGAGGGCTGCTACTGTGCCTGGCTCTGGATCCCAGATGGATGTAAGTTTTCGTCTTCCTTCTTCAGACAAACTATGACTGACAAGACATAAAGGCGGCCAGTCGAACATGTATATGCAGAACCATCGCTGCAAAGTTACTGGTAGCACTTCAACCAAGAAGCTAGGCAAGCCCAAGCCTGCCGTATACTGTCGCGATAACCCTACCAAGTGTGTTCCTGGTCCTAAGCAGATGATGGTCTGGAACCGTAAGTCTACTCCCGAGTAATTGCGCTATCGACAGGTCTAACTCTTTGTAGAAGCTGAAGGCAACAACGTCAACCCTCCTGATGGTAAGACGCCGACTTACAATCAGCGAATGGGTTTCATGGACGGTGCTCAAGATGACATATTTACTACTGAGTAGTCTTGATAGCGAAGTTTTGTGTACTAACAGCATATGTGAATACATAATAACTTTCATATTTAACTAAGAATAACTTGAGTAGTAGATGAAAAAAAGTTAAACTAGGCAGATAGAATACTGGAGCCCTGCAAATAAAGGTCTTAAAGACTTTATACGTCGATACATGGGCTGCCGTTGTGGGAAACTGAAAAGCTCTTAATAGGGCTCTTCTTAAGGGCGTCACTGCCACAATTTCCTGAGGTAACCGTACTCGACCACTCGCCGCCCTCACAGTCATACTCAGGGTAAATAAAGAGATTCCAGCCGCAGTTGCCAGCGCCGAAATTTTCACCATCATTGGTCTCGCCAAAGAGAGAAAGGATATCAACGGCAAAATTATCAAGGTTCTTGCAGGTTTCCACGTTATGTGAGTAACTTCCGGTAGTCTTGTCGCAATAGGTATCGGTGTAATATGTGATAGTGTAGTCAGGCCATTCGGCGCGCTTCTGAATGTTGGGAGACTGGTTGGAAGCTGGCATGGCTAGGGCGTTGCCAGTGAGGCTGGTGATAAGGGTAAGGGAAGTGATGAAGTTGAAATGCATTGTGACTTGTTGCGGTGCAGAGGCAGTGGGTTGACTTTTGTGAATATGAAGCAGAGTTGCTTGTGCTTTGTAAGATGTCTTGATATGAGAGGAGTAGTAGTTGTGTTTGGTTTGTCTGATGAAGAAGGCTTCTGAAGCAGGGACATTACATCTCTCTTATACCTTTTCAAGTCGCAGAGATAAACATTGGTGATGTAATGCTCATAAGCAACATATCCTACGGATGCCCACCAGGTGGAGAGGATCTTCAAAACCAAGAGGGCATATATGTGATACCCAACAGTTCAAAGCATCAAGGTACTTACAAGCCCCTGGCTATCTGCTGTCACCAGTAATGACCCGAGGTAGGCGCTGGTCTAATGCAACTGTGCTCCATGAAACATTCTAGGAACAGTTACAGTCATCTGGTATGTAAGTGAGCTATGCTGCAAGCTGAAGAGACAACAATTCGCCTCAGAGGCCAAGGTAATTATTACTAGGTAAATATATCATATTGAGACATGTCATTAAGTAGAGAGTCACTGGAGAGAACTATTACTTTACCGCGGAACGACTGTGATCACTAGGTTGTTGGTCCTGCAATTTGAGTGAAACTTCACGACAGAGTGCATTCCGCCTTACGCTATGGTATCTGTTGGTCGTGTTCATGACATCTCTTGGTCCCGTTTATAGTATCTGTTGGTTCCGTTCATGGCATCTGTTGGTCTTGTTCAAGTCGGTTGGTCTGTCTCACTCCACCTGCCAGGAAAGAATAGACAAATCATTCTTCCCGCACAGACATGCGTTGAAGAATCCATGCTACTATTATGGGGAGAACCACGGTATCCTAGTCTGCAGATCAGCGGTATTGACATTTGCTGGCAGTGAGCACTTACAAGTGCATAAAGACGACCTTGAGGCATATCCATTACCCGCTCTCCTATGGTGTTAAAATAATACAAAAATGCTTCATACTAGATACTGAAAAGAAACTGGTAAACAATAGTGTTGTGTCCTTTCAGTGCTAGATTGCAAGCCTGCCTAGTACCATACCTAGGTTTAAAAGGTTTCCAACTAATGCCTTTTCTATCTCTTCTTCCTTTCTTATCATAGTGGGACTGTTTGTATCTCATTGGAAAATTGATGTACAAGAACTAACAGCTAGAACTAACAGTAAGGTCCCTGTAGTTTCACTGGCTGAAAGTAATATAAAGAATACCTATGATAGCAGTTAACTAATCTTAGTTGTTGATACTTGATTAGTTTGAGTAGTATAAGCTTAGAGAATAATACTTACACTTTCTTAACAATTGTTTTTTCTAAAAACTTCTTCAGTAGCCTGTTAGTTGTTGGTTCAAGGTTACAGAGATCTGCATAGTGGAACTATCTGTGCGAGGATAGTATGCTAACTTGCAAGTTTTCAGGGCAGCTACACGGCATGACTTTTACAAAAGTTTACAGGACCAACAGAAGTCATAGCTTAACAATTACGTTATCTAGATACACACGGACTATCTTAAGTAAGTGATCTGTTATGGTCATAGACGGTGCTCAGGATGACATCTTTGCGGCCTAGTAGTCTTCGCCAGTAGGGTAACCTGTCCCTCTGGGAGGGTAAGACTTTTGTTCTTTACTTGCATGTTATGTCAATCTCTTTTTCACTCGCATTACCGTTGCAAAGCTCAACAAAGATAAGACAATGTTTGTCTATTATATCGTATATAACAGTAGCCTGGTCAAATCCCAATACCTCTACCCATAGTCATCCAGTGAACCTACTCTAAAACGCCAATTCGCTAGACTAAATATCATTTACCACGCCACTGCCCGTATAGAATCATGCGCTGCCCAACTTCCGGATCGTCTAGGTTGCTCCTCATCTTCGTCCTCGCCATCCGCTAATTCGGTATCCTCGTTACCCAGTGTTTCGTCACCATCGGCAACCTCCTCGGCCTCTTCTTCGCCGTCGCTCTCTTCAGCTTCATCGTCTCCTTCGCTTTCACTATCAGCGTCTTCTCCACTGGACTCGTCGGATTGATGTCGAAGATTGGGGAACATGAGCCCGGGGGGCACCTCCTGGTCGTAGTCCTCAGGCACGTCACTGAGATCACTCTCGTCATCAGCCGAGTCGTGGATAGAGCCTGCCTCGCTGTCGGCCTTTTCTTCGGCGCCATGCTCTTCGGCATTCTCGTCCTCGGCAGCTTCATCATGTTCTTCCTCCTGTTCATCTTCATGCTCTTCTTCGTCGTGCTCCTCTTCACCGTGCTCCTCCTCCCCGTGATCTTCCTCATTCTCGTCGCCGGCATCTTTCATGTCCACATCAACGTCGTGGCCAGCTTCGCGCAGGATCTGCGCATCGGCTCCTTCCTCATCACTGCCAGCATCACTTGCACGTTGTACAGGCGTATGGCTGCCACGCTTGCCGCTCGACACACTACCCACCCGGCTCTTGCTTGACTTGGGTGCCTCCAAAGCTCGGATAACCGCTTGTTCGGCCTTTCGCAGCACGTCCGGTCTTCTAACGCCGGTTTTTCTAGCCCGCGGCGCAGCTTCTTGCTTCTCTGTTTCCATAGGAGTCGCTGTGCCAGTGATACTCTCCTGTCCATTGGGAGCGTTGAGTATACTGGCAAGGGAGCTTGTAACCTTGGTCTCTGCCTGCGCTGCTTCGAGTTGGGCTGCGACTTCCTTCGCGTGGTGTCGCTCCTCCACAACCTTGCTAGGGTCCGGTCCAGGCAAGCTCTTAGCTATCTCGGAATAGATCCTGGAGTAGCAATCGTTGAGAAGATCGTCGATGGGTGCGACTTTCATGAGATTAGCATTGAGCTTCTTCAACTCGATAGTCTCCTTCATGCAGTTGAAGAGCGGAACCTCGGCGCCATCGCTCGCAGCCCAATCTGCAATCCGCTCACCCACAACCTCGAACTCTTCACTTGACAGTGCTTTGAACGCATCGTCTACTACAGGCGTCACATTGTAACCCTGTCGTAGAAGCTTGAGGTAGGCAATACAGCAGGATTGCCATAGGTCAGTGAAATGATAAAAGTCGGCGCCCTTCTTCCTGAGTCGTCTCAAGAGCTGTTCCAAGTTGCCCCGATCATTCATGATGACCAACAACTTGGTCATGAGGCGAACATATTGTTCTGTGTAAACGTGATGACGACCGGGCCTCTCGGCATCACATTTCCACACATTCATGACCATAGTCTTAGTGAACATACTGTCTCTGAGGATGCCGAATGCAGCCTTCGCTTCCACAAGTCTGTCGCTGGCGGGTGCTTCGTTGGCATCGTCGAACAGTATCTTGGCATGTCTGATGATAATACGATGCTGCCAATTGGCCTTGTCCTTATCTTTAAGTCGGGAAAGGTTGCGAATAATGTATTCCTCCCAATCTTCAGGTTCCGAGAAGGATGCATAATGATCCTCAGGGTCGACTTCCAGACCAAATGGCTGCTCGGATAGAATTTCAGCGGCCTTCTTCGATGGCAAGTCACCTCGCACCACCAGTTTGTGAAGAATTGAGACGATCTTGTAGTGTGGTTCGAAGATAGGGTCAGTGTTCCTCCCTCTTCGAGCATTGTGTGCCACCTTAACGGCCTTCTTAAGGGTGTCGATCAACAGGTCTAGGCTGACCTTGGAGGCCATATCCTTGACGTCAAGTTGGTCATCAGGAGTCTGATACATCTTCCAATAGCATTTGGAAAGCATGTAAGGGTTCCTATTTACTGTTAGATCCTGAAAGGGACGGTAAATTAATTTTCACTTACTTCCAGTTTTGTGCCTTTCGCTTCATTGCCATTCTGAACAGCTTGGCAGCAAACTTCCACACCTTGTACTCGTTCATTTGAGAATGCAGAATCCTCTTGAAGGTTCCCATTCCCATATCTTCAATAAAGTATCTCTCCTGGTCGGAGTGCTGGAATGGCTCCATGGCAAAAGGCTCTCGGCTTGACGCATACATTCTCATGGCGAATTTGTGGTAAAGATCGTGCAGTGGATCTCCATCATGCGTCTCAATGTCCACGTTACGGGAATGCGAGAGTGCAAGTGTGTAACAATGGATTGCATTCCGTTGGAACTTGACCAGCTCAGGACGTTCCTTATTCATCTTGTCAGCAGTCCAAAGAACCGCCTCATCCAGTTCGTAGTCAAAACATTCAGCTAGACGGAACCATGCATCCCATCTGTCTGCAGTGAATTGCAGTTGAAGTCGCAGGAAAGTCGCGCCGATACGCAGATCGTCAGTAGCGCCTGGGGTCTGACGACGGTTTAACTCAACACCCTTGAACTTTGTCAATGCCATCATACCCAACAAGAAGAACCAGCCATGTGTGGCAAGAACAGTCTCGGGGGTGTTAACAGACACAGCGTCTACTGAAACGTCCCCAATGAGGGCGCGGTATAGACGTAGAGGGTGGATCGGCTTCTTCAGATACTCAGTAAAATTGCGCAGGTTGTGATACATCTGCGGCGTTGACTTCGTCTGGCCGATAGTTTGTTGCATATGATCGATCGTCGTCTTGAGATCAGATTTGAGAAGATCCTTCATCGGCATGCGGTTAGCAAGAATGCAAACCCTCTCCACGAGCTGCATAGTCTGTCGCTTCTCAAGCTTCTCCGCTTGGCAACCATGATCCTGGACTTCCCAAACACCTGCTCCCAATTTGAGACCGTGCAAGTCATAGAGAACCTGGCCAAGGTAGTCTTCCCAGTTCTCGATGTTCTTCAGCTTCAGAAGCTCGACCCGCATCACCTTGAGGAAGATCTTGTTTGAAGCCTTGCAGAATTTGCGGATACCAATAACTTGGTGAATGGCCGCGAGGTAGTCAGCAAGATCGTTCTCGGGTCCGATGATGCAGTTGTCCTCGTTGATACCAGCTTTGAACATGGTGTATTGGAGGCACCATGCACGAATTTGCATCTCCTTCAGCTTGTTCTTGAGTGACGAGAAAGCAGCTTTAGAGGCAGCATTGCCAGTTCGTTCTGTCCTGATACCAATCCGAACCTCATCTTCGCACAGGCTCGCAACATGCAGCAAACAATTGATCTTGGCAAGGGCGGATGATGTAGACTTGATATGGGCATCATCAATGATCTCGAATGCCGTGTTCTCGTTGAGCGCAGAATAGAGAGCTGCAATCAACAGTTCATCTAGTGATTTTAGAGTACGCATGAAGAGCAATCGTCGAGATTCGGTTGCAGTGTTGACGTATGTTTCGCTCTCCAAGTCTGATACGATCAGTTCGATGCTCTTGAGGCAGCAGGAGAACTTTTTGGTGGGATATTTAATAGCATCGTAGGCATCCCCCAGACGCGACCACAAAAACAGCCTAAGCTCTGTACTGCTGTTGTGGAGGAACTTCCAGAGATCTTGCAGGCTTTGACTTGCGCAATCGGAGATGGACTTCTTTTGTTTCTCACTTGACTTGTCACTTGAGCTTGTGTCGTCGCTGTCATCGTCGTCTCCCGACTCAGAATCCGTTTCTTGATCGGGGGCGCATACTGTCGATGGGTTGAGAACAGGCTCCAATGTCTCAATGACATAGACTGGGTCGTCCATATTATCCTGAAATAGGCCGAGGAAAAAGTCCATTGTCGTTAGTTTGGAGATCTCGCGATCAGCAGCTGCCGGGGAAATCATCGGCATAACCACGTTATTAGGCAGCGAGATGGCAGGTACCTTCTCATCTGCTAGATGATCCCGTAGAGAGGTCCACATGAGGAGAATGTGCTCGCGTAGAGGCTGTTCCGAGTGTGAAGACACAAGTACTGAAGCCCACAAAAAACGTGCTATTAGGGGGTCGTTGGATGGACGATCTAACAGCTGGAGGTAAGCTGAGGCAATGTCGAGCCAGCGTCCGAGTCGATATTTGGTATCCATCCGAGTTGCATAATCCACAACGCTGCTAGGGTTGGTGATGAGTTCGTAGATATCGACATGCAGCTCAAAAAGCATGGGCACGATGGTTTCCAGCTCTTCTAACCTCTCAGCAGAGCCCGCAGCCAGTTCCAGCTCTTCAGTGATCTTATGATACAACACAGAGTCCACTTTGTTAAGCATCTGAACCACTGATAGCTTCATTTTGTCTGACCACTTAGCTGCTGCGTAACTTTGGCTGACAGCTCTGACCCATTCGTATGCGACGTCTTCGGCCGTCATCCAGGACCTGCAAGCTCCGATCTTTTTGGCAAAGGATCTCAGACCTTGTTGCTCGTTGAATAGGGGCATCGATGGCTGATCGGGCGAACCGGTTTTTGCGTGCTCCAAGAAGGAAGATGGTCCAAGACTGGCTTGTTCGTTCTTATGCAGGAAGACCTTAGCAACCTCTTCACGGAAGTCAACAAAGACACTTCTCAAGTCGCACGCAGCAAGATTGTTTATCTTTCCCAGTCGGTCTTCAGCAGCGCATGAATCAATGAGCTCATTGATGAAATCCAATGTCGATTTGTCGTCCACGCCCAGATTCTCCATAACACTCTTTGTCATTTGGAAGAGATTTTGGTCAGCACCTTGATAGGGCTGTAGTTGATTAGCAATTAGGGTGCTGGGGTCGGTCGTTTCCTCAGCTTGGAGAGTCTCTCTTCGTCGAACTCGCTTGCTGCGCTTTTCCGTTGTATTCTCCTCTTCGGCGCCATCTGGCAGTCCCGCTGCAGATTGCGATCGTTTTCTCGAGTCATTCGAGTCTTTCTGAGACTGGTCCGTGGCTTTCTGGCTATCTTCGGTCGCTTCCGATCCTGCTTTTTGTTCCTTTGGCTCTTTTGTGGTGGTCTCCTTTTCTAGCGATTTCTCCTTCTCGGTGGGTTTGGGGACTGCAACCTCGATCTCTGACACAACGCTCTCGGCTTCATTCGGAGGTGTCTCCATCGGAATATCTTCCAGACTGCTCTCAACAATCCCGTCACACGTATCGAAAGCTTCGGCTGTAGTTTCCAGGCAGTTGATGAGTATTGCTCCGAGATCAGCCCAGGATGACACAGACTTGGGTTCTTGGTCAGCATTGTCACCTTCGCCCATTTCCGTATCTTCTTGCGGCTGGTCCTGCGTATCCGAAACATTGGGCGGTATTAATGATTTGGTAGGATCAGGAAGAAAAGGAATGGGGTCCAGATGGCGCCTGAGGAGCGCAGGCATCTTCTTCTTGAGCCAGGGCGCCATGATCGGATGTGACAAAGCCATTCCATCGCCCAGCAGCTTCAATTGATCTTTCAGCTGTTCACCTGCCATTCCTTCCGCTAGTGATGGAGGGTCGACTTCCGCAACAGCCGGGTCATCATCTAACTCAATCGCGGCCTCCAGGCAGTATCGCTTGATGCGGTTGCTGTTCATGGCTCCAGCAAACCGGGCAGTCTTCCTCCAAAGCTCCGGATCAGAAGGATCCTGGTCCAAAGCAGTCATCCAGCTATCCAAAACCTTGCGCCCATCATCGTGGTATCTTAGCTGGGCCTTCTCCTTCCAGGCTGGATCGAGATGCGATACATCCTTAAATTTATCGACAAAGAATTGGCCATAGTTTTTGTAAGATAGGTAGAGCGCCTGGGCCAGACTTGCTGCAACTCCGTCTGCTCCTCCAGCATCCACATCGAGTCCTCCATCTGTGAGTGAGGGGTCCAAGTTGGATATTTCTGGTAAACCGTCTGCATGTCGCTCTGCTCGCTCGTAGTCGGTCTTCGCTTCCCTGTACTTGAAAATTTCGGATTCGAATAGTTCGTGGTATGCGGCTTCGGCAGCTTCGCGCGATCGGGGGCCTTGTGCATGAAGCTTTAATGCATTTTGGAATCGCTTCAGAGCTTCGTCGACCTAAATATGGTCAAAATCCGTCCAGACTTGGGCTGTTGTTCTGTGAGCTCACATGAATCTCCTTTGTGGTGTCGATCTGCTCGTCGATGTTATCCTCTGGCTCGAGGTTTATTGCTTGGAATGCCGGCTGTAACCTCGAATTAGAACAAATTTGTTGTATTATTGGGATATCTTACCATATTGGCGGTCGCAATTCTCCTAAAGCAACGCCCGACATTCGTAACCGCAGCAAAAAAATACTGGCTATTGCAATCTCAATGATTTGACTTTAGGAGTTTGGAGACAGTTCACTGTCTTGGCATCCATTTAATTGACGAGCGCGTTCTCAGACGCGGATCATTTGAGCCACCGTCAGCCACATCTTAGCTCTTCGTCTGTTCCTCGACACGTGGATGTGGCGGTGTTTAGTGCTGCACGTCCCTTTCTGGCCCGCATAATTCAGGGCAGTAGGGAGTACGTACAACTGTTGGAGCTGGAGCTATCAAGGCCAGATCCATCTTAGGGAGGGACCATTGGCATCTTACCTCGAACAAAGGACCCCTCGAATCGAACGACCTCGTCTATCTTCCTCCTTGCACATCACAGGAGGCGATTCCGACGATTCCCACCTAATATCAGCCCCTGATCCCCGATACCGATTACGAGAAGATCGCAGCCATGGTCGCGCCAGCCGTTCCTGAGTGAGGCGCAACACTACCGAGATGCTTGGCATCCACAATAGCTAATCTTGAACTAGAATTACCGAGGAGATTCTCCACGAGTCGATTGATGCCCGAACCGAATCTCTCGCTGGTCTTCGAGAACTCGGCCCTCCCGATCTTGTGCATCTCTTGAAGCACGGCGTCCGAAACCCAGCCAAGCAGGTACGCAAGCTCGATCGGCGCAAGGGAGACAACGAGCTGACTTCTCCAGACTGGCGTTTACCACCATGTTACCGGCGTTGATGCATCTTCATCAGCTAGCTTAGCAGCGTATATCAACACTTTGACATACAAAGAATCGGGACCAAATGCGACAAACAAGATCGTTGAGGGTGTCTTCTGGTACGTCATACTTCAAGCGCTTCCAGACCTCGTGGATGCTAACACTTGACAGCTGTTACAATGCATTCTCCCGACTTGACATGCGCGTGCATGTATCGATCCCCGGAACCGTAGAGAGCTACTGTGTCGACGAGCGAGGCGAGAAACGAAAGGCTTCAGAGGACCTCTGGCTAGAGACCTACCTCTGCAGCGTCCTTCGAGCATACTCATATGCCGACGACGGCAGCGGCGATACGATTCGAAAGATCATGGGTGTTCGAAGATTTAATCCTGTTACAAACACTGAAACTGAGCATCGATTCCTTCATGCTGCAGAACAACTCTTCTTCAGGGGTATGTTGTCTCCTACCAGCCTGCTATGCCCAGACTAACCTTCCAGGATGGCAATTGGGATCCGATTCTGTGGTCCAGGTGCCCACCAACGTGTCCAACCATCTGACTACTGGTCTCCTCAAATACCTCGAAACGACCGGCCGATATGCTTCTGGAATCAACCTGTTTGAGAAGCTGCGAACACAAAGTGTTGAGGTTTCGTCCCTACTAGCAAAGGTCATGTTCATGGGTCACGAGGAGGTTGCTGGTGTCAGAACTCTTCACCAGTCTTTGCAAGAGACTCCTATGGATTATGTTATGCTCGACACCCAAGCCGAATTTCTCCTACACAAGGCCAAGGGTGCATCTACTCCTGAGCTCAAGGAGGAGAGACTGAAAATGTCCCTGGGCTGTGCGGATCGAGCGACAGTTGCCGCCCCTACCGAATTCAGCACTTGGGCCAGACTGGCTCAGGTCTATGTGACCATGGAGGATTGGGACAATGCGCTCACAATCCTCAACTCATGCCCTATGTTCACTTACCAAGACAAAGATACCCCTATGATGCCAGAGCCAAAGGAAGTCATTCTACCAACCCTTCCTGAAACTCGCCTTGATGAAATCGACAGCGAGCCTGAGTCGAGATACTCGGAGCAGGTTGACCCTAGCTTGCTCAACCTGCGAGCAGCATCCTACAGAGGCACCTTCAAGAAGGCTTACGATATTCTGACCGAGATGACTGCAAAGATTGGTTGGGATCAACTCTTGAAAATTCGCAGCAATGTATTTGTTATGGAGGACGAGTACCGCACAGAGAAGCAGGAGTCTACCCATCCAAATGCCTCGAAACGAACCCCAAGCACCGATGGTCTGCGAGGCACACCAGATCAAACCGTCACCGGGGACGAGGAGACAGAGGGTCAAAACTCAGAGAAGCCTGCTGATGAAGCTTCTGAAGCGGAGACCAACTCTGACGCTCCCGCCACCAATGGTGATGGTGAACAGAAGATTGAGAAGCCAGCAACCGTCGTCGACCCAGGCGAGACAAAGCCTGATGCCGAGGTAAGTTCGAATGATATCATTCTCGAACCAAGCTAACAGTTACAGACCACCAAGAACGACGAACATCTGTCCAAGCTCAACACCAAGCGTCTTTGTGAGCGCTGGCTGGATAGCCTCTTCATGGTTCTCTACGAGGATCTACGGGTTTATACAATCTGGCGTACCCAAATGGCTCAATACCGCGCCCAGCAGATGCAGTACAAGAAGTCTGCAGAGGAGTGGGAGATCCTGGGCTCTCTTGCCGAGCGTCTCCAGCACATGGACGAAGCCGTCGAGGCGTACCGCGCATGCCTTTCCATCCGCTTCAGCCCTAAGGCCCTGGCGGGCATTCTGCGTGTCTTCGAGAAGACTAAGAGCACAAGAGAGACCGTGGCATCCGTCATCCGATTAGTTACATGGCAGTACCGATGGTACAGCGAGTTCAGTCCTGAGCTGTTGCACACAATACGGACTCTGATCGAGGACGAGGGAGCAGTCAAGGTCCGAAGCATTATCCAGGCGACAAGCTTGCCTCAGAACGTCCTGGACCTGACGCATCACTATGCTGCGCTGTGCGCGACATTCAGAAGCAGCGGTACCGATGGCTAGAGTTATGTGTTTCAATGGATTTTGTCGCAGGTAAATGGTTAGATATACATGGAGGAGATGGGAAGCGGAACAGCCTAATTGACGATGTCCCTCCTTTTGGTAGGGTCAAAAGTTGACTTTTAAAATTCCCCTAATTAGCGATGTGATTTATTGCTGTGATACCCAAGGGTAGTTGTGGCTGCTAAGAGTAGCAATGAGATAAGAGAGAATAAATGCATACTTCCAGCTACTGGGTATCTATTGGTTCGTTCGGTTTGCTTCACTGTTAGCCAAATGCAGCTATCCACATGCTGCCTTTTACTTGTTGGTGTAAGTGCGATGTCTGCACCCGAATGCACAGTATATATCATACACCAGTAGCAGTTTCCCGTTGGCTCGTGCCGTGAAAAGACAACCTTTTGATACAGCTTTACTAAGAAACCCCTTCGAACTACGTGCACATTTTATATCGTCTGTACTGAATGCTTCTCGTTCGCATGATCGTGATAAGGTTTTTCAGACCGGGTCTTTGGTCATTGACTTTATTGTCCTAAAACTAGAGATCTTCTAACGATTGACGTTGCTTAAGACGTTGTATCAAATACTATGTAATTTCTTTAACGTTGTATAGACCGTAACTTTTGATGTTGAATGGGTAGACGCAGTCTTGCTTGGCCCACTTCAAATAGATTGCTTGCTGTTTCTTGTTGTTTCATCCATGGATGCCCCACACAAGCTATTGTGATACATGCCCCAAGTTTAGAATAGAGGAATAAGACTGCAGTAAGCCTTTGACAGAATCTGCCAGGTAATTAATCACCGATTGTTTGAACAGCTATGTCCTGGCTGATTCAGTGACTCACAATGGAATATAATGCAGGCCAGGTACCTTGCGCTATAGAAGTTGGCAGTTTATCTGTTACAGGCAGCAGAGTCGCAGCTTCCTTTATGCTCCAGCAGTACCCCACTATCGTCATTCCCTCCACCCTTTCTCCAGCTCCAACTTTCAATAACATACATCTGACATCAAACCCGCACCTCTCATTCCCATCAGTTTATTGTCTACCAATTCATCACGATACTTTACTGAGTACGACCGTACTTAAAATACCAGGAGGGAAGGATTAAAGTCGTCATCATATTCCCCACTCATACATAGCTCAGCTACACCACCTTCACAATGGCCAAGCGCATCACCAAGGTACGTCTTCTCCTTCCCATTCTGGCTTGACTTGTGCCTCATCTAACACAACCTCAGGAATTCGCCGAAATTTCCCAAGAACCCCCGGAGGGCTTCTCCGTGTCTCTTCCTCCCAACGAGTCCATCCACACCTGGCACGTCACCCTGTCGGCGCCCCCCTCGACCGTCTACCACCCAGGCAAATTCGGCATCCTCCTCACCCTTCCCACCGACTACCCCTTCAAGCCCCCGGTCGTCAAGTTCGTCACCCGCATCTACCACCCCAACGTGACAAACGACAATCTCGGCAACATCTGCTTGGGTCTCCTCAAGCCGGACGCCTGGAAGCCCAGCACGAAGCTCTACGCCGTGCTGGAGGCTCTTCGCAACCTTCTTGAAGAGCCGCAGCTCGATAGCCCTCTCGAAGACCGCATTGCGCAGCAGTACCAGAACGATCGACCTGCTTTTGATCAAGCGGCTAAAAAGGAAGTCGAAAAGCATGCCATGGGCCCACCTACTTTCCCTCCCAACGCCTAGGTAATGTCTATTGGGATTTAGGGCAACTTGCTGTATGAGGACAACTTCTAGTTTACAGTCGACAAACTTGGCAAACTAAAACATCTTGAACGTGGATGCGGAGAGTTTTGGGAACGAGGAATGGATCAAAGCAAAGGTAACAGTCAACTTAAACACCCATAAGGGGTATGGCCATGAGGGCACTTTCATCTCGTATGGCTAGACATCCTTGGTATTGAGCTCTCAGGCCTTTAACCAAGCTTATGAAATAAACGAAAGTACATAGATGTTATGGTGTTAAACGTGAAACATTTCATCACATGGAGGCAGTGCGCGTTTGACCGTCGTGTAATTATCTTTCATTCCATTAGGGTATCAAAAGTTTCCCCCAAATCTACTCCTCGACAGGTTCTAGCCAGTTCGTACGTAATTTTCCCTCCCCCTTCTATATGAAAAGCAAGCACCACCAGGACCTTTTGCCAGTCCTTACAACCTTGCCATGTCCCTTGTGTATCAGTTCACACCAAGTGCTCTTTGGGGGCGTGGTGGTGCGTTTTTGTCTTATCGCAATGCAGCCGTAAACCATCGTCATTAAATAAAACAATGTTCCTTTTTGGGTACCATTCCATCCTGTACATTCCAACCGTACCAACGCTGTTCCCTCCCCGCTGCTTTGACGTACATACATAGTAAACAAACAACTCCTCTGTGTTAGAGGCAGCTGAAGAATAAAGAAAAATGAAAATGAAAGAAGAAAAGTTGGAGTCGAAAGAGAATAGAGGAGAAAAAATGCAGACACAATGCGGGCTAAATCGATAAAGAGACATGCCTTCCATTGAAACGCCGTTCCATGATGAGTGTCGGCGGCTTCCACGACCGTGTTGGCGTGTGCCGGGGTGTGCCGAAATGAGAAAGAAGCTGATAGAAAATGAGATGTTGAAGGAGTGTTGTGGGTGTACAAAGAGATGAGAGGTTGTGAGGTATGTTGTTGTTCGTGGCTAAGACGTTTAATTTCTTAGTTGTTCCATGTCTTGCCTTGGCGGACTCTATCCAATTGTGCCTTGGCTCGACGTTGCTGACGTTTCTCGTCAATTTGAACCTGACTGAGATGCCCGAAGCCATTCCGCCTCTTGAAGCAGGCCTCCATAAGGGCGTTGGCATCGATCAGGCGGCGGGGCATTGATTGCACCACGCCAAACATTTCCATGGGATCGCCCACTGCTCGGATCTCGCTCTCGCCTTGCTTGAAGATGGCCAATGCAATGCGGAAAAGTGTCTTGGATCCTTCATAGAAGAACACATCCCATACGCGGAGGGTGGTTTCGATAGGGAGTGTTCCAATGAAGCAGCTCATGAACCATGCCGTCATGCAAAGTGTAATCGGTGGAAGTCTGTCTGTAGGTGTTGACATGCGTGCGAGTTCCTTGCGGCGCGAACGAGTAAGGCGAATCGACTTGCTTGTGGAGGGTCGGGAGTTGGGATCAGCCTCAAGCTCTCCACCAACCTTATCCCAGACAGCAGGCATAGAAGTGCGCATCTCAGTCATGAGCACTCCCAAGTCAATCTTGGAACCCTCGAGACTCATCTCATGGGTACCAGGAAGATAGATGCGTGTGATAACGTTCAATAGCCAAAAGCATTGCTCTTCGGTATCAACAAAGAGCAGCAGAAGACCAGCCAAGAAGTTCAAACTTTGACAGTAACCAATGCGAGGGTTGTACACAGCGAAAGCGTGAAGCACACGGCGGAGGGAGGTAATGATGGGTGTCTCTCCTTCAACATTCGGGGGAGCTGGGCTGGAGCTGCGAGTGGAATCCGTCATTGTCGACTGGCTTTCTCTAGCGCTGCTTGACGTTGTTTCCATGCCACCGGGAGGCTTGAACTTAATGTTGTCAGGGAATGTGCGGTGCAGATCTCGCTCGATAGCTTCAGCATCAACGTCCTTAGCTCGTTTAGTCGTTAGCTTATCGTAAAGACCCGAGTGCTTGGCCAAAATAGCTGGTCCGCCAGCATAGTAAAACCAAGCAGCGCCGCGCCATTCCGGAGGAATGCCCTTGCGAACAAATCGTTTCGTCTTTGCGTTAGGAGCAGGAAATCGGTTAGGGTGGTCTGTCATCAGAGCATTGTCCTTGAGATACTGATTCCACTTCTTCTTTCGACGAGCCAGGTACTCGCTGTATCCGGCATTCCAATTGTCGTATTGTTGTCGCGTCACATACTGGTTCTCCTTCTTGAAACCATATCGGTCACGAGAGCCAGGGTCCTCAGGCTCCACGGGCTCGGGAATGGCAACTGGAGGAGGCGTTGAGACTGGCTCAGGCTTGAGCTCGGCCTTGGGGGCCGGTGTAGGCTCAGACACAGGTTCGGGTGTAGGTTCGGGCACTGGCTCTGACGCGTATTCAGAGTTGACCCTTGACTCGGGGGTTTCGGGTCGGTTGGTGGCTTCAAATACGGGTGCCAGGGTAGATCCAGGTGGTGAAAGAGGTGCAGCGAATGTTTCTGAGCGCGCAGAGCCAGGCTCGGCGATGGAAAGAGGTTTGTGTGATTTAACGGAGGGCTCTGAGTCTAACGACTTGGCCGAATCTCGTTTTTCGGGGAGTTCGGGGCTGCTGTAGTTTTCCACCACATGCTTTTCAGCAATGTGAGGTACAGATGATGTAAAGGCTGGTGATGTAAAGATCATCTTGGACATTCGAATTTCCATATCGAGTGTTGAAGTGGATTCCTGGACCTCTCTTTGTGGGAAATCCTCATCATCCTCATCATCTCGAATGCTTCGTCTTTGACCCATGTCGGATTGTGATGATACTGGTCGCTTGTTTGTAGTGGTGTTTTGGTAATTCACCTCTTCGTCGTCGTCGTCGAAGCCTCGCTCGTACATGCCCATAACATCATCAAGACTCGGCTCGTCGTGATCAGCGTCGGGTTCGTTGTCAGGGTTGGTTTCTTGCTCTGCGCTTTCTCGGCTAGGGTATAGTGATGTAACAGAGCTGTCCTTTGTGAGAACACTGCTTCGCTCGGTGACGGCGGTACCGGGCGCAGTTATATCTGTATACTGAGAGCGATAGCTCGAGCGCAATTCTTCACCACTCATCCACGGGGCGATGACAGGGCTTGGTGAGGCAGAGCCTCCGTTGGAGTAGCTCAAAGGAGGCCGTGCTGCTGACGATGTCGCACCAGTAGCCGTCCGAGCACGAGGCGCTCTTGGGTCATAAAAGTCGTTGGGAGGAGGAGGAGAGATTACAGATTGATAAGTTGAAGAAGATTGACAAGAAGAAACTGAAGGGCCACGAGGACGTTGAGGAGGCCAAAGGGGATGTTGAGAAGAAGTAACGAGCTCCAAATACTGGTCGGCGGGATTGGGACCGGGGTTAGATGTAGCGGTCCCTGGGGCGTTGTGGACTAGTCGTGGCTTAGTCGCGTCTGCGATTGGCTGGCGGATACTTTGCTTCCGCGGCCGCGAGAAGTTCTCCACGGCGGGTGGCAGGGTGTCGTAGGCGCGAAGGTCAGCCAGTGACGATTTGGATGTCAGAAATGTCGGAGATGTGTTTCGGGAGTCAACAGGAGTGCTTGCGGCAGTGTCGTAACTTAGAGGAGACGGAGAGTGGGGAGAGTCGAACGGAGATGCTGCACGTTGCGATATTGATTGTCCGAGCATGAATTTTGAAGGGTTGGACATGGAGTCCCATCTGGGCGAAATCGGCAGAGGAGGTAAATGTGACAAAGACTCGTCCGAAGGTTGACGAGCATGGCGGTAGGCGGCGCCAAATGGCTTGAGCTGCATACGAGGCGATGCTAACGGAGACATCATTGGTGAAGTCATCGGTGAGGCATAAGGCGAAGGCGAAGCCTCACCTGTCGAAGCACCGGGCATGAGGCTGTTCTCGCTGTCTCGTTGTCGATTACCGTAAAAGGCAAATTTTGTTCGGGTTGCATTTGGCGAACCCGGAGCGTCGGGTACAGAGATGGCGAGGGGTGGCATGGTGTGCTGCACACTGGAGGGTCGAAGAACTCGGTTCGTTTCGATTTAATTGACTGCTGCTGGGCGCCAGAGGCTGGCAAAAACTTTTGGTCGCCCAGCGGGCAGGATTATGTGCCGCTGGCAAAATGAAAGTTTTGTTTCTGAATCAGTGGGTATAGTTCGTTTTTCGTTGTAGTCGTTTCGTTGCGTGATGGATGTTCAATTAGTCACTTCACTCTGCCTGCTCTACTGCGGCCTCCTTCCTGATGGAGTCGTAGCAGCACAAAGAAGAGGTTGAAATGAACGGGTTGGATTTGACAAAATGTAGCAACAGCTCTTGGCCATCGCTGTCGGATCTAGAACAGAAGATTGAATTTGCGACTGGAATTTTGGCACAAGTCGAGCCAGAACGAATGTAGTGTTGGATACGATTGGATTCGAAGGATCGGCGGATCGTGATCGAGGGGGGCCGAGTATTGTTTCGGTTTCGAGTTGTCGACAAACCAGCTACACAGCACAACGAAGAGAAAAAGAAAGAAAGTTGCTTCGTTTCAGTCAAAAAGCAAAGGCTATCTAACCAAAGGAGTCGGTCGGAAGTCGGTCGGTGTAGAAGAAGACAAGCGAGAATAGTCGGTCTCGAGAAAGCGTTCCGGTGTGGGATGGTTCCAGAGGTATAGTTCCAGTGGAAATGGAAAATGATGGGGCACAGTCGAGACCCCACGGTTAAAGAATTGACGCCGAATCTCGTCTCAGACAAGAACAAGACAACCTGATCCAGTCGGCGTATAGTAGTCGATGAGAAGAATAATGCAAATCAACAGCTTCAGCCGTGCTTGGTGCTTTTGGAAAGTAGAAAGTAGAAAAGTTCGCAGCACCTACGCAAAGAAGCACCCTGCGCGAAAGCGTTGACTCTTTGACTGGGAACTGGGACTGGGACGGGGAAGCCGGATTGGCAGGGCGGGTAGAACGAATTTCAATGACCAGGATGTTCTCGCTGTTGGAGCCCAGGCCAGGGCAGGAAAGCGCCGGGGGGTAACCTTACCGTACTGTCGCTTACAGGGCTACAGTCCAGCTACAGGGGAGCTCGGGCGCCGCTGTAATATGAATCCGTCTCTACAGGGAGACGAGATGCATCCCAAATGAGTGATAGAACCGATGGATCGATATTATAATCGATCACAAACTTGGAAGTTGACAAGCTAAAAGAGGGAAGCTTGGGCTTCGATACGTTTGTAGTTTGTGTTGATGTTGAAGCTCGTGTCAATAGGTAGCGAGGAGCGAAGAGAAAAAAAAGTCTTTTGGACGCAGTGGACAGCCCGGACGGAAGTGATCCCACCTCAGGGACTAAGAAATGAGACAAGGGAGAGCGACTGGAGAGCGACAAGAACCATGAGAACTGGATCTGTTGCAGGTGGCGCGGGGAGAAGAAGAAACGAGACTCAGCCAAGACAACAACCAAGACCAATACTTGATTGCGAGTGACCCGTGAAAGCACGTCAAGAAAGAAGAAAAACGCGATCTTCTACGTTACAGGTTCCTTCAAAGGGGGAATCACACGGACAAAAAAGATGGCACAATTCAGGTCCGTCTACATACGGGGGCCATACAGAGGCCTGCCAATATGTGTAACTGTTACAGTGCCTCTAGGCTCTAGGTGGTGTTGGTGCACCTCGTCGCTTTCCAACGTCCCAGCGGGCGGCGTCTTCTCCGTATGGCTGTTTGTTACCCATCTTTCACGAAATCTCCAGCTACAGTGGACTGCAAAGAAAAACCAGCCGACCCAAAAGACCACCAAGCAGAACTACCAGACCAACTCCCGAAATATCATTGGCCGAATAGCCACCCCGGGGAAGCAACGCTGCTGGGCCCTTTTCAGCTGGTGAAGGCTCTTTTTTGGACGCTAAATTGTTGGTTTAGAGGGGCCCGTTATTGAGTCAGTCGACACCAACACCAAGTAGGCCTCTATGGCGGGGGTCGAACCAGGATAATGCCGTGAGCCAGGTATGGTTTAATAGGAAAGTGACAAGAGACACATGCGCATTCTAGATATAGACAGGTATTGTAGGTTTGGATTGAGATGGCGTAGGTGAATGCGGTGGTGGATAGCCCATCGTCCAGAATATGCTTATCCCATGGTGTTGCGATCTTGACGAGAAAAAACAGGGGTTAACAAAAAGTCTAACTGTGCCTTACACGATGGCAGCCTGTGAAAGCCAAGGACGGACGGATGTTTGGAACAAGGGAGGGACACGACACGAGTATCCAGATAGAACAGTCTTAGCCAACTGTACGGGAACCAGAGACAGGTCTATTCCTAGTGTCTGTGATGAATCTCGCAAAAGGGCAAAAGATCTACCAACAGAGAGCCACTGTCTAAAATATCACTATCACTTCTTGCAGCTGGAGAGCAACAGAGACAAAATAGTAAGGTCACTCACTTATCCGCGTTTAGACCTTGGACTAATTATTTGAGACGCCCGAAACCTAGCAGTTGTCCCTTGATCGAATAATCTCATCGACAGCAGCTCTCAGACTCTGCACGTTACCTATGATGATTGTTGACGGCATACAGGTAATTGCAATGCCTAAAGGCTAAAGGCATCCTGTTAGTTCAGATCATCCAGCCAACAGATCTATCATCCCTTTGATCCGTCTCATTCAACCAAGCCTCATTGGACTCTACAGGACCTTCCCCTCTCGAATATGGGAAGCAAATTAAACCTGCCCCTCACGCCAATTCTTTCCATCTCATCACATCACAGTCATATGCGTTTCAACGAGCTGTGCCATGTGTTACAATGCCACCACCACTAGACGAAAGTGGTCCTCGCCAAAAGAAGGAGAAAAAAACATTCCCCATTCGCGTAGACTGAGGGTTTAGAATGGAACCAAAACCACCGTTCGTCAGTCCAGCTTTCTCGCTAATTAGTAGCTCTAATAAGCCCATGCTCCATGGTCCGGCAAAGGGGGCCGACCAACGACCAACTCTCCCAAAAGGTCAAAAGGCGCTGCACCGTCTCTACGGGTTCCTCCCGTCAACGTTGACGTTTCCCAAAAGAATACAAGCGGCACCGCGGCCTGGCGCTGGCTGCCCGACTGGCGTCTCTCTGCCCACATCGGGTAGTCATCTCCCCTTTGCTAGTGTGGTGTAGTGAGTGGGATGGGAGAAAAAGGCTCTGCTAGACTTGTTCTGCAACCGAGCCACAGCGCTCTCCAGTCGACCACTTGATGGCGTCAAGAGACAGATTGAGAGTGGAGGAATTGAGGATAGTCAACCAATGAGATACATTTCGTTCCTGGATCTTACTGTGGCTGCGGTACCTGCAGGGACATGACTGCAACCCTGGTTTTTTCTCTTTTCCTTTTCTTCCATTTATCCTCTTTCCCCTCTCAGTTAATCCATGCCATTAAACTAAACATTAGGAAATTAATGAAAACATTTCAGGCCATATTATCCGTTCAGCTGAATAAATTACGTCGATGAACAGGAGAGACGTGCACCGGCAAACATTCCAAGGCACAAAAAAAAACATTCATTATCCATATTTTAATCCATGTTCCCGGTAAACTTAAGAGCTAAGCTATTAGTGCTCTGAGTCCATGTCTGTACATAGGCCCAAATACTCGGGGCCGCGTTATGTTGCATAGCGTCGCTGACGCATCGCAATATCATCTACCGTGAATGGATGCGTTCATGTACATAGCGTCTTTCACAATCTCGATTTGCACACGATCTTCGCAGATGTTTGTCCCAGCGATTCAAATACGATTTTATGCGGAGTGGGAAAGGGACGATCAACCAGGCAGGGCAGGATACGACATCCTTGCCCGTTGTTCCGGTGAAAAGCTTCTGGTGAACTTCGAATTCTGGTGATCTACAGAGAATCGAGATGACACGCATGGATTATGTAACCGTTCAACTCGCTCCGCCAGTCCGCGTCTCCGTGGTCATTTCAACGACGGTGGAAGCTTCTATGCCTTGGATTCTTCGGTAAATTCTTCTCAAACTCTCCACTTGATGACAGTCAGGGGAAAAGAAGTGACCTCACAACTTGCTGCATTTAGACGAAAGGAAAAACTCAACATCTACGGATACAAACTCCATCGTTGTGCTTTAGTGTACATGGGCAGCAACCACTCACACGGGAGCACAGGCTACTCAACGTTTAATCTTATTTGCTCCGTAGCTAAGTTCACCAAAACTTAACTTAAAGCAAACATTACTGTCTAGGTTAGGCAGCTCAACCCATAAAGATCGGAAATAATAAGTCGAGCAAGGAGCCAGCTTGTGTCTTTTCTGGAAACTTGGTGAAGAACAAGTTAGCCTCGTCTCTCCCCCGCTTTTTGGTGGAAACCCTGCCATGAGGTGGATGACCCCTTGGAAAGCCTGTCGAGCACGAGGCATTCGTTGACAGGTGCGTAGGCGAAGGAGGATTACCTGCCGACCGCCCCAATACCGTCGAGCAATGGGAGATGATGCTGACGACAATCCGCGGGAGAGCGTCGATTGCAGGATCGCGAGGCTTAGACATGTGAAGTCGTAAGTGTTACGTCTTGATGAGGAAGAAGGATTCGAATGTGTAATTAGAGAGAATTGGTGATATCGGCTTTCACATTCCTGCCCAGAGACATGCGTTAATAGCATGTGAGACTAGCGGTTACTTAACTGCACATATTATATGCATGTTTCTAAGATCCATGGGGGGTCCCTAAACTCATCTCGGTAGGTGTTCATCTTAGTTATGCCCACTCCGAACCGCCGGGTCATGATATAGACCCCGTCGTCATTAACCGTCGTCCAGGGAGAAGTGACATTTTTTGTTTGTATCCGAATCCAAACAAAGCATTGCTACGCGTGATATAGCTCACGACCGAGGCATTGAGGGCACGTCCGTTCCACGTCCGAGCTAGCAACCCATCATCTCTTTTCCAAGATTCAGCCCAAAGCCATCGCGCAATTCCAGCAACGGTTCCCGGCTTGGCTGTGAGCACAGCTGAGAGGCAGGCTAGACTCGAGTTGGCTTTGCAAAGGGTCGTTGCCGACAGACAGGGTCTTTCGGTGTCAGCTTCAGCCAGGTAAAACAAATCGCTCAGCAGCGCCTGTTTCATCAGAGGTAATTGCGGATGAAGGGTCTTCTTGAGCTCACTTCCACAGATGAGACTTCCACAGATGAGATTGGGAGGATCGTCGGTGGTGGCTTGGATGTATCACCACTGCAAGCCTTCAGATAGACATTTCCGCTCGCTCGGTGTCAAGTTCGCTAAACCACCCAAAACCGCGGATAGGTAGCATGACCATGATGTCTCGTAATGAAAGAGCTGCGATGCTTCATTTCTGCCGACGTCTCTATGACGACCTGATATGTTTTGTTCAATGCGTTCTGAACTTGTTAGTCAAGTGCGTCAAATCAAGGGCGATCGGAAAGACGGGAAGCAAAGCAGGGAGAAATAAGACACACGTCTAAGACCGTCCATGTTCCTGTCTCTCGGGTGTCTCTTTTTGCTCTTTATTTTGTTTGTTGCATTAATCAATTTTAATATGTTTCCTTGGGCGATATCAGGGTTGCTAACTGTCGTCGTCCAGCCAGCAAGGACGGTGGAATTGACGACATGGCTCGAGGTCTCGGAGCGCCGCCGGCAAGAGTCACATAGTTGAGCGGCGTTGAAAGCACGCGTCAGTTTAATTAAAGAGTTTGAAAGTAATCAATCAACAAAAACAAAGATTGATAACCAAAAAGCAACATCTTCTGTCATCATTCAGCTTCACAGTTCAATGGTGTCAATCCTACCCTATACTGTCAGATACCACGTGACCGGAGCTAGAGCTCCTCTCTTCTCCTCTCATGCTCACAATCACATCACCACGCATCGATGACGCCAGTCCTGAACTGTGTTGGGTTGGTCAACAAGATCGGATCGCCCAATCTCCGGCTTTGGTTCGGCCAAGGGGTCAACCGTCACTTCTCGTCTCACTTCCATCATCCTTGAAGCAAACAACAAACACCGGAGAATCTCGCCCCGTCCTCCGTTCCAGGTTCAGCCTCCGGTTTAATTGAAAGAGAGGCCCGAGCTTTCCCGTTTCTTGGGGAAGTTGAAGTGACATGTTACAGAGCTGTCTGCAGCTCCGTTCGTCCTTGTTTCAAGAGATGATGCTGATAAGAAAAGAGCTCGTATCGTCTTGCAAGTGGAGGGTATCATCCATCATTAACAATTGGCGCTGCAGCTCCTGATCGGATGAACGGCCGCTGTCCAAGAAAACAGAGATGGCAGACAAAAGGTCCCAGCTTCCGGTGATTTCTTGAGATTCCGAGACACTTCCATCCGGCTCTGAGCTACAGTGAAAGTCCTACGTCACGTACAATCGGATACGGGGAGCAGCTGTTTGCCCAGCCACTTCCACTTCCACTTCCAGTGCCCGCGTTCTCACTCTGCCCTCTCTGTACTGTACCAGTGTACCTCCTCTACTGTATGTCAGGGCTGGGCTATCTTCCCCGCTCTCTATTCCCTTCTCTATTGTTCTCTACCCTGTTCTTCGTCCCGCGCACCTCGATGAGCAAAGCCGGGAAAGGTAAAAGCCCAAAGCCAAAGATCACTTCGATGCTTTCCGGGTACCTATTCCTTTAGTCAGGATACTGATTGGACACCAGCCATTCAGGTCCATTGCGCGTCCTTCCTCTCTTTGGCTTTGGCTGTCGCCCTGATCGACTGACCTGACCTGGAAGTCTGGAGGCTGGCGGTTCGCAAACGGGAGCTTGTTGACCTGACCTGACCTGACCTGCCTTACCTTGCAATGCCATGCCATGCCATGCCATGCCTTGCAGCTTACCTCCGGGTGGATTGTGCCTTGTCCACACCAAGAAGCTGGGCCACCCAATACATCATTAGATCTCAAGCTCGTGGGACTGTACCTCGACTTGCCGCAGTTCTCCTTGCATTCCCATGTATCCGTTACTTGAGTTCCGTTAGTGATGTCCATACTATAACAGTCATGGAGTGTATCCAGTGATGGGATGACTACGACATCCGCAATTGGCTGAATTACCAGCTCCAGCTCACACAAGCTCTGCTCTCGGGCTGTCTATCGCTTTCACAGTTACTGTTACTGTCGCCCTCCAGCTCCAGCTCCTCACACGCAGTTGCAGTCTCTCCCACCCTCTACCCGTTCCCACTCCCCCTGCTTTGCTCTCCTCTCTCTCTCTCCTCTCTTCTATTCTGTTCCTGTTTTGCTTTGTCTAAGCTCTCTATCTCGTGCTGTACCTTGCCCAACCTTTAAAACCCTCTCTTATCCCCTGAGAGAAACGTCTTGTTCCTCTAAACTTACCAATCGCATTCCCAAAGACTCCATTGCACCACCCAGCTCAGCTCCGTAATCCACCATGTCCCGCAAGAGAAAGCAAGACGAAGAGGAGGAGGAGCTCGTTTCCCTCCCTGAAGACGATGATGGTGAGGAGGAGGAAGAGTAAGTTCTATTTGCTTTTCTCTCACATGTTGTTTTCTGTGATTTTATTCGCGGACGTCTTCAATCGCCCAATCGCATGTTTGTTTGGTTGTGCGGCTGGCGCTATTCGTTGCGCAGCCTACCAAGTATGCGCGCGCCCATTTGATGTCGCATGTGCAATGAGATGCGCCTCAACGCGCTGCCGTTCAACGCGATCGCACTCATTCATACGCGATGAATTCCAATCGCATTGCATTTGACCTTCCAATTCAATCTCGGCTTGCTTCCTACGATGCCGACCCAGTGTTTTGTTCATGATGGTTGCATTGTCGCAATGACGTTTGGCTGACAGCATGCGAATAGGTACGTCTCTACCGCAGACGAAGAAGAACAAAGTGAAGAGGATGAAGATGCTGAGGAAGAAGAGGAGGAGGAGGACGACGAAGCTGATGCAAAGGGTAAGTCCTCAATGATGATGTTGGGTGGGCGTGCAATGCATGGTCGATACTCATGCATTACATCGCCCCCGATCCAACTACGCAATCCTGGCCGAGTCCTGGCCAAACTTTCGAATAGAACATATGCTGACCATGTTGTATAGCCGAGCCTCCTGTGAAGAAGCGCAAGACGGCCGAGGCGGACGCTCAAGAAGCTAATGGCGACGCCGAAGAGGAGGAAGAAGACGATGTCGATGAGGAGAGCGACCATGAAGGTGGAGCCGAACTCGAAGAGGAGGACGAGGAGGATGCTGAGGGCGACGAAGAGACTGCCGATGCCTCTGCTCCAGCTAAGGAGGGTGTCAAGGCTACTGAGGCGCCTGCTGCTACCGAGACTCCCGAAGCAAAGGCGGTCACGGCTGGTGGTGACGAGTAATACCAAAGAGGTAGCTTGTTTTGTCGTATAGCAATCGTTCCCTTTATATTATATCAAGATTCCAGCTTAGGCTCAATAATGTTTTGGTGACTGAACGAGGTGTCGTCATCGTCCATATGCATCATCGTGTTGTGTATTGGAAGAGTTGTTCGTCGTGGTGTAGTGGTGAAGTCAACAGCAACTCGTCCAGCAAAGGGAACTTGTCATGCATTTCACCCCTATATATCCCTTTCCCTAGCAAATCAGTCAACTCTTTGCAGCAAAGCACGTGCAATACGGCATAATACGGAACGCAACAAGATCTAGCCAAGGCAGATCTTTATCGTGCGTGATCTTGATCTTGATCTACCCGCGCGCAGTGTCCACTTACCGATCAACCGAAACCACGTTGTTGAAGGTACGTCAATAGTTTAATAGAAACAAGCACCTTTCAGTCTGGGGGAAGACACGAAAATAGGATGTCATGAAAAAAAGCGCGCAGGACAAAACCCCTGCCCGTGGTGTTGTTATTGGTTCATGGTTTTCGTGACTCCGCAACGGGTAGGGCTGAAGGGGAAGGTTGAGGGTTTGGCTGAGGGTCATGATGTTTATTCTTGGGGTTGAAGGGGAAAGGGGGTGTTGTCGTAGAGGACGTATCTGTTTGGTGTTTTCCCCCAGATAGAAAGGGACGAACTCTGGATGAAGATGGTGACTATGATACAGAAGTCTGAGGATAAGGTATGAAGTTGATATTCGGTAGTTACATCATCTGAACTGAGAAGACAATGTTACTCCAACAGTCAAGTTTCAATAAGAGTCTAGGGTATAGAACTCTGTAGGACTGAGATGGAGATACCTGGACTGAAGGTCTGTATGAAAGCCAAGCCAATACCACCAATGACAGAAAACGGAGGTTGCTCCTTTACCCCGGATTCTTTTACCTTCTGGAAACTAAAAGGATGACAGGCAAGGTCAAGCCAAAGCCGTTGCAGGGTGGTCTGATCTGATGCACGCCAATGTCCTTACCACGCGGTCAACTGGCAGAAGCCAAGCCTTGACAGCAGGATCTGTAAAACTATCACAACAATATTCTGACTGAAAATAAAGTTTTTCAATAGTTCTTCAGTGATGCCATAATGCTACATCGTGACACAACAAATCCCACTCTTTATTCCCATTACTCAGAAAGAGAGAGTCAGCCAACAAGAAAGACAAGACGTGGCTATGGATAACCCCCCATGAAAAAAGATGAGTCCTCGTGACCCAGCCCGCTTCAAAAAACCACAGGGCGCAAAGTAATTCTAAACATGGCCTTTTTCCACATCGTCGATCTGCATGCCTCGGCAATACTTACAGCAGGAACCCTCTTCTGTAACTCAAGCTTCACTCCCCACGGCCTCTTCCAAGGCAAACGAGATTGAGGTTAGTCAACGATACCCCATCTTGCAGGGGGGGGGATCCACTGAGTATCGTTAGCTCTGGGGATAAACTCATACCACCCCAAGTTTTTTTTGATCCTGTACATGCTTCTTTTTCGGGGTTTAAGGGGACTACATGTCTTGTAGTCTGGGGTTGATTATACTCTTTTTCGTCTTGGGAACTGACTGATTCTTTATGATAGTATTTCTGTATCCTGGGTTTGTTTCTCAGAAACCAATTGTTAACCGGACTTAACAAACCTCAGACAGTTGCTCTTACGTGGCTATTAGGTAGCCAAGGGCCCGGATTTACTAACAGAATGCCCATCCTTGACAGGTGCCAAGCCCAGCTGGCTCTTGGCCATTGGTGAAGACTCGGCAGGCGTGTAAGTTGTCACAATTTGTATTGGCCATGGCGGAATTCAACCACCATACAGTACCAGCTCCTTGACCTCATGTCATGTCTGTGCCTGTGGCACCTCTTCCTTTAAGCGAAGGATAACTTTCCCAACTTATGATGCATCACATTGGTCCATTCCATGTTCCATGTCCCCTTATCCATGCTCAATCTTCAGGTCCCGTCTTCTCCGGTCACGGCCTCACAGTCCGTGTGTTCTTACTCTGTACGGCTCTTACTTCTTGCAGTTCCAGTTGCAGTTGCAGGTGTCGTAATCGAATCCAATCTGTTGTTGGGCCCGGGCTTTCTTCTCTCTTTTCTTACTTTGGCACCATCCCCACCCCCCGCCAGGCCAGGCCAGGCTTGTTCTTTTCTTTGCTACACGAGTCGTTGGATCTTGTTATGCATGGAGGTGGTGGTAGTTTCGAGTAATACCGTACTTATCCTTGGCGCTTCAATTTGGGCACCGGGTGCTGGGTCCAAAGAGAAAAAATTAAAAACGTAGTATATAAAGGGGACGTCCTTCAGCCCCAAGTCTCAAGTTGTGAACCTGCTCTGTAAACCCCGGGTCTTCCGTCCTTTACTTCCCTCAAGCCGAGTAAACAGCAGAACCTCAAAGACGAAGAAGAAGGAAAAGGAAGAAACCGCACAACACACACAACAAGAGAAACAGAGTAGCTACGTTATGGCTTGTGGCTTGTCGACAGCAAAAGACAACCGACCAGCCTCGAGACTACGAGTCTGCCGCCTTCTTAACTGCCTATAACAAGAACCCCCCCTTCTTTATACCTATCTTTTTATACACCTCTTATACTACAGATCAGCATAGAGAGAAGAAAACCGAGAAAACCTCTTCGGGAACAGTTGTGCCAAAAACTCCCCTTCCGTGATGACGGGGTTCAAGGACAACCTCGTGCTAGTTCTAGTATTTGCGGATAACCGTTAAACAAAAAGCCATGATGATGAGCTCAAACTTCCTCGAGACCTCCGGCGACGGAGACGGAGCTGCGCGCTTCGGACGCATGCCCGACGATTGGATGAACGGCATTGATACTACTACCATGCCCTTCTCCGGCCTGGACGCTCCATACGAGGCTTCTACAGTAAGTGCGCCCTCTTACTACCCAGCTCAACTCAAGAGAGACATATCTAACCAAAGTGTCAGCAGCAGAACCCTCTTCAGTCTCCAGAGACGCCTAGTCTCGATAACACCGTCTTCCCTTCCCCCTTGACAGACCTTGCCTACCTTGATCGCTCCTTCGGAGACTTCTCCTCCAATTATGCCATCCATCCTACAACGCCTGGACAATTCCCAGTCCATCCGCCTCACCGTACCTCATCCACCTTCTCCGAAGGCTACGACCTGTCCTCCGCTAGTCCATCCCTCGGCCCTGTCTGGCCTGCTCATGTCTCCCCAGCGGCGACCTTCCTCCCTACGCCGCCCATGCCAGACGATCTTTCAGCCGCCTCGTCTTCGCCGGAGGAAGAAGACAACCAGGATGACGACGACTACGATGATGACTCGTCGGAGCCCGCAAGCAAGAAGCGCAAGCGTTCTACGGCAAACAAGATAACAAAAACAAAGGGTAAAGACGCCCCCAAGCGTAACCCCACGCAGCTGCGCACCGCTTCTCGTGCTCCCAAGAAGCGCGGCGCTGCAGCTGCTCAGCCTCGACATCCTAGCGAGACGTCAGAGGAAGTCAAGGCGCGGGCTGCTCACAACCAGGTCGAGCAGCAATACCGCAAGCGTCTCAACACTCACTTTGAGCGTCTGCTCGCTGTCCTACCCCCTCCAGGTACAGAAGGCGGCATCGCCAACGATCGACGAGTGAGCAAAGCCGAGGTACTTGACCTTGCGCGCGAAAGAATTCGTGCGCTTGAGAAGCAGACCTCGAGACTTGAGAGGGAGAGACGGGAGCTCCGAGGAAGAATTGCTCCCGATGGAAGGAGAGTTTTAGTTTAGATGATGTATGTTCGATATAAACAGGAGTGTGGTATTGGAAAAGGGGGTATAAGGATTGGGGCGTACGATGGATATATGACGGCGAATAAGGAACAAACACAAAAAAATGGCGAGTTTAAACAAAAAAGACTAGAAAAGCACAAAAACAGGTATCTTTCGGATTGGAAGGGTTAGGTTTATGTCAAGGACGGACTATGGTTAATGGGTTTGGATGGAGTTGTTGTCCGTTCTACAGTAAATGGGTTGGTTACTGGAAGGGTTTATGTTGGTTCAGTGTCTTTATCCTATAGGAGGTCAGGGCTACTTAGGAGTAACACAGGACTTTTTTCTCCTCCCGATTTGCATCTCGATGACAATCGCCTGGATTAATGATATGTGCTTTGCATGATGAAGTCACCTCAGCCTACTAGTTAATGTATTAAAAGGCCAACTTCGATCCGAGACGGTGTTAAAGGATGAGTGGTTCTACCTGGCATCGACCGTTTCACACATTTGCGACATTCGGACATACACATAACATGTGCAGCTATCTCTGTAAGAACTTGAAAGGACTTGATCGTGAGTATATCCAAGATGGGTTTATCCTTGGCGGCGGCCACGGTCTCAATAGCAACATTATCCCAGCTCACAACAAAAGGTTACTAACCATGGCCCATTGAGTAAATTGAGATCTCCTGACCTTCATTAAACCACTAACACCAAGCGGCACCTTCACCCTCAGGTCTCAACATAGACGACTAGATGCTAGCTATCGACTTCGGACCATGGGATAACCACCGCTTACAAGCCGCAAAGGCCGCAGAGGCCGCAAACGTAACTCGCCGCGCTGGCTACCGCTACATCGACACCGCCCTCGCCTACAGGGACGAACGCGAAGTAAGAATCGGCATCCACGTCTCTGGCGTCGCAGGTGAAAAGGGCTGGGTATCTGTAAAGCTCTGAAACAACTGGCACAAGCGCACCCGTGAATGTCTTGAGAAGAGTTTGAAGAATTTGGGGCCAAAGGGTTTCGACATGTACTTCATTTACTGGCCCTGATCTCTCAAAATATCCACACGAAAGGCTATTTGTGCACAGAAGAGTGTCACCCCCCCCAGAAACGAGCCCAACTTTGACTTGGACGGACGGGAGCAGACTGATTATCGAATGACAGTGAGAGATAGCATCAAGGAGCAGTTCAGCCGTTGGTGATGCGTTCCCTGGAGATGATGAGTAAAGGTTCAGAGTAGGATAAAGAATGCACAATTTGGTTGAAGTTCTTATAGATTGATAGCAGGAAAACTTGCACGAAGGGTATCAGATGTATAAATGAACAAGACTTGGCAAAAATGCTGGACCAATGAGGTTACAAGATGTAGATCTTCAACTCTCATAGCTTAGCCTTTTCCTCTTTTTGAGATTCTTCTTCCTCCTCCTCCTTCATCACAGCAGCAATACTCTGCCTAAACTCTTCTGCCAGCACAACTGCCTCATCATCATCCAGCTCCTCCCTCTTTCCCCTTCCAAACATAGTGAAGCTCTCACTAAATCGTCCACTAGCTCTTATCTCCGGTCGCGGGATGATATGGAAGTGCATGTGCGGCACGACCTGCGCTGCTGCGGCGCCATTGTTCTGCACCACGTTCCAATCCTCTATACCAGTTGCTCGCGCCATAGCTTTTGATAGAATACGTAGATAACGACCTAGATGAGCGGACTCTGAAGCCGTGACATCGCTTAGCTTGGGACGATGTGGTCGCGTGCAGAGAAGAAGATGACCTCGGCTCAGAGGTAGGATGTCGAGAAAGGCGACGAGAACAGGCGTTGAAAGAACAATAAATGAAGCGGGCGAGACGAGCTCGGGATTTATGAGTGAAGATGTTGATGGTGGTGGATTTAAGGGGTCAAAAGGCTCATAAATTGAAGAGATCATGCAGAAGGGGCATGTTGCTGTTGGAGGAGGAGCCGAAGGGTCAAACATGGCAGCCGAATTATGAGCTGTATCTCGAGATGGTTATTATCTAGAAAGAAGAGAAGTGAGATAATCGTAGGCGTCAAAGTTTGTAATGTCGCAAGATCATGAATGAAAGAAATTTGATGAGATCCAGGAACCGAGGTTGAGTTGAGATGAGATGAGATCGGATGCAATCATGATTGACCAGGGCAGTCCAGGGATTGGAGATCGAGACTGGGGTCGATTTTAGTGCATTTAGTGGATGTTTTCTCGCTGTGGGGTGCTTGAAACTGCCGCTACTGTAACTTGACTCCATCTTGTTTCTTGATCAGACTGGCAAGGGAACCACGTGGTGATGTTGAATGTGTATGAATCACATCAATCGAGAGGCTTGGTGTATGCTACCGGGACCTTGACTCTATCGAGCTCAGCACTGAGAGGTACGCCTCTGCACCATCTGATCCAGCAGTTCAAACCTTAACTCCTGGACCTTCACTTGAGATCTCTGACGTATTACTTGTCACCTCAGAAGAAACATCAAGACCATGCCAGAGGCTATACAAGCTAGAAAGAATTGGAATTGTGTTATAACTCAACAGAGAGCTCATGAACACAGCTTGAGTTGAGACGGAACCTGTCAAGTACCTGCTCAAGGCCAACATCAGACACAGTAATTAGAAGAAACATCAGAACGAGAAGACGGGTTGTTATTTATGACAGTATGAGTACATAACTAGGACAATAAGCAAGAAGATCAACAGAGGACTATCACTAGCATGTGCATTACACGACCGTTCCTGAACGATGCATCTCATCCATGTGAAGGTTGATCAGATAGCGAGGTACGTACCTAAAGTACCTCCCCACCGCCCAAATACTGCCGTCCAAACTTTCCCATCACCGCCCTCACGCCCAAAGCACCTCCAATCTTTTCCTTCACCACCAAACCACCCCCATCAACCAACCAAACAAACCACCACACAACCTCAAAATGCCTCGCGAAGAATACCAAGTCCCTACCGCCTCCACCGGCCAGCGCGGCGGCACCCGCGACGACCATCAGGTCCGCCACGTCATGGCCTACATCTGCGGCGACTGCGGAGGCAGCGTCACCCTCGGCAAGGACGCTCTCGTCGCGTGCCCTCACTGCGCCGGTCGCATTCTCTACAAGGAGCGAACCAAGCGGTAAATAGCCCTTTGTTCACGTTCACGAGCGTGTTACTAATTACGACAATAGCATGGTTCAGTTCGAGGCCCGATAGAGAATACCCGATTTTTGATTACAAAGCGAAAGAGAAAAACCTTGCAAGAGCTCAAGCATGGGGATGTGTGGATATCATGATTATAATCGAGACGGGAGTTTGGGGGTCTGGGAATTACGTTGAAATGAAAAATAGACAATGCGACACGGTTTGCGCATGACAATGACACAAGTCTGCGTGATTACTTCTTTGTTCATTTTCCATTTGAGTCGCCTTGCGAACATCTAACCTGCAAATACCATGTGAACCGAGCAAATCCTGATTATACCCCTAAAACGCCACTATATGCTTCTCTTTTTTCCATCATTGCCTTTGAGTGTAAAGGTACTTTGCGAAACTTGCATCCGCCATGACGGAATCATCCTGGTCTCCCATAGCTTGCTGGTATCGGTCTTGAAGACCTTGCTTCTGAGCCTCCTCGTCAGAATCGGTGTCATCGCCATCATCGTCGCTGGCAACATCGGCCTCGTCCTCTTCCTTGGCTACTGGCAGACCACCAACTGACATGCCCTGCATCATCTTATCCAGCTCCTTCTCACGAGTGGCCTTCTTTTGCTCCTCGCGCTCTGCCTTCCTTCGCTCAAGCTCGGGGAGGTAGTCACGCAGGAATTCCTCCCTCTTCTCCTCGACAGCCTCAAAGAACTCATCTACACCAGTACCCAATCGTGAACTTACACCGACAACACTGAGATGGGCGTAGAATTCCTCCAGCATGAGACTCATCGAGTTGAGCAGACTGCCCATGTATCCGCTGCCACCATGGCCACCGCCCTCAACACCACCCAGCTCGTCTGACTCCTCATCCTTTCGTAGAGCCTCCTGGAAAGCCTCAAAGTCGGTCATCCACTCCTTCGCAAATTCAGCATCCTTGACATCAGTCTTGTTGAAGACCAGAATCATGGGAAGCTTGGTCTTGTAGAGAATAGAGCAGGCGTAAAGCATGTTGGACATGAATGTCGAGGTAGACGCAGTTCGAGGGGTATCGATAACATATGCGATAACTGTAGGGAAAGAAGACGCAAGCGACTCGAGGAGAATAGTTCCAGAGGCGGACCAGACAAAGACTTCGATCTGTCCGGGCGTGTCGACAAGAATTCTATCAATAGGTTTGCGATCGGGCTTCTCGGGATCGGGCTGGGCGCGCTTCTCGAGCAGGTTGACGATCTGATCGACCTTTGTAGCGAAGAGGTTAAGAGAAGTCAAAATTCCACCGTTGGGGCCAAGGTTGTATTGCTTCATGACCTCTTCGTAGTTGACCGAATCGCGGATATCGATGTTAGACTCGAAAGGCACCGACAAAACGGCAGGATCGAGGTTAATGACATATGGAGGAGTGTCGTTCTGGTGAAGATGAGCGTTGATGCGTCGCATAAAGGTAGTCTTTCCAGATCCTAGACACAGTTAGACATAGAGATGCGCAGCGACCAGTGCTGTACTTACCAGCCATGCCGACGCAGACAATGGCGACAGGAGGCTTGTTTGCCTGGGGGGCTTCGCCACCGGTTGCAGAGGACTCGGCCATGATGTATTATTTGTTTAGTATGTGGAGGGAGGGTTTCGGGGATTAGATCTTGAGTTGGTAGGTAAACAGAGCTGGGTGTTGAAGGAATGAAAAGTGACGAAATGGAGACACTCAAAATTTTGGGCGCGGTCAACGTTGATGTGGATGCCCCGCGCGGGGTCATTCGCTGAGACAATGATTGAACCCAGAGACAGCTGAATAAGCTGAAAGGTCTGAAACTTATTTACAGTTCTTAATTTCTATGTATTAATATTATACTGTCTAGACGTCACTGTTGTGTTAACCATACGTATGTAAACTCTTGTGGACAACTGGAGGCGGTAAATGGAACTTGATTTTGTAAAAGCTCTGACTTGCAGAACAAAGACAAAGAAAGATGCACATATCCGTCCAAGGCTATTGAGATACGCAATGCCAGTAACCCAGCAGTAGTCGAAGAATATTAATCGAAAATCTTTCAATGGTGTTATCTACAGCTATTCATTTCCATACAAGCTCATGGACTTCATATCGACATCGCAAAAAGTCCCTTGCAATGGATGGAGACCAAGAAAACCGGCCCCACCCAAGTTCTCGGTGAAGCCCCCACATGGATCCGGCATCCCACCCTTCACCTTGAAAAAAAGTTGTCCAGCATTTGATAGGCGTCGGATCTTTTACATCTTCAACACCAACCAACTATCACAACATCCTCTCTTTTTTGACAGCCTACCTTACCGGAGGCCTAATCGCAAATAATATTTAAATCAATTACAAGACCCATTGACGCTCTAACCTATTCAAAATGGCCGCCGACGAATCCCAAATGCCCTTTATTCGCAACCTCGCTTCAAGCGGTTCGTCCAACCTATCTCTTCTCTTTTAGGACCATATAGCTAACTCTTGACAGATCGCAAACTTCGTACAGCTTCTCTAGAGACCCTCACAACATTCCTCTCCTCCCGCTCATCCCTCTCCGACATCGACGCCCAGAAGCTCTGGAAAGGACTCTTCTACGCCCTCTGGATGACCGACCGTCCTCTCCCCCAGCAGCGTCTCGCAACCGACCTCGGAAACCTCCTCTTCACCCTCAAGCCCGTCTGCGCCATCCCTTGGCTGCGCGCCTTCTGGACCGTCCTCGGCCAGCAGTGGACCGATATCGACGTGCTCCGCCTGGAAAAGTTTCTTCTCCTCGTCCGTCGCGTTTTCGCCTCGCATGTTCGTTTCGTGAGGGAGCGCGGCTGGATGGATGGTGATGTTGAGGCCATTGTGGGTGTTCTCGCCGAGTTCCCCTTTGATAAGGAGGGTGACTTGCGAAAGAACCCTCTGGGTATTAGACTGCATGCGCTGGATATCTGGGTTGATGAGTTGGAGCGCGAGCAAGCGCTGGAGCAGCCTGAGGGTGAGGCCTTTGTTAAGAGCTTGGGGGATGTTGTTATTGCGCTGAAGAGGTGTCCTATCAAGCCTGTGAGGGAGCGCGCCGCTGATAGCTACGAGGACGAGAGGTTGCCATGGGTCCAGGCTGGTAGCGGTGATGAGGAGGAGGATGACGATGAGTGGGGTGGTATTGACGATTAAAAGACCAGAGTTTTGCAGGCGCATGGCGTTGGGATATGGAAAAATGCATTGCGGTTTAGAGCCGCTTTCTTTATACGTGGGCTAGAGGTTGATACCACCTGAAAATATCATCACCATCTATTGTCATTACTATTAAATGAATGCGAGAATGCGACTTCAAACGCCTGCTTGGGATATCTATTTCGTAGTAACGTGAAGCGACTTAATTACATACTGAGCCAACACTCTTATCAACGCAGAGTGGACACATTACCAGACCCTCTGGTCTCCTCCAACAGTTTCATCCAGATCGTCTGTCATTTCATAGCCCATTTCCCTTGCTTCCTGCTTTCGCTCTTGTTCCCGTCGTGCTTGTCGCCACGCATCCCATTTGGCTCGTTGCTCTGCAGTCTGAACTCGAGGTTTCACAAGACCTTTCTTGCGGAGTCGTCGACGATGCTGTCGCTTTTGTTCAAACGAGAGTCGGCTGACGTCGATGTCGGTGATGTCGCGATCGTAAAACACATCCTTTATGTCTGCGAACCAATCACTGACTTCCTCCTGAACTTGTCCGGCTAGGATACGACCACGGCCACCAGTGGTCCATTGGTCCAGCTTCACGGGTATAGCGTTGCCAAAGGTAGGATCGTTGATGGACCAGACGCAGGGAGTACCACTGCAGCGGGTAGGACGACAGAACTGGGTGCACATGGCAGACTCAAGAGCATACCAAGAACCCAAGAGGAAAAGGATAAGACCGAGAAGGGTGAAGCGGAAGAATGGTTTGCGATGGTAAAGTTGTGGAACAGGAAATTGGACGTAAGACACTGTTCTGGTATCGGGGTGCGAGATGTAGGCGGGGCCTGTGCTGTGCTTATCGAGGAGGGTAGCCATTTTTTCAGGGACCGGCTCGGGCTTGATAGTCTCGAGGAGATTCTTCTCAACCGGCTCTTCCTTCGGTATCTTCAACGCCGTTGATTTGTCCTCGACAGATTTGTTCTCTGCTGCTTTGTCGGCGGCCTTGTTCTTTGTGCTGACTTGATCAGAGAGACGTTCAATGCCCCTTGCAGCAGTGTGAATGCCGTAGAGGCTACTTTTGAGGGTATTGTTCATGCGCGTGAGTCGATCCAGATCGGAGTTATCGTTGGTCTGAAGATCGATCTGGTTGGTGCGTGTGTTGAGTTTGGTGTCAAGTTCCAAACTGAAGTCGTCGTCAAAGGATGAGTCTTGCGGCAGCTTATCGAGAAGAGCCTCGACCTCTCGAGATGGGGCTTTGCGACCGAGTATAACCTCTTCAAGATCGTCTAAAGTGGAATCCTCGATGTGATGTGTACGTTGAAGTTCTTTTAGATCGTCTTTCACTGTCGGAAGCCTTGCCGAGTTTTTAAGTGTACCTTTGCGACGTGAAAGAGAACGAGTGCGCCGTCTCCTCGGCCCACTTGACGAAGTCTTGGTGGTTGGTTTGTCGTCTGTCCCAGGATCTGATGCTGTGTCCCTATCGCTACTATCCGTTGAACGCTCCGTCCTCCTGTCACGGAACGATGCAGACCTTGGTCGCAGCGGTCTTTCTTCCCTTTTTGGCTTTTGTTTGTCCTTTAAATCAAATTTCTCGACCTTTACCGTCGCAGGCGTTTCCACGTATGCGCCCGTGATCTTAGGCGTGGGCATAGTAAGGGGATCCGGCTTCGGAGGTCGAGGTGTTGCCTCCACATCCTTCTCATCTTCAGATTCGACATCCGAAGGTGCCTTTACAGACCCTTTCTCAGACTGATTATCGCCAGGCGCAAATAAATTGGCTTCCGCTTCGAGGCGGGCTGTAGGATCGGCCTCAGAATTCATGGATTTCTTGCTTTTAGCAGAGGTAGAACGACTTCGAGGCAGACCGACAAATCCAACAGTAGGTTTTGAATCAGAGTCGTTTGAGCGATGTTGACGATTTCGAAAGCCATTGCCGGTTGAAGGTTGGGGAATTGTTGATGCAGTGTCTGTTTTGGTATCCAGGGGCAATGGCACGGGTTTGTCAGTGTCGGGCACCTGCCGCGGCTCATTTTCTGGCGCAGGGCTGGAACTGGCAGCTCTGGCCAGGCGTCGCAACAGGTCTCGGGAGTCAGTACGCCTGTGCGACAAGTCAGGTCGCGCACGATCTTCGTCGTTCTTCGAATCCCCGTTCTCTTTTGGTCGCGCTTCTGCATTTTCTCGCTGTGACTTGTATATCGTCACAGGTGTATCGGGTATCCGCTCACCAACCGTCTCAAAAGCAGATTTCGGCCGAGTCGGCGGCTCCTGGGTTTCGATTTCGGCATTAGACTTCGTCTCTGGGACCATTCCTCGGCTCGTTTGTGGTCGATTCTCTTCTGGCGAACGTGAGCGACTCATTGCATTTTGCTCGCGAATCTCGTCCAACCTAATTGAAGCCATTGATCTTCTTGGGAGACCGTTAACTTCCCGTTGTCGGATGGCGTCTAACTTAGTATTTCTCGGTCTCGGCGCATTGCGATCAGGGATAGGTATTTGATGTTCGACCTGCTCCTCTCGCGCTCGAATCTCGTCAATCTTTGTATTGTGAGATCGCGATGAATCGACAGGAAGATCGCTTCCTGTCTTGACCTCTCGTGACCATATTTCATCGAGTTTAGTGTTGCGCGCTCCAGGAGTTGCCACTCTCGTCCGCGAGTTGATATCAACCTCACTGCCCTCGTCAAAATGAATTCGATTTGCGAAGGGACGCGCACCCATCCGAATTCTTGGACTATCCGATATTTGTAGTTCTCCGGCCGTAAAGTCATCATCCACCTCCCATGCGAAACTCTTTTCAGGGGACGCCTTGGCTGGCTCAGCTGGTTCCGTATTGGCTGGTTCGTTTTGACCATCAGCGCCCTCAATTGATGGCAATAGGTCCTCTATACCAGGGACGAGTTCTGGAATTCGTCCTTGTTTTGTCAAGTCGTCTTTCGAGGGCATTTGTCTCAATCCGCCCCAATTTGAACCCGGCCGTGGTATTCCACTTGCGCTTTCTGGTCGAGCTATCCCAGCTGCACTTCCTGGTCGGTTCTCAGCCTGCACCCCATTGGTGAGAGCATTGGGCTCTGGCGTAGGTTTCTTATTCCCAAACGACAGTCCTGCCCTTGACTTTCCGTAAAAGCTACGCTCTCGTGGTGATGCTGTCTTGTCGGGGGATTTCTTTATCTCGGGTATTCTTGACGCTGCGAGCGACCCTCGCGAAAAAGGTCGGCTCGGCGCTTTTGTATCGAGATGAGATTGGTTATGGTTGAACAGCTGCCGCACCTGACTCTCGTCTCCTTGATTTCGTTCACGCCAGGCTCGCGGCGCCGGGCTTGGCGACGCATCGACAGCTTGGGTTCCGTCGCTATCGTCCTCGATCTCTCTGGCAGCTAGAGCAAACGCATCGGACATGGAGAGTCGCTTCCGGGCAGACGCAGAGAATTTCGGTGTAGGTAGCTTGCTGTCGCGTGACCCAATGCTGCCATTACTTCCCCTCCTATCATAATCGGATGCCATCGATCGCGCGAATCCATTGCTTCGTATACTAGAGCCAAGCCTCGAATTGTTCTGCGCTTCGTTTTCCTTATTCCTGTCGTTTCCCCTCGGTGGGTTACTTCCAAAAAGTGGTTTCCTCCCATTCTTGTCCACAATAAGCTGACTCGACCGCTCGAGCAGTGAACTTCTGTCGCGATCCATTGTGTGAGGTGATTTCGTATGTGATTATATGTAGTAGTCCAATGTTTTTCGATAGCACATTATCTGTCGTGTTGGACGGCGGCGCGTTTATTGCATCGCGACAGTGATTCAGACAGACAAGTCGAAAAGCAGCTGAACTAGTCGCTAGAAGTCGAGGTCGTACAAAGGTATGTATGGGAATAGCAAGTAAATATTGGACAGGGTATCGTATGTTCGTACAACAGTAGCGAATAAAAACATCAACAGCGCGCAAAAAAGTGATTGATTAAATGTTTTTGTCGGGTCGATTAACGCGTTCAAAGAAGCGAAGTGGCATGGGGGACCCTGGCGTGGCGTCCCGTCCGTTACCGTCAAAGACGGTAGGTGGGGTAGTGAGAGTCTCGCCGTTCGCGTCTCTACCTCTTGCACTTGCTTCCTCATTGGATCCTACCTATTCAACAATCATCGATATAAACGTTGATGGCTGTGAATGGTTCTCAACCTTGAGGTCGTGGACATAAGGACTCCATTGGCTTGACTGAGATTGTTCTTTGTTTATTTAATCACGATGTTGTACATAAAAACTAACATACCCTTGCAAAGATCATATTTAATCATCATCATCATACAGCCAATCCATACGCAACCCTCCCTCCTCATGTAACTGCTTCATAGCAGACTCCAAATCATCTCCCAAAGCTTCCATGAGCTCCTCATCCACAATCCCTTCATTCCACGTTATGCCCAAAGTCAAACCCCCACCCTTGACACTTATAACGCTAATACTCATGGGATCACTAGAGATCATGGGCGAATTCGTAAACATCGCATGCGTGATAGTTCTCTTCTCAACATCGGATTCTTCCTCATCTCCGGATTCAGAAACCTGTGTCAACTGACCAATGTTGCTGACTTCCCACGTCTTTGTGCGTTTTTGGTGGTCTCTGTCAGTCAGGAACTCGGTCCAGTCCTTGATGCCGCGGAGGGCTTGGAGGCCATCGTTGGCGGGGAGTGTTGATGTCTTTTGCTTGAGCTCATCTTTTATCTTTTGTGCGTGCGACCAGACTAGATCATCAAGGGCATCGCCTTGTGCCCTTCGGAGAGCCTTGATTGCTGTCAACTGGTGCTCGTGTGATGTGCCACTAACACAGCCGAATAATGCCTCTTTGAGAGCTGGGTCGGCTGTAGGAGACAAGTATGGACGCATGCTTATAGGCGTTGACGACACAAAGCCTAGAGCATCGGGAACACGCCTTGATAGCGAGGTGAGTGCGACAGCGTGTAGTAGACCTGTAAGAGATGTTCCATGGGATCGAGTATCCTCAAGAACACTCTTCACCACATTGGGAGGAATATTTGCGGTGACGATCCGAGTCTTGTGCGGGCGACTGAAGTCGATGGGCTCAGCAGACCAGATCTCTGGGGTAGCTCGTGAAAGAAACGAAGGCCACATCCAGCTGCACCAACCCATAAGTCGATGAGGTATGGTGGTTGTGTAGTCAATGACCTTGTCTTGAGGTTCAGGCAGCACCGGCAACTCTGGGAAAGACAGAGTGCTCGACCATGATGGGTTGGGAGGTAGAGTGTTTAGCTTGGCAAGGAGCTTCTCATGGAACAATCTTCCTCCCATACCATCCATAAGAGAGTGGTGGAAGGCAAAGACAATGGCCTCAAATTCGGGAGCCTCTCCGGCTGGTCTGAGAACAACCATCCTCCAAGGTGGTCTCGTCTCAACATCCTGGAAGATCTGGTCATGACACCAACAGTGCAATTCTTCCAGATTCTTAGTAAACTTCTCAGGAACAGAACTGCGGAACTCCACAAAGTTATCCAACTTCATCTCAGGAATGTGAGTGAAGTAGGCTTTAGTCTCGCCCTCATCCTTGATACCAACACGCAGTATGGGATTTTCAGTGATAACTTCTCCCAAAGCTGCGTAAATGGCTTCTTTGGATGGTTTGTCCGAGGGAATGCTGTATGTTGCTGATACCACGACCGCGCGATATAGACCCATCAAGTGAAAGGCCGCAGAACCAGCCTCTCTAAGGCACAAATTAGTAACGCAGTCGAAATACTGATAAGAAGGCTTACAAGAGACCCAGACGTCGTACGGTAGCCATCTCAGTAGTTTTGCTCATTTTGTCTTTGACTCTCAGTGTGAATAAAGTCAAAGATTTCCTTTTGCAATGTTTGACGAAAAAAAAGGCGGTATCTTCATGCAGCATCCCCAGTTTCAACAGTTGGCACCAGTAGACAAGACGAGACAATTGTCATTACGCGCTAACGCAACAACCCGGACGAGATGGAGCTGAACTGGGGCTCCAGAGGATTCCCCTCCGCGTAAGCAACTTTGAATGCAAAACAGAGGCACAGTCGATAAGATGCAGTCATTGCTAAAAATGACCTACTTTGTGTTGCAGCTGAATCGGGTTTCAACTCTGGTAGCGATCTTCACGAGTCTCACTTACAACACCATCACCAAGGATGAATATCTCTCATAATAAAACGGTTAGGCGATTGTGCATTAAAAGCTATAATGTAAAAAATATTCTATTCATCTTGCAGATGTGACCCAGCTCATTTCATCTCGTATCAATTTCCGCCTCTCATCTCACAATCCAAACAAGGGTCCCAGTCCCAATCTATATCCAAACGCCACGCAAATTTTAGCAAATGAAAAGAATATTCTTTTTGGCAAAACTTTTATCTACCACCCCTCGCCAGGATTTCTCCTAGGACGAGTGTTGCCGCGGAAATAATCATAGGATGGGTCAGCTTCGGGGGCGTGCTGTGCAAGACCGCTGTAGCCTTGAGGTCCTCCGCCCATAGCACCGACCGAAGGCCCAGGCGACTGCACAGGTGTCATACGACCTGGTGTACTGAGGTTGCTGCTGTACGCGGGAGCTGCTGCGTTCGAAATGAGCCCGAGACCAGAGGAGCTTCCGTTGTTCTGGGAGTATAATGGGCTGCGACCGCGAGCAGGGGGCTCTTGACCCAAAGTTGTCTGCTGGGTGAAACCGGCATTACCGCCTGGTCGGTAAGATGTATAGCTAGTATCGCCACTGACGTTGCTGGCAAGAGACATCAATCGTTGCTGCTGGGCAGCTCCACCAGCGAATGCAGCAGGTGAGCCAGTGCGGCCAACAGGTGTGCCAGGTCGAGAGAAATCGCTACCATCCATGGATCCAGGGGTACCGGGACGACCAATCTCTCCAGGGCGACCATAAATCTCGCCTCCACCATGGTTCTCTGCGAACTCGGCTCGGTTCTTGTAGTATTCGAAATCCATCTGGGTATCGTTCACAAACTCGAATCCTGGGAAGCTATTGGCAGCCTTGCCTGGTTTTCCGCCTTGCATAGGATCCAACATAACCATGTCAGAGTAACCACTCACGGTCATCATATCGCCGGAATCAACATCTCTGCCATCACTCAGGCGGCCCTTATAAATGGCAGGAAGAAGGTTTTGCGCCTTAGAATGGACCATGGGTGTGATAAGAGGTCGGTAGAGGGCAGGGTGGCCGAATCGGTTCGCCAATCGCTCACTTCGCATGCGGTTCTCCTTGGGGTCGACTCCGTTCTCGGGACTCTTCGTAACATCTTGAGTGTTATAGTATGTGATTTTGTCGTTGAAAGCATAGTTGCAGTAAATCTTGAAAATGATCATGATGAACGGCAAAGGGACGACACAAAAGAATTCGATGTGAGTTCCAAAGTTACCACGAACCCAGCAAGTCAACATGACAACAAGGTTGGAAAGAATCGTTGCGAAGATGAAGCGGTTGAAGATGACACGCCAGAACATTCCTCCAGACTCTGTCTTGGTAACAAAGCGGTAAAGGAGAAGGTACTTCTTCAGCCACGAATCGATGAGGAAGTAAAGGGCTGTTGCTGGAAGAACCAGAGGTTGAATGCCAGCGAAGCACATGCAGACTGTAGCATAATAAAGGAAGTAGTTGTAGTAACTGGCGTACTCGAAAGGCGGCGGGGCGGTAAGCTCAATAAGCTCTCGAGGTGTCGGACTGGAGAACTTCTTGAGGAAGAAGGCTTGGACCAGAGGCCAGGCCTGGGCGAGGTCAATAGCCGCACCCAGTTGGCGCTGAAGTAGGTAGGTGACCCAAAAGACGCTGCTGTTACAAAGAGCCGCAAACAGTGAATCAGCAATGTTATTATTCTTGATAGACTCCCAAACATCCTCCTTCTTTGCACCGGTTGTATCCGCGACAACAGTGGCAACGAATTGCCAAATAACACTGAAGATCGAGAAGATGATAAGGTTGTTGAAAACGAAGAAGAAGTAAAGTTTGGCCAGGACGTGCCTCTCTCGACCAGTTTTGGTTTGGTCACCAGCCTTGACAGAGAGTCGACGGAAAATCATGGGGAGAACGAGATAAGTCAGAGACATGATAGCTGGTGCGGCGATACCCTGGATAGCACCCCAAATCTTAGGATGAGCAGCGAGCTCCGTCATGAAAGCAGGCCACACCGAACCCAGGTTCTGCAAGTTCACAAGGAAGATGGCGATACCCAGGTTAGGAACAATCCAGAGGAAGGTTAGAACGGTAATCCACATGTTGTTAACCCATCGTCGCCTTCCACGTGTGCTGCTGTAGAGAGGCATGTTCTCCCAGATAATGTCGTTAGGTCGGGGTGCAAGCCTAACTGTGGCGCCAACAGGCTTCTTCTTGCGACAAGCGTACGCGATACCATGAGCCTCTGCAATGTCCGCATAACTGGCGAAACCGTAGGGCATCGAGCCTCGCTTGTCAACACTCGCGCGAACCTCTTTGATGTGTACCTCGAGATCGCGAATTCGCTGAGTGTAGTATTCGATAGCATCCACCTTCTGGCCCTTGGGATAAGTTCCATACGATCGGTCCTTCTTGGAGGGTCTGCACATAGGGCGAGCAACCGGAACATTACTGGGATCCTTAAGGTACTTAGCCAGGATCTGTTCAAGTTTGCGAACGGCGTGGTCGTGCTGTTCAATAAGAGCTGGTAGCTCTTTTACGTTTCGAGCGACGGCGGTTCGAGCAAAAGACGAGTTGGGGGCGATTTGATCGATGATCCTAGCGATGCCTTCGTCGGAGCAGCCCTTCTTGGGAATATCAAAAACCTGCGGTTCTGTGTGAGTTTACGGCCTTGTCTAAAAACACATCATTCCTTACCATTAGGGTACGAGAGTGAAGACTCTTTTGGTAGTCTTCGGTTTCGAAATACTTGCGCCGGAGCTGGAGAACCTTTCTGTAGTTGAACCAGAGAAAGCCCATGATGATGAAGTTGAAACACCAGGCGATGACAACCTGAGACCAGATCGCTGGGGCGAATGTATTAAGAGGAGTGATGCCAACGACCCAGTTGGGGGTCTTATCACCCTTGAAACTCTGCCATTTCGACACATTGATAGGGAGAAGAATGCCAACACCGGTAACACATAAGGTGAGAAACATGTTGCGACACATTCGGACAAAGCGTAAGAAGACAGTGGCATCCATACCAATCAATGGTACAAGCATATCTTCGTTGGTTCGCCATAATGTTGTGATCCACGACCACGGAGCCTTTCCTATAGGGGGCGGTACATGTTTCTCGTCGGCATGTTTCAGCTTTGGGGCGTAGATAGCTTGGTGATATGGTCGCAAGATTGAGAATATGATGGCAATGCCGATGGTGATTGGAAGTGAAGTGGCCAAAGCAGAATACAGCGAGGCAGCTTGAAGCTGGAGGATTGTTAGAAGAGCGCGGAGTATGTGGGTTTACAGCTAGCCATACCTGTTCACTGAAAGGCTTCTGGAGAAGATCAAGCAATTGTTTACCGGCATCCTGAGGATCACGGCCATGAAGGTGGGCCGAACCGTCCATACTGGGCGCAAAGGCTCCGCCAACGGGCGAAGACGTTGGAGCTTAACTCAGACGAATAACGGCAATCAAGTATAGCGCGCAGAGGCAATCTACTGAGCCCTCAAGTCTCGAAGTCGATAACAACGTGTAAATAATCGAGGATTGAACAGCGCAGGCGGGGGGAGAATCTCGTATAGGTTCGCAGGGAGTTCGAGTCGCAGGCGATATGAGACAGCTGACGAAGCTCAGTCAGTGAGGGCGAGGGGATAAATGTGCACGCTGCAAGTGGCAGATGTATCGTCGTAAACAAAGACCCAAAGGTGAACGAGTGTCGCTATTGTGAAAGAAACCCGGCAGGCCCGTGAGCGAAAGGATGAGGCGCCGTTAAGGGGGCCAGGTGAAGCGAAACGATCGTATATGGCGTCACTCAGGGACAAGCGACGATGATGGAGAAAGAACAAGAGGGAGGAGATGAAGAAATTGGATAAACCCGGAGAGATGATGAGTCCAGGTCCAGGTCGACGTAGGTAGTAAAAGGGTAAAAGGTAAAAGTAGGGCCGGGGGGTGGAGGTTCCTATTCAGACTAAGGAGCCATGACATTGACATGGGATGGGGATGGATCCCATTATCATGGGGGACGACCTCGACACTTTCACTTTTTTCTCCAGGTCGTTTTTTTGGGGGGAAGTTATCAACGGAGAAAGCTTGGCATTCATTTAGGTGCTGTATCTTAGCCAGCGCCAATAAAAGTCCCCTGTTTTAGTATGTACGGCACCTAATCAATCATCTTAATTGTCTTTGCCTGTTCTTGTCATGTATAATAGAATGATCCAGACTCTGCTGCATGTGATACCCTGATAATTAATGATTGTTGTTAATGGCCCCTGTTTCCTAATCACAGGTTCAAAGGCCACAAACAATTCATCTTGTTAACAATAAAATACTTCACACCCACAATATCCAACCAGTCTTTTTTCAACTGGCAGGCCCTTCACCCTCTTCTTTTTTCTTTTACCCTCTCGGTCAATGGCGCCGGCTTCAAGAAAAAAGGCACGCGGCCTCCGTGGGGATGGACCAGCTCCAGATGCTATTTTTGACGCCTCTCGACCCGCTACCAGTGGAGACGGTCTTCAACCGTGAGCTCACCTAACAACCAATCGTCGCCCTCCTCAATCGCCACGTCCACTGGACCTTTGCCCCTGCATGGATCTGATCCCCTGATGGGAGCGCTGGGATAGGATGGGATTTCATTTTTTCTAAGCGGTGCCGTCCCTTAGACGAGCCAAACTAAATGGGATACGAACATTCCAAGCAATGGTCTTCTACAAACGGAAAGTGATGGAACTCTAAAGGATCTTTGGTTTCTAACGTGCTCCAGCTGTCAAGGAGCCGTTGTCGATCGATCTACAGTACGTCGCCCACACATTCATTTTCTTTGACTCTGTAAAATCTTTTCTTTGTTTTTTCTGTATGTAATGCATGGTTGTACGAAGACATGCATTGCCCTGGCATAAATAAGCAATCTTGGCCGTTTCTGACACTGACGCTCAAACGCCCCAACCGCCTTACAATCTCAATCTCACTCATTCTTACACTGTAGTCTCCTTTTACTCCCCGGTAAACAAACCTCTGATGGATCCAAACACATCACTAGTACTCATGCCTCAATGATGCACTTGCTGTATGGTGTCGTAGTGCTTTTTAGCCCTCTACCCGCCTTATTCGCCACTATAAAATACCAAGTAAAATAGTTCATGCTCAATGACATATCGATACAGAAACGACACGCAACCCGATCGCAGTGTTGGTAAACAAATCCTGTCAAATCGGGAAACGTTGGATGGTCTCGTTCGTTGTTTTGATGGGGCCTGCTATGAGCTATTAAAGCTTGTTGGAACCTCTGAAACAGCCAGTCGGGAAAAAGAAAAATTCGACTTCACTTCATCATGACACGAGGCATTATTATAAAATCTCAACACAGTTTTGTTGAACAGTATAATGCGTGCATTTCTTGAGTATTGTACGGAGTAGATCGACCACACTCTCTGCTTATCTAGGCATCCATTATCCTCTAAATCTGCATGTCATCGTGCCATCTGTCTAGGGAACCAGGGAAGTAACGTTCACTTTTGACAGCCATGTAAATAATCCGGCAATAAGTCGGCTTCCTGCGCGATACTTTGGTCATCTACGCCGCAATCTGCCTCAAAACATCAGTGTAAGCTAAGACAACACTGCCATCATAAGAGACCAATTTGATGATGCCAACACTATATATGGCACATCAAGTCAGCATATGATTTGATTCGGTTACCAAATGACCATGGCAACGATATGAAAGACAGTACTTTGGAGGAGTCACTGAAGCTGTAGCGGGCCACGACCTGATCTACAGGGCATTGCTACATGCTCTGCCAATATTAACTGTAAGATGCAGGATAACTTTCACTTGCTGAACAAGCCTCTGGGTCTCTCAGAATTTAGTATTGATGATGGGAGACCCATCTTGATTCCCACGACTGAACAACACTTCAAAGAGATACTTGAAGCTTCACACAGCACAACACGAAGTTCTCAGAAGACAATTAAGTTTAAATCAGTACAAGGGCAAGTCTCAAGTCTCGTTTCATCTACAACGTAAGAAACGAGAAATAAAGGCCAAGACCAACCAATTGATCTTTGCACCGGATGTCCCCTCAACCCGAGCCCGGCAGTTTCGGGGTCCGATGCCAACACTGAGAAAAGGTCAAAGCTGACAGCCATACCATTGTCTTGGGACCAGAGATCTGCAGGCAACCCCCGTTGCTGTCAAGTCTCAGCCTTGAACCCCGAAGGAATTGCACGTAAGCTCAGCTGGGAGCTTACCTACCCTGTGACTGCAAGCCGTGACAAGTATTACATTACTACTCATATTAAACCATGTCATGAACAAAATATCTGATCTAAGAGATTGAGCTCGGTATTTTGAAGATTCTCCGCTTACCAGCCAAGGCGAAACGCATTGCCATTGCAGTACCGTACCCACTTAGACCAGCCCACACGTGTAAAGCAAGGATTCTCTCTCTGTGAACCTCAGAAACTTGACTGAGGTACGAATTCATTGAGTCAGTTTACATACGCATGTCTTTCTAGATTTGCTCTTAGGGCATTGATTCTGTAGAGACTAAGGCCAAGAAACAACCGGCAAGTGGAAGAAACAAGTATAATCGGGTGCTGACGTTTTGCTCCACTGAGACGTAATGGGAGGATCCAAGATCTACCCAAGAGCCGAAGATTCTTTTTGTTCTTTGAGCCGGATGCCGGATCCTAAGCTAAGTGGGACTTGATCCGGGTTCCAGTAGCCTTCGAAAATATGTTGTACAGCAAGCCTGGCGGCTTGAGTGAAGGCTACTGTAATCTGATGAAAAGGCCAAAGTTGCTGCCTGTCTTTTCCAGATCATATTGCATAATGCCAATCTCATTGACCACCGGCTAACTCGTCTGGCCAAGCTTTTACCTTGAACTGTTCGATGATAAGGTCTGCACCTCATTCCATAACCGCGATGATGAATCTGGATCTCTCGTTGTGCTTATAGTGTAATCTCGATAACAGACTGTTAACGAGAGTGTTGGGTCTTTCACCATGGAGCTCACATCCCTTCAAGAATAGACTGTAGCAACGTTCCTCGAGGAAGTTACTGCTGCAAGCATTGTCCACTTATACCGGCTTCGAAAGTTTTCATCGCACGGGCTTACTCATGAAAAATGAGTGCGATCCTTCTTTGTATCACACGGTATACTAGAGACGGGAGAAGAGGTTCGGGCAGAGCGATGAGACATATAAGAAGACTTCCTCTCGTCCAGCTGGGTGTCAAGGTCATCAGCATGAGGGCCGCTAAACCCGAGCCCGCGAAGATGAGATGATAAAAGCCAATATGCTTGGACGCTACCAAAGATAACCACAGCCGTGAAGCCAAGAGCTCTGCAATGAGGAAGCCAGGTTCTCCAGGATAGTCTGCGATACAGACGATATGCATTGTTGAAACGGTACGCATTGTCGAGACGATTGGATGCAACACCGAAGAAGCAACCGATGGCGCAAGGCCCGAGAAGGGGGCGACCGAATCGGATAATTCTTGGCAAAACCATGATGTTATATAGTTGCTGTGGTGGATTGTTTTGGGGCCAGGCTCAGAGGGTTGGTATGAAGAGAGAAAGAATGGAGAAACTCTCGGTATCATTTATACATTGGTGAATCTGTGTGAGTTTATCGAGCGACAAAGCTAGCTAGGCTTGCGTTGAAGTAAAAAGATATCTGAGTTTGATAGAGCCTATTAACTTAACGTAAGTTTTCACGAGGTGTTGTTTATGTGTTCGGTAACCTCTATCAGAAGATAGGTCGTCCCAACAACTTAATTGGTGAGTGTGGAACTCAAGCAGGGTATACTGAGTTCACATTAAGGGAGTGTTTACAGAACACCGATGCAAGAACGAGGTCAGAAGAGATACCAGCAAGGATGAACGTCTCCTGAATTGGTCAGAAAGCTGCGTGGAGTAGATGAGATGCTGGATGGTAGTCGCTATCATACCACCAATGTTGTGCAAGGTATCAACACATATTCATTACTATGTTGCATCTTCATACTTCCCAACCTTCTTAGAGTTCTGCAAGGTGATCTTAGGAACACTATGCAAACGGCTAATGTCGTGGTTGGTCGCAGGATGGAAGTAGAACAACGTTGGAAGCAGGTAACCGTCTCACTCAAGATACAAGGAGCATAATCAATGTTTTACTACCTGAAGCACAAATATACACACAAGACAACCAGGCAGACTTTGGGGAAGTTATTCCTGTTCCCGAACCGACCGTGCCGTTTTCGCCGTCCCATTTGGAGCAGTGGTCTGCTCAAAACTCATAACACGTCATAATCAATAGTAGAATAACTCTTCCTAGACTTCAACCGGACCCTGACTTCGAGTCTTGCGTGCCGTTTTTCCAGCTGCAGGGGACACAACCTTCTTGTCCTTCTTGGGGGTCTTGCCGTTCTCTTGCTTACCGTCTGGCGAAGCCTCTTCGGAGGCTGTCGGCTCATCTGCGACGTCTTCGACACGAGCCTTCTTCTCAGCAGGCTCATCGGATCCAGACTTCTCGGCTACAACAGGAGCGGAAGCACCGTTGGTAGCAGCGGGGGGCTCGTCGGCCTTGCGCTTCTCGCCCGGAGCAGCTTCGGCAGGGTCGTTGACCTCAGGCTTGCTGTCGCCATTAACAGAAGCGGGCTTGTCGGTCATGGTGACATCCTTTGGCTCGGAGACTGCAGGTGCAGATGTTGTCTCGACACCAGTGGTGACAAAAGCAGCTTCGTCTTCGTTCTTTGGCGTTTCCTTGGTCTCTTCTTCGATGTTGAGTACAGGTCGAGGAGTGCCGCCTGCGGATGTCATGTTGTTGACGGGTGTTTGTGGAACTGAAGCGACCTCGACGGGCTTCGGCGGAGCATGGAGGCCACCGGCACCGTCAGTAGGCTTGCTCTCTTCCGGCTTAGCAGTCTCTGAAGGAGCTGTTGTGGTATCCAAAGTGGGAGCGCCGGCCTCGGCTTCGGGGGCCGTGGGTTCAGGCGCGCCGACTAGAGCATGTCAGCTTGGTCCTCAAGGTGTAAGTGCGGGAACGAGCTCGATGAGTTCCAAAAGTCATCGCGAACATGTCAATTGCACTGCGCAGGACTATACGCGATGGTTTCGATGCCATTGAGATGGCTGACGATGGAACATACCTTTGTCTATAGCTGGAGCGATTCCGTCCGACATGATGATGACGTAACAATTGTTGTCGCAAAACGAGTCTGGCTTACAGTCGCAAGTATACGCGATATAGTATAGTCAACAATGAATGGTAATGGAGTTTGCAAAACTGGTATGAAGTCGCGAGAGTGAGATTGAAGCTTTACGATGGGAAGGAAGAAAAGAAGTCAAGTTGGGGACGAGACACGGGGAGCTGAAGTGAAGTTGGCGGTTGGCAGGAGCGAGAGAGCACGAGGTCACGACGGTTCCACAAGCCATCCATAGCTAGAAACAGAAAGCAGCAAAGCAAGAGGTGAGGAGAGAGAGACAAGATGGGTATGGGTAGATCCGAGGCCGAGCATGGATGCACAAACAATATCGAGGTTCCTCTCCAGCGAGAATTGAGGGACGAGTAACATGGACGGGATGGTGATGCTTTGGGTCAAGGGTGGGAAAGATGTCCACGCCAACACTCTTTCGTCACTGGACCGCAACTCTGTGGACTGTGAGATTAGCCCAAGGAACACCCGTACTTGACGGTGTGAACTTTGAAGATCGGGACGGACTTGGTCGTCATCTTGGGATTGGATCCCAGTTTCCATTCGACATTGCGCTTTGCGGGGAACTGAACGAAAGAAAGAGCTTGAGTGGGTCAAGACCAATTAAGCCACTGATCTGGGATCCGGAACCAGTGAGACAAGACCCTAGTACCGGTACTTAAGAGTTGCTGGGGAAATCTTTAGGAGAGAGTTTTGGCTAAGGAGAGTTTCTGGGTTTTAGTTGGCACTCAGTACGCGTTTGAGTTGACCACGATGTGAGTACAGAAACTTGCTTCTTCTTCTTCAGCAGTCTCTCGTGATTGTTGAGTGAGTAGACACTCAATAGATGCCCACAGATAGTACCGAATGCAACTCCCCTCTCGCTCTCTCAACTGACGAGCATGACATGACGGCAGAATTGACGATCCAAGTCCTGACCTGCATGTTATGCTTCCCAATCCATGCTAGCAGATCGGCATCGGTCAGACCAAGAAAGATGTACCTCACCAGCCACACTTCGCGAAACTTTACCAGCCACATTTCCAAATTCAGGGGCTGCCTGCAATCTGGCTCTCCCACCATTGTGAGCTTAGTCATTTTTATTATGCCCCCCATCGCCAGCTTCAAGGTGTCCCTTTAGTAGTAGCGAGTGGCTAGACGCGAATAACGACGAGACAATTCATCTACGCGACCACTAAATTCTCTACGCTCATTTTTCCTTGACGATTTTTCTTTGATCTGTCTACCTTTCAGATCACTTCTTCTCTGCTTAATTCTCTTCTTCGAATCGATACCCCTTTGCAATTCCACCCGTCATGGCTCCCAAGGGAAACAAGTACTCGGTTATCTTGCCGACGTACAATGAGCGAAAGAACCTCCCTATCATTACCTGGTTGTTGAACCGAACCTTCACTGAGAAGTCCGTAAAATTCTGACCCCAGCATTGATTAATTACTGACTGACTGGAGTAGCAACCTCGATTGGGAACTCATCATCGTCGACGACGGCTCCCCCGATGGAACTCAAGAAGTCGCCCAGCAGCTCGTCAAGGTCTACTCTCCCCACGTCCAACTCAAGCCCCGCGCTGGCAAGCTCGGTCTCGGAACGGCCTACGTCCACGGTCTCAAGTTCGTCACCGGCAACTTCGTCATCATCATGGACGCCGACTTCTCTCACCACCCCAAGTTCATCCCCGAGATGGTCGCCCTCCAGGAGAAGGGCAACTACGACATCGTCACCGGTACCCGATACGCTGGAAACGGTGGTGTCTTTGGCTGGGATCTCAAGCGCAAGTTCGTCAGCCGTGGTGCCAACCTGTTCGCCGACACTGTCCTGCGCCCTGGCGTGAGCGACTTGACAGGCAGTTTCCGTCTGTACAAGCGTGCTGCGCTCGAGAAGGCTATTGCTACCACCGAGAGCAAGGGCTACAGTTTCCAGATGGAGTTGATGGTGCGTGCCAAGGCTTTGGGCTGCACCGTCGCTGAGGTTCCCATCTCGTTCGTCGACCGTCTGTACGGAGAGAGCAAGCTTGGTGGCGACGAGATTGTCCAGTATGCCCAGGGTGTCTTCAACCTGTGGCTCAAGGTCTAAGAATGGGAATGACATGATCAAAAGGAACACATCTTGTTGGATGGGGCGTTTGGGGAAGTATAGTACCATTTAATCTAATACCACGTTTCTTCAGTCGTGTGATCGCCTACAGCATGGATCTCAATGTTATCTGCAGTATGGATGTTACATGTTACGTCCTCCGGTCACCATGATGGTCTGTCCTGTAACATAAGAAAACAAAGGACTGGCCACGGCCAAAATAGCACTCGCAGCTTCAGTGGGGGTACCTGCCCTTCTGAGAGGAATATCCGCAAAAGCAGCATCTCCAGCAGCTTGCTTCTGCTTCGCCGGGATACCCAGCGCAATCTGCTCACCGTCTGGACCCTTTACAAACGCACCCTCCTCCTTAGCCGCTGTCAATCGCGTGAGAATATGTCCAAAGGCAACGGTATTCGCCCTCACGCCAAAAGAGGGACCCCACTCCTTTGCAATCGTCTTAGTGAAGCCAGTAACACCCGCTTTAGCAAGGGCATAGTTGAGCTGGCCCGCGTTTCCGTGGACACCAGATGTAGACGATATGTTGACGATGCAGCGAGGAGCACCATCCTTTACGCGAAAGTATGGTGCTGCAGCTCTAACAAGAGTAAATGGAGCGGTGCAATGCAGGGCGAGAATAGTATCCCACTGCTTGTCCGTCATTTTGTGAATAACGCCATCCCAAGTGTAGCCAGCGTTATTGACAATAATGTTGATCTTGCCGTCGCCAAAGTCAGCGGCGCTCTTGATCAGAGTCTCAACGTAATCTGCTTTTAGGATATCGCCAGGCACGACTTTGGCTTGGCCGCCGTCCTTGTTTATGCTTTCAGCGACAGCCTTGCATTTTTCTATCATAGTTAGCATTTCCCCCAGGATCTTGCGATAAAATTGGTTTCTTACCCGCGTCAATGTCTGCAACAATAACCTTTGCGCCCTCTTTAGCGAATAATCTCGCTGCTTCCGCGCCGATGCCTTGGCCGCTACCTGTAATGATTGCTACTTGGCCTGCAAGTAGACCTTTGGGGTAGTTGAGATGGCCTGCGAGTTGACTAACACGGTCCGACATATTGAAGAGTGTGGATTGGTTTTACAAAATTATGAGGAAGAGGTTTTGGGTAAATAATAACACCAACTGCTTCCCCAGGTTCTGGCCTTTAATGATCCTGGCGATCGGCATGATCGACATGTCTGTGCCGAGGCTCAACGGGTCGGAATGTGGGGTAGCTCCTAATGTATCTAACAAGATATAGAGGTCAAGTAGAAGCGACTCCATGATAGTTCCTTGATATTACAAATGCTTAGGATTAGTGACAGATCTGACTGGGGTAATCTATCAAAAACGTGGTAGTCATCGTCTCTAAAGTTTGGATACATGACCTCTTCTACGTTAAAAAGAGATCGAATCCACTGACATGCGCCACGGGATTCAGTAAGAGAGTTGAGTAGCTTCTACATCTATAAATGAATCACTATGAGATTTACATCAAGCCTTCTTGGCCTTCTGGAGACAACTTTTCGCAACACGCTACTCGCACAGATCATTCTAGACATCAGTTACACAAAAGGCTGCTTAAGGTATAGAATGATTGCAGATAGCACGCACTAAGATATTAGGAACGTTAGTCGTCAAGATCATAAGTGTCGGGATATTTGGCCACTCTATACAGATTCTGACCAGCATTCAGGCTATTGGATTCGGAATTCTGACCCTTGAGAGATAACGTATCTGCCATCCAGTAGTCTAGACAGCGCATCAGAGAAAAGACAGATATTGGTCGACCTACCGAATTGTCTCTGAACTCAAATAGCATTGGCATAACAACTATAGCTTGAAGTCGCTGTTTGTCTTTTCCCATCCTGCCGCAGATGCCTCCATACCAGCTACCCTCTCCGTCAACTTGATCTTCATATTCTTATGCCTCTCAGTACATAGCTCGTACATGGTCGACAGGTTGAAAAGCAGTGTATGCGACGATAGACCTGAATCTACAAGTCCTTCCAGAACCGCTCGTCCCTGGCTGAGTCAGTATTTGAACTTCCATCTGACTATGGACACTTACCTCCTGTATTCTTCCCAAGTATAACAAGCACACCGCTGTGTTGACACCGACCATCTCGTCATCCATAGTTTCTTTGAGCTCCTTCCACGCCTCAAGCGCACTTTCGTACTCAGAGTCCGCCATGTCGCAAAGCGCTAGGATAAGCTTTTCAGCATTCTCGTCGTTTTCCACAGCTAGGCGTGCGCAAGCTCTCGCGCTCTCAACATCGCCCAGGTGCAGCCATAGGAGAGCTTTCGTAAGCGCCATCTTGCCATCACCCCGATCCCGCAGGGTACTCAGATGCTGAGCGGCACCTGTTAAGTCCTCAAGCTCGATCAGAGCGCCTGCAACTTGAATACCAAGATCATGGAGACGGGCTTTCCAGAGCTCTCGCGCTGAGTTGTCGTGTTGGGCTGCTGCTTTGGTGATGCGCTCTCGTGCTTCGCGAGCGAGGTCGTGGTAGCTCATGACAGCTCTGCGATAATCACCAAAGCCTAGTGATTGAAGGCGCACATTGAGAATTCGGAGTTCCCAAGGCACCAGGTGCTCACCTGTTGTCTCGTCCACATACCTTCTGATATCGTTGAGATCTTCCATGGCTTTCACCTCCTGGGCGGCCAGGGGAGTCGCATCGATCAGAGTCAGGCATGCTAGGCGGGTGTAAAGCAGCTCAAAAATCTTCTTGGAGTCGGTTGGGTTGATGCCCCCGCTTGCTCCAGATCCCGTGAGCTCTTGGACAGCAGCTATCGCTGCCGCTCTGAAGTGCCCATTGGCGAGGAGTTCCTCGATAGGCGCTTCAGGGTTGGGCTGTTTCTGAGGGTTGCGGAATGCGACAGGGACATTAAGAGGGGTAAGAGGGTGGTAGATCTCTGGTCGCAGGAGGAATGAGAAGTCCTTTGGTTTTGTTTCGCCTAGTTGCGAAACTGGTGTTCCTGTAGATGAGCGTGGATGTGGTGATGAGAGTCTGTTGCGCTGTGTGAGAGAGGATGTACGCTTAGGTGCAGGTTGAGGTGGTGAGAGTAGCGGGTCGCTATCAGGACAGTTAGCCACCACAGTACTCAAATGCAGGAGATGCTTCTCACTCATCAACATCGAGAGGTCCTTTCGTAGAAGATCTCGGTCGAGCTGAGACAGAATTAGCCTTGTATCGCAAGTGTCATGAATCTGTTAATGGAGGCTTAGGTTAGGCTGCGAGCGCGAATTGCCCCGCATTGTACAGCAACCTCAACCCACAACAGACGAGTTCTAAGGACATACTCTTGGTGATGGACTTGTTTCTCGAGTGCCCTTGACTTCCTGTTCTTTGCGGTTCACTCATGGTCTCGTATTTGATTTGTTATTGATGCTCTTTGAGGAAGTGTTGTGAGCTTGGAGCTTCATGGGCAGTTCGGGTAATTGTCGGGTAGCAATTTTGGAACAACGTCAAGTCTATTTCACTGACATCGCGGGTTCCAAGACTGCTACATATAATGTCTGGCCATGTTTGTGGTCGTTCTCTCCGCTTTCCTGTTTCTTCAATCAGCTACTGATATCACCAGAAGACTAGAGTATTCTGTCAACAGGAGAGTATTGGGCTGGGAGACGAAATCTCAGAAACTTATTGTTTTAGCACTGAATATCTCCAATTTTGCACCCACTGGCACAGAACTCACTCTTTCCGATATAATGTTGAGCTCATTTGATCAATCGAATTACTAAAACTCTTTAGACCTTCATCGCCATGAAGATCTCATCATGAAAAGTGACCAACAATGGTACTTAGAATCCTCGCAACCCTGGAGCCTGAGAGTGATCCTCCTTTACCCAACTAGAGGGGCTGGTCTGCATTGATATAAAATCTAGATTTAACCCATAGATATTGAGGCCATACATGGGAAGTAATACAACGAGGTCGATATGTTGCTCCCGTCGAGAACGGGACACATTTTGCTTGAGTGAAATATAAATGAAGGATGTTTGTAACAATCGATTCAGAAACGAAATGCACTGATTATACCAATTTGGTTGGTCTGCACTTTACGATCGACAGATTTCCATGCAGGTGCCTTACATCCAGGCTCTATACCGTCACATAGTCAACAGTGAAGTTTGATGAAGGTTCAATCGTTGAACTTGATGCCCGCGGAAGGCATTCAGTATTGTAGGTACAAAAGAAGAGACTGAGTAGTGGCTGCCATTAAAGATCCTCCCAGCCAGTAGCTTTCCGTTTGATAAGCCCTCAGTGGTGTCGACTTTGTTCTGTCCCAAAATCCGGCAGCTTGATGCGCCAATCGACTGTTCAGCTAACCTCAGCCTTTTGTGTTGCAGAACTCTCTTGCGTATCAATCGCTCTTTAGATGTTCCAACTAAATTGATTAAAACATCCGTGTTCCATTATATCGTCGCTGAGAGCTGTATATGGATTAGCCCTTGGGTTTTTTCTTGCTAAGGTTAACTTACGATTGCCGAGCCTGCATCCTCTTTGGGGGGCGATGAAGCTGTTGCGCGCGATTTTGAAGCAGCATAGACATAACACCTTTCCAAATTGACGAGTTGCAGGATCACATTGGCGCAGCTGATTGACAGCCACTATTACGCAGTTAGCTCATAAGATTCAAGAGGTGATGAAGATTCTGAACTTACGACAAAGCTTGAATGCAAGTTCCCGATCAGGACAAGTGAAACAATAAGGTATCAGTTCTTGAGTGAATCCGCATAGGACTTTGCTCGCCCAGTAGAATGCATAGACATCGTCTAGCAAGTATGAGATGATCAATCTGTGCCAGGCCTCCTCCATGTATTCTATATGGCCAGGTAAAAATCGCAGCCACAGCGCCCCATACGGCCGGAGTCGTTCAACCATATCATATTTGTCGGCCAAGATCGCGACACTGTAGAATGTTCTAAACTCGAGGCGTGGGATTTTGGAACCGTAGGGTATTCGCAGTAGGTGGTTCATAGCCCACGGACAATATTCAGGAAGTGCAATCGTGACAGGAGAGTCGGGTGCCCGATTTCGAAGAGCATCACCTTCACGCATCGGGGCCTCGAGCATTGCCTTGAAGACAGGTGAGATGTTCTTTAGGAAGTCTGAAGTCACTTGAATCTCGGTCTTCTCTGGGCCGACAGCGAGGATAATGTCTCCATTCTCGCAGATCGTTGGGTCGATTTCATCAGGAGAAGCACTGCTTTCTTCAGCTGAAGAAGGCGATGAGCCGCTCATGTTGGCGCAGAAGTCAGTCTCCTGGTTCAGAGGCGATGTGGTAAAGAAGGATGATGAAGAAAGAAGTGGAAGTGAGGATGTATTGGGAGAAAAGCAAAGGCGCTCCAGGTTCGTTAATGGGGAGAGGAAGGTGGAGGAAGGGAGAAATGGCTCGAGATTTAATTGCTACTTGACACTCGCTAGCGGTGGCAGGCAGCCACTGAGCTTAGGAACAAATGTCTAAATAACTCTAGAACAATTTAAGCAGATTTGTTCGAACCATAATCAAGAGAGTTGCAAGACACATAACACCTGGTTGGCTCTCTTCCCAAGTGTAAGATTAGCTCCTGCCATTGTGCTGCAGTGCAAGGCAGCAGACAGCAGGCAGCTGCTGCCTTATGAGAAACGTACCAGGAGTACCTATTTAATCCTAACCTCGCCCTCTGTCTTTTTTCTTTCTTCTCTTCTCTCTTCATCCTCCATCACCATTTCGTAGAACAGACAGGAATCAGACAACATCACAACTTTATCATTCCAACACAAGTACTGTTCGTTTACAACAAGGTAACAGAAATCCCAACGTGCACTGGCATATATTTTCTAATTATTTCATCTTTTAGGGCCTCCTCTCATCTCTCATCGTCTCATTTCATCCTTGAGCGTCTCGGCCTCTAATTTCTTTTCCATACCCTGACGCCTACCCATCATGTCTGAGACTCCAGCCAAGCGTCAAAAGGTCGACGGCCATCCCCGAGCTCCCAACGACCTCTCTTTCGAAGACTTTGCACCTGATGGAGACCTTGTCTTCGTTGTCCAGAGCGAAACTCGAGTGCGAGTTCGTTCTGCAGTTATGATGGGAGCTTCATCTGTCTTTAATGCTATGCTCGGACCAAACTTCAAGGAAGGTCGCGCCCTGGCTGAGGCAAGCTCTGCACCTGTTGAGATCCAATTTCCAGAAGACGACCCTGAGCCTTTCGGATGGATCTGTCGTGCTTTGCACTGCCAGGCTTCTACAAAGCTCTGGGAACCTACAACCAACCAGCTCGCAACTGTCTGGACGTTGATTAACAAGTACGATCTGAAAGATAGCATGCAACTTTCTCTCTCATTTTGGACAAGCAAGCGAGTCTACTGGGAAGCCGAAATCAGGGAACTCTGGCTATTGGCACAGATCTCTTTAGCGAATGAAGACAACGACTCATTCACAGCTGTCACTCGCAAACTCATCTTGAACACGTCAGCCTCGATTTACGACGCGGCTTCTACAATGGAAGAAAACCCTTCCATCATCAACGGTCGTCTGGTCTACAAACTTGCAGGTATGTCTCCATCTTGTTTCATTAATAGTCGGCAACAAAATACTAACTCCTATTCTGCAGGTGCCATTCAGCAAACTCGGGATTCGGCCATCATAAGAACCGCAAAGTTTCTATACAGTGCACTGCCCAGAACTATTCAGAGCTGCAGTTTCACTACGCATTCATACTTTGCGCAATTGGTACTTTTGTCTTCGAGGCTTGACGGTCCACCGGTGCCTGCTACAGTACTGGACACCACTACGTACCTCGACTCATACACTGCCATCATTTCGGGACTCATCGAATGGACGACCAGGCCAGCATGTAACTGTGGTGGACATAGATGCGCAGACAACATGGCAAGTATGCGGATGGATATTCAGAATTTCCTCAAGTCGGAATTGGCGTATGGACTGTGTCTCGATTGTTTCGACAGCCCAGCATGTCCCACCCATGAGAAGTGAATTCATTCACTAGGTATTACCGTCAGGGTATTAGAAGAATAGGCCGAGCATCAGACGAAACAATTTGTTCATCTTATGCTAGGTATCTAGCTTAGAATAGCACTTTAGGGCAGTTTATATTGACACCTTGACCCTTGAAGGGAACGATTCTTCTGTCTCCTACCTGCCAGCTCCTTTCGTTCTAGTGCCTGAACTGTAAGTCTTGAGCTCTCCACTGGGCTCCAGCTTATTCACCTGTCAAATTCGGTAAAGGTTGTAACTTCACAAGGACTTGACGTATCGTTTAATGCGGAGTGAATATAAATTTATATACCTTACGCTTGCTGATTCGAGTTGTTAGTGGAGGTTCAGACTCAGCAAACCTGCCTCTCGTATGCTATTGTCCTGTGCGCCATTGGCCTGTGACATTCAATCGTTACCCCACTAAAACTTTACCATCACACCTCACCTCAGTCCGTCCTCTGAATCCTTACAGCTTCACTATGAGGACCCGAAAATCTAATCGCACTAAACGATACACGCTTGAAAAGTACGATTTTGAAGGCAGCTCCGACGAGGAAACTCTCAGGCGCGCTACTCAGAAGACGGAACGAGACGAAAACTTTGATGAGACTGCCGCTGCTGAGGAAAGCGCCGAAGAGGAAGAGCTCGCTCTCGACCAGGAAGGGGGGCACGATGAAAATGAAGAAGTCGAATCCGAAGGTCCTGTGAGCGAACCTGATGGAGTGCCAGATAGGTTTGCGCGACAGCGTGTGAGGCCGATCAGGCCATTCAATGTACGCGCTGCTGGCTTGACAGGGTATCTCGATTTGGAGCCTGTAGCAGACGGACGCATTGTTAGATCATACTGGGGACCGTATGATCGCGGCTTCAAGGGAAAACAGCTTGTGGAAGCCTGGTATGGACGACACGAAGATGGCGTTGGTCTAGTCAAGGGAATGCTGGACCGTTGGATGGACTGGACTGTCCTGCCTCCCAAGATCCCAGCTGATGAGGGGCAGACAGATAGAGCTGTCTGGTCGCCCAGTTTCTTCGAACGGGAAGCTTACAGCGCCGAGCATTGGTATGAGCGCGTTCAAGAGAGTCTTCCTGGGGTCAACGCAAGGATACGACTATCGCCAGAGGAAGCTGAACTTTACCGTTTCCAGAGAGAGCCAATGCCAGTATTATTGGGGCCTTCAACATCGCAACAAGAGATCAGATTCATGCCCGGGGACGCTTATGCCATATCTCAAGACGGTCTCCCTTTGCAAAATGACAGCGCACCCGTGGGATGGATGTTAGATGCGGGTGGTATTGTCACCGGAATGGACTGGGCGCCTCTCCATAGCGTCAACGCACCGCAACTACTCGCCATATGTGTCATTCCTCATTCTGACCAGGAACTATACGACTATGAAGAAGAGTGTCTAAGGCCTGACTTTCAGAAGTATGGCGTTGTACAGTTGTGGGAGTTTGTCGGTGAGAGGCAAGATGATGGCTTTGCGCGACCTTCATTGCAGCCACCCACACTACGCAAAACAATATGTCTGGAACAAGGGCGCGCTCGAAGGGTAAGATGGAGCCCAGCATGTGGGTTCTTGGCAATTCTTTGCGACGACGGAAACGTATATGTGACTGAAGCTGGTGATGATGGAGAAGGGGGTTATGGTAAGTCTGGCATCGTCCTTGAAGCATTGAGCCATGCTAACATTTTCTCAGAAAAGGTTGTCGAGCCAATAGCAGTATTTGGCTTCCCAGACGAGGACGCAAAGGCTACAACTTTCACATGGATCAACTTCAACAGGCTAGTGATAGGATATACTGATGGTTCTATCGCTCTTTGGTCTGTCCGTCCCCATCGTCTCCTATCTCGACACCCCGTTCACCACAACATCGTGGTCGATCTCGTCTCAGGCTATCCAGCTATGCCATACCTGATCGCTTCTACTCCAGTCGGTGGCACTGTCAAGCTTCTCGACCTTCGTGCCCCTAGCTACGAATCCACCGAAGTTCAAAACCTTACAGTCGGAACGCAGCCAAACCTCCTCGGATACAGCGACCACCTGCTAGGCTTCTTTTCCATGTACCCATCTGCGGGTGTTCTCAACACTCATGTCGGCTTTATGCATCATTCGCAATTCCCTGTCGCCCGTCGTGTCTTCACTGGAGAAAGCTACCCTTCATGTTTGGCAGTCGGGCGCACGCACCCATATCTCCTTGTCGGGTCCCTAGACGGCTCACTCTGGGCCATCAACCCTCAAGTCGAGCTCTTCACCACCAGACGCGAACCGACAGATCGCATTCGCGTCTGCCATCACGAACATCGACCTGGGAAGCTCTTTCCAGCTGACGCCCCCACTGCGGCGCGAGGTATCTCGAGAATAGTAACTGGCTTTATCCTGGAGCGCAGTTTAACAAAGCATTCAGCTCACAAGCCGCCTGTCAAGAAAGGTAAAAAGCCAAAGAAGAAGGAAACCGACACGGCTGTTGGCGATGATGAGGAAGAGGGAGGTGCTATTATGGATCCAACCCGAGCCATCATTTATGAGCCTTTGACGAGGGTTACAGTGGCCGAGTGGAATCCCAACGAGGAGTACGGCTGTTGGGCTGCCGCAGCTATGGGGTCCGGTCTGGTACGGGTCATGGACCTCGGCTTGACACAAACGGAATGATCCGCTCAATCCATGAGACACTGGGAACCCATAATGGTATGATGGTAGTCAAAAGCCTTGGCCATACCATAGAAATGAGTGACGGCTGCGAGAATAACGAACATGTGGAAGATCTGGTGCGAACTTCCCCAGATGTCAAAGGCACCGGGAGCACTTCTCTCCGGCCATCGAACCTATTTTGTCAGAGTCGGAACTCGAAGGAAATAGCAGGAGTAGACATACCGCATAGAGGACAGCACCAAAGATATACATGGCGCCGTGTAGAACAACCCAGCTAAGGCTCATTCGATCTTCCAAGCCTTGGAAACCATAGATGAAAGCTCCGTGGATAACAGGAACAATACCTGAAAGACCAAGACCTATGAACATCATTGTTCGGTAGGGGCGCCACGTCGGAGTACGGAATCGCTCGACCCATGAAGCGAGGGTACAGCCAACTCCAAGAATACATATCTGACCTAGTTAGCAAACTTCAATGGCAAGAGGCCAGGACAGTCACTTACGACCCAGAGATATGCAGTCATCAGGTTAGGCAGACAGAAGAAGCCGTAATATAGAGCAGGAACATAGCTTCCAACAATCAGAGCCACAATGCCTGTGTAATCCAGCTTGTTTCCCCATTTCGCAACAGTATCGCTATGATTGGATAATGTATGGAAAGTAGCACTCATTCCTAGACACACCACAGCGCCTCCGAAGAAACAGGCAAAGACGAGAACATCGGCCTCACTTGCACTTGCATAGCGAGGTCGAACAACTCGATCGACGTAGGCTGCACTACCTAGAAATAGTATAGCTCCAATGAGATGAGTCCAGATATTGACGGACTCGTTGTGAAGGTAGAAGAGGGAGCGGAAAGAATGCGCATAAGAGCTTTGGGACTGGCGGTAGCCAGAAAGGATAAAAGCATTATCGCGGCGCCAGGCAGGAAGGTCGTCCCAGAGGAGAAGAAGTGAATGTTCAACCTTTGATTCAATGTTCTTAGCGGCATCAATAAGGTTTTCTGTGGCTGAAGGCCGGCGATTGCGAACGCCGTCGTAGGGCTGAGTGTCAGTCATATTGAATGAAGCTATCCTGACTTTAAATGAATGCAGCTTGAATCTAGACAATTCGGATGCGATGATCAACAGCCAAGCTCAGGATTTGCGTCTCGCTCTTCCACTTTTATATAAGTCGAGTTCCACTTGTCCGGTCGCAATGGAGTCATTTACTGTTGTGTTGTTGACCGGGATGATTTTGTTGGGACAAGCACATGAAAAGACACGCACCGAGGCTAAGACACGGTCAAAGTGATGGAAGCCCTTTAGAAGCGTTGTAGAAGGCACCCCACTATAGTCGAGGGTCCTATTTTATGGCATGTTAATTGTCATGATGGATTTTTTGAATGGAAAATGGATCTTGTTCATTGTTATCAAGAGTTGCCTTCTGTGGAAATCGACAAGCGAGCTGCACTAATACAGTGGAGGAAAGACTACAATAGCATGGATCGTCGGGCGGTTTTACAGTACAATCACAACTATCCGTACAGCAAAGCTTCTCGTCACAAATCATGCATGAACTGGCGCTCTATATTTTGGGTCAACATTTGTATTCATTTCTCGTTAGCCATCGTGCGATAATATTGTATCGTCTTGTGGTCTAAAACGCCAAAAACACTCAGGCTGGCTGATGCGCTCACACCACCCGAAGCCTCCACGACCCTCGTAGGCCATGTTCAATCTTCGCTAAGCAGTAGACGAGAACGTTTATTTCTTTCCGCTCTTCTTGATGCCCTGGCCACCGGTGTTGAGGGGGCCCTTGCCTCCAGCCTTAGCGGCAAGCTCCTTGCGAGCCTTCTCGTCTGTACAAGAGTTAGCAAGCTGTGTCTGGGGTATTTATGGTGTTCGGGCTATGCGTACCGGCTCGCTTCTTCTCGAGGTAGGCCATGTCATCGTCGTCGAGGTCCTTCTGGGCCTTCTTGGCCTGCTTCAAGGGCTTGACCTTGCCGCCTGTAATGGAGGGGTTAGTTTTCTGTTTCTGTCAAAGTATAGCTTGTCGGAGTGTGAGAACGAACCTTCTCTGTTAGCGCCACCCATTTTGATGTGTGTAGAGATGAAAGAGAGTAGATAGTTGTGTGAAAAGGAGGCAGAGATGCGGTTGTAGAGAACAAAGTTGTCGCGAGAAAGGAAGAAAAGTTGCCTCCCGCTTATTATTCGCTTTAAGTCTGGGCTGTGTTTTTGTCCGGCCGCAGCCCAGGCCTTCTGCTTTTGCACCTAATCCACTCAACCTGCAGCGGTGAGCCCACTTGGACCGCGGGGATAAGCTCGATAAGATGGATAAGGGTCTTTCGGGGCTTAGCTAAGCCGGAAACTGGTCGGCTTTTCCACTTTTGTCACCTCCAACCTACAGATTCGCTGTTACGTCAAAAGTCTGGAGATAGAATAACAGACGATAACATTTGAGCTTGCGATATTACGACCTGTTTAGGTTTTGCGACATTTGTACTCAATCAGGCATCTTCAATCCGTACATATCCTTCTTTTCATCTGGACTGCGCTCCAGCTTCCCCTTGTTTACTTCTTTACAACTGTCAACAAACCTCACCATCGGCACTACGAGTCACTACTGATCCGGTTGGGCTCTTTTCCCATTGCACTCTGCTTTCATCAGATCCCAGCGCTGACACTGTTTCTCTTTCTCTATACTTGAAGGCCTAAGGATCCAATAAGCATCTTCGTCAAAATGACGTCGAGTTCGGACGAAGGCGAGATCGTCGAGAACTGCGCAGAAGATTTGAAGGCAACTTCACTGCAGCACACTGGAGGAAGCAGTGTTGACCGTCAAGACAGACACAAAGATAGACATTCGACTCCGGACCACGATACGGCATCTAGATACAGCAATAATTCCCGACGAAGCATTTCACCTCGTGGCTACAAGCGACCTCACGACGACAGAGGCCGAGATCGAGATTATTACAACTCCCGGTCCCGCGAACAAGACCGAAGCTTTCGCCACAATTACGAGGACGCTCGGCGCGATGATCACCGCAAGCCTCGCGGGCCGTACGATGACCAACCTGCATCGCGCGCATCCAACTATAGCCACGGTGGCCGCGATCGGAGCCGCGACAGAGACAGCTATCGCAACGGAGACCGAGATCGATATTCCAATAAACGACCTCGAAACAGGAGTCGCTCCCCTCACGGATCTCGACGCGCAGACGGTGGCAGATTAGATCGGTTTGTGAAAGAAGGTCACGATCGTCGCAACGGCGGGCCAAGAGAACTCAAGTACGATGACAATTCGCGGGATGGTGGTTCAATGTCCAAGAGGACGACTGTAGGAGAGGCTTCACGCGCCCAGGGATATAATGCTAAACCTGATCAAGGCCTTACCAATGGACGTGGCCCTTCCAAGACTTCTCAGCAGTATGTCTATTCACACCCTCAGGGTCAGATGAGAGTGCTAACAGGAAACAGGCAGCCAGCAACTCAGCAAGAGCCCGAACGGAAACCGGAACCTGAGCCTGAGCCCGACTATGAGGAGCCCGAGCCTATTGACGAAGAAGCTGAGATTGAACGACGCCGCAAGCGACGTGAGGAGATCCTGGCTAAGTCCAGTTCGGCAACTCCTCTCCTACTCCATGCTGTAGGAGCTGCGGCTACCAAAGCACGCGCTGAATCCCCTGCATCTACCGTACCCGACACGCCCGTCAGAATGCAATCCGATATTGAGAGCCCTCGTACCCCTCGATCGGGTACGTCAAGATTATCTCCTCATGGACGACCTCTACTGACCATTGGTGCAGATATTGTATCACCTCGCTCACCTGCATCGCATGTTGGAATGTCACCTGGAGGAATTAACCTCCTTGATGATAACGAACTGATGAACTCTCATGCAAAGGTCCAGGATGATGAAGATGGCCCCTCTGCAGCTGACTATGACCCCACTGGGGACATGAAGGAGGACGAACGACGAGATGAACTCCGACATGGACACGTCGTACTTCATGGTGAGCAGCATCCCATTGCAACAGAACAACAGCCACAGGAAGCAGTCGCAGAGAAGCCTGCCGAGAAGACTACCGAGAAGGCTGGCGATGATGATGACGATGACTTCGATATGTTTGCCGACGATTTTGACGAGGAGAAGTATGCGACCAAGCCTGTCGAGCCCGTCGCACCTATTGAGGGTGATGGTAAAGCCCCTGATATGCCAGCCATTAAGGGAGGTATTCTTGAAGGCGACGACAAGGACGGTTACTACAAGATTCGTATCGGTGAAGTCTTGAACGGTCGATATCAGATCCAAGCAGCACTTGGAAGGGGTATGTTCTCAGGCGTCGCCCGCGCCATCGACATAACCACAAAGCAGATCGTTGCCATCAAGATGATGCGAAACAACGATGCCCTCCGAAAGGGAGGCTATACCGAAATCGCCATTCTAGAGAAGCTCAACGAAGCTGACCCTGAGGGTCGTAAGCACATCATCAAGTTTGAGCACTCGTTCGACTACAAAGGCCATCTGTGCATGGTATTCGAGAACTTGAGTATGAATTTGCGAGAAGTCCTCAAGAAGTTCGGCAACAATGTAGGCATCAATCTTGGAGCGACGCGAGCATATGCATACCAGATCTTTGTTGCTCTGGCACACATGCGGAAGTGCAGCATCATTCATGCTGATCTTAAACCTGACAACATCTTGGTACGTATCTCCGACAACATTGTTGAAGGGATTGCTAACGTATGTAGGTGAACGATACCCGTAACGTACTCAAGATTTGTGATTTAGGTACAGCCATCGACAAGACCGATGCAGCGAGTGCGCATATGGACGTCACACCATATCTCGTCAGTCGGTTCTACCGAGCTCCAGAGATTATCTTAGGTATTCCTTACGACTACTCTGTCGACATGTGGTCCATCGGCTGTACCCTGTATGAGATGTACACAGGCAAGATCCTCTTTGCTGGAGACAGCAACAACCAGATGCTCAAGGCCATCATGGAGATTAGAGGAAGATTCACACCCAAGTTGTTCAAGCGTGGTCAACTGGCGCCTATGCATTTCGACGACAGGGGACAATTCATCAGCGTTGAGCGAGACAAGGTTTTGGACAAGGTATGTTATGATTCCATTCACTCCCTACACGTTTCTGTTATTTGTTGTTGTTTTTTACCATGCTTCACTCCTTGCATCTACATCCAAGCGCCATATGGCCGCTCTTTTGGTGGCCTTCCACGCGATGTCTGAACTATTTTTGCCATGATGACAGGATGGCTGGGGGCTGTTCCTTCATGGGGCTCTGCGAGCGTAAGCGCCGACTCCCTTGCAGATGGAAGCGCTGGGGATATGTGGGTACACATCACGATGAACATCACCCACCCAACGGTTTCTAGATTAAAACATTAGACATGTTGGATCTAAGTCGCCCTTGCGGGGTTCCAGACCCGGGGAGATGTGGGATGTGGTGAGGTGGGATGAGGTGATGGAACGCCTCACGATCCTTTCGAGATTGGATCTGGCCGCATGACATGACCAGCTTTGTCTCGGTAGATCGAACTCCCTCTCAGCATCAGCCACGATGGCTTGCATATCCCTTACATGCAAAGTTCAACGGCTGCTGAAGTTTGGTCAAGCGCTCAGCCCTTGTAGACATCCACATTCGCTTGAAATCATCCTTTTCCTGTCTTAGAACTGTTTGTTTGGAATCGATAACTAACCAATTGCGCTTACAGACTACCGTCAAGACCATGGCTGTGGTTAAGCCAACACGGGACCTTCGGACGAGACTCATGGCTGCGTCGACAGGCATGAACGATGCGGAAACGAGGGACCTGAACCACTTCATTGATCTTCTTGAGCATTGTCTCACGCTCAACCCAGATAAGAGGATCAAGCCGGCTGATGCACTGCGCCATCCCTTCTTTACATCAAAGGTGGGACCCATACGCCGCTGAGTGGGATGCTAAGGTATTCGGATAATTGAGTCGTGACGCTGTTTAGAAACAAAACCATGCGGGACAGGCATCTAAGGATTGGGAAAATAGATTTGGCTAGACAAAGGAAGGGAGGAATATGGCTGGTTCAAAACATGTGGTTGTTTGATCAATGTCTCTGAACGTGTCACCGCCGTTTTTTATGTCATGCCTTGCTGTGTCTCACCTTTGTCCAATGTCTCGCATACGGCCGAACTATGGAAGTCTAGATCGGAGAAGCAAGCTAGAAGTTGCTGGAGTTTTAGGGAGTCCTTGTTGCATGTTTGGACGTGGGTTTTCTGGAACAAATGCCTACAATGTTGTAATAACCTAGACCATTATTGAATGGAACCACTATTTGCGCGGATTGTTTGCTGTTTGATCGGCGATGAGAGTGATTTTGTTATTGTACGTTGTCCTTTCACATGCGGAGACGAAGACGTGATCTCGTACTCGCAGTATTCCGAGTCAGTTTCAACGCCCGGCTCGTACGGAGGAATCCGCTTGGCGCAGCTGGAATTGGGATGAGGCTCCCAGGCACGGGTGCTTAGTAGAGTGGCGATGCAGACTGTAATTTTTTGCCCGCGTGAGCGTATGTGTCAGACAAGGCAAACGAATAACTGCCTACGCTAGCTCAGGGCAAAATAAATTTTCTAGGCTGCTGAGCTGAATGTGCGAATGTGATATCCCATTCCAGGCTGATGTTTGACAGCCTGGTAACAGTAGATTACTATTAGGACCGAGCGAGCTGCGGGCGTTGGGGCAATCAAGGCTAAACGAGCACATGTCACGGTGATGCTTTGTTGGTGGGATTTGATTGCCGCTGTATTTGTGTTCTTGGCAGCTGATGTTGTACTGTACGGTTACGGGGGGTGGTTGAGAAAGATGATGTTTGCTGTAGATGACTGATGATAGTATAGTTTCGCCTCTGTGGTCTCGTCTAGTCTAGTCCAGTCTAGCAAGGGAGGGAAATACGGCTGATGTGCTGTGACTCTTGTGTAAGTCGCTTGGCTGGGAAGCGAAGCGGTTGGGTCATGGTCAAAGCCGGGATGGGATGTGATTGATGGTCAGAAGGGTATTACTCGGGGACGGGGAGTCCTTGCTTTGACGTCAATGAGGTTGCACGAGAAGGATCCAGTTGCTGGCAGTGCTACGGATAGGCAGGGCGAGCAGATTAGTACTACGTACAGTGTACAAGTGATCTTACTACATAGTACGAGTTGAGTTGAGTTGTCTGATGATTGTTTGATGATCTTGTGTATTTCCTGGTCATGATTGTCGTGATGGACGTGAGGCTTTTGATGATCGAAACTTGGCTTGGTTGAGCACAATCCGAGGGTTTGACATTGGATCGTCCAATGTTAGTCTTAGTACTGTAACTCATTCGGTTCTGCCCGACGACACAGACCTTGCTAGTTTGCCGATCCATATTGAACAACGCTGTGCTCTCTGTACCCGTGGGATAGAGATGAGACTCAGATACCCAGTCATCAGAGCCCTGGATTATGATGTGCAGTCATTCTATGAGACGCCCTGATCGCCATGCTCTTACACATCTGTAACAGATCCTGCGACGGAGATTACGCCCAGGCCAATTACCGACAGACGAAATCTCCCACGAGTCAAGCAAGGGAAAGAGTGGGTTTCTTTGCTTTTTCGCAGCCTCACTCACTCGCTTCGGCGGTTCGACCTCGCTAACGGTGACTCTTTGGGAGGACAGGGGGCGGGAAGACGAACGAAATGGATCCTAGTTCCCTCAAACTAATTGCCCTTGAAGCCCTTTCTAAACGGTGAGGCAGCGCATGAAGAGCCAAGGGTGGCAGAGCAAGGCAAGACATTATGACGATGGATCATGGACGGTGGCGAAAAGAGCAGCGTCTCTGTCGTCAGGATCGGCGTACTCAAGCGACTTGGTTCGCTGAACTTGAAGGGGCTCTGCGTTGAGCTGATGCTAGGGTCTGGCCATTGGTGGTTTCGTCCTTATTTTCCTGCAAGAGTTTCATCAATATCGAAAATCCCATCCAGTCAAGTATAGTATCGGATTATCACTCTGTGTTTGAGGGGGTTCGGGGGATCATCATGACAGAGAGATAGGCGTGTTGAGATCTTCAGCTTCCGGGGCCTTGCGACATGATGATCAATGCAATGACAATATGGTGTTTTGTGTTTGTACGAGGTATACGGAGGGTTCGGATAGATCAGATGATGTATTGGATATACCTGAACGTGTCAGCTTGACCGTCGTCAGAGCATAGAATGCGGATACGGAGTAATACTTGCTATTCCATGATATCAGCTTTTGGAATACAGGGTAACCGTTGGATGCTCCGTGTCCTACCCCGGGTCCGCTCCGTAACGGCGGCATCCCCACAAGCACATGGCACGGGTCACGGATGACGGAAGGAACCAGAGTTTCTTTCTCTTTCTCGTGTCCGGGACGTCTTCTCCTCACCTCTTCCACTCTGGACTTGAACTCTACTATCGAGATGGCCCCACGGACACAACCGAAAGTTCACTCCGTTCTCCAAGCGAGAGTCAAAGTGACGTTTGGTTTAGTCGATTTCATCACACCATCTTCTTCACTACCTAAACAATTGGATCTTGAAATCGAAATTCATGCACGCAATGTGATGGAGAACTAAAGGACTACCGGATGTCATCCCGTCCACTCTCACCACCCAATGAATTAGCCGTTGAGAGAGGTTGGAGGTTCCAGACCAACACCGCTTTAAACTTTTGGCCAAGGCGACAACGTTGACTTTCTCCTTGTGGTAATATTCTGGGCTGATCGGCCTCGAGTTGCCGCGAGATGGTGGCAAAGCAAAGAAAGCCAATTGCGATTGATGGTAGCTGGCTCAGATCTTGATCATCGTTTATGCTCGCCTGTGTCTGCCGTGGAGAGAAAAAGAAACCCCGTGACGGTGCTTGTGTGTTCAACAGCGTTGCATTCGTCCCCTCTCTCATCCCTTGCATGGACACGCTACGCTACGTAAAGCAAGCCCTTGCAGACAGACACACATCCAACGTTTGGCGGTGAATCTACAACGGAGAGTCTCAGTATCACTATCGGGCCATAATGGAGACGTAAGTGCCCTAGCGCCGTGATAGAGTTGAAGACGTTTAAGACGGTTCATGTTTATTTACATCTCATGATGGTGGTTGCTATTGATGTAGACGAAAATAGGCAGTTGGTTATCTTCAGAAACAACAACTGGTTCATCAGGTTTCATATTACATGTGACACTCCTGGTAGCATTAACAAGATCGATCTGAGGATCGTTATCAGACCAAACCAAAACTAAAAGTCCGAGCTTGTTCGTAATGTTTCCCTACAAGGACATGATTGAAACGCAAGGATCTCTTAATCGGGCCTAGAAACACCAGTAATGGTCGAGATATCGCTCATCACCAAACCAAGGTGTCATGTTGATCCTACCGCCAGTCTAAACTAAACAACCGCATCCATGGTCCCGGGGAAGTGAGCCTGAGTCTGGCGGCAGTTGATGGTGGTGCCTTTATTTCCCATTCATCATCTCCTGATCTAAGAGCAGGAGGAGGGCTTGTTGATTTGCAGTTCTGCTGTACGGCACGATAGCTGACGTCTTAATAGACGCATTGCCATGACTCAGAGCTCACTGTACAGTAGCTGCGCAATAGCTCTCTTCTAAGTGAGTGCATGACCGGCAGTGCGAAGGGGGAACTCCCTATTGGATCGATATGGGTTTTGTTGTAATTATCTGGGAAACCTTTTCCTTCTTGAACCTGCGCCGTATCCTGGAACTGCACAAAGGATTGTCCCGATTTGCTGCTTCTTATTCTTGCAGCACACGATGTGGTCTTGGTCTGGCAAGTTCCAACGCTTAACGGTATCGCTTATGCATAAGAGCAGCTGATAATGGACTAGGATTCGACCTACTGTGCATTGCCGTGGTGAGAGAGAACTGCTGGTCTTTGGTCGAGTTTAGTTTGCAGTAGCAGCAGGTCAGGCAAGTTTCGACCAGCAGTCAAAACACACACACAAGTCACAGTCACAGCACGCACAAATCAGCCCATGCATAACATACTGTATTATTATTCGTACACCGAAACACCTACTTTGCCGATGGTCATAACTCACAACCACGGCGGCCGAGCATGGCCAAGAAGCTCGTCCCTCCTGGTCTTTGCCCAGCACGCTATGCTTCAGCTACAGTAGATAGTGTATGATCGACGCCCCGGACTCAACTTGACTCTGGAGATTAACTTAGGTAGAACGCCGGACACTTGTTCCAAGGGCCACCACAGAATCAGTGCTCGCTGGCGCAAGATGGGTCGATTCCAAGGGGATCCTTGTGACCCAGGCAAAGCCAAGCAAAGCAAAGCGGCCTCACTCTGTCTAGAGGTGGATCTTCAAGTTTGTTTCTTGTTGGTCAACCTGGGTCTTTGAAGGAGCACAGGGCAACAAACGGGGAATAAGGGCAGACCGAGATCTCCAACATCATCTCGGTGCTAGGCCCTGAACGGTTTAGATGCGCCCGTGGTTTTGGACTTGCATCTTCGATAGTTAATTGGTAATCACGGTGAAGCGTCCTTTTTTGAACTGCCAGACCGCTTCTCTTGGTCAGTGAGAAGGGCCCGTTCCCCATCGACCCGTCTTGAATTGACAACTGTTCAGTCAACTTGGAGACACCGTAGACTAAACAGTGTCTTGTCTCCCCGATCTACAGGGGAGAGGGGACCACTGAACAACACTTGTTGAACCGACAAGAATACCAACCAGGGTCCCTTGGAAGGAATTCCAACTGTCATATCGACATGGAATAGGGTAGCCGAGACAGTTTCTGGATATCCGGAGTTACAGCACGGTAAATGATTACTTCACCTGAACTTTGACTTTATTCATGAATTCCACTCGGATGCATATAGAGAAACATGTTCGAGGAGTTCAAAAGTCATGCGATAATGGTTCGTGGCTGGATAAAAAACTTGACCGAGAGAAGCAAGTGATCAAGATCTCACACATTTTGACAGGCAAGGTGTAACGACAGGGCATGCCTCAATTCCTTAATTGATCCTAATCCTTCAGATCCGGGGGGCTTGAGAGAGGCACAGTAACTGTACGATACCCGTCAACGTTTCGATGACAGGAACCAAGAACCAACCTGGGTCTGCCTGTCATGTCAAATCAACCCAGGTCACATTGGCATCCACACCGTAAACCCGTTATCAGTAAAAAGAGTGAGAACCATGCATCCATCCAACACGATACAACGCACACAACACAACACAACCTTGACAAAGATCACAGGCTTTTGATAGAAAGAGACAGCGGGGCACATTCCCTTGGCCGTGTACAGCCTCTGATTGGACGCCTCTTTTGTAACCGTTTCCCACAGTCAGCCTCACTGTCCCGTCGTGGCCTGTTCCAAGGGCCTGAAGGGGTCTCTTGACAGAAGAGCAAAGTCCTACCGGACAGGGGTAGAGGCACACAGCACACAGTCTGCCTGCATCTCACCGCGGCCTAGGACCACCGTGTGGTACTTGATGCACCCAGGCAAGGTATAGGTTGCGCACAGGTTACATTACAGTACTGTACAGCAGACAGCAAATTGACGCTGCATCTGTCTTCTTCGAGTAATACTGCGTAATCCAGGGTCTGGGTCTGTGCCAGTAACGGGAGCTGTCTGCAAACAAAAACCTGCCAGCACGGTTGAGGCCCGTTCGAGGGCATGCCGTTAGACGGATACGTGCAGAGACAGTAATATCTGGTGGGTGAAATGAGTGACTGGCTTAACTGAGTGACAGAGTGGCAGGCCTCGCTTCAGATCTCATAGTCTAGTCAGACAAGACAAGACAAGACAAGGAAGGGCAACTGGACTGGAACTGAAGCCTCATTCATGTTGTCTGCGTGCTGTTCCTGCTCCTTCTGTTCTCCATACAACCACCACCGTCGCTTATGGATGAAACACCATGTTGCTTCGTTGATCAGAACGGAATAAGCAAATCTCATATTCTCCCATGTCAGCCTTGTCGAAATGTGATGAGCGTGACATGATATCTCGATATTTGATACATTCTCTTATTGCACCAATCATAGCTCAAGGATGACTCGGTACTTTGAGTCTTTTCAGAGTTAAAAGTTCAACCATGGCTCAGTCAAGAATGTCGATCTTATCGCGGGGCTGCACAAAAATAACACACAGTCATTAGTGAAAAGCAAAGTTCAGGTTAAAGAGGTTGGCATAAACTTATGCAGCGCTTAGCCGCTTTAGCCTCGATATGTGATGCATGGTACCTTCCCATCAGCCAGTAAAACGCTGTAGAGGAAGTAGCGACCGACCCTCAGTGAAGGGATCGTCCTGCAACAGTGGTGCCAGTTCACACTTTCCTTTCACATTCACATTTCAGCCCCCTCCCACCTTCCTTTTCATAACCTGAGGCACGTATGCCGCCAGACTCAGAACGGGTCAGGGTCTTGGGTTGGGTCTTTCTGTCTCCATGACTTCATGCATTCCATTTTGTGCAAACACGTCGTCAAGCGCCACAGACGCCCACTCTGCTCTATACTTGGGCCCCACGAACCAATCGCTTGCTGCACGGCCGATTTTCTGTTTTGTTCGTCGTGTTCGACGACGAAGGTTTGCTGTTCCGTTCCAGTTGTTTCTCCTGAAGCAGGTCCGGTGAAAGGCAAAATGCCATGTTATACGGGAAACACGGCTGGACTCAAACTCTGTGTAGTCTAAAAGGTAACTAACTGGTCATTAATTACAGTTGAGTTATGTAACAGGCGGCACGACAGTCACTCTACAGTGCATACGATAGATACAGAGTCAAGCAAAGCAAACCCGGGCTCCGTAGTCCCCGCCCTACGCCGCGCCGGCCGGTGATTGCAAGAGACGGAGCATCGCATGGCATGGGAGGCAAAGCTACGCTACGGCAATGCGCTGAAAAAACTAAACTGTGATTCATCACGGGGGCTGTTGATTATGACGATTCGCCCGACGGGTGGAGAGTAACCAGTCAAGTTACAGAGAGGACACGCAGCACAAAGACGGCTACGGCACAGTGCACTCTAGGGGTGTCAGCAGAGCACACAGAAGCACACAGAGCACCGCCCTGGATGCTAGAGATCTGCCACCGCACGCTTGTGAGTGGTTGACGACAGGTGGTCGACCAGTGGGCCGATGGATGGCGTTAGTGCTGAGACTTGAGACTCAGACTCTGACTGCGAGCGACAGGACAGCCCAAAGAGAGATGGTGGGTCCGCGCAGAACCTGAGAGGACCATGGTGTGTCGTGGCCTGGAGGCAGTGACACAGAGGACCACTTTATTCAACTATCTAACGGATCCTTGCCTTTTCGTATATTGCTCAGCGTCACCAAACCAGACCAAACCATTCCTTGTGAAGCTAGCCGACGCCTCAAGCCAAGACGCCCCCCCATCCCTTCGACTCTACGCCTAGACAAGAATAGAGCATTAACGCACAACGAGGCCAAGGCAAGGCCCCCCATGCCATTAATCTCTCCAATGGACAGGGGTCAAATGAGTTGGTGGGTCTCAATCCACGCAATTCCCAAGTCCGAGGCGTGAACTTTGAGCGGTACGTATCTTTGTCTTGGGTGTGTCTCGCTCTGCGCTCGTCCGCCTTGTCCTTGTCGCTAGAGACTGCTTAACTTATCTACTGCCTCTGCCCATCTCCAAACTGGGCCGGATCTAGTTTGAAGAACCTCTATCACCACTTTCACGACATTCCTTCCGGCACCTTCTTCCACCTTCGCAGACGTGACCAAACGGTCTACTCTTGTCGACTACGGTACAATCACAAACTCCTTCGACAATCCCCGGAAGGCCGACAACTTCAACTCTAACCTCTCTCTATCTCTTCTCGACCCGTTGATTCGGCCGTCGGGACCTCAAATACAACTACTTCAACTACAACCCAGGGACTTTTTAATCTCGACCCATTTGGACTGGACTTTGGATCAGGATCCTTTGTTGGCCGTAGGAAAACACTGTTTTCTATTTTCATTTTCTGTCTACCGTGCCATTTTGGATTATCTCTCCGGCCCCAGGATCTACTTCAACCCATATACCCAGTCTTTAGGAATTTGTTAGACTCAACCAGTTAACATGCAGCAACATGCCATTTTCGGTTACCAAACCCCTCCGCCCTCGCCTGGATTCGATCATCCCAAGTGCACAGTTCAACAGCCCTTCGCTGCTCCACGACACTTTCAGGCCCGATGTATTCCTCTCGCCCCGGAGGCCAGGCTTGGCCGCGTGCTTGAGGGCACTCTCCAGCTGACTGACATCCTTGGAACCGGCGCCTATGGCGTCGTCTACCTGGCTGTCGACCTTAAGACCGGAGGTAAATACGCTGTCAAGTGCTTGAGCAAGTTCAATCCCGATGGAACCCCTTTGGAACAAAGACAATTTGCCTACCAACAACGAGAGATCCGTCTTCACTGGAAGGCATCGGAACACTCCAACGTGGTCCAGATGCTTAAGATTGTGAATGATCCCGACTGCATCTATGTTATTCTCGAGTACTGCCCTGAGGGCGATCTCTTCTTGAACATCACAGAGCGCGGTCAATACGTTGGTAAGGATGAACTATCAAGGAATATCTTTCTCCAAATCCTGGATGCCGTTGAACACTGCCACAACCTTGGAATTTACCATCGGGACCTCAAGCCGGAGAACATCTTGGTTACAGACCACGGAGACACTGTTAAGCTAGCTGACTTCGGTCTCGCTACATCTGATGATCGATCCGAGGACTACGGATGCGGTTCAACCTTCTACATGAGTCCAGGTACATATTACCTTTCCCCTTCTCTCCCCTTCGCAACCCCTTTATGCTATGATGTATTGCCATGGACACACAACTAACATGTTTTCTTTTCTTCTCTTCAGAATGCCTGGACCCCTCTGCTAGGAAACCTTACTATCTATGCGCCCCCAATGATGTCTGGAGCCTTGGAGTTATTCTCGTCAACCTCACTTGTGGACGCAACCCATGGAAGCAAGCCTCTTTCCAGGACTCTACTTACCGTGCCTACGCTGGATCCAAGGACTTCCTGAAGACCATTCTCCCTTTGTCGGATGAACTGAACGACATTCTGGGACGAATCTTCGAACCTATCCCCGAGCAGCGGATTACTCTTCCTGAGCTCCGAAACATGATCATGTCCTGCTCCATGTTTACCGTGCCGCCTATGTCCGCTGTACCGACACCACCGGCTTCACCAAACCACATTACCGAATACGTTTCTTCCGAGGATGCCATCATTGACGACTACGACTACGACTCGCCTTTGTCTCCCGCTTCCTCAGACGATGAGGGTTCGCTTACCTCAAGCGACTCTACCATTGATGACCTGGACGACGAGTTTGAACAGGAACGCCAGATGCCTCAGACTCCCCCTGAGTTCGCACCACACACATTCGACCCTGAGGAGCACAAGGAACATCAACTCATCTACCACAGCCAGGAATTCGTCCCCCAGAAGTACTCTGGGCCCGTCCCCGTGCCAGTGGCCGTTCCCCCTCAACCTATGCTCTGCCAACAGGTCCCTATGCCAATCCAGGCTCAGGTTCCTGTGCAAGCTCCTTGTCAACCCAAATCATACTTCCCCATCTGGGATATGGTTAAATACGTTCAACAGGTACCGATGCTTCAGCACCACGTACCCTTCCATCAACAGGTCCCCTTTATGCCTACGTTTCAAGGCTGTTACTAAGCTTGAGACATGAAATGTCTCTTGCTTTCAACACAAGCCTATCCCACTACCATTACGACCTTACCTGGATGAGATACCACCGAGGCCCCAAACCCACTAGCCGAGGATACTGTTTTATTCTATCACCACTTACTACCTTGGATATCACTCGACGTTTTAATATCGACCCTTGGACCTACATATCCACACCCAGGGGAACTTTCCATTATGGAACCATTATCAAAGCCGTGCAAGGATACGCCTACCAAAAATATTTTACGACCATGAATGACAGTCCGGGATTGTTTCTTTTCGGCCTTGTATTCCCCATTTTGGAGCAGCGTTTCCGGTTTTTTATTTATTCACATTTCCTTTGTCACAAAATTTTCTTACTTCACTCACAAAATACCTATTTAAAAAGCGAGGAGTTTGTCTTTTCAAATCTTATGAGGATGGGAAGATATCAGTTGTAGAAGCATGATGTTTGGCGCATCGAGACTTTTATGGGAGGCACCTTTTGTTTTTTCTACCAAGACGGAATACATGGAAGATGGAGTTGTCCGATTCCTTGATTCTGTCTTTTTCCTACCAGCCAAGACTGGCCCACCATTGGAACCCGGATATACCAGAGGATAACGAATGCTTGCATCGGAAACGAACATTTGTGTTTTTTGTACTCCTCGTTTTTGTTACTGCTATCACTGTCTTGGAAAGGCGCTGTCTTTTTACTGATAGAAGCGGGAAGAATGGCAACGGCTTGCACTTGTACTGGAACAGAGATACCTCTTTCTACTTTTTATCATGACGGTCTGGATGGAGGAGTTAGTCTTTATTTCCTACAAGAAGGGAAACAAGACAAAGACAAGATGTCAATGGGATTTGACACTTGCTTACAGATTAGAGAAGAAGATATGGCTCAATAGCCACAGCGCATAAAGCATTGCTTTGCATTGCGCACATACGTTTACTGAGGGAAGACGGCACCTCGCACAAAAAGATGCATCTGCCGATCATCCAATGAATGAAAGACAAAACATTTGAGATATCTCAACTCATATTACTTTACTCTCTCGTGTTCAACTTGCTATGTGACTTGGGTGATGCTGTGGAACAGACAGAGAAGACAGTACTTTGGTGATGACTTCAGTGTCGTATCCTGGCACTACACTAACTTGACTCTTGGTGACATGACAGCTCAAGAGTCCAGGGCCCAGGCCGACTAGCTCTGGTCTACCGCAGCCGCTACGGCGCTCCCGTCTCGACCTGCAGGACTGCAGACTTGAACGGAAGCAGACAAAAGCAGCTTAACAGATGCAGATTATCACTTTAGCTATCCCCTGCTCCATGATATCAGATTGGTCAGATTCCTACATGCTTGTGCATCGTGGGGCGGGCGTTACAACCAACGCTTGTGAGAAAAAAGTAAAGAGAAAAAAAATGGAAGAGAGAATGGGACAAAAAAACAAGGCGAGAACGTGGCGGCCAATAAGCAGGGGTAGTCTTGTTAGGGCGAACGGCATGAGTTCTGGAATGGCTGTGTGGGGAGGGAGATGGACGAATAAGACACAAGAGTCACTGCAACAAGAAAAAGGTGAGGCGGGCTTTGGGAGGGTAGCGTGATATATCCGAGACGATTATTGGGGCGATGGATTCTTGGGCAATCTTACAAGTTGTCAAGACTCAAGTTGGTGGATGGGAGGAAGCGAAGCTATTCACATCATCTATCATATTGCCGGTAGAATATGGGCTGACGCGGAACTTGGCATTCTATGTATCACAATAACTGAGTTGAGTTGTTGTAGTGACTGGTCAGGCAAAACTGCCGACTCGAGTCAACCTGACTCTGAGTTCTTGACTCTGCTCTAAACTGTAAGTGAGACAATCAGGCATTGAGAATGGAACCGTTGGACTCTTGTGCATGTCCAGTAGAGTAAAGTGCTATGTCATATTATGTCTGTCTGTCGCCCGCAGAATCAATAGTTCACCGCCGATCTAATCTAATCGCTACAAACTATCTGTAGAGGAATGTCTCAGGCAAAAGAACAAGACCAAGAACGAGAACCACACGACAAAGACAACCCCATGTTTCGAGTATATTGATTCAAAGTTGCGCCCAGACTTCTCTTCCGTTCCGTTGCCTCTCGTTTACCGGTCTTCTCAGCGTTTTAATCTCCGAAAGCAGTTCATGGGCCACCCCAGGAATGTTTAATTGTTGGTTACAGAGCAGGGGGTGAAAGGAACTGTCAGATTTGAGGTCTGAGAGGCACAGTTACAGTAGGATAGAGTCATGATGAACGGACCACTCGGTGCACATTCCTCTCTGTCTATTCAAACTGTCTGCATGGCAAAGAAGGGATGTGATGATGTGATGGACTTTTCCATTAGTTCAATATGCACAATCTTGTACCGTAATTCATTCCCGAGTGATTGTTTCCGGGGTACAAAGTCACAAGTCAAAAGTCAAAGCCACGATGTTTTTCGCTTTCTTACAAGTTTTTGTCCTCTCTTTCCTTTTACAGTTTTAGTCTAATTTCGGTCTCTTGTGCCTCAATGGGAAAAGAGGAAGGGGATTTCTTTCTTGGCAGGCGTGGCAGGCAAGGAAACTCTTGAACCAGCTGTCGATCATGGTTTGGGGCGTGTAGCTAAGCTAGCTTCAGTCGGTTAAGTTGGGTACTGAGCGGAGGTCCGTGATTGCTTTTAAAATAGAGAAGCGAGAAATTTAGACTGATGGGTTCGGGGAGAGAGTCTGGCTGGAATGTTGGTGAAGCGTGGCAGGCAAGTATCACATCACGCCAGGGCTGAACTTTGTCGAGTTTAACTTGTGCCTAGTCTAAGGACAGCCAGTCTTGGCTTTCAGTTCATCACCAATGACAGTAACCGGAACACTTGGCTATCAGGATGTTAGTTGGTCTTGACGGATCGTCTACCTTGTGATTATAACTGAATGCAGTCAAAAAGAACCAACACAACTCAAGCCAGCCCCCTGAAGACATATCAACTCTCATATAATCGCCAAACTCGGTAAGCAATTCATTTTAGTTTCCTATTGTCATGGCATGGTTGGGTTGGTAAGGTAGCCTTTGAAGGATGCAGATGCACAAGCATAAGTCCTGCGTCAGCATCCTAATACCCAACGCCAAGATGTAATCTAGAATACCTGACCTTTGACTTTGACTTCGGCTTTTGATACTCGGTCCGAAGTCTGCTCGTAACTGTAGATCTGTGGCTACAGCCTTCCCTTCGGATGGCCCCGAACATGGTAAACATGGACCTGTCCTGTCTATCAATATCAGCCCAAAGCCTAACCCAAGCCGACCCTTGCTGCTTTTCCATCTCCCGACCTTACAGTACATCATCGTGGCCTTAGGCTTTGTGGCTTCATCGAAAACGCCGCCCCTCTTCAAGGACAAGCCTCAAAGGCACGGATCCAAACTCAGCCTCTAGAGCTTTTAGTCAACGGGCAGCGGCAACCATCGTCATTTGCTTCAGCTTGTTTTACGACTCATGAACATGTAAGCCAGTGGGACCAAGAGTCTGTTCTCGGCCCCAATAGCTCCTCAATACAAGTGCCGCGATGCCTCTAGTTAGGTGGTTAGGTTACTAAGCTTGCTGCTACTGTCGTTAGGCTTTCATCTCTTTACGGACCGAAACTCTGTTTCTGCTCGATAGTTTCCTTAAGAGGTGGGGATTGGCCATGTGTCACGTTTCAGTAACCCACGAGTCAAGCCCAATGGATCGTCATTATAGCTCAAACTTGATGATATTTGACTTTCTGGGAGGATGGCTATGCTGGTGAGCTGAAAAAGAAAGTCCCTCTGACTAAAAGGCTTGGACCATGTGAACCCTCAATGCGAACAGTCACCGTCGTTTCACTAGATTTCGGGGAAAGGGAGATTAGCCAGGGCTGAAGGTTTCGCGATGGTTGGTTTGTTAGAGTTTGTGGTGTTGCGCGCGTTGTAACCCTTCAAGCTTTCGGCATCTCTGTTGGACAGCGGCTGAACGACCTGTTGGTTTGAGCCCGCTGAACTCTTTTGCTACAAGTGAAATAGTTAGGCCTTTTGATCTGAGGCTTTTGCGATGAAGTGTTTATTGCCGAGGGTGGTGTTGTAAGTGGCTGGCACGCATGATGTCGAAAGGTTGGGGAAATGTCATCGGCTTTTAGGCTGGGTTTATCGTGCATGAATCTATCGTGAAGTGGGATTGTTTACATTCAGGAGTAGAGTTTGGTGGTGACATCTTTGAGAGATGGAAGTGTGCTCCCGAGTGACATTCTCCAGGCAACTCGGCACGATCGCTATCTGGCTACGCAGATGTAAACATAGATTCGGCCTTGATTTGGAAGGGAAGCATAATACGTCTCTTTCAGGTAACCTTTTGAGTTGCTTGGTCAGTCGATGAAGCCAGCCATTGTCTCATACTATGCATCATGATTGCGACAGATGGTGAGGCTCTCTCCGATAACTTAATGGCAACTTCGGAGACTCGGGATTTAGAACTAATGATAGGATCTGATCTCATAACAAGTCATTCATTGATGTTATTGATGTTGAGACTACAGTTGAGTTGTCCAATGCCAATCCGTGATGTGTGTCCCGGTTGCACTTCTCCAGAGACAACGAGTAGGCAACTCCATATTATCGGACAAGCCATCATCGAACTATAGGTCATACTAACAGAAACTCTAGGGCGTCGGGGAACTGCTCAGTTGCTCACAGATGTGTCTTGTGGTGAGGAAGTTGAGCCATTGATGTTAATTTGTCCAGTGTCAACGATTGATCTGTGTCTGGGTTGTGCTTCTCCTGAGACAACACTCCTGAACAACAAGTAGGTAACTCTGCACTGCAGAACCACCGAACTGCAGATTCTAACCCGAAGAGACTTGCGTGTATTGGAGAGCTGTTCAATGGCTCATACAGGTGGTTCGCTGTGAGGATGTTAAGCTATTGCAGAGTGTCAAGTCCATATCAACAACGCCCCTATCATGAAAATGTCGGGGCTATAAAAATTGGCTGCCTAGAGCATAGGAGATAAAACGATTCGGTCACTTTATGGCTACTTAGACTAGCACTTAGGCTATTTTATTTTGGTAGCCTAAGCCTTAGAGGACATTTCTTCTGTTACCTAGAATATGTCTTTACGTTACTCAGATATTCAGCCCATAATTCACGTCGGTCATTTATATATCCTTTCATTCAAGTAGTGATATTACTATTACATAACATAGTCTTTTATGATATCTGAACCTCATCGTGTATGATTGAGCTCTTCTTCCGACTTTTTGAATGCCTCATGCAAGGGGATCTCTGATAACGATACGATCTTTGTCTTCTTTAAGAACTTCCAGATCAAGTACGCTGCAGTCACAAGAGGAATATCTCTGTACGCGTAGCAGTTAGTCATAGGTAACTTCGTATCTAGATGACAAGACTTACAGGTAGGAGGAGACAAAGCCGACCGGATCCCAATTACCCTTGGTGAAGACTCTGAAGCCGCTCGTGAACAGGATGAGTAGCGTCATGGCCAAGCCCGCGCACGAAGAGTAGACTATAAATGTTAGCAGGGGCAATTGCATGATGCTGCAGCTACTTACAGGTCCAGGAGTTGTGCCAAGGGAGCCTTTCAATTGGGATGCCTTGTTTCTTCATCGCCAGTCGTAGTCGTATGTGATTGAATAGGATGGAAGCCCAAGAGACCAACACTCCAGCCGCAGTCAAGTCAACCAGCCACCAGAATACTGTCATCGCTCCGTTGGATAAGCTCATGAAGCTGAGGAACATGAAGCAGGTGAAGAAAAGAACACAGACATAAGGTACGCCCCACGAGGTCGTTCTGAGGAAGATCTGAGGCGCCTGTCGCTTGAGGGCTAGACCGTAGAGAACACGAGTGCCGGCTAGAAGACTCTGGTTTGAAGCTGACCATGCAGATGTTATGACAACGGCGTTGACGACTGAGGGGATTGCGGGGATGCCAGCTGCAGAGGCTGCGATAACGAACGGGCTCTGACCTGCGGATCCAGACTGGTTGTTGAGTCTCTCGTCGTCACTTCGGACCAACATACCGACGATGAGAATGGCCAGAATGTAAAAGACGAGAATTCGGATGAAGACGTTCTTGCAAGCCTTGGGAATGGCTCGCTGCGGGTTCCTGGTCTCAGCAGCTGCCATAGCGATAGATTCCACTCCGGCAAAGGAGAAGACAGCGCTGGTCATGACAGACCAATATCCAAGGAACTTGCCCCAATTTCCTTTCGCAATATACTCAACGAAAGGTCCAGGGGTTTTCCAGTATCTGAATCCAATGCGCTCTGTTCCAGGGATACCGCCCAAGTTGATGACCAAGCCCAAAATGATGAGGAAGACGACCTTTAGGGCAAGTTAGTAAAAGCTTTGCATATTTTAGAAGATTTTTATAAAGACTTACCAGTAGAATCTTTAGAAGAGCGAACCAGAACTCCACCTCTCCAAAGATGCGTACAAAACAGAGTCCCACCACGGTCGTCAGAACGATGAAGATGACAATCCACACCGTCGGATTGAGATCAGTCCAGAACTCAAACAAAACACAGATAGCCGTGATCTCACTTGGAATGGAGAGCACATTGCCGTAGACCAGATTCCATCCGATTGCGAATCCCCAAGCTGGATCAACGAGAAACTCGGCATGTCGCACAAACGCTCCAGTGACCGGTAACAACGCAGCGACTTCTCCAAGCGCAAACTGCACGGCGCATACAACAAGACCAATAGTCGCATAACCCAGCAGTGCACCTAAAGGACCGCCTGTTTGAACAGACTGGCCTAGACCGAGGAAGAGACCTGTTCCAATGGCACCCGCGATACCCAACATGGACAGATGCCTCTCATGAAGACCGCGCTGTAGATTCTCTTCTTCTGTGGCTGTGACGAGATTGGCATCATGATCTTCATTGCCCTGAAGCACCGTCGCTTCAACATCTGTGGTAGCTGGCGTTGGCTTAACGCCGTCGTGAGTATCGGAGCTCATGCTGACGCCTCCGGTCTTTTCGAGATATGCAACTTTTGAGGATCTAGATCTGCTGCGAGGAATGAAGAGATCGATGTAAGCTAGAAGAGCTCCCTTATCATCGCCATTCTGATAGACAATGGTGCAATGACCGGGGTGATAATCAACCTCGGATATCGGCAGACATTTTTTTATTGTCGCAATTTTTTAAATTCGCTCGCGGATGTAGTTTCTCTTTTGATACATAGTGGTTGAGGGAAGTGGGTTTTGGACTCCGTTTAAGGGAAAATGGAAAAGTTAATTTTGTTCTAGAAGGCGTGATGGTGATCTCTTTATCGTTGTGCTCTGGTTACCCTGTACTGTTATTGATAGCATCATTCTTCTAAGTCGCTTGTCCTTAAACTCTAAGAATCGTAAAAAGACAGCCTAGAACTCATCTAAAATGATATAAAGCCAATCGTAATTCTGTATCTTATAGTGTCTTAGCACTGTGTAGTTTTGAATTGATCCCATGCGAAGATGGGATGGCTCAAGCAGTCGACGATGCGAGAAACGAAGTAGAGTTCGATTTCAGACGAAGAATCAACTTCATATCGATCTATACATAATGCAATGCAAGTAACTTGAGCTCTTAGAGTTCGTAAGCATCAACGTGAGGCACATTTGTTGAGTAAAAAGGAATGAGACGCACAAGTCTAGTTGCTGATCTTGGGGATGAACGACAGGAAGGATGGATGTTGTCGCTGATGAACTGACCACGATGGAACGATGACTCGACCCGATTCTGACCAGAACAGCTGTCTTGGCTCTTCGGATAAACGACAGTGAGGTTTCTCTGGTGTTCTCATCATGTCTTTTGAGGATACCCCGGTGTGCATGTCTTATGTATTACCACGTCATGGCATGATAAATATTGACAATGCTACACGCAACAGATAATGGGAGACAACATCCTCCCGAGACACCAGGGCAGGATTGAAATGTCTAATCATTCATGATACCATAAATGATAGCTGGGCCTTGACGGCGAACTCACTGTTCAGTTGAAAGCACTTGGGACGTTCAAAAACTCGGAAGAGGATCACGAGATGGTACCATAAGAAATACGTTTGTATAATCACCAAGTCTCATTGGAGTCAGAGGCATTATAAAATACACAAGGAGCCGTAGGAAATCCATCAAGCTGGTAGTTTAACAACCACCAGTGCTGCAACCACCGCCGCCGCCATCACCGCCGCTACAAACACCACCACCTCCGCCATCACCGATCAAAGCACCAGTGTTGAAAACAACACCGCCTCCCGCACCATTTCCACCCTAAGAACTCATTCTGCGCTTACCAGAGGTGGGAGCGCGTGCTCGTGTTTTCCAGCACCAAATGCAAGAAAACACAGTAACGGTAAATATAACACCTAACGCCGCACTGAGAGCTGCTATGCAAGCTATTCCGAGTCTCCCGGAGTAATACGGCTTATCGAGTGAACAATTGTGTAAAGCAACCGATGAGTTCCCGCAAGGGGGCATGGTGATATAATCTCCCGTCCGGGCGATTAGCTCGAACGCAGGAAGGTTGGGTTCGTGTGTAGTATTGACCTCAGGCAACGTTGCGTTGTCGAAGTACTTGGCGACGATATCCTCGGTGCAGTCAAAAGAATGGAATAGCAAAGAATGCTGCGAACTAATTAGTATAATCATGACCTGATTGCAGAGGATTGACTTACACTGACGCCCTTATGAACGACGATTCGACTTCCTGGAAACCGGGCAGAAACGTCTCAAGCCGAGGTCAAGGGAGCAACGGGATCGTATGCTGGATTGACAATGAGAACACGATGTTTTGTCTTCACACGGCGGAATGTGTTGGCATCAATGATAATAGTACAGATATCGGTTGATATTGGATATTGAGTAGAGGATGATGTTTTGAAGATGACGCAAATAGATAGTTCATAAAGTCTCGACGGACATTTGGGCTTAAGAAAGAGAGTGAATCAATGTCGAGAAGGCAGTCTCGACCTTAGGCAGGCTGCCCAACTCCAGGCAGTCGGCGTTGAACACAGAAACAAAAATAGAAGGTGCCAGCCGCGAGTTTGGCTCATTGGGGTTCCGCAGAAGGGAAAGCACACCAGACAACTCGCCTTCCTGGAAAAAAGCATAACAGGTAGGGGAGTTGTCATCGCACGTAAGTCTTGTCACGGATAGGGGTCCCTCGAGTAAGAACTTCACGATGAACGAGACACTTGTACGCCAGAGGGACACCGCAGGCCATCACCGCCCATGGTTTTCTGACTCTCATTTGCATATGGAAAGCTCAAACGGACCAGATCCTTTCTTTTTGCGCCTCTATGTTATAAACCTGTCTTCGGATATATCTGTCCTCCATCTCCAGAAATAAACAACTTCTATGGTGCTTCGTGAACCCTCGCCTCGCTTGATAACTCTGGTTTTGCCGTAGCTTGGCTCGCAGGCGATGAAGAGAGCTGGTAGCTTTGAGGGTACGCAACCTGCTGCTGTTGAATCGGTTGCTGATCAACATAGTTCTCGGTTGTCTGCTGATACGCCGCAGTGTCGTTGCCGTTTCGCGATCGCTTCCAGAAGAAAAACCCGAGACCTGCGAGTAATAATGCACCGGCGATTGCTCCGACAGCGATTCCTGCACCAGCTCCTGCGGATAGTCCTCCCGAATCTGTACCGTCAGACATGTCGTCGTCGTCGGTTCTCAGAGTGACATTGAACATTTGTGAAATGGCCACAGGATCCTCTCCCTTTACATCTTCCTGTTTGAACAACTGGAACCAGAAGACACAGTCGGCACCATCCATCGCATCTTCCTTAAATCCATTTCGAGCCGTAAAGTCCGCTACCCAATGGCTGCTTCTATCCGTGGTATTATCTGGAATCTCAATTAGGTATGTTCAGAAAGCACATCATAGATGTTGTACTCACAATCGATCATGTACATTATTTCCGATCCGTTGGCAAGGATCTGGGAGACTCCCAAGCTCAACGACGTAACATCAGTCCTCCATTTGACGTTGATGCTATCTCCAACTTTGTAAACTTGGTTGTTGTCCGCACTGGCCGTCTCGTCTAAGTTTCCGGGGTAGACGAATAATGTTACACACTGAACGTAAGCAACGAAGCTGAGAAGCGAGACCAGAGGTCTTAGAAGAGAACGCATCGTGAAGTATCTCGGAAGAGGGTTGACAAGCAAGCACAGACACAAGGGAGAAGGAAAAGCAGAGAACCACGCACTCAAGGAAACAGATGGGGGCGAAGGGGGCATCTCTTCCTTTTAATGGCACGAGGCTAGCTCTGTCTTTTTGTCGATCCCAGTTGTTGACGTTTCATCCCCGTCCAGAGGATCTTCATCCCGGTTAGAGTTGCGGTCTCTCGCCTTGCCGACTGGAGATGCCCAAGCCCAAGGCACAAAAAAGAAGAAGCAGGCATCTCCCTTTCATCAATGGTAGAATTACTTGGTTATTCTGTCTCTTACTTTTACAGTCAAGTTTTCTGCTATTCTGAGGGTCTCGTCAATCCTGATAATGATAAGGTTGTGGATATCGTATGGATCCGATACTACTACGTACATCCAGAGGCTGAAAGGAAATATCCGAAACATTCAAGTAGTTGTGATTGTAGTTACAGCACTAAACCAAGAGAAACTACCAAGTTCTTGGATTAAAATTGCTCAAGTGTTATATGTTTTTAATCTCAAGTTACGACTCCATGAAGTTATCATGTGTTTACCTCTCCGCCAAGTTAGCCGACATCCGAGCCAAGCTGTCAAAGCGTGGACCCAGGAAAGCACAGCCATGCTTTTCTCGCCTATCATCTCCATAACAGCCAAAATCGCTTGCGCGTTTGAGTTCCGCAAAGGATCGAAATGCTTGTCAAAGCTCCAGAAAATGGTATTAACTAGGAAATCCCTGCTCTCGAATGAGATTACCTCCATTCTTGGACTTGACTTCCTTATAGGGCGACCGTTACACTAAACTAGCAGTATGAGGAATTGTATAAGCCAAGGGGGAATGTTAGCCCGATTCCTTTGGATGGGGTATCCTCAGGGTATCAGGAGAATTGGCCCCGGGAGCATAAGAGACGAAATAACTTAGTCACCTTATGCTAGCTTAGGCCAGCACTTAGGCTGTTTTATTTCTGTAGCCTAAGCCTTAGAGGATAATTCTTCTGACACCCACCTGGGTATTATGAATTCGTGTTGATATTGAAGTCTAAAGTTGTATTTTTGGGTATGAAGGTCTGGGTTGTAAGTAGACAGCTGGGTTGATGAAGCTTCAGTTACCGGTCGAACCCCAGACCTGGTATGATATCGCATAGAAATGCAATAAGAGTAGACTATAGCGCAAACAAACCCTGTATGTTGCTGCAACTGAAGGAATCCAATGTCATCGAGAAATGCGGCAGTTCCTTTCATCATTTAACTCAAAACCAAGAGCCAGACTGAACATATCTCAATCCAAGTAAAACAAATGACCATCCGCACTTTCTTCTTGATCACCTTCTTCTTGATCACTTTCTTCTCCACGATCCTGATTCCTGGCCTGCTCCATCCTATCTTGTACCTCCTGGAGAAGAACTAACGCAAGAAGCATCAAGACAGGTCTTTCATATGATCTGTTAGTAGTCACTCCGTAAACAAGTTAATGGGGGTTCACATACGCTGCAAACATTACCAGTACAAGTGCGAATATGCGCCTGAATCCATGGCCGATTATCGAACAGACGACGAATTGATGTGCGGTTTCCATCGTGAAATAGGTTATTCCCTTGATAGGCTTGGCTATCGTAAGGTGTGGTGGTTATGGTTAACGACGAGAAGGGCTCGAAGAGATGATATCGAAAAGATCTTTGATGGTTCCAAGAGACAGATTCTTTCTATAAAGAGAACTTGATGGTTCTTATAGAAAGATGCGCATCATCTGAACTCAAAGTTCGATACATAACTGACGCGCATGCTCGAAAGTATATCGTTTGCGACAAACTTACATCGGAAAGACTTCAACCAAGGGACTGAAGTATTCACGAAAAAGTAACTTTAACTGTCATGGACTCAAGGTAAGAGATCAAGGTGAACATATATGCACGCAGTGAGACATGTTCATGCGCCGATAGATAGTAGATAGAGTCCAACATCTCTATAATAAGAATTTTAGTAAACAGTCTGTACTGAATTAAAAAAATGTTGTGTATTCCCTTAATATCCTGCAAACAGCCCTTTCTATCTGATGTGGCACTGGTAGCCTTCTAATGCAACCATCTTGATATATAGCCTCGCTATGCTTTAACGAAAGAAAGAAAAGATGAAATCATAATGTAAGAAAACAGACGATGGGGCATATCCAGCGCCCCCGAGAGTCGAGTATGCCGGAAGGTATCTATCGAGTGAGCATAAGGGACGAAATAATTTAGTCACCTTATGCTGGCTTAGACTAGCATTTAGGCATAGCCTTAGAGGACAATTCTTCTGTTACCCAATTGCGAGTCGGCTACTCAAGATGCTGGTGAGATTCGCGCGAGCGAGTGCGCGTGGTGGTAGTCTCGTCGCCCATTGATTTCTCGGTCGGCAAGACGATGGCGCGATCCAAAGCGTAGGGGAGTCCACGATGACGCCCGCGCATCATCATGGCGCAAATGACGAGTTTACTGAATGTTGTGAATTCGGTGCAAAAAGACGCATTGATCGTAGGGTATCCTAAACTCAAGCCGACGTTGCAACTGTGGAAAAGTCAGCGCTGGAAGTCACTGAAGGAGGATCGCACTTACTATGCCGACACGCCCTCGAATACGATGGGCCACATTGCGAAAGCCTATCATTGTAAGCACTGCGCTGTATAACAGAGCTGAGGGAAGTACTTACTGGGTCGCTCTCGTCCATGACCTTCTGGTGCTCAGCTATAGTAATGCAGAAAAGCCCAAGGCAAATGTACCATAGATCGAAACTGAGCTGGTTTCGCAGATGGGTCAAAAAATAGGAACTGCCGTTCTCCTCATCTAGTTCCCGCTCATCTTCGTCGTATAGCCCAAGGGAGCGTTCTTCGTAGGTATTGGAAGATCGAACAACGATGGAAATAGGATAGACCGATACGTACATCATGACCAACAAAGCCATCTGCACAGCTGGGTTAACGTTGGCAAGATTGAAGGTTGAGGTGCCAGTGTGTCGCGAGCTGACGGCCTGAAAGACAGCAGCGCAGAATCTCTGCCATCCAGGAAGAACTGTCACAGTAGGATTATCCAAGTCAAGAAGAATAATGAAAAGTATGTCAGCGACGTTGAGGAGGGTGAGAATGCCAAACAACGCCCAAGTCGGTCCGCTAGGGAACAGTAAGGTGTAACATCGGCGTGGGTGGTTGAGGAGAAAGTGTAATGACTCCTGAATCGAGGACTTTTTCGGGAAGATCTTTGATGCAGACCAGATGACAAGACGTAGCATAATAGGGTAAAAGGTATGTCCAGCAAGCGCGAGAGCACTCATGATAAGCAGAGGAGCCGGGGCGTCATTAAAAGATATCATAGAGTCGGGGGTCAAAGTGAAACCCAAGTTAGAGACCATGGTCTGAGCGGAAAATATGGCCCTGTAGTGGATGAGAAACGCACATCATCATCGAAAAGGAGGAGACTTACCACCAGATACGGTTTTGCCCAACCTCGACGATGTAGTCAACGTACTTGCTGGGCGCATGCCTGATCCATCCTATGAGGCAGACAGCGCCCAGGAGATGGAGGAACACATAGTATCCTGCGCGCATTAGTCCTGTACCTATCGGTAGAGCGTTTCAAAACGTACCAATAATGATCTTGAGAAGCAGCTTTAAGCTTTTATACTCAATACCACCAAGCTCGTCTCGATCTTCCGATGACAAGTGACGGAAAGTAGAGTTGCGCCCGATGGTCACCTCACGCGACAAGCGTGGGAAATCTCCTACAGCAAGAGTCGGTGCTCTAGCTAACGGACGCTCCCTAGGGCCCTGAGCAGTGTTGCCGATAACAAACAGCGAGGAGGCAACGGTAGCGACACGTTCTACCGAACGAACTTGAGCCAAATTGAGACCAGCACTGCGCCGGCGACGAAGGGTTCCGATGGGATTGGAAAAGGAGCGAGGGACAGGTTCGATGAAGTCATCTATATGAGCGATTAGCACACGACACATGGATATGGCGTTGGTGAGATATTTCCGTACCGTCTTGTGTATCTCTGCTAAATCGACGACCACTATCAAGTTCGACGAATGGCAGCCCTAGAGATGTCAGTTGAGTGCAGGAGAGATGGAGTTGAGGATACGTACCCTGATCACGAGCACGAGGCCCAGGGATATATAGCGTAGAATCCTGCTGTTCGCGCCGAGGATGATGGTCGGTTGAAGGGTCAAATGTGATCTTTGTTCCGTGCTGGTCATTCTCTCGATCAGTCATCTTATCATCATTAATGAGAGATGTTTCGTTTTCCACGGAGCGTTGGGATTGATGATCAGGAGCTGGGACCGTTTGACTGCGACCCTCAATTCGGGGAAGTCCATCCTTGCCTGCGACATTCCTAGGTGCATGGTCCGTAACTGCTCGCACAATACTAGGTCGATGTTCAGGTGGCTCCGAATTAGGAAGCTCAGCACCAATTTCAGGGTCTTCTTTGGGATCTGGATCCGCGGCTCTGCGTCGATTCACAAGAGCGGGAGCTTTGCAAGGAATATCAGCAACACGTTTGCAAGAATAGGTAAGGGATAAACTGACCAGCCTTCTTAAGGTACCTCCGGAACCAAACTAGCCGGACGACGACTACTATAATATTTATAGTAACGGTATTGCAAACAAGGGGTATAAAGTAGAGGTATAGCTGCTGGTACGTTCTGAGGACAGGGACATCGACACTGGATTGGTTAGTTGCCCGTGATCATCACAAGCGTTGTAGAAAGTGGCTCACGTTGTCAATCCGGTAACGGTCGAGGCGCTAACCCCAAGGAAATAAGCATCTATTGCGCTGAGTTTACCGTTGGGATATATAAAGAGGAAGCTGGATAAACCCATGCAAATGATGTATATATCTGCGTGTTGCCAGAAAGAGTGGCTGTCAGCCGCATCGCGTCTTGCATTTTCGGTACACCAAACAAAGGAACAGTTCGGCACTCACAATGCAACTTGACGAAATTGAGGTTTGGGCGCCACATGGTTCGTCGTGTTTGGCGTTAGACGCCGGAGACGACTGGTAACCCTGAAAGAGTAACGATGTTTCAGAGCGGTGCCGTTTGCGAACCGTTGAAGGGTGTAGAGTTTGGATCTGGTGCTGTGCCTTTCCGGGGGGATGAAGAGGGGAGTGAGTTGGTACGCAACCTACTCTTTCGAGGAAAGAGAGCGAGCGGGTAGTGTTTGAACGAATCACTGCCAAGCCGAGGGGCCGTGATCCGATGACAACGTTGAAGACATTTGTGAAAAGCGGATAAGATAGGTCAGGTCGGCAGTGGGTGCATGCATGCAGAATGAATCAATCGATGCCAAGGAAAGGTGACAATAGAAAGTCCCTCCAAGCCCTTGAACGATGTGGCTGCACATGCCCGGTCACTGCGGCAGCATTGCCACGGGTACTGAACCTCCAATTTCCCGCATCGTATCCTATCGTACGGTCAGCTCGGAACATAAGCTTAAGCTGTTAGGACAGGGGAGTAGCGGTAAAGAGACCCTGAAATGAACCAAGAGGAGACGCTGGCTTCGCGATTCCTGATTAGGCTTGGATGATCAGATGCCACAGCTCGATAAGACCCTGCTTAGCCTTTCTGGGCAGTGGCAGTGCAGCCAGTTGCAAGTTACGAGCCATCCATAGAGAATCTGGCGTATAAAAATCACATGCTTGACATGATTATTGTCCAGGCCGATATCTGTCGACGAAATGTCGATTTTTCTTGGAAGGGAGAGTCAGCGAGCGATGCAAGGTATTGGTGTAGCACTCGTAGCTAGTCATCATTCAGGCATCCAGTGTAACCTCTGAAACAAAGGAGAGCATCGCCCTAGTGAATGTTTTGACTTCCATGGAATCATGATAAGCATTCGCCTGGGGCGCTAACAACAAAACGACGTTAGATAAAATGTCTAAACTAATAAACGCCAAGCTCAGATGCCAAGCTCCAACCCCAGATCAACTGCAAGTGCTCGCAAGCAACTGGGGGAGGGTAAATTATGTCATAGGCTAAACCCAATTAGAAAACACCACTCTATTCGCGCGCACCTTACAAACGTTGACGTGACGCGCGCGTACCAACACGAGATCAAGACTGTATCATACATCATGGAATTTGAGTAAACAACAAATTCATTTTCCCCCAATTCATATTCAATCCTTTCAATGTTAATGACACACACAAATAAACTCTAAATATGGATTTCAACTTTGGGCAGGACCCTCCTTCGGGCTCCGGTTCTCGTTCTAACTGGCTTGGTTCTGGTCATCGCGTCGAAATGTCAAATTCATCCCCCAATGCGCCCAACACGATGCTAGAAGATGATATTTCTTTCGCCGAGTCATATCGTCCCGAGGCCTCTCCTTTATTCAATTCGGTTTATATGCCTCGCGATACCACTACTGAAGCTACGCCTTCCCATGGAATGAGCCCTGGACCTGCACCTACTTGGCCTTGGCAGCGCGATGCCGACAACACATTGAATAGCGATAACTTCGACTCAACCGATGTTTCTGCTTTACCGGAGCAGCCCACGGGCTTTTCTTCATCTCCAGAAAAGCCTGCGGCACAGGAACCCGAGGAATCTGCTGATGCACAGAATGTTATTTCCCCCGTACGCGCCGCGTCTTCGTCGTTCGAACGTTCAACTGTCGGCATTCAGGGAGGCTCTATCGTCCAACAGGATGACGAAGAGGAGGAGATTCTGCGAGTCGAGAGCGACATTAGCCCGCCTGTCGAAGAGTCCCGAGTCGAGATTTATGAGCACAACGAGACAACCATCATTCAATCATCAGAGAAGCAACCCGATGAAATCCCCACACAACAAGAACGTGACAGCGGAGTTACACCAGGCGAGGCCGAACGCGTCGAAGAGACACCCACCGAAACACCAGCTGAGCCGCTGAGTGACGCCGATAACACTGCTGAAGACCAAGAAACTCCTGCAAAGGAAGCATCGGGGTCACCGGAGGTCAATCCAGCCCCAGCAGCAGGTCCTGGTAAGCTCAGGTCCGCATTGCTTTCCGTAGGAAGGGGAATAATGAAGCGCATGTCTGCACCCCCACCTGTCCTGGCTGCGACTTCCCCACAAGATGATTCACAAGCCAGAGCTAGGTCCACAGAGCCTGAGCAACAGCCCGGAACGGGAGCTTCGACACCCTCCCTTGTTGTTGAGCTTAAGAAGATGTCAGAGTCTGAAAAGGAGGCTTTTGTTGAAATGTCCGAGGACGAGGAAGAAACTGCACCTGCTGAGGATCCTGCTCCCAAATCCGCCGCCAAGCGAGGTCGGCCTAGCAAACAGAGTCTTCTCGGTAAGGCTACAGAGTTTGCTAAGAAGCCGGTTCGTGCGCGTCGCAGCATTGCTTCTGCACCTGCATCGCCCGCAGTCAAAAAGGCTCCTACATCAGCCGCAAAACGCGGTCGTAAGTCCATGCCAGCGAGTGTCGCTGTTGATGAAACCCCCAAGAAGCGAGGACGACCACGAAAGAGTGATGTTGTAGCTACTCCAGCTCAACCACCAAGCACAGCAAAGAGAGGCCGACCAAGAAAGTCTCTCGCCACCCCAATCGTCGTTCCCAGCGCATCAAAGCCTTTGTCCGCGAGAGGTCGCCGAGTTGCCAGTGCCAGCAAGGCCGTTGCCACGCCTAGAAGGTCGACCTCCGTGCGTACTCCCAAAACAGCCATTGGACTGAAGGCAGCTACAACTCCCACGTCGACTCCTAGGCCGCGTGGAAGGCCACCCAAGAACCCCAAACCTGCAGAAGAAGCTGAGCCAGAAGAAGCTGAGCCAGAAGTTGAGGAGCCCAAGCGCGCTGGGCGTGCGAGCCGAACTTCAAATGCGACTGAGGATGTTGCTTCTGCCAAGGCCACTCGTGCTGTAAAGCCTCGTGTTGTTCCCTCCCCTGCCAAGCGGGGACGAGCAACAAGGAATGCTGTATCTGCTTCTTCTCCCAAGACTGAAACCCCAGTAGCTACAAAACGAGGACGCCGAGCTGCCGCGGAGCCCAAGGAGGAAGCTCCCGTTGAGACACCTAAGCGACGTGGCCGCCCTGCCACCAAGGTCGAGGCACCAGCAGTTGAAGAACCAGCATCCGAGCCCAAGACCCGAAAGCGTGGCCGTGCGGCAGCCACTGAAGATACTCCAGCTGAGGAACCAGCACCTAAGAGACGAGGCCGAGCAGCCAAGTCTGCTCCCGAGGAGGAACCCGCACCAGCTCCCAAACGACGTGGTCGTGCTGCTGCTTCGAAGGCCTCCGAAGAGGTTGCAGCTGAGCCTGCGACAACGAAGAAGCGCGGAGTAGCTAAGACTGCCTCGAAGATGGCCGAAAATGCTGCTTCCGGGCCTGAGCTGGCTCCCAAGAAGCGAGGTCGCGCAGCTGCTGCAGCAAAGGCTGCCGAAGATGCACCGGCCGAGACTACCACCAAGCGTGGCCGTGCAAAGCGATCTGCTCCCGAACCAGAGCCCGAGGTTGAGTCGCCCGAGCCTGCTACCAAGAAGCGACGCACAACACGTAAAGCTGAAGAGCCTGCCCCTGCTAAGGCAACCAAGGCCGCTTCGGGTAAGAAGCCCGGACGACCGGCGAAGGCTACCAAGGAGGCCGTCGAGGAAACCGCTCCCAAGCGTGGCAAGTCTACACGTACCAAGGCTGCCGAGCCCGCTCCTGTTGAGGAAGCACCCAAGCCCGCCAAGCGTGGTCGAGGTGCTGCAAAGAAGACAGCAGAGCCAGTCGCGGAAGCTGAGGCTGAAAAGCCCAAGGCTCGTGGACGACCCGCAAAGGCAAAGTCTGGAAAGGGCGAGCTTCCAAGCTCCAAGAATGAGAATGCCCCCGCGACGAAGCGTGGCCGAGGTGCCGCTGCCACCAAGGCTAAGGCTGCTGCCCCTACCAAAGTAACGAAGACCACTGTTACCAAAGTGACCAAGGCTGCTGCTCCAGCCAAGACAGGCAGGGCGGCACAGACTGGTGTTCGAAGGGGACTGCGATCAAGGGGTTAAACTGACGACTTTTGATACGTCGATGCACAAAACTGGGCTGGGTTGTAACTCGTCAATGGGTGGTTTTATGTTTTTCTGTTATAAGGTACGGTAGACTATGGCATTCGCGAAGATCATTGTTGGAATGGGATGGGATGGGTATCATGATTAGGAGCACTTGTAAAATACACATGGGAATAACAAGTCACATTTGTACGATGTCTTGAAGAGTTTGAAAATACACACTTGTTTATAATATCTTCCAATGTCGCGAATCTTTTGCGAGTACTAATCTAGATCCCAGCTTAAACCACGACACTTAGGTCAAACATGTCTAGTCCCATTATCTATCTACCGTTGGGGTACTAGACGAATTGGTCACCGACAGCATAAGAGACGAAACAATTTGCTCACATACAGGACAATTCTTCCGTTACCCACCTGTATCGCTAATACACAATCGAAAGAGACCACCCAAGAAGAAAACGCCCATGCAAATCAGTCGTAAAGGGACTGATCAACATCGCCGTCTTTGTTCGCAAGTGGGCTTGTCGTCTTGATAGAATTCTCCAATCGCGAGAGCGTCATGGCATACCCCTTGTATCCGCACCAGCTGCGTGCCATCTTGACAGCAGTCTTGATCTCACGTCCGTTGAGTTGCCACAGTGAAAGCTCGGCGATATCTTCATCGTCGAGTGGCTTGTCATCGTAGCTCGTGCTAATACCTCTCTCGGCACCTTCCTCCGTGTCGCTATTTCTGGGTGTGGTAGATCCAGTGTCAGGAGACTCGTCGGTAACGTCTGTGACTCGGTCGTTCTCCGGCACAAGCTGAAGGAACTTGCGCCAGACGGCCTCGCGAGCCTTGCGGTCGAGAGACTCGAAGCGAAGATGCAGGCTGACTCGGCTGCGGAACGCAGTATCAATGGTTTGATACAAGTTGGTTGTCAAAAAGATGATGCCACGGAAATACTCGAGCTCTCGGAGGAAAATGCTGACGAGTTCGTTGCGGTGAATATCGTTGGGATTGCGTTCCGCCATAAAGACATCTGCCTCATCAAGGAGGACGACAGCATTCCACTCGGTCGCCATCTCAAAAACACGTTTGAGGTTGGCGCCTAGAGTGTCAGCGCTAATACCCAAATCCTCGGCTTGCAGATAAAACAGCGGACGACGGGCACGGTCTGCGATGGCTTCAGCCATGAGAGTCTTACCCGTACCAGGGGGGCCGGACAGCAACATGATGAGACCTTGGCCCTTGCCGACGATGACATCCCCCATAGCTGTGGATGTACCATTGGCCAAACTGTGATTCTCGACGAAAGATAGGACAAGATCCTTCTGTTGATGGTCAAAGACGAGATGGTCGTAGGCCTTATCGTTCCACACAATTGGCTCGATGTCTTCTATGAAAAACTGAGCTAGCGATCATTTGTTAGCATTATAAACTCATGTATCTCAATAATAGTCTTACTCCAGATCTTGTTCTTTAACGCATATCCGCTAATGAGCTCGGATATGAAAGCAATGTCGTTTGGCTTTTCCAGAAGTCTCTCCTTGTTCAAAGTTTGATCCTCTTCAGAGATCCTGTTTTGCTGGTTCTTGAAACATTTGTCCTCTGCTTTGATAACATCGTGGCTTAGACTGGTGCTGGTTTGCGGCTCATGTACCGCTTCAATGTCGGGGTCTTGGTCCTCGCGCTTCCCTTGGGCTAGATGGTATGTGTTGTACCCTGCAACATCCACCAAGATGCGGCCTTCCACATTGTGCTTCGTGTATCCCATGATTCCACGTTCAAGTGAAATTCCACTGTAGGAGCAGTATGACAACCCCTGCAAGTCAAGAGCCTTTCTACCTCGCGCTAGTAGGTGGTCCTGGATAGAGGCTTTGTCTGGATGCATGTCGAAAGGGTAATGTCGAAGTTCACGGATCGGCTTATTGCCAACGAAGGCCTCAATAGTCAATTCCTTCTTTGTCCAAATGAACCGTTTTCCGTTGAAAGATATAACTTTAGAGTTAACGACGAGCTCATTAACACCATCCTTGCGCCTATACTCGGTGTTATCTACCTTGGCGATGAACTCCGAGTTCATCCCATAACTGTAGATCGTCGAATCCCTAGGGAATAATGTCCAGGCAATCTGATAGTCAATCAGACTCTTATCAAGCAAATGGTGTCGTTTGATCTTGAGATCACGGAAGCATTCATCAAGGACTCTGATGAGGAGCTGCATATATCCTTTGAGAGGGTTGTCCTTGTTTGTCTCCTGATACAAGTCTCTGATGGCATCTTGACAAAACCAAAGAGGGCGAAAGGGTGCCTTGAATGTCGCTATATCATGAACGTTGAGAATGAGGTTCTCCTGCTTTAAAATTGGTTCAAGGGCGCTAACCAGGAGATGGTTCTGGACATCGATTCTGTGGTACTTGAGAGCAAAGCGGCCAGGCACTTGGTCTTTGTCGTCGTCTTTGACCTTGTAAACTCTGATGGCAACACGGTCGCGAGCTTTGATGACAGCCTTGGAGATTGGCTTGGGAGGAAAGGTTCTCCAATCGAAGTCACGCATTCCATCAGATCTTTTGCCCTCGTAAAGAGTTTGGATGACTGCATCGGTACCAAAAGTAGCATCTTTGCTGGTGATGTCCTCGATATCTTCCTCCTCATATCCTCTCTCGACGTCGACTGGTACGTCGAGAGGGGACTTCTTGTGGGGTAGAAGTTTGCATTTGCATTTCCATGCGACATCTGAAATGGCATCTCCGATGAATCCGAGCATTTTGGAGTGAGATCCTGTTGGGTAGGAACCTAAAGATGCGGAAGAGCTGGGAGATGTATAGGAGAAAGAGCTAATTGTAAAGGACGATGGTCTTCGCGAGAGAAAGGCCATATTTGACCATATACTGGCTTTTTATAGGAAGCATAGATAGTCCTAGAGTAGGAACTGGAAAACGAAAGTCTGGGACACGCTTTATAAACGCAGGACTGGTCTTGATCCAGGGAGCCTGGACGGTACTGGCCAAAGAGGTAGAAACGCATAGCGAATGGAATCTCAGTTGGCTTTGTTGATCAATAGACGCCTATGAGAGCCGTAAATGAAACCCACATCATGTCGCATGTATGACAGCCCATAGGAAGCCGTTACTGGGATAGCCATGGCTGTGTGATGGCATGCTGATGAGGCTTGGATTGGTTGAAGGGATGGGAAGCCTGCGGGTTAACAAAGAATAAATGACGTCTATACCATGCATAGGTAGCTGAGGATTCCGATTTGTCGTACGCAATGTGAGAACTGAGAGATGATGAGCTATGAAAGCTCTTCTGGTGTAGGACTTGTAGGCGTCTGCCTTAGAGTCCTTCCCGGACCCACCAATGGAGGGATCGCTCTCACCTTTGCTCAGCCTTACAGGCAGCCTGGCCAGCTACACCTTCCAACTTTTGCAGTTGTGTTGTCGCCTAATAAGACGAGCTGTTGACAAGCGTCATGATAGTGCTTTGTCGGAATTCCAGACTTGACCTTGTATGTATGCTCAGTACCACCAAGTCCAGGATTACCCTGCCGTTTCTCAGTGAGACGTACCCTGCAGAAATGACCCTAGTTGAACAGCGACAAGATCTAAACAAGTGTCACTTTGGAATGAGGTGCGGACACCTTTAGTGAGCTCAGGACGTTCAGGCGTAGACCTCAAGTTTACTGATGAGATGACGAAGAACCGCAAGATGGCCTCTCTGCAAGTGCACAAGACCTGTATTAAAGTCGTGTAATTTCAACAAGCGGGTTTAGCTCAGTTGGGAGAGCGTCAGACTGAAGTCAAACTTCAATCATCTACCGATATCTGAAGGTCGTGTGTTCGATCCACACAAACCGCATGTTTTTTTCTTTTGGTCTACTCCAATGTGGATCCTCTTTTTTTGCCGGTCCATCACATCAAAGTAAGTGATTGTTGCGATAAAGAGTGTCCGGCGAATTGCAGTACTGACATTGCCGCCATATCTTTTGCCGTAAGAGGAGGAGCGCATTAGTTGGTGGTGAAACTGGGAATAGCTTCAAGACGCATCTGACGCCTAGATTGACCCGCCTACCTCACTGACTGGAACCGCCTGCTCACGATTAATTTGTTCATCCAAACCTAACTAGAGAAGCCCAAGAGAGTTAATTGCTACTTGAGGTCGGGCTGCCAGGTTGTTCACTTATTGCTCTGAGCTCTTATCCTTGAGCGAGCGAGTAGCTGCAGCTCATCCCAAGCTGTTGCGCACCACCCTGCTGCTGAAGAGCTTACACAGACACATATTATCAACGACGGCAGTCTCCCAAAAGTCCTCCATATGGTCAGACCAACGCGATGGTCTGCATGATCGATTGGTAAATATGGTCAGCCATCGGCGTACCTCAATGAGGATACCATGTATTCATGCACCACCCAAAGTACCAAACGCGGGGAATAATCTGCGACAAGGCTGGAACCTATCACTTCTCTGATTCCTCTCAACTACCTGCAGAATGGACCAGACCATGGGGTACATATTGTGGTGCAGCTTGCCGGCGGTGTTGAAAGGTCATCTTTATTCCCAGGGCAAAGGGCCATGAGCACAGACAGCTGTACAACCAACAATTCGGGGACGTCATGGTCTAGAAGATATGCAATGGGGATTGCACATATTTATGAGAAATGTAGAGAGATCCCTACTTGCTCCACCAGTTGCGCTGCATTCATCCACCTGCAAAGAGATGACGCCGCAGATGGGTGAACAGGAAGATGGCCGTTCACAATAGTATTTCATTAAGACAACCAAGAGTGCATTAGAGGTTGAACAGAATCGTTGATCAGGGCAACACCTGTCAAAAGAAATCGTGATGTTTGCAGGTGGTCGATGCTTCTTGTGCATAGCGATAGCTTCCAGAAATCCAAAGTGACACTTCACTGCAAGATGCCGCCATCCCATCTTCCGTTCTCTTGACCGCCTGGTAGACGTTAATACAATCTTGTAGTATAATCCAATTCATTCGGATCGATTCCAGAGCCTGCAATTCCATCTCCAGGCACGCCGTGCTGCCAGCTGCCAGCTGCTTGTCAGTGCCACCCACTCCTTCATCTTCACCCACCCAGCAACCACAGCTTAAATCCCAAACACCAACACCAACATCAACGCACAAATTCCTTCCTTCTTTCTCCTCCCTTCTTCACCGATACAAATCATCTTTTCTGACCGCCCTTCCACTACCGTTTGACAAAGATAGTCATTCTTCTGCGCAGCTACCCGACGGGGGAAACAAACCAAGCTTCGCTTCTCCCCCCAGCTTCAACTATTTTACCATCCATCGCGACGTATGCTTTCGCAAACGGTCACCGCAAATTCTCGAAATTCCCTTTGAACAAGAAAAAGTATACATATAAATGTGTTCTTTAGTTCTTTCTCTAAATTTCGTTGTTTCGTTCCGTTTACTCGCTTCACGGCTTCTGGGTGAATGAATAGAAGCACGCTTGCATTGTTCAACTGATTTCCCCTACGATCAAAAAAACTCACTCATCCATTCACTTGGGACAACAATAGAAGACAAATTCGACTGCCTATCTCAACTTCAACACCGTCCGGACGACTATAAATTGTTCCCAACTTTTTACTCTTTTCGAAATCTTCATCCTCTTGGTATCTCATCCTCATCAACACTTGAGCACTATTGCTATTTCTGAAACCTCTTTTCTACTACTCTTTTGATCTCTCTATCCAAAAATGGTGTCTCCTTCTACTCCTGACTCTCACAAGAGCTCCAGCAGTCCTGCTGCATCAAACGCTACCCCTTCGCCTCCTCAGCAGAACACGCCTTTCACTGAGATGACGGACCCGCGATACAAGAAGACTATGGACTACTCTCAGCTTTTCACTGCATCTAATGGTTTCGGTCAGGGACAGCAAATTCCAGCTGTACCTCTGAACTATATTCCTCCTGTTCCCGCTCAGCATACTACGCCTCCTCCTTCGGAACAAGCTCAGAACTTGGGGTTATTCTACAGGCGAAACAACGGCGTCGGAAACACCTTCAATCCCCGCAATGGCTCAAACACTTTCCAGTCACTTCTCAATGGCCAGAACCAGAACCAGGCTCAGGCTCAGAATCCTCTGGCTGCTCAAACAGCCATGCCCGTCCGTCAGCCAGTCATTCCTCCAGTCGGCCACGCTTCCCCTGTTAGAGACAGTTTTGCAGGAAGTCTTGCCCCTTCACCTGAAATCTGGGAGGGTCTTAAGAATCGCTTCAATCAGTTTAACCTACGCGAGTCTCAAGCTCCTACATCTGTACCGGGCCAAGCCTTTACATCTGACCAGGAAGCTCGACCATTCAAGCTCCCCAACTATCTAAGCTCTTACGAGCCTCGACAGCCTTTTGCCCCCAGTAGCAACCATTCTGTTCGTTCTCAGCCAGATAGCCCTACTCTTGGTCAATCTTCTACTCCTCGAGGCTTCAGGCCCATGGCTGCTATCAACCACAACCGTCCTGTCGCTAGCACCGAGAATGGGCAAGTCGAAGCTGAGGTGAACATCTTCTCAAACAACTACAAGGGCGAACACACCATGCGTAACGCAAGTGCCATGAATCTTGCCCCAGAGGAGAACTGTGCTCTCTGGTTGACCAACCTGCCTCCGGATGTTACTCACAACCAACTTCTGGCTCAGATCCGCAACGTCGGCCGCATTTGGTGCACTGTTATCAATGAGCCTGACTACGAGCGCCATGATACTGCTGCCGCCAAGGTTGTTTTCTTCACCCCTGGCCCTGCGCAGCTGTTGCTCTCCAAGTCTTTGACCCAAGGTCTTGAAGTGTCCGGCTATCCAGTCCGCGTCACTCACAACCGTGTCAAGTACGGTGAACAGCCCATAGTCGGAGCCGCCTCTCGCGTTCTCATCATAACCGGCAAATCGACTTTCGTCAACGTAGAAAGCCTGACCGAGTTCTTCAAGGAGCGTTTCGTCTTTGAGGTTGACGAAATCACCCCTCTCATCGTCCAGCCCTCGCGCGTCAAGGGTGGCCGCTCAGTAATCGAGTACCGCTTCGGCAGCTTCCGATGCCAGGCACAGATGGGCAAGATGGCCCTGGAGAAGGATCGACCTCTAGGATTTGAGAAGGTCGAGTTTGGAGAGGATCCTTGTGAAGTTGGAGACACACTCAGTGCTTACGGCATTGCCGCTGAGCGAATCCAAGGAAAGGGAATGTAAATTTGTGGATTATTGGAAGGAATGATAGATGGATTTTCGTGTATTGAACAATCATGTTTGGATTGGAAGGAGATTGTTAGTCTATGTCGAGAGAGCTTTGTTGCAAGCTCTTCTAATCATGGATGGAAAGAATTAACTGGGAGTTTACCAAGATAGACTCATGAATACACTACTGTATACACTTCATCTCTGATGCGCCCTTGATTTCCATGCCTGAAATGTGACAACTAGATGTTCTAAGTAGGGAATGAAGCAATTCCCAAGCTCAGTTAGCCACCCATTCTAGCTAAGCATTTAGACTGCCGCTCAACGTTCAGTAGCAGCATCATCACGGACATACCCGCGCCTAAAGTGGCCTCACATTGAGTTTACCAGCGCCTAAATTTAGCCCATGACCGAAAGTTTGGCCATTTTGGTCGTTGTTCCATCGACTGCGGCTCAGTGGCGTCTCCTAGTCAACTTTGGGTCAGTGGAGGTGCCATTTTCGTACTGTTCAAGTGATTATGCCTACTCAACACCATCACCACTTCCGAGTCTTATACACAAAGCAAGCCATGGCGTCATATGAGAAACAACAGTTCTGTTCAAATACACTGTCGTGGTTGAACTCCAGCAACGCCGTTAGTCTAATAATGCTAAATATTATACATGATTAATTGATGTAATTATCGTCTTCGGTCCTTCAATGACTCATCCCAGGGAAGCCAAGTCTGGCGATCAAAAGTAGGCATGCACTTGACCTTCTCTGGTGGCTCGTACTGCCAATTAATATTCGCCTTGCTCTCATCCATGTGCTGCACGACTTCATTCGTAAAACCCTTGAGTTTCTTGATGTCCTTGCCCCTCGCATTTGTGTACTCCAGACTAACACTGGGCACGACGGCAATTTTCCGGTATCCCTTGTGCCATAAGTCTTTGCAGAATAGTTGGGGTTCGCCTTGGAAGCATTCGTCCTTTTTAGGGTCGCGGAATCGTAGGCCGTTCAGGATCGGGGCTGCTGTGAATGCTGTTGCGCCGTTCCAGCATGCGAATACTTGAAAGGGAAGATGGGCGTCGTATGCCATTCGTGCTTCTCTGTTTCCTCTGAATAGATCCCATGCGTCATCCCATGAGCCGTCCTTGGGGATGGGAAAGAAAGTGTCTCCGGCAAGTGTTCTCGCGACCTATGATCATGTTAGTCTCTAATTAGGATCTAAGGATGGGCGAAAACTTGCCCATACATCGTAAAAGGTCGGATCGGGACCCGCGTAAGTAAAGTCCATAGCGCAGGTCATATCGGCATTGAGGTTGCGACGCTGGTATGCCAGCTCAAGTATATCGTCAGGACATGCTGCAACATCGTTGATGAAGAGAACGGTCGTCTGATCCGAGGCCGGCACCTTCTTCTTAAACAGCGGCTCAAGAGCCAAATTGCGTAATTGTGCCAACTTGCGGATACGCGCACCTTTGGAAGGGTTGATGGCTGAATTGTTGTAAAAGTATCTTATTCCCAATTCCTCCATGAAGGGGTGTAAAGCGTCAAGGACATCAGCTGTGCCATCGGGGGAATTGCCCTCGACGATTGAAAGGGCGCATCGTTCAGGTCCAAGGTACTTTATCGTCTCAACAATACTGCCCATGAGACGAGGGAGCAGGTTGACGACGTTGCGCAGATTAAGGGCGAAGTAAAAGTCAATGGGTTCCTCATCTTCGTCGTTGTCGTGGGTGGCGTGTGTCTTTTTGAGTTCTTGGTATCGCTTGGTGTCCAATGGAGGGCATTCTAGTCGTGGGCGCTCTTTGGATGAGGGATCGAGGATGGCGTGAATATAAGGTGTGATGCGCTCGGTAGAGAGTATAGAGCCTAATGAATGTTAGTTCGAATTACTCTCATCTCGAGTATTGCAAATGAGATCTCACCATTTTTTATCGGAATGGCGGAGTTTATTGATGTAGCGGAGGTAGTTGTAGAGGATACTGTTGCAGTTGTTGTATAAGAGCTGATGGTGGATGAAGAAACCTTTTCAGCATAAACCGTGTATGATGATTTCGACGTTGACGTCGAACTGGAAGGAGAGGATATTGTTACTGTAGACGTGGTCGCTACCAGATTTGGGGCGTAAAGAGGAAGGTACGTCTCTGATAACCGAGTGATGTGATCGCGACCCAAGTATAAGCTGGTCGAGATTAATAAGAAGCAAACGAGAGGCACACACAGGAAAAAGATTGTGCGATGCATTTTGAGTCACCCAAAGATCACAAGAAAGGATGCAGGAAACAGAGAAAAGAGCGACAAGGGAGGAATTAAGAAGAAGTATCCTATTCATAAAGTACAGCTACGGCTGAATCAACTCAAGGGCGAGGCACAGCACCTCACTTCAACAATGGCATGGCGCCGATAACGAGGAGCCACTTACCAAGGGAAGGGTTCGGATGACGGCAGTGATCGGGGGGTCCGTTACTGTAGGTGATAGAATAATCTAGTCACTTTATGATGGAGCATAGAGGACATATTTCTGGCGCCCTAGTGGTATGGCACGTTACAGCGGGCAACCCTCCAATTTAGCCCAGCCACTCTCTCACTCTCATTCTCATTCGGGGACCTCGTTTACACGGGAACTAGCAGGGGCTCGATCTTGCAAACAATGATCAATACGATATTTATCTGCGCAATGACCTGACGTGGTAACGTATTTATTAAGGATCCATGGAATTCCAGCAGGTGACACTCACTTGCTGACTCACTGATTGAACAGCTCGTAAACAATAGATAAGCTTGCAGTAATCCATCCTCCAGATCCTAATCCTCTCATTCATTTCCGACCCTGCATTTTAGGCTATTGATCCATTGGGCCTTTCTTTTAAAAAATCACTCAAGCTGCGTCCTTCGTAAGGCAGGGTCGTGACAGGGCTGCAAGGGTCTCAACTTACAACTTGCCTTTTCTAACCAAGACAGATGTCAGATTCCTTGTCTAAATGAGCGACCAATTAGAGTCGCCTATCACCTGCAAGGAACATGCCGATCGAAACGGTTGATCATTCCGTTTGAAACGGTAGCAACACCAACATGGACTCCAATGTACAACGAGGTACGGATAGTAGGTAGCAGAGAATTGGCCAAGCATAAGAGACGAAATAATCGGGTCGCTTTATACCAGTTTAGACTAGCACTTTAGGTTACCTTATTATAGGTAGTAACCTAAACCACCTGAACATGTACGACCGACCAACAGCAAACAGCGGGTTCTGTAACTGTCCAAAGCTTCACGTAAAACCAACAAAAAGCAAGCAACCCTTGACCAATATCCCCGTCGCGATGTGTTGTACAATTAAATCCGCATGATTTTCGTCCCACTGCGATGCCTAAATAGAATAATTTATCTGGCTTCACCGTTTGATCTTCAACTCTCTCCTTTCCCATCTCTTTTGATGTCCAAAATGCAGCGAATAATTTGTGCTTTTCTGTTGTTTCAGTTCTACATATGTCACTGTTATGCCCTTTACGCCAAGATTCCCACTCCAACTGAGACATCAGCGCCGAGTCGGACAAATGGCCACCTTGCAGAGCGTGGCGTCCCCTCTGAGATGATAACATGCGGTTACAAGAACGGAGACCCAGAGGCTGTAACGACCCCGCCGGCTGGAAGTGTTTGTCGATTTAGTACGCAAAATGGGTTGTGGGGATTGTGTAAGAGTGGCGGTGATCCCAGTTGCACTCTCGTCGGAAGATGTCGAGATCACCATGACTGCTTTGGGGGTTGTGGAAAGACAGAGAATACCAAGTTTCTGGCGACGACATGGTAATGGTATCTTTCAAAGATTGCGAGTCTCCAGCTAACAGGTGGCAACAGTAAGAAGGAACACTACTGCAGCTTCGCGTATCTAGTCATGGACGAAGGACATACATACACCCAAATGGGATGCGGTGCCGTCTTTGCAACAGATACTTTCTTCATCACACCAAAGGTCCCGCAGTTGACAAAACCCGGTACGACAGAAACGACAATGACAGCTGAGACATTGGAGCCGACGAGCGACACGACCGATGAAACCGCCCCATCGGAAATCGCCTCTGAGACAGCGAACGAGGCCTCTGGTTCCCATCCGAGCAGTAACGTGGGCGCAATAGTTGGTGGTGTCGTTGGAGGCCTGGCTGTTATTTGCGGGACTGCTATCGCTGCTTTATATCTGTTACGGAAGAACCGTGGTGATAGACCGGAGACTGAGAAGGGAACTGCTACGAAACCGACGGCACCGGACGATAGACCTAAGGAGCTGGATGTATCGAACCCTTTTGGGTTGTTGGAGAGTAAACAAGCTTCTGAGTTACAAGGGAGTGCCAGTCCAGCTCCTCCACAACTTCCTCCGGTCGAGCTACCCTAGGGAGAGGTGCGCCTTTGATCCACACTATTCCGTGGATATGAGGGTCAATATTTCAACTTTAATGTTTATTCACACGGATAGCCTTCATTAAGTAGGATGTAAGGAAGCTTATGATGGGGTTCTGATCTCTGCGAGTTCGAGTATTTCATGGGGGGATATTGGAGTTCAAGGATTGCATTGCAGGGACATCCTTTTCAGTTCGGAGTTCTAGGTTGGATATCCACAAAATGAAAGACAAACTTGCTAATATCTAACTTTCCAGAAATTTAAAAGTGATAGACTGGCATATCTACGTACTAAAATCTGTCACGGCATATCAATATGCCACAACTTGCCGTTGCTGATACCTTGATTTGATCGGGGACATCGACTTGGTGATATTGATTTTGCATATTCTTATCCTGGATATATAAAGACATCCGATAATAATTTTGAGATGGAACATCGATTTCTCTTTGCCTTCTTCTGTGCTGATAGTTTTAACGAGCGAACGTGGGTATAGCAAACTCCTAAACTCCAAAATTCCATGATCCTCAAGTGCAAAATCCCCTCGCGTTTTCCTTTGATAACCAGTAACGTGGTGTGTGTGGACAATCCGTCAAGCAACTGCAAAAGTGATCATCAAAATTAGAATAGCCATTACAAGTATTTAAACTTTGAGTATACGTACGTGACCATATTATCCCACGCTTTGCAAAGACAGTCGCGATCCGCCCTCGGACATTCGCGAGGCTGCAAAATATTAGAACACATAGCAACTCCCAGACAAATCTCTCATACCGTTATTGTTTCAAGGCATCTCTGGTAAATCTCAGCGCACTCTTTGACCCCAGTAGGTTTAGCAGATGCTGCAGCTGCGGCGAAAATAACAAGGCTGGTTGTGAATTTCATGATGAGTGGTCGTCAAAATAACTGAAGAGACAAATGATGAAGAGAGAGGAAAACTAATTAAAACTCGATGCTGTATATTTATATTCGTGGCACTTGAATATAAGATTCACGTCCGTTGCATAATGAGGAATGCATTTGGCAATCGAGACCCTGCCACTATTCCCAGATCGTCCGAGCTAAACGCTTTCCGTGGACATGATCAGCCACGATAGGCTTATCTTCATGATGAAGTGCCTGAACTTTACTGATCAAGGCTTGGACTATCAGTTGGATTTTACTCTATTTGTTCTTGGTAGTTAATGGATTGTTGGTAGAGTGGCTAGACTGTTGTGGAGTTGGATGACGTTCTAGAGTGACGTTCAGTCTCGACGACCGCGAATTTAGCAAGGAATTCATCACGAAAGCCGAATCTGGATAGAGATTGTTTGAGGAGAGATCTACCTGGCCTGGAGAAGACAATACACTGAGACCTGTATGCAAATTAAGATAATCATTCCTTCATCAAGATCAAGCCTTCGGACAAAGACTATTCAAGAAAACACTATCAGTCAAACCGAGAGGAAGATATAAAGCTATTTTGATATTAAGCTACCAGATAATATTTTTTCGTCATATTAAATAAGCTAGCAGTCAAATATCATGCAAGTCCAGCTACAGGCCTAAGCATAGCAACAACATTCAAAGCATACTTCAGCTTCAACATCGCAACCATCGAAGCAAAAATCCCAGCAACAGCACTCGTCAATGACCCTTTACCTACCATCTTCGCAAAAGCTATCCACCACATCATCTTGTGTCTAAGAACAAAGTCCTTCGACTCATCAACCCTTGGAAACTTTTCATTCGGAATATCCTTTTCTAAAAACTTGCAAAGTGGTGCCCACCCTTCTTCGATGCGGAACTCAAGCATCTTGTTTGCAGGAACTATTCTTCTGACTAACTCGTAGTGGTCGTAGTAGACTATTCGTGCGGGGGAATTGGTTGAAAAGTCTGTCATGGTATGGAAGCTGGCGGGCATGACTTTCTTTGAATATTCCCAAAAGGGTCCAGCTTGTTTGGAATCAAAGCTCGCGAGTGTATTCCAAAGAGGCCAGCGTAGAACTCGAGCGTCGGCTGAGTTCATGTTTCGTAGCCAACTGTCCACGTCTTGCTGGGTGACTATGACTTCTGCTTCGGGATATGCAGCTACAAGCTCTTGTACGAAGCATATAGCCGGGATGTCCAGCACGGCATCGTAAGGGCCGAGCATTTTATCAAACTCGTTTCGACCCCATGGTTTGCCTTTGCCGTGGAACTTTGCATCGAGGGCTTCGCGCCAGAGACTAAGGTTTGTCTTGGGGCTGCCCTGGGCCGTGGATAAGTGGTATGGGGTATAGCCTAGTCGTTTAAGGGCCGTGAGGAGGGTCATGGTCCCTGTTCGGGATTGTCCGAGACATAGGACGCGCATGGGCTTCGTACGGGCCATTGGGTAAGAATCGATACGTCGACCAGTCATTGGATGAGGTTTGATATTGTCAATTTGACGGAGTTTGCGAGTATCAAAGATTTCTGAGAGGGAGGCTTCGCCTTTAACTTCGGGTAGGGGCATGATGAAATAAAATTGAAGCTCTTATTTGATATTGAGAGATGATCTCATAGCAGCAAAGAATCAAGCTCAAGTGTTAGTTGAACTCTTGCCAAGCTGCACAATCCAAGACCGGGAATTTCCTGTTTTAATATATTATACATATACGTGTCTCATAAGCACTAAATCGCGATATCATGACGATATGGCCCCCAAGCTGACACGGAATTTGGTAAAACAGGCCGCTTACATGAATCGAATAGCCCCGAAATGGTGTGCAGTAACGGATAAAAAGATTACAGATGATTTCAGCCATCGCCAAGAGCAATTGACCCAGCGAGTGGAAAGTCTTTATTTCCGAAATGCCAATCATGTCAAGAATGGGGATTAGTCTCGGGCTGCTCACCTAATCTATCGAAACTTGATGCTACTTATTACCGTATTTAGAGATGCTATATTTACACTGGGATAAGAGCTACGTAAGCGGGAATAGGAATTATCTTTTCAATGATTCCGGCATAAGTATATACATAAGAACTCAATCTATATAACGTGATATGTACAATAAGCTGCATGAGTAATCATTTCCGTTGAGCTTCATCCCGCACCATCATCACTCTCCATTTCCTCCACCACCGCGAACCTGCCCAGTCCACCCATTCAAGTCAACTCTCAAGGGAAGTTGGAGCCAGCCTTGAACTCAGTCTGAGGCTTAACATTGACACCCTTGACAATGATAGTGCTGCCAGTAGAGCTGGTGACACGGACATCAACCGTCTCAGTTCTGAAGCCGCTGGGGTTCTCGAAGAAGTTGTATTCCTTCCTGGTAGTTCCGACCCAGGTTCGGCCGTTGTCGGTGCTGACTTCGAGGCTCTTGACGGGGAGGTTGCTGTTGCGGACTTGCATGGAGAACCAGAAGGGGCTTGTTCCTGAACGGAGTTAGGTATGGATTACCGTGAAAGGGTAGGGGAGGAGTGACTTACCCTCTTTGTTGCGCAGGACAAGAGGAGCGGTAATGTCGCAGGAGATAGCTCTCCAGCTAGTCTGGACAAGGCCGCTAGTTCCTCCAACGGCAGAGAAAGCATCTTCAAAGAGGTCCAAGTGTCCCTTGTTGCACTCGTTGCATCTGTCAACAATCTAGGATGAGGTCAGCATAAGCCTCTTAATGGCATTCCCATATGAAAGCACATACCATAGCCTTGATCTTCTTGCCAGTTGGGCCAGTAACCTCGATACAGTTACCGCAAACACCCGCACTGTTCCAGTTCGAACCGGAGAAGGCAGTTCCATAGATGCCGGAAGGAATAGTGTAGCCAACAAGACCACAGGCACCTCCTCCGACGTTGCCGCCGTAGTGAGTAGAAGTACCGGATGAGACTTCATCACTGAGATATCGTCCTGCGACGAGAGCCGGAGCGGCAAGGAGGATAGAGAGGAACTTCATGTTGGAGAGATAGGTGGGGTAGGTAGGAAGTGATAGTTGTCTAGGATAAGTGATCTGCTAAAACAAGATCAACCAGCGAACCCACCACTTTTTATACCAAACACTTCCAAGAATCAAGTACCGACCTCTCCATGATCCTACCATCAAGTTTCAAGGTCCTGCAATCTACTCCCGGGAACCGCCACGGGAACTAGCAGGGATACCCAGTCGACAAACAGTCTCGACCCTCAACGCAAGGGAGCAACCCATGAAACCGCCATCAATGGCAAGCTGCATCGTAGTTTCACCTATAAACGAGTGGCGTGCTTCAAAAAGAAATATTCATTCGGCGTGGCCATACCGAACCTTGTTAACCGATGTTACTCAATGTGATGATTTGTATTTAGAGTTTCGTATGTATGTGATAGCTGAAGAGACTGGTGGAAATAAGCTAGGTATATGATCCCGCCATGCGTCTTTCGTGAAGCCGTGCTACCAGATCAGGTCATTCGGCAACTCCTCGTCTATCGGACCTCCCGAGCACCGTCCTATTTGAGATTTAGAGTTCCGAAGTTTGTAGTCAAGGTAGTAACGGCCTTGGACGTTTCGAGATGACATACCAGGGTTGCAGCACTAGCTTAGGCGATTTCTATCACCAGCCAAGAGAATTTCCAACTCCATCCATGTATAGAGTCGATTTAGCCCGCTTTGTGACCTGTTCTCTTGAGCTATCGCGCCGACAAAAACAAGGAAACATATGACTATGTTACCTCGTCACGTCCTGCCTTAGGACCCTTGTCATTTGGAAGTTTTCTTTGCTGCTTGTTCCGGTTTGCCTTCGTCTTTCAGAAAACAGTATCTCAAGAACTTACTGTAGCTCTCATCATTGAAGCAAGCTTCAATCTCTGCAAGGAGTCGCGATTTCAAAGTCGAGTAGGGCTGAAAGCTGATTTTCTTCATCCGGATGGAAAGGTCCGAGGACATAGCGCCCTTTGGTTTGTGGAGTGACTGTGGATACTCGAACTTGCTCAAAAAAGCAAAAGAGATCTGTGCGTTGTAGAAGTAGAAGAAATCCTGGTTTTCCTCGTCGACATATACTGCAGAGGTCTATGAACATAGTATCAGCAACTGGCTTCGTTTAACGGGATCGAGATGTGTTACCTTGAAAACGTAATCTTGGCGATGGCGAGTCTGAGGGGAGCTCTTGTCCTCAGCTTGTGACTGTGCAAGGCCAATAAGAACAGCAAGGATATAAGGATCGCGGAACCGATCCTCTGGTTCGAGTTGCTTCAGCCGCAACTTTCGCAACAATTCCGCTGGAGGGTTAGATCTTCTCGGTCTAGGAGTTTGAAATAAGCCCTCTCGTTGGATTCTGATCATTCCTTTCTGAAGAAAGGCAAAGACAGGTGCTAAATTGCCAGAGGAGCGTAATGAGAAGATAGAGCCGTGAAGACGAAATTCATGTTTCTTGCCGAAGCAGAAGTAACCGAAGGGCCTAAAAAGTCAGTCAGAAAGCCAACTAAGCTCTTGATACAGTTGGGGTCATACCTTTGAAATCTAAGAGGTCCTCCATCTTCAGATATCAGCTTCTTGATAGCTGCGTTTTTCATCTCTGAAGTTGCCAAGCGCTCAGCCGTTTTCGCACTATGGTTCACGACCTTCCTACTTCCTGAAGCCTCAGATGCTTTGTTCTCTGACTCCTCTGGGTTATCCTCAGGGGTTTCATCCACGAAAGAGCACTTCAGAAGTTCTAGATGAAGTTGTGTCCATTCCAGAGGTTGGACGAGAAGTCGCTCTCTCGGATGCTGGCGGATGATGTCATGAATAGATTTTGGCTCGCGCATTATAACTGTTTTCTTGGGACTCAATAATTGATAGTTCAGAGGGGATCTCGTTGTTGAAAATGTTATTTCTGATTTATGGTTGTGGTAGAAAAGGTTGGAATAATGGTTGACCGTGAGGGATGGAGAATCTCTGCGAATTCCAGTTGTCTCACCATTTTCTCACGTGAGCCCCAGTATGAGGCAAGCAAGCAAAGGTAGAGATATCCAAACCACAACGCTCAAACTAGAAACAAATATGTCTATGAAGCTTAGAAATCGGCATGTTTCTTTGAATGGTTCGATATTGTGATTTCAGCTACAGACTAAATTCAACTGAAAATCGTGTATCACGACATTTCTTGATCACAGTCAAGGGTTACCCGAGGGCATAAAAGAAAAGATAGTATGACCACCTCATGGGATACATTGACTGAGTCTCAGATTATTTATTCTTAGTTTGTTCAAGCCAAAAGAACAACTTTTATACTGCCCAATGGCCTGTCATGCGGATCATCATTCATACAGTTGACAGGGAGCACTTATAAAACTCCTTCAGATCATCCACTCGCCATTTAGTCCCCCATCCGCTCTCTCTCTCAATCCGATCCAACATTTCCAATATCGCCTTATGCTCACTCGGATGGCTCATACATCGTCCAGCAACCCACAGCGGCTGAACACTATTCGTCCACGCCCCATGATGTTCATTCGACATACTTATACCGCAAACCTGCCTCGCATGCCAAAGGATACTTCTCGGTTTCGCTGCGTGACCCAGTCGGATCGATGAGGGCTGATTTTGAAGCATCAGGATTGATGCGGTGTGATGCATTTGGTTGCCCGACATGGCTGCGGGATTCGAGTAGAGGATTGTTGGGAAGGGTGAGGTTTCGGTGGAGGGGATCGTCATGATGGGGTGGAGAGGTTCTGGTCGGTCTTGATACCACTCGCAGATGTATTTCCATAGCTTAAGCCATCTGGTGCGGAATTTCGCTTCGTTGCGTGTTGGCTCTGAAGGTGAGGGTGCTAGTAAATCGAGCACTTGGGCTGTGAGGTATACTGCATAATTGGCCCAATTCTCGAACGTCGAGGCAGCCTTGAACAGCTCAACATCATTCTCGATAGACAAGGTTTTCGACGCCCAATGATTGATGGGTATAAGCGTCTTGACCGACGATATTAGACCACCACAGATATCCATGCGCGCAAAGCACCAAAACAAAGCTTGCTCTGTCCCGCCAACGAAGCCATTAATACCCACGGCTTCCATCAGGCTGGCGCACCCGTCGAGATGTCGTTGCCATGCTTTTGGAGAGCAGCTAAGCATCTCCAGTACGCAAAGAATGACACATGTAGCAATAACCGCAGTCCCGCGCGTTGGTAGGTGTGGGAGTAATAAGTGAATGGCTTCTTGGTAGAGTGCAAGACTTCGGCTGGTCGAAAGAGTATGCTTGAGCTCGAGTTGTCGTGCCGATAGAGCCAGCATTGAGTATCGAAGATGGCCATTGTCTTTGCTCATTGTTGGAATAATTTGCTGGAAGTGTCGGTCTCGGTCAAACTTGTCAAGCCAGGGAGCGATCTCGTCAAAGTAATTCTTCCACAGAGAGCACTCTTCTTGCTGCGACAGGAGCGGCACCTGCGAAGGCTGAAAGTCGTTTATCGGTAGCGTAACTTCCGTCTCTTCCAACGTAGCACCTCCCGACTCGGCCTCCGGTTCGATATGCGGCGTCGTCGATCTCGTCGGCGCAATTGACCGCGTCTCTTGTATAAGACGGTTTCGCAATGTCGAGTGTAATTCGTGGTATGCAGAACCTGGTAGGAAGATGCCATCTTCAGACGCCCCTTCTGGTGTGAAAGCTTGCAATTGATCCATGTACGGATATTCTGTTATTATGTCAATTGGGACTGTGTCCATAGACACTTGGAGAGCAGGGTCTATGTCGACGGAATTGTGAGATTGGCCGTTCTGACTAAAGTAGAGTAGGTCGGCGACAGCGTTTTCCGTTCGTCGCTGTGATGCTGGCGACGATATGTTGATTACGGGAGGTCTTTGAACAGGTATAGGTACATAGCCTTCTGTCGTATTGGAGCTGGTCTCCGAAGGTCTCTCATTAACTACAAGACTCGTTTGATCTAGAACAGGTCAATACAAGTAGATACACTTGTAAAAATTAAGCTTACCATCATTGCTGCTCCTTGTGTGACGATCTGCATGATTGCCATCCTCCTCCTCGGTCTCAGCACCATTATAATCACGAATGACTTCATCCGTAACATCCAAGATCTCAAACTCTCTAGGCGGCCTCCTCCGCGCCATCTTGCGCATCGATGGATGCCGGGCATTCAAGCATTGTGCGTGTTCAGCCCGGAACGCAATCTTGAGACCCCATTCGCAGGGTTCATTACGACGACGACATGTACCGCATGCCGGTCGACCTTCGTCGCATTTGCGCTTCTTGCGTCTGCAATTAAGACATCCTGATCGAGTGCGCTTATGCTTGGCGGGCTGGGCACGGTGTTCCATAAGTTAATTGTAGCCGGTGGTGATATAATGGGTGAGTTATGAGGAAGTGTTGTGTTAGCGGAGGGAGTGGAGATGCGAGAAGGATATGAATCGGGGAAGGACACGGCAGTTGCAGCCAGAGGGACGTCATGAGAGCCGAGTAACCTTGAGACAGGCAATTGCTGCAGCGCACTAACAAGCAATATGTCGTCCAAATGATTAGCAAATAATTAATTCTGGAACGAAACTAAGCAGAAACTAAACAACAAATTTTCCTGCTCTTCCATGTACCTGATCGTCATCTCCAAACATGCCTGTAATGGGCTTAGTCCACCTCCGCTTAGACTTGCCTAAACCTGACCACATTGTGGAGGGTGACATTGAGCCCCAGGCTAGGCCATGCCATTTTGTCCTGTCCGTCATCAGGATAAAGATATCCCTGGCACCCAGCTAGGTAACAGAAGAGATGTCTTCTAAGGCTTAGGCTACTATAATAAAGTAGCCTAAGTGCTAGTCTTAGCTAGCATAAAGTGACCAAATTATTTCGTCTCTTATGCTCCCGGGGGCCAATTCTTCTGATACCCTGAGGGCACCTCCAAGCGAAGAATCCAATTGCCGACTCATACATACTCCCTCAATTGGCTCTAGTATCCAAGCCTTCGGAGAGTCCTTCTAGAATACTCACAACACCAAGAGCGCCAGGGTCAGGTATACCACCCTCCTCATCAAACCGATCCTGGCCAACATAACTAGCCCGCCCTAAAGACGCTGCCATCTGTCGTGTGCTCTCAGAGCCCTTGCGCGCTTCCGCCAAAGCAGCCCTTAGCGAGCCATCCAACGTATAGTTCTTGACGAAAGGGATAAGAGCATCCATCAGTGTTCGGTGACCGATACGCGCAGGTGTATATCTGCATAGTTCGTCTAAGCCGCTCTGGAGGGCTTCTTGCATCAATTCGGAGATCCCAATCGAGGGTGAGTCGGTAGTCAACTTGTAAAAACGGTTCGCTACGGCGTTGAGGAAGATGGCGTAGATGGCGCCTGATGTGCCACCCATGCTTCGCTCCGCGGTTGTCGCTGTTCTTCTGAAGACTTGACCGATGTCGAGAGAAACTGCATCGTCGTTCCGGAACTCCTTTACCAGACCTAGATGAACGAAAGTTAGCAAGATGTGTCTCCAGTGGAAGTTGATGGATACGTACCGGTGACCCCGTTCAGAAGTGTCTCTCCGCAATCACCATCACCGGCAAGTGTGTCGTATTCTGTGATTGTGGGCTCATCTCTCGACATCGTTCGAGCAACAGACTCAACGAGGACCTTTACAAGAGAGGTTGGTACTGTCCAACAATTAGCTTCTACCAAAAGTGAATCGCGATACTCGACTTACCTTCAATGCCCGTCTTTCTGCCAATCCCTTTGGGTGGACTGACTATTGTTTCCCGTTTGGCCACGGACTCGGCATCTGTCGCCCATCCATGGATTGAACGTGGCCAGGCGTGCGCTGTGGTAGGAGCATCAAGAAGCTCCGTCAGCTCATCGTCAAGCGAAAGAAGAGTAACAGAGAAACCTGGTCCATCGAGCGAAGTCACAAAAGTGCCAACAAGACTCCTTTCTATTCTGACATCCTTCTGGAGTAATTGCGACACCACTTCGTCTGCAACAACGCCCAGCTCAAGAACACTCAGTCCGCCGAGGTTGTTGACCATCAAGGCAGTGCGCTGGCCCTTCTCAGGTTGCCACATGTGCTCCTTGGGTGTGAATATCATATCCAAAGTCTTCTTGACCGTGTTCTCAAGACTGGAGATCTCTTCGCGCTTGACGCCTGGTTCGTTGTGGATTCCCATTCCGAGCTCGAGTTGGTCGTGAGGAAGACCTTCTTGCCTTGTTCGACCTGGGACGCTACATCGATCGAGACTCGCGGCGACAGTAGCCATTTGCGAGGCAGCCTTTCTTGTTACGGCGGCGACTCGATCGAGGGATGCCCTGAACAGAAGGTATGAGCCTTTGCAGTTGGGTCAGGAATGGGAATGCACTTACCCCTGAGCTGCTTTGGCCCCAGCGATCTTGTGACAAAAGACCGTCCCAGCAAGACCGCGCTGGCCGACGAGCGAATTGCCCTGAACAGATACATCATCTCCAATAATGACCATCTCTACTCTTTGGCCTTCAGCTTTCGCTTTCTCAGCCGCTAGACCGAAATTCAGTTTGTCGCCGGTGTAGTTCTTGACGATCATCAAGGACCTGTACACATGTTAGCCAAACACTCAATTCTATGGATGTAGCAGCGCACCCTTTTGACGACTTGACAGTCTGTAACCCCGTAAGGATCTGCGAGGCAGATGGAGAGGCAAATATTTCGCCTGCGACAATGACATCCAATGCACCCTCGCCCAAGTAACCAGCATGGGCAGGCTCGTGGCCGGAGCCGCCGCCGGAGATCAGGATGACTTTGTCATTGTTATGGTCAGTCCTGTAAAGAACTAATATCTTGTGGTTAGATCGCCCTTTATCTTCAGACAGAGGTGGTAGTCTTACCCTTTTCTGAAGCGATCAGACTGAGTGATGGATCATGGAGGATGCAACTTCGCAAATTTCGTTCAACGGAGTTTGGGACACCGTGGATGAAGCTCTTTCCTATCGCACCCTATCAGTAACGACAAGATATTGTTTCGCAAGGGCACGTACCCAGCGTCATGGTTGTATATGTGTTTGCCTTGATTTGAGTAAGATTTACATTGGTCAAGGTTTTCGCAGACAGGCATCTTTGTGCGCCTTTTGTATTTTTCTTCGTTTTGTCCTCATCGTGCAACTTTTCCCGTACGATACCAAATTTGCCAATCGAGCCCATGCTCGACAGCATTCTCCTAGTCGCAACATAGCGAACATCTCCTCGCCAGCGTCCGATTGAGGAAGTGTATGCCTTCATGTTGAGTGCAAGTCCTGCGTAGCGGAGTTTCTATATTCATCTTAGTGTCGTCCCTTGACCCTGGGCGGTTACCGTCAGATTGTGGAGATGGTGAAAACGTCAGGTGTGACTCCAATTTCTGCAGCCACGTCTGGTAAGTCGAAGCGCATCATCCAGATCGCATGTACCTGAATTACCTGATTTAGCATTTGCTTGAGTCGAAACATCGTTTTATTTGTCTTTGTCTATTTTTATGCAATGTCGTTAACAAAGAGTGAGAAGAAACCTTCTAGAATATTGGTCTGGCGCTACACATCGCTTGAGAATGCCATCAAACGGCACAGAACAGCACCAAACTAGCGAATGTTAACACAATTCTTCTCTTCCATAACCTAACCAAACCCCAAATGAAAGACAATTGCCGTACCTTTCCGCCGTCTACTACCCAAAACCCCTCATCACGCATATCATAGGCGACGATACGGCTATAATCCACCCTATGCGAAAGATCAAGGCAATTAGACGCCTCTCAATCCCTGAATTCGGTTGCCTAAATTCGCCGAACTTCCCCACAGCGCTTGCAAATGCCCTCTACGTTCTCATCGTCTCAACCCCAGACAACGCTACAACGAGGGAGAGTTGCAGTGGACTCCCCACGGGGGAAATCGCACCCAGGACCTTGGAACGAACCTTGTTTTCGCGCGAGTCAATCGAACGGATCTAACAGAAATATCGGAAGATATGTTGTCAATCATCATCGCGGTATATATATCAACATGAATTCGCCCCATCTTTATTTCTATTATCTTGGTGTTGTGTGTGTCTGATAGCATCATCGGCAACAACTACAGAAGCTGTTGGATAGCTTCAATTACTTCTTCTTCTATACTCTTTCGGTTTCAACTCCACCAAGATGACGATCCTTGTTGGAAAGCCCCTGGACTGGGCCATCACAGCAACTGCTGGCTCAGGCTTCCTCCTCTTCGGTTATGATCAGGGTGTTATGTCAGGTCTCCTAACAGGAACTGCTTTCACCAATACCTTTCCTGAAATCGACACTACAAGTGGCGGCAATGGAAGTTCCTCTCTGCAGGGTACCGTGGTTGCCATCTACGAGATTGGATGTTTCTTCGGTGCCATCTTCTGTCTTGTATTCGGTGAATACTTCGGACGTCGAAAGTGTATCATGATGGGATGTGTCGTTCTCAGCATCGGAGCTGCTCTCCAGGCTTCTGCTTTCGGAATTCCTCAAATGATCGTTGGTCGTATTGTTGCAGGTTTAGGAAACGGCATGAACACCAGTACTATTCGTGAGTTTAACCTTCCCACAAGAAAGTCTCTGACTAACAATGCCTAGCTGTTTGGCACTCTGAACTTATGAAAGCCAACAATCGTGGAAAAGGTCTTGCCATTGAACTCGCCATCAACATCTTTGGTGTGATGCTCTCATACTGGGTCGACTACGGCATGTCCTTCGTCAGCAACGACGCCCAATTCCGCTTCCCGCTCGCTTTCCAGATCTTCTTCGCCATCTTGACTTTCATCGGTATCATCCTCTTGCCCGAGTCACCCCGTTGGCTCATCAACCACGACCACCACGACGAGGCCCGCGAAGTACTCTGGGCTGTGCGACAGGACGCCAAGTCGATTTCCAAGGAGGACGAGTCTGTTAGCCGTGCTATTGCTGAGATTCAGTATGCTATTAACGAGGAGCGCGCGGCTGCCCAGACGAGTAGTTTCAAGGCTATGTGGAAGAACGGAGAGCAGAAGTTCTTGTACCGAACGATGCTGGGTATTGGCGGACAGTTCATGCAGCAGGTGAGATGCATTGAGGCGGTATAGAAGAACTTGCGGCTAACATCTGTTCCTTGTAGCTTTCTGGTATCAACCTGATCACCTACGTAAGTCTTCCCACTCCAAGGAAAGACAACTCAAGTTCAGTCACTAACATTACCTCAGTACGCCCCTGTCATCTTCCAAGAATCCGTCGGTATTTCGCACAACCTGAGTCTGCTTCTGGCCGGTTTCAACGGCGTCGCATACTTCTTCTCTTCCCTGATTCCTATCTGGATCATTGACCGTCTCGGTCGCCGCAAGTTGATGATGTTCGCCGCAGCCGGACAGGCAGTTTGCATGGCTGTCCTAGCAGGAACTGTATCAACTGGTCAGCCAGGCCCTGGAATTGTTGCAATTGTCATGCTGTTCCTTTTCAGTAAGTCGATCCACCAGAGAGAGATAAAAGATTACAGGGCTAACGAATCCGCAGACTTCTTCTTCGCTGTCGGATTACTCGCTATCCCCTGGCTGCGTAAGTATCAATCCTTACTCAAAACACCATAAAAAACTAACAACTTCCAGTGCCTGCCGAATACGCCCCCTTGGCTATCCGAACCCGCGCCGCTGCCCTCGCCACAGCCTCCAACTGGATCTTCACCTTCCTTGTCGTCGAAATCACACCCGTATCCATCTCGAGCATCGGCTGGAAGACTTACGTCTACTTCTGTATCTTCAACGCATTCTTCGTTCCTCTCATCTACTTCTTCTACCCCGAGACCCGACTTCTGTCCCTCGAGCAGATCGACAAGCTATTTACTGGTCCAAAGGTGCTACTTCACTGGGATCACAGCATGGGTGTTCCTGGAGAAGCATCTGAGAAGAGCTCGGGTAGTGAGACAGGCAAGGTTGCGCATGACGAGAAGTCTGAGGCGGAGGTACATATGCGTGAGTAGAATAGGGGAATAAGTATTGTTAGTAAAGGATTGGATTCACGAGTCACTTCTAGTTCAAGGATCTTAAATACGTTTCAATTCATGGTCATTACAGTTTACTATGCGCAAAATGTTACCCATCCTTGCCCAAAGTACCCAACCGTGACGGGAGGTGATGGCCCCCTTCAGGGTGTCAGAAGAATTGACCCCAAAATGCATAAAGGACTACATAGTTTAGTCACTTTATGCCAGCTTAGACCAACACTTAGGCTACTTTATTATAATAACCTAAGCCTTGGAGGCCAATTCTTCTGTTACCTACTTCCCCCCTGGTGTTCTCTGGATCATCCATTACTCACTTCCAATCGAACCAATGACTCTTTTTCTTCTCGGGCTCCTGCTTCTTCTTCCATTCCGTCTCCTCCTGCGCCATCCAAGCCTGCATCCTCATACACTTCTCCTCCATCTGCGCATCCGTCAAGAACCCTCTTCCACCGTCCTCGGCCGTATCTTTGTCCTTCGAACCCTCATATGAACCCTTCGTCACACCCAGCGTGTCGCATAATCCTTCTGACTTCTCCATCAACCATGCACCATGTCTAAGGCCATCGCGCCAATGTGCCGGTAGGGTCTTGTAGCCAAGAAGGGCCCCGAGGAGAGCACCAGCGAAGCAAGCGTTGGTGTCTGCGTCGCCGCCCTCCATAGTAAGATCGGTGATTAGCTTTTCGAAGATGGCATGTTGTGAAGATAGGTTGCTTGAAGACTTAAGTTGGCGTAGTGCGAGCCGAAGAAGAAGGATGCCAGACCCAAAGGTCTTGTAGACATAACCGATCTTATAACTCTCATCCAGCTTGAGGTCTGCTAGCGTTTGTGCTGTAGCATGTTGCTTGAACTCAGCAACATCTAAGCACGGTTCGTCCTTCCTATCGGGATCTTGGAGTTCCTGTTCCCGAAGGTCGTTATACCATGCCAGGCCAGTTTCAATCAACCCATCAACATGTTGTTCTTCGTATATCTCGCCCAATACAAGCCCCCTAACAAGAGCAGTGCCAATCGCGCAAGAAACCACACATCTCGGATCGACGTGAGTAACCACAGAAAAGTCAGCAGCGATCTGAAAAGTTTCCTCAACCGATTTGTTCAGACACATCAGTCCCAAAGGATGCGTCCTCATTAGACTCCCATTAGGCGCGGCGTTGTAATTACCCGTAACCCAGAACTTTCGTGCTGTCCCTTCTGGATCATCGAGGTAGGATTTGCTTCTGACAATACCCCCAACAGTGCGTCCCAGGCCAAGGGGAAGAGTATCAAGAGCTCTCAGCCCCATGCGCACCCAAACGGAAAGCCTGGAGGCAAAGTCTTGAGGATCGAGCTTCGCCCCGTCGCTGTGGAGGTACGAAAGCAGAATCAATACAGCATGATCTGTATCGTCTGTCCACTCTCCTGGACGATGGAAATTCCTGTGATGGTCGCGACGAAACGGCGTGGCTTTCTCAGCAGGGAGTAGAGTAAAGGTGCGATCAGGGTAGGCTTTAGCTGACAGTTCAGCAGAGAGAAACTCTGTGTAGAGGCCGATTGCGTCTCCTAGAGCTGAGCCGAAGATGGTGCCGATGATACGGTCTTGGAGGTGGGAGGACTCCAGGTTTTTGAGGACATTTGGTGATAAGGATACTGAAGTCATTGTCGTGAATGCAAGTCGAATCTTTTGCATGAGACCAGAAATAAGGGAGAGTGGTGTCGGTTTATATGGGCTTTCAGCTGAGGCAGCCAAATTAATGAAACAACCTCACAAGGCACCCACGATTGAATTTGGACTAAGGGTGGTCGAAGCTGAAGCTAGGGCGGTGGCAGTGAGAACGCCACAATACGCGAGAAATGAGAATCACAGTATAGAGTATATTTTTTGTTTAATTGAAGGTTGTATACTCATGATAGCTGGGCTTAAAGAAACAGACCATTGGTCCCGTTGCATCTTTTTGCAGAGATAATGTCCACCTGGGATGAGCTCTAGGGTGACAAAAGTAAATGGCACAAGAGTCGGCCTAATCCTGCTCAAATTGTTTCGTCCTAAAGGCTCCCGACGATAAGTCCTTTGGGTTTAAAAGATTCTGAAGTCACGATACAAAACTCGAAGCAGGTTAAGTGACCAGATATGATGGCAGCAAGTTGTGTCTTAGCAATGGCCGACATGGGCCCTCCGCTACCATCACAGCTGCTTTGTCCCCAAAGTAGAAGGCATGGATTGGTATCGAGCTTATGAATTGAACTCTATGTTTCATTGTCTCTTTAAAACGTATATGAAGGTCATTGAGGCCCATCAACTCCAGACATTCATTGAATTTCTCCTCACGCTGCCTCTGTTCTGCGGACATCCCCCCTCCACCTCATCTCGTTCCAGATCCTTCCTCCTTGGGGCGACATCGCGGGTTCTCAATCGTAGGCTCGATACACGAAGAGACTGTTTCCCTTACGCCTGCTGAAAGCCGTCTCGTCTCGGTGGTAGTAGTTGCCTCTCCAGCTCTCTTGCGTAATCAAGTGCTGGGACAGACCACCAGGCGGGAACGCGATTTCCTGCAGATGGTCAGATATCACTGAGGTTGATGTTCGCCAGCACGTCTCTTACGTTCCGGGTAATGCTAACGTCATAATCCGCGCTTTATCGTCCGGTGTGTACGCGTCTGATGATGGGCGTTGGTGAAAGTTGCTCAGATAGTGCAAGAGCTGCTGCGTCAGTTGTCGTTTGCAAGCAGACAAGTGGCAGGTGGTTCGGACCATCCAGCACGCTTCCTTCTCGATGGGACTCTGGTCGTAACATTAGACAGCCGAGCCTAGTGAAAGGTGTTATACCATCGCCTCTTGTCGGTGCTTTCATCTAAGGTGTAAATCTAGAGGTGAGTATCTTTGGGTTTAGTATCAATAGAAAGGAGTCCTTGAAGTGAATCCTTCGTTGGTAGGTTTTCCTATAAGTGTTGACCATCCTGTGTGCTCTCCCGACAAAGGTAAATTATCGAAGGTAGGTGCGATACCCCTGGGGTTCCATCCTCGTACATTTGTTTGCGTCGATCGTTCGACATCGCCTGCCCAAGTTAGTCTCCGAGATCCTTCTCTTTTCGCAAATTCGTTGTCGTACTTGCCTCGGTGCTTTTGTCGAAATCGTTCAGGGTCCTTAGAAGTCAGGAGCGAAAATGTCCATAGGACGTCTATAAGAATCCCATCCGCCCCCCTCATCTTCGTCTTCTTTTTCTTTCTTCTTCATACACAAGGTAATAGCCGCTGCCTAGGGGGCGGGAGTTCCAGACGTTCAAGTTAGCTCGTGGCGGCTGCGTTCTCTGGGGGACCTTTGCGCTAATCCCCCCCAAGACGCAGTGGTGAGGTTCGCTATTCGCCCGGCACAATTTTTGATTTCGTGTGTCCCTGGTATTACACTACCTCCAGGTGACGCACACTCTATCTTTTTCATGGCATTCATTGGCTTGCCAGTGGTGTGAAGAAGAAGAAATACTTGCCTTTGCCCTTGATGTAGTGACTTCTGTGGAGATGCTGAGCCATTTTGGGTTGGGTTAGTAGAGCTGTTTGTGTGATGGATATGGATGTTGGGGGATGCGGACGGGAAGTTCTGTCAGCCCTCAGGCGAGGGCATCGCATTATATATACGCTCAATAGAATAAACTTTGCTGTGACCGAACTCTGTTAAGCACCTTCGCCACTTGTGCATCAGTACAACCCTGATTCTACGATGCTTTTTCCCTTGCAGAGCTTATCCGATTTTCCTACCTTTCTGTGCGTGCATTGTTGTGTCTAGGTTCGATGGCGCCGCCTTGGGAATTCTTCAATGGGAAGCAGAATTCGGGCTGCTAGGTGAGTGTCAGAAGAATCATCCTCTAAGAAATAGCCTGCAGAAATAAGTAGCATAAGGTGACCGAAGTATTTCGTCTCTTCTGCTCTCAGCAGCCAATTCTCCTGATACCCTGACGGCTGCCCATCTTTGATGAGACCCATTGCGTCTACCATGCATTGGCCATCATCTATATGTTCTCCCTTCGATGGAAATATGGCATAACTGGGCATAAGATACTCGTTCATTCTGCCTTGAAAGTGGTCTGGCTCTGTTCACATACGCTCGGATGGCAGGCGAAGTAGGCCAGGCGAAGGGACGTAGGGCTCCTCTTGTCACACAGTCACAAATATACTGACCTTGAGGCCGTTGCCATGATGCAAACTCCAAGCTTCAATTATGTAGTCTATTTCATCCAACTATGCAGACGCGCAATGTCCTCCGTCAACCCTCAAGTCCGTACCGTGAACAAAAGAAGCACCCTCGGACAACAAAAACACAGCGGGCGCCTTGAAGTCCTCGGGCGCACCCAGACGTCCCAGAAGGGCACCAGCCATCCACGTCTTCTCGACCTCGGGGTTCTCTTGGAGCAGTTGGTCGGTCATGGCGGTTCGGATGTAGCCGGGAGACAGAGTGTTGACTCGGATGCCGTATTGACCCCATTCCTGAGCAACCGATCGACACATTTGTTGAACTGCGGCTTTGCTGGAGTTGTATGCGGTGCAAGAGAGACCCTGGAATCTGTTAGCTTGTTCGGGGGTATGGGATGGTCGATGGACTTACTCGGTTGGCAATGTTGCCGGACATGCTTCCAATCATCACAATGCTACCGGGTCTGTCCTTCTCTCGCAGTATTTTCGCAGCATACTTGCAAGTATTGAAGACGCCTGTAACATTGACTCGCAGGATGCGGTCAAAGTCGGCAGCGGGATAGTCAAGAGCAGCGATCTGCTGCTGGATACCAGCACAAGCAATGGTTCCCCAGAAAGGAGCACGGAACTTGTCAGCCTCAGCTGAGATCTCCTTCATCGCTGTCTCAACAGATTGCTCATCTGTGACATCGCATTTTCGGTACGATACTGAAGCTTTGTTGGCTGTGGCGATCTTGTTGAGCTGTGCCCATTCTGCTTGCGATGGCTCCTCGAGAATGTCGAGACAAGCTACGCTACCGCCGGCTTCAACGACGGCGATGGCAAGAGTAATACCTAGACCACGTGCTCCGCCTGTGATGGCGACGGTCTTGTTCTCCAGTGAGAAGAGCTTGTAGGTTGATGCTCTTGAGGCGGGTGTCTCTTGGGTTTCGGGCACGTTGGCCGGGAGCTCGATGTCTGAGACGATAGCGGGGGCCATTTTGAAGGGGTTGCTAAGGTATTGAAGAGACTGAAGAAAGTAGTTGAAGCTGATGAGGAAAGGAAATGATGGAAAGACTTGTCAGGTTATACGATCGTCTAGAATATCCATTTTGGGGGGTACTGGGGTCGGCTTGGATTCTATTAGATGGAGAATTTCCATGGTAGTACTTGATGGAAGTTCTATGCGACGGATGATGTGTTGAAGTCGGATTCGAGGGTCTCGTCTGCAGGAATCTCATGAGGTTATTGCTGCCGGGGGTTGTCACATTGCCATCGTGGAGGTTGTTTGAGGCCGGCTGGGAGTGTCTAGAAGTGGACAAGAAGAATGGGGTAATTTGGTGATCGGACACAAACTAGAGAACTTGTACTACCACTTCTAGCGACTCAATTGCCTGTATTATTTTGGTCACTTTTCAGTTACACAAAAGACATGGCTTTTTCTTCCCGTCTATTAATCCCAATCATCTGCCGACACGGAGGGTAACATCTGCGGGATCTTAGCTCTTCCCCACAGAGTGGCACCTCGATCATTCCCTCTTATGTCTTTCCAATGGCAGTTCCAAGCGCTCGCTATGGATCTCGACTCTAACCTCAACAGGCAAAGCCGTCACTCGATGCCTCCAACTTCCAAATACAGAAGCACTGCAGCGAGACACCAAGACCATCGAATTCCCCAGACAAATCCAACCGACGTTTCAATGGCGATTACCCAGAACCCCACGGCGCTTTCTCTTACCGTGTTGGGACTCCCAAAGGCCCGCAGCAGAACATCATCAACGTTATGAGAAAGATCACGCGCAAAAGATGCTTTTTAGAAATGCCTATATCTCGAGCAACGCTGTCGATGTTGGTCTCACTCGACTCATTATCTCTGTCTAAGAACACCACAAACTCGAGTTCAGGATGGCGCCCAGTGCAATCTCCCCGGCGACACAGGAGCCAGCGGCTCTCTCCAACGTTGTCAAGTTGATCAAGAACGATGATGCTGAGACGATTGACCTCGCTCTGCGACAGTTTCGTTGCTTGATCGCCGACCTTTGCCAGCAATTCTCTGGTGGACATCCGGGGTAAGTCTTGCTCTATCCAGACATGAGATTATATGAAGTACTAATTGGTTTCTAGAGGTGCTATGGGAATGGCAGCCATTGGCCTCGCACTCTGGAAATATGTTATGCAATATTCCCCCAACGACCCAGACTACTTCAACCGCGATCGTTTCGTCCTCTCCAACGGCCATACTTGTCTATTCCAGTATACTTTCCTTCACCTCACCGGTTACAAGGCCATGACCTTTGACCACCTCAAGTCCTATCACTCCTCCAACTACGATTCATTGGCCCCTGGACATCCTGAAATCGAGCATGAGGGAATCGAAGTTACGACTGGTCCTCTAGGCCAGGGAATTGCCAATGCTGTTGGTCTTGCCATGGCTACCAAGAACCTCGCCGCCACTTACAACAAGCCTGGTTACGATCTTATTAATAACATGACTTACTGCATGATCGGAGACGCCTGTCTGCAAGAAGGCGTGGCTCTTGAAGCCATTCAGCTAGCTGGCCACTGGAAGCTCAACAACCTTGTGGTCATGTACGATAACAATCAGGTTACCTGCGATGGTAGCGTCGATTTCTGCAACACTGAGGATGTCAACGCCAAGATGCGCGCTTGCGGCTGGGACGTTATCGAGGTTGAGGATGGTTGCTACGACGTTGAGGGCATCGTCAAGGCTCTACTTAAAGCCAAGGCGAGCACCGACAAGCCCACCTTCATCAACATTCACACCATCATCGGCGTTGGCAGCAAGGTCGCTGGCGATGCGAAGGCCCACGGTGCTGCCTTCAGTCCCGAAGGCGTCAAAGCCGTCAAGGAGAGCTTTGGCATGGATCCTGAGAAGCACTACGTCGTCTCTGATGAGGTCTACAATTTCTTCCGTGACCGTAAGACCCGCGGCGATCGTCTCGTTGAAGACTGGAAGCGTCTTGTTCACGCTTACAGCAAAGAGCACCCTGAGCTACACGAGGAGTTCGTCAAACGAATTGAGGGTCGCTTTACTGAAGACTGGCGAAGCATCATTCCTGCCAAGGAAGATTTGCCGACTACCCCTACACCTTCCCGAAAGTCTGCTGGTATTGTCTGTAACCCTCTCGCTGCTAAGATCAAGAACTTCATGGTTGGCACGGCTGATCTATCACCCTCTGTTAACATGATCTGGAAGGACAAGGTTGACTTCCAGCATGTAAGTATTGTCTGCAAGGTCAGAAGTCATCATTAGCTAACACAGACACAGCCCGATCTCAAGACCACATGCGGTATCAATGGCGACTACTCCGGCCGCTACATCCACTGGGGAATTCGCGAGCATGCCATGGCTTCCATCTCGAACGGTCTCGCCGCCTACGGCAAGGGCACCATCCTTCCTGTCACTTCCAGCTTCTTTATGTTTTACATTTACGCCGCCCCTGGTGTCCGTATGGGCGCTCTCCAAAACCTCCAAGCCATTCACATCGCCACCCACGACTCGATTGGTACTGGTGAAGACGGTCCTACTCACCAACCTATTGCTCTTGCTGCTCTCTACCGCTCTATGCCCAACATCCTTTACATCCGACCTTGCGATACCGAAGAGACGGCCGGCGCCTTCATTACTGCCCTTGAGGCCAAGGATACTCCCTCTATCATCTCCCTCTCCCGACAGAACCTCGAACAATACCCTCAGTACTCGAGCCGTGAAGGTGCCCAGAAGGGTGCCTACGTCTTCATCGAGGAAGAAAACGCAGACGTCACCCTCATCGGTGTCGGTGCCGAGATGGTTTTCGCTGTCAAGACCCGCGATGTCCTTAATGAGAAGTTCAATATCAAGGCTCGTGTCGTGTCCTTCCCTTGCCAACGTCTCTTCAACTCTCAGCCCATTGAGTACAAGCGCCAAGTCCTCCAATACCGTTCAAACGCTCCCCGCGTTGTCATTGAAGCCTATGCTATCAACGGTTGGGAGAGATACGCCGATGCTGGTTACTCCATGTCGACATTTGGCAAGTCTCTGCCTGGAAAGGATGCATACAAGTACTTCGGCTTTGACGAGAACGTTATTGCTCCTGAGGTCGCTAAGCTTGTGGAAGAGGTTAAGACGGAGGGTATCGAGAGTCTCCGCGGCGAGTTCAGGGATCTCAACAGTATAACACATGAACATTAAGGGATGATTTCACGAGGAAAACAACATAGCATAGGTCTTGGAGTTAACATTTGATGATTGAGATGATATGGTAATAGTAGTTTCGTAAAATGAAAGTTCGCTTTGTCTATACTAACCCAGTATCGAGATCATTGTTCTTCTGGTGACCTTGCATGCTTCACGTACTACCTCCAATGTCTTTGTGCCAGTCCTATTCTGGGCTTCTTTCTCTCAAACTTCTCTAACGCCCATAGCATGCTTTTGATATAATAATACGGGGTATTGTTCCCTAAATGCAAAATTCCATCAACCCAATTCCAAGCTATATCGGCAAATCCTTATCATGTTGTCGACTTGTGCTCCAAATGACAGCCCCTAAAAGAGCATATGGTAGTCCAAATGGTATAGAAGTGACACCAGAGCCCCAGCTCTGCCACGGCTTTGCCCTTAGCTGCGCAACATTTCTTCTTTTTGTAGATCGACCGGAAACAGTGTTTCTGTCGAGTTCACTGATCTTTGTCTTCCGCATACTTCTTAACACGACGTTTGTCTTCCTTGTGGACGAACGATGGCATCGGAAGGCGGCAGCGATCGCATACCCTCAGCCACAAACTCGCTGATAGAGTCAAGAAGACCGCCGTTAAGACCCCCAGGCCAGCCGGCCAATGACTCCTGAACTCGAGTCATTGCGGCCTCGACACCTTCAGCTACAGTGCCTACGCCGTTCTCAACGACACGAGTGGATGCTCTAAGGGCTTGCTGCGCAGTCTGCACTCCTGGAAGCATCCGAAAGAAGGAGGCACGGGGAGGCGATTCGTATTCTTCTGACTCAAAGGGACCGATTGGGATATTATAGTCAGTCAAGATTTGATGGCGACGGTTGTACTGTCTGGTTGCTTCGTAATAAGCCTGCTCGGGGTCATCGTCGGAGACATCATCCACATCCTGGTCGTCAAAGTGGAAGTCTTCTGACTTTGACGAGTTGGTCTTGAAAAGAGGCATGCGCTGGCGTGTACGTGAAGCCTGAGATACAGCTGAGAAGTCAGCTGCCTCATCGACCATCTGCTGCCCAACAAATACAGTCTCATCATCACTGTCTGGGGCTTCCTCTTCATCCTTAAGGGAGATATCCACCAGCTCGGGATTGTTCAAGGTCTGTTGCTCGCTGTTTGTAGGGAGCGAACTCTGTGGTGAATTTGCGTCCAGTACCAAGTCCGAGGACTTGGTCTCGCTGGAACGCTCCTGCTTGCTGCCATCCATTTTGCCTTCCCTCTCTCGACCAAACTGATTGCTTCCAAAATGATGCTGCATGCTAGCCGAGGAGGGAAAGGAAGTCGGGTGATTTGTTGGAGGCAACAACTTGGTGATGGGGATAGTGTGTTTGCTGGAAGCCTAAGGAGATCAATGGTTGGGTTTGGGTATGACTTGTGGGTAGGTAGAGCAGAGATGATGGATGTTTGGTATAGACAAGACGAGAAATGGTGGGATGGAAAGGCTGATAGCTGGCAATGATCTAGCAGTCTGGGAGTGAAATGAAAGCATTCATCTTAAAAGTGAAGCAGTACATTGTGTAAATAAAGTTGACTACTTCATCTATTCAATGCGCGCACATTTATTTACCTTTCGTTTACTCTACGCGGCTTTGTAAAGCTTTCCCTTTTATTCTTTCAATCACCAAGTCAAAGAAGATAATTTATATTGTTCTTCGGGCGGAAAACATCGCCTTTTGATGACCCTGTCCCGGACCTTTTCCAACACTCTCTTTGAGTGGCCTCCCTCTCATCACAAGTTCTTCTATTTGTCCATTGCGCTTCATCCTATTGAATCGGCCACCCTTAAGAAGAGTATCTTTAAATTCTCGGGCCGTTTCCAACATGGATTGTGAGCCTGCTGGTCGCGAGAAGTGGTCTTGAGAAGTGGTCTTGACAGCGATCCAGTTACGCCTTCCTTCAACAACATGGACATCAACACAAGCCCTGCTCCTTCGGCTGATAATGTATGTTTGGTTCCTCTTTCCTTTAAACCTTTCCTTCCTTAATTTCCGGTTTTCGCGCATCTTTAGGATGCCAAACATTTCCGACATCACTTGCAATGAATGCTCGAAAGTATAACTCTACTGCATACAACCAAACGACGAATAGCAATTTCATATCAGACGTCCTCGTTATTTGTGGAAAGCATATATAAGCTACGAGTCTACTAGAGCTTAATGCATTGATCCGAAGAATTGTTTCTTGGTTTTCGACAGGTTCCATATTCTCTCGTCTTTTCTGAACTTGCCCACTTTCTTTCCATCCAGGCATCGTCACCCATATCGTGCGTGAGACCGATCCATCCGCTACCATAAGTTACCCTAATATCGATAGTGACACTGGTTTAGATACTCTAAGAGCTTTTCTGTTAGCAAGATGAGTACCTCCAGTCAACTTAGCAGTACCAACATCGCTCGACAGACGTTTTGCGAAGTGTGTCAAGATACTTCCGAGTGCGAGTTCCGCAAATACTTTAATAGACTGCAGAGCTCCAATGAAGACTGGAAACAGGAAGCCAAGCCCGACAGAATTCGGTACTGTGTTCCCGAGAAGCAAAGTGAGATGCGTCGCCTCTGGTATATGGGACTAGAAAAAGAAGTCCTGAATCGCGCTCGTCCGCAGCGCATGGCTATGATGACAGCCGAGGAGCGAGAGGTCCAAAACAGAAACTTCGCACGCGTCGAGGAATGCCTTCGAATCCGACAAATTCTCCAACGGGACCACATTGGCCGGCTTCCCGTCACCCGGCCAGACTTTATATTCAAGAGGACACCATGTCGACTGCGGTTGGATCTCATCGCGAATACGAGCGTGAGGATAGGGGTTTATAGGCCCTATGCTGTACCGAATTCAAGATATTATTTGCGGCATAGACCTGGTACCTATATTTTCAAACTTCGTCATGACATGGGAATCGGCCGTCACACTTTCATGGGAGCCACTGGATACGCCACCATCGGAGATTTCGAGTACATGGGCCAGGTTCCTCGACATGAAAGCGTGTATGATTTCCGGTTCAAGGCTATGCTCGGTGACGCTATAAAACTGTTTGTCGGCGAATTGCGAGAGTTGCATAGATTATCAGTTCCAGATCAGGGGCCCGATCCTGCCAAGATGCACTCCGTTGCGATTTACACGAAATTGTGGGAACTCTGGAAGGACTTTTCCAACCGCTCAGAAGGGGCATGGCCGACTTCAAATCTGCAGTTCAAGTTCAAAACCTGTCCTATTATACTGGAGCTCGGTTGGCTTATGAACTTGCTCCCACATACACGTGCCAAAAACGATGAGCCACATGCTCTGGAAGAGCTTATGGCCAGTGCCACGGGGACCAGTCTTTCTGGGCTTTCAACGCGCTGGGAGGCGAAAGAACGAGCAGCGGCTTTGAATATGCTGAAGTCAGGAGACCTTGACCTCTTGATTTATGTACCTACACCTGATACTGAGGTAAGTGATCGAAATGGCAACCAGGATGATAATCCCGGCGTGGCACTTGCATTAGTTTTATATACATTCTTATTCTCCATTTCATCAATATCTGCCACAGTCATGATTATTCTTGTTTTGTCTGGCATTGGGCTGCTTGACACCCGCCTCAATCGCTTGTCGTTATAGACTGACGGATCATATTTAGTCCGCTCGGAACAATTGAGCTAACAATTTCCTCAGGACATTCACGACTTCTATAGCCAAGCACAATTCGATAGCGACCCTCTCAACCCGAAATTTAAATTTAATTTGGCGGTACTCGAGGGGCTACGAGTGCCGATATAATCCAAGTCAACTCTCTCAGGAAATACTGGTCTACCGTCGTCGTGAGAGCACCGACCGAACCCTCGAAATCCCGCTCGAGTTTTTGCTTGCACCGGCTAGCGTTCGACCAATTGGCACGACCTCGATCAATCTGGTACTCGTTCTAGGAACTTGACTGTTTCCTGTACTAAGATTTCATCGGCACCGACCAAGAGACGAATTGGCTTCCGTTTGAACTTACCCGACGACCCTCCCGACCTTTGCTCCAATCGCCGCGATATACCCTACAATGGCTTCAATGTTCTCTCTCCGCGGGCTTTTCAGTCGCCCAGCTGCTGCTGCTCCCACTGCGCCCACAACTCGTCTCTTCTCCACTACGACAAACATGCTCGCCCGCACACCTCCCAAGCCTGCCGCGAAGAAGCCCGCAGCGGCAGTTCCCCGCAAGAAGCATGTGCAGGCCAAATCCGAAAACTTCTACCGCATCCGCACACTCCGCCAGAACATGTTCTCTCCTGCGCCTCCACCCCTGCGTATGGCCCGTCTCCGATACCTCCGTCACTGGACGATCCACCGTGCATGGCAGCTTTTCCGCCGACAGCAGAACCAAGCGACCGAGCGTGAGCGTCACCGTATCTACAGCGGCATGTACAATGCCTGTGAAGAGCTGCGCAAGACCGTTGGGCCTGGAAACAGAGACGAGGGTTACCTGTACCGAGTGGCTATGGAGAAGAAGGGTGTCTGGGGCACTGATGCGATACCGATTGAATACGCACGATACCAAACAGACTTCCCCGCTAAGAATGCGTGGAACCACGACTGGAAGAGGCACACCGAGTAAATGGGCCTGTGCGGTTAATGTACGAATTCAAGAAATGGTATGAGGGTCAAAAAAGTGTACTGTATGTATAATAGACAACTGTTAAACGCTGCAACGAATTGATGTGCGCTCGGCTCATAACAAAGAGTCGGTGGTGAATTCAGTGAAGCATTCGAAACAACATTCAGGCTCAAGATCGTCGTCACTCTCATTAACCTGTCAGCTCTTCCAACGATAGCACCAATCTCCCCTGTCTCAAGTATGCCATTGAATCACTCTCATCCACCCTTGCAATCAACCAAACCAGCCAGCTCTATGCTGTGTCCCAATTATTAAATGATACAGAGAGCGAAAGTGCATATCCTAACCCGCTTGAACTAAAATTATGCAAAATGTCGGACCTCCCTCTGCGTACACACCTCCAGCTGCCTCCGTTTTTTATATCCTCCTGGGATGCCATGTATATAGGAGCATTTTCGCTTCGCATTCCGCTTGCCAGATATTAAAATTGTCAGATCGGAAAAAAGCACAAGTCAAAACAGTCGGGACGATTCAGGATCAAAAAGGAAAGGGGAGCGTAGGCGCAGGCGGAAGACAAGATGAACAAGGTCGGTATTGTTTGTCTTGGAGAAGGGTCCAAGTAGCGAATATTCATATTCATATTTTTCTTGTCTTTTGAACGGGGAACGCCTGGAAGTAAAAGCAATGGTAAAGATGCCGGCATGATCGGTGTGGCCGGGGTGATGTAGATGGAATGGAGTTGGGCCGAAACGCCGTGGCTATGAGCTTTGGTTGTCTCTTGGCCACATTCCCGGTCTGTCTGATGACAAGACAGTATGTTAAAATATAAGAAAAGTCCTCCTCCTGGAGCGCCGAGCAATAAGTCCTCTATATCCTGTTTGATTCCCTGGTGTCCAAAATTCCTTCAATTGTCTCCAGAAATTGGAACATATGTTGATAGATAGTATAGCCGAGGCGAACGGGCGATCGATCGCTTTGAGATCAACCGGCGCCGTTTCGTCGTCAGCATTTCGATGCGGGCAGGTATGGTCACATCCTTGTGATCCAGATGCCGAGTTCGCATGTGTATCGGAGTGCGCATGGTCTTACAGCACCACACAGCAGCCACCACCCTCGCCCTTTTCGAAAGTCAGCAGAGCAGCACGAGTAGCTGCCTCGAAAACATCGTCGACACCCTCGCCGCTCAAACTGGAGCATTCTAGATATCGCTTCGCGCCAATTTCTCGTGCGATAGACTCGCCGTCATGCTCGGAGACAAATCGCAGCGACTTCTTGCGCATTTCCTCAATCGCAACGGGGTCTTCTCGAAGATCCTTCTTCAGACCAACAAGAATGATGGGAACACCAGTGCACAATCGTTGAGCTTCCTCAATCCACTATGCGAGCAATAAATCAGCCTTGAACCACCTTCACTAAGCGCCGCGGAACCCATACCTTGTGCTTAACGTTGTCGAGGGAATCCGGAGTGTCGACGGAGAATCCTATCAAGATGACATGTGCTTTCGAGTATGCTAGAGGTCGTAATCGCTCGTAGTCTTCCTGGCCGGCAGTATCCCATAGAGCAAGCTGAACGGACTTGCCATCTACTCTGCAATCTGTCACATAGTTCTCAAAGACTGTAGGGATCTTATCTGCAATTAGTATTCGTCGTCGCATAAGAAATCCGACCGAGACTCACATAATGCTATGACATAGTTAGTAAGTGATGACGAAGCAAAGGTTGGGGGAGCTCACTGTAGGAAAGTAACCTAGCGTAAATACGCTCAACAAACTGGTCTTGCCGCAGGCACCATCACCAATAATGACCAACTTCCTGTAATTCTTCGTCAGCGATTGTCCCAATACAGGTTTCAGGAGATGTCGGGATTGGAGAGACAGAAAGAGATAAATTTCGGAGTGGTGGGAGTCATGTCGGTGCAGGGCTGGACAGCGCGACAATAGCAGCACATACCTGCGGATTACGTTGCTTGGATTTGCGCTCATGATGAATCAATTATATAGGTTCGAAACAGCGTGTCGTCTCGAAAACAATGAGAAATATCGTCGGATCTGGAGTCTGCTACGGGCCCCAGATCAGGGTAATGCGTCGGGTATTCGTTTTCGTCGTCGATTGAAGATGATGGAAATGCAGCAAGCTACAGCGATCAAGAGGGCGTCGTCGCGGTGATAAGAGCAAAAACAAGCTAAGCTAGACCAGCGGTAATTGATTGAATGCGGGAGAGAAGCGACGAAGGTAATTGGAAATTCGGTTCGGCGAGGAAAGTGTCGTCAACGAGATTCAGGACCCCTTATTTTTTTCGAGCGGACTTTTTGGTAAGAGGATCGTTGGATGGGTGAGCAACAAGGGACGTTCGGAGTGAGCGCGCGGACGGGACGTGGAGCGAGGAGACAGCAAAGGCCAGGACAGGACAGGCCAAGCAGTACGTAAATACGGAGCACGGCACGGTACAATACGGTTGAGTAGTTCGGGCTGGGGTCGGGTTGTAGCGCGAGCAGGGCGTTTTTAATGGCGGTGGGACGGAGGACCAAGAGGGAACGTCAGTCAGTCAGGGCGGTCCCAAGACTCCAATGGTATGGGATATTATGAATGCTAAGGTAAGGTAGGGTAGGGTAGGGTAATATTCCCTAGACAGGTAAAGAAGAGATAAGAATAAGATGGAGGTTGATGAGAGATTGGATACGAGTTGAAGGGTAACGGATCAGGTAAAAGCACGTAAATAGTAGGCTTCCGGGTTTGATATGATAGGACGGTAAAGGACGATGTGAAATGGTTGATGCTGTGTTTTTTTGTCCGGCTCGTCGCTTTAGTCTCAGTCTCAGACCAGGATTTGAGCTGAGGAGGATTGGGTTGGGCTGAGAAAAAGAATGTTGGAAGACTGGCCAAGTTTGTTTCTTAAGGAATGGAGATAGATAATAGAGAGATCTTGAAAAAGTCAACTAAGATATCTCTATGCGTTTTTGGTTATAGATCGAAGCTAGAGAGGCAGCCTCCTTCTATTGTTGGAACAGTCTTGTTTACGGCAGTGACGGTGGTGGTGGCATCGGTGATAGTTGAGTGGAGAGAGCCATAAACGGAGACTCATTCACTCAGGCTTCTCGGCTCCCCTAGACTGACAAAAAGGGTGGAGCGGCAAAGGCATAGAAAACGGGTCCGGGGCGACCATCTTAGCTGCCCGAGCATGAGACGACAGCGACAGCCCTGGAGGGTGCTGTGCTCCAACTATTACACCACAGATAATGCTACAGGTGGGTTTATTACCTGAGTTGGTGTTGCTTTGCTGTGCTGTGCGGTGCTTGATGACACGACACAGGGCGGAACATAAGCTGTTCATGGATGGACATGACATGGATCAAGGTATCTACATGAAATGTACCGACAGTATGGATGGTTACAACGGATCTCTTATGATTTTTCTGCTACGTAACGTGGACAAAAGTCACTCGATGACTTCAATTGGAAGTGAACAGAATAACAACTCCATTCATGAGCATTGGCATAGCCTTGGGCACATGCTTGATCGATGCACCACAACTGCACATCAATTCACTGAAGACGTTAGGAGCAAGCCCCCTGTGGCGGAGCCACCACTAGACGCCCGGTATATCCAAAACAAGTAATTTGCACCAAGGCTGCTCGGTTAAGTCTGACACTTTCTCCGCTGGGAACCAGCTCACTGGACAGAAACCCGCGAAGGTTTCGATACGCGGGCCAGCCATCGCTAACAGTTTCTACAGCTACAGTAAAATAAATTACAGGACTGATCGATTCGAGACTTGTCAAGCGCCGTCGGATTTTAGAATTCAATTAGGTAACTGCGGAAAGTGTCGTCACGGAACCGCTCTCTCAATGTACCTTCTCAGCTCAAATCCTTCAACGACTGTCAACTGCCAGGGGCCTGTTAAGGATGGTTGTCTTCAGCAGTCTTGTCCAACAAATAAGCTCGGCATCATTGTTTTGTTTCGACAATGATAGACAGGGCTAATGTAGCCTTCAATACGACAATGACGACAAACTCCAGATTCGGACAAGCATATCGACAGATCCACATCCACAGCAAAAGGCCCCTTGCCTTTAATCGGAGGATTATTCACATCGTTCTTGGCCTCCGTTTGGTTCTCTCATCAGTTTCTGAGAATTTCTGCCCATTGATTTAAGTTCCATCATGGCCGCCGTCATTTGAGGCTGTGCAGGCTAGCCCACTCCCGCCCGCCGGTAAGCTAAAAACAGGAACCAGACCAGGGGCTAGGATGAACTACCACTCAGTACTGAACGCTCATTAGCTGCTATCGAGCAGTGCATCATTTTAAAGGTCCCCTAGAATAGAATCCTAGCAGTTGCAGTTCGTGTCTGGATTTTCCATCCGCGTTTACCAAGAGCATCATAAACATTAACTTCTCCGTACGGATGATCCCGTTCAGTATGCTCCGTTCCCTTGGCTCCCTCGCGCTAAACTGACGTGCTGTTGGATTTCGGAGTCCTGACAAACGCCGACTGACTCGGTTGCTGACAATTTGTTTGCAAACAAACGTATGTTCTCAGGGATCAGTATCCTCTTCTCTGAGACCTTCTATGCCACCCGCATCGATGACTGATGACAGCATACACTACGCTTCGGGCATTGCCGATTATCGCATCAATCCGTCTTAGTTTACCTTGCGCTTACATGTATGTAACAACAATGTGACGATAAGCCATGCCTAACTCTGCCCTACGAGGCCGTGGCGTTCAAGGGATTTATGCCATGATCCTTCGTCCCATGAAAGTATGCACACATACAGCTGTCAGCACCTCAATAGTCAATGAGTGGTTAGGTATAGTCTCACTTGCATATTGAATGTTCCATTCCACATGGTTGGCAAAGATCGCACTCCTTTGCTCTCCCCGATCCCCCTGCTACGTCTGAGTGGTACCCCAAACGGCCTTTGTACGGGACATCTCAGCATCTGAGACTCTTTTGCCCATGTTTGGCTAAAGAGCCGAAACATTTGTCCTCTGCCGTAGATGCTGTCCTCCGTTGTTTGCGACATGCATTAACAAGGGGGCAGGACGGCGGCATCTCAATCTGGCGTCCTGTCACACCGCGATGAATGAAAGAATAGTGCGGTCTTGTTCCACATGACCTGAGAGCTACAGATAAAGTCGAGTCAATGAATCTCTCTGATGACTTTTTTTGCGCTTTGCACTTGTCATGTTGAACGTTGTACAGCGTCGGCAGCTATGGTGGTGTGAATGCGTCGTCATGCTGCCGGTCAAGTTTGTTCTGCACATCAGTATCAGATGTGAAGATCCTAATTCAGCCCCGTTGCCCATGTCAGCAACGGTGTCTCAAGGGGCTTGAAGTCGTTTGCAACGCTTGTAAACGGGGGCCATGGGTATTGGCTTCCGCGCTTGCTCATGGATAATTGACTTTATTTCCATCAGCTGTAGTTGGTCGGTTGGCAGGTGGGTCGAAGAAAAAGCGAGACTTAGCTAAGGGTATTATAAAAGTTAGGACAGTCTAACCTAAGTTTAGTGTTTCAGCAAGTCTAAGTTATTTTGTCAATAGGCGTCTGTGTCCTGGTTCTCTTTTGGACCTCCTGGTTGGGTAAAGTCGTTGGCCCGCAACTTGGAAATTGTGGTGTTGAGAAGCAGCCATGGTAAATTGGCAGACGAAGAAACCGTTGCTGCTAAATTGACTCATCAATTATTTTTAAATGCATGCACACTACATGGTCTGAATTGACTCCGAGTAATTGATTGGGGTCTTTTAAATCAACCGCTCAATAAAAATTGAATGTCCTCATTCAACCCCAGGTTCAGGGTAGCCCCCAGACAGACGGGTAGGAAAGCAAGTGACGTTTGACATCAAGGTACCGTATTGGATCTGTTTGCACCCCCACTTCACTTTCCGCTTCCACCAAATCGCCAGATCTCAGCATCACGTGCGCGATCACACCAGGCCGCGCCAGGCTACCTGTAGGAAATAGTGGGGTATAACCCGTCAATCAGATGCGTGCCTGACCAGTAACCACATCCATCACAGTGCTCGCTGGGCTTGTTCGGCTGCATGAGAAAGTACATGTGCTATGCAACTCCACCAAATAGTGACTTCCATCCTCTGTTTGAGCCTTGAGCATTGAAGCCTCAAGCAAACACCAAACAAGACCACTGCGACAAATTGGCTCGGTATATATTGGGTCTGGATTGCTCAGAAGAGCCTTGTATAGTTATCGTACATTTGCATTCATTGTGCTCTTCCCCGCAGGCGTCATCGCTGACCTAGTCTAACCCTGATCTTGGCTGCTGCTCCGACTGTGAGTGCCTCATTTTGAGCCGCCCCCAGACCCTCCACCCGCAACGTTCGTTCCCGCAGCCGCCTAACCACCACGACTTCACCCTCTCGAGACGCGCAGCTCCTGCCGCTTTAAAGCTGACACGCACTCGCGTATTGCAGAAATCTTCTCCTTCCACAGCGTCCTCCCGTCGACAGCCACGTGTCGCGCACAACATCTTAATGCCCTCGACTGCCCTACTTCCGTAACCTACGATGCCGGCCAACAACCAAAGACCGGCTGCCCAAACCCCGGTATCGCCACGAAGCACATCTAAATACACCAACAAGGATGGTTCAAAGTTCATTACTGTGCCAAAGGGAACCCCCTCTGAGTCTTCGTTGCCTTCGACCCCCACAACTGCCAAACCAAGCGACCCCCCACTAGACGTTTCCAATGTCGACAATGGACCTGCTCCCGCCATCAACCGCAAGAAACAGAAGCGTAGACAAAAGGCCGCTGCGAAAGCCGCTGCTCAGCAAGCTGCGAATGGACACATCGACAATGCACCTAGCCATAGCGCTGGTGCGGGCTCTATGTCCGGCCGCGGCCCCGCTGACCACGAGGAAGTCGAAAGCGACGATGAGTTTGAGTACATCCTGGAAAGCGAACTTACAGGGCCTCCTACGAACGGTCACCCGCCCTCGGATTCTAGATCTAAGAAGAACCGAAAGAAGAAGAAGAAGGGAACAAATGCCGACCCCACATCGCCAATTCCAGAAGCCCTCGAACCTGAACCGCATCCTAATCTATCGCAAGGCGCTGGCATGTCACGCGACAAGATATGGAGTACGAGTAACCAAGAAGAGCGCGAACGCATAAAAGCATTCTGGCTTGGATTAGGTGAAGATGAGCGGAAATCCTTGGTCAAGGTGGAGAAGGATGCTGTTCTCAAAAAGATGAAAGAACAACAGAAGCACACTTGCAGCTGCACTGTGTGTGGACGAAAGCGGACTGCGATTGAGGAAGAGCTGGAGGGCCTTTACGACGCCTACTACCTGGAGCTTGAACAATTCGCAAACCAGGGCGAGGGACCACCGATGCTACCATCGGCCCGCGATTTCGCTCTACGACGAGGATTACCATCGAGCTATACCAACCGACCCCCCTCCCGAGGCCGGATAGTAGAACATGTGGGCGACGACGAAGACGAGGAGGAGCTGGAAGAGGTCTATAGTGAAGACGAAGTGGAGGACGACGATTATAGCGACGACGAACCTCCCGAAGAATTCCAAACCTCACACGAGCGAGACGTCGCCGATTTCTTGACGTTTGGCAACAGCCTGCAAGTCAAGGGTACGCAGCTCCTAGAATCACTTCTCCGCAGATATGGTAACATGGACTTAGGTGGTATTCTCACCGTGGCGGATGACCTTCTTAAAAACGACGGCAAGCGTTTTATCGAAATGATGGAACAGCTTGCAGAACGTCGGATGGCAAGAGAGGAAGACGCTCGCGAACACTTTTCACGAGGCTACGGTCACCCTGGCCCTAATGGCTCATACTCCAACCCTCATAATCCACCCCCTCCTCCTGAAGAAGATGAGTACGACGAAGAAGAGGACGAGGAAGAAGATTATGATGATAGCCAGGACGAGGAGTATGAAGAGGAAGAGGTATACTCAAACCCGTCTGTGATGCCATCCCAGTCCCATACTGAGTGTTGCTGCCAGGACCAAATGACAGAAGAGCAACGAATGGAAGAAGGCCGTCGCATGTTCCAGATATTCGCCGCTCGCATGTTCGAACAACGAGTTCTCTCCGCCTACAAGGAAAAGGTCGCCAAGGAACGTCAACAAAGGCTACTTGAAGAAATCGAAGCAGAGGACCGAGAGTCTGAACTCAAGAAAGCTAAGAAAGCCAAGGATGCGCAGAAGAAGAAGGACAAGGCTGCTCAAAAGAAGCAAGCATTGGCGGAGGAGAAAGCGCGGAAAGAAGCCGAGAAGGCTGCGGCAGATGCTGCACGGTTAGAAGCTGAAAGGCAACGAGTTGCTGAACAGAAAGCCAGGGCTGAAGAGAAACGAAAGCAGAAAGAAGCGCAGAAGAAGGCCGAGGAAGAGGCACGCCTACGAAAAGAGGCAGAGCGACAACGACGACTCCATGAGCAACGCGAGAAACAAGCCGAACAAGAACGCAAAGCTCGAGAAGCTAAGGAGAGGGAGAAGAAGCTCAAAGAGGAACAGCGACAAAGAGACAAGGAGGCTCGAGAGCAGAAAGAGCGCGAAGCCCAAGAACGCAAGGATAAACAAGAGCGCGACAAGAGGGATAAGGAAGCCCGTGCCGCCAAGGCTCAAAAGGATGCCCAAGCCGCTCGAGAGGCCAAGGAGAAGTTGAGAGAGGAGAAGGCAGCTGCTCAAAAAGCGGCAAGTCACCCATCGCAACCTATCCAGATCCCGAAGCGTGGCTCACAGCCTCCGGTACCTACCGCTCTACCACAGCATACTTCCAACCCAGCGAGTTATGCGTCTCCCAAGATACCAGTCGCAACCCCCGTGTTATCCAAGGCACCGACTCCGATCCGACCCCGAACCACGTCTCAACAGCAAGATGTGCCATCGCAGTCAGCCACAACTTCAAGTACAAGTCAAGACCCCTCACCCCACTCAATGACACCCCGTATGAGTCCTGGGCCGATTGGCCAGCGCCATGGAAGTGCAAGTACGCAGCATTCTTATTCTGTTTCACCTACGAGTGGACAACCAAGGATGCACGGACAATCTCCCTTCCAGATGCCCCCGATGGGCATGCAACCACCCCCTGGATTGGCTCACCATCATCCACCACCACCAGGCTTCGGGAACCGTATGCCTCACGAGGCCATCTTTTCAGGTTTCCGACACAGCCCTGGTGCTATGATGCCCCCTCCTGGTATCAATGGACCACCTCGCGGATTCCCTGTTCCTATGCCCCCAGGATTCTCACAGCCTGTTGATCAGTTCGACATGGGCGGATTTCCATTGCCGACAGATCTGCCCCCACCTTCGCATCACCGCCAGAGTTCACTGCAGTTCGACGCGCCCCCGACTCCATCACAACCCATAGGACGACCGGCACCTATTGGACGACCAGGGAGCCTCAGCCAAAGTCGCACATCTGACGACCAAGAAGATGAGACTGCGCATCTAGGCAGCCGAGCTCTTCTTGAAGATGACGAACCTCTTGCAGCTGAGATCAATCCAGGTAGCCTACGAAATCAGCCTCCAGGACCGCGCGGCGACTTCACCACAAGCCCTTTCTTACCTTCGGCCTTTCCTCTGGCGCACAACCCTTGGGGCCCACCTGCTGTTGGCGGACATCCTTTGCCCCCTCCTGGGTTTAACAACCCTGGATGGGGTGCACCGAGTGTACCTCCTGGCTTTGGTATGACATCTCCAATCTCTGCTATGAGCTCTATTCGAGCTCCCGCGCAACCTAGGTATGTAACCGTTCGCGCGATGCTCTGCCAAGCTTGCAAGGAATTGGCCAGCTCGGGAGACTCAGAAGGTTACATCGACATTGCAACACTCAAGTCGAGAATTGATGCGATGTCAGGCGACCACAGCATCTCAGAACTCGATCTGTTGAACCTTTGTGAGACGGAGGGAAATCCGATCAACGGAGGTGGCACGTTCGATATCCGGCGTGATGCAGCAGGCCCAAGCAAACATACTGTCCGATGGGAACCCGATCTGAACGATGGGCTCGTCGGACGACATAGATCCGTTGGTGCTCCAGGTGAGATCGGAAGTCCTTTGATGGGCCAAGCAACACTTCGTGGGGGACTGTAGGACAACCCCCAGAGGGGCAGGGCGAGTCAACGGACTAGCGGCGACTCTTTGTCTATCAGAGATCTGGTGCGTGGCAGCAGTCCACTTGGTGCAATTAGCAGTGACAGGAGTACTCCCTCCATGCACACAAGAGGTTCGTCGATCGTATCCCACATCGGCCCACTAGACCTTCAGGGGAAAGGTTCAGTGGCCAATTAGTTTACCTTAGGCTCATGCGTGCATCTCATACGTGAAGCAGAGTTGGTCCATCTTGAGGAAGCCTTGAAATCTCACACTTTATGGAGGCATGTCGCAGAGAATTGTTGGAAGATCTAACATGGATACCCACGTACGATAATGCGCTGCCGAATGAGGCAGTTCGCAAGGAAGGATTGGGAAAGACGAGTGGCGCGAAATGACCGCTGATCTCAAATGAAAGAATCTTGTTCGAGTACCAGATAATAAGCATTTGCTCCGGTGTGGGCTATTGTACTGTATGTGATTTGGCTGTGAATGTATGATATGTATGGAATCGCCTATTACATGCGACGATGTCTGCGATGAACAAGCAATTGGAAATAAGCGCTGCGACGGCCATGTTTGGCAGATCAACTTTCGAGGCGCTGAACTCGCCGACCGAGCAACACGCCTTTCCACCCGTTACGACTCTTGACTTCATGTGTAAGTTGCGTGCCGCATGGGACCGTTACAAAAAACCACAACGGGCAACATGTGAACGGCCAAATGTACAAAATGGAAGTACACGTAATACTTTAATTCAACGTCTAGCTCCGTCCCCGTTCGTAAGGTAGATAAAATAGATACATTCGCACTCCAATAAAGTAGCAGACTTTATCCTTTCCCATTGCTCCGAAATACTCAAACATGTCATGTAAGGTTTGTTCCCCCGGGCCTGATATCAAGGTATCAAAAAAAGACGTTATCCATGGCTCTGAGGGTTTTCTAAGCCTCGGATGTTTTCCCCGCGCTGGCAATCACACAGGCATTATAAAGATATAGAGTGCCGGAAACAAGACAGCCCGCTGTCGTATCGAGGAAAAGTTCAGTTTGGGTATGGACCCTCTTCGAATACTGGCTGCAGCTGTCTTGTTCCCAAAGCTCTCCCCCGACGGGACCGTTCCGCCTAGATTCGGTCCTGGAAGGGGTTGCCGCCACCGGGAGCGGACTGACCAGAAGCGTTGCGCACAAGAGGCTGGCGCTGAGCAGCGCGCTGCTTCTTTGTGGCGGCACGGGCAAGAGAAACAGCCTCGGCCTTGGCGACAAGGCGCTTCTGCTCCTTGCGGTCACGGCAGCACATGAAGGTGAGGTAACCCAACATGGCAGCGGCTGAGGCGGCAAAGACAATGGCGATGATGATACCAGCGGTGTCCATCTCCCTCTTGGTCATGCAAAGGTCCTCAGCAGAAGCGTCGAGTGTGCAGATAACAGTGCTCTTGCATGTGCTGGTCTTGATCTCGGTGCTGTAGCAGGTGGCAGTCTGAGTCTTATCCGAAACGGTCTCAAGATCGCACTGGCTGGTCGACTTGCTGAAAGTGTCGAAGCAAGCCTCTCCTCTCGAGGTGTCGGCACGCTTCTTGAGCTTGAGCTCACCGGTAGGCTTGGGAGCATCGGTGATGCCAGCGGCCTCGGGAATCAGGGTCGGCATGACAGCGGCGTTGTAGCGCTTCTTCAGCTCGCCGGCCTTGGCGAGTTCGGAGCATCGCTCGATTGTGTAGTGAGCCTCACGGGCGGCATCCTCGTCGGAGCAGCCGGCAGAGCTGTAGCAGGTCTTGAGGGAAGCCTCGTCGGTCTCCTTGAGCTTGGAGAGGCAGAAAGAGAGAGCACCCTTATTGGCACAGTCAGCAAAGGCGGCGAGGTCCTCGTTGTGGTTTGTGAGACATTCTTGCTGGACGGCAGCGAGGGCGTTGCCAGCGAAGAGGACGGCAGTTGAGAATCGCATATTGGAGGTGAACGGTTTTGTTGTTTTTTTCGACGGGGTGAGGTGGCGGTCGAGAGAATGCCCAGCAAGCTCTTTTAAGTGTGTTGTCGGTAACGAATACGGTCCAAGACACGCACGCTCAATCCTGAAAAGGGGAGGCGGTTCTGATGGTTGATGGGGATGAAGAGAGAAAGGAAACAAGGAAGAGGAGGGAAGAAAGAAAGCGAAACGAAGCAAAGCGAATGGGAAGGGATTATCCGTCCGTTCTATTGGGCTGAACCTTGGAAGAAAAAAGCAGACGGGCTCGCAAGTCAGAGGCAGGAGCCAGGGGAGGTGAGGCGGCCTTTGCTTTGGGGCTGGGCTTTTGCGTTGCTTACTGGGCCTGGGAAGAGAGGGAAGAGAGCGTTACAGTACGGCACTGGCACTGTTATTATTATTATGGGGATCTTACAGCGTGCTTGTGCTAAAAAAAGGGGAGATGAGGAGACGGATCCTTATGAGCCACAATGGGCTAAACCAGAAAGGGGTTAGATGGAGAGAAGAGATTGAGGGTCCTTGGTGGGTAGGGTTGAATTGCATTGGGGATTGGAGATTGGCGTCTTTGTTCGCGATGTTAGGGCTGTGTTCGAACCACTGGGAATGTCTTCAACGTGAAGGCATGCATCTCGAATCTGATACTGAGTATATATCCATTGGTGATGACAGACACGTGCAGATGCTGCCTCTTCAAGTCCAGCTGCAAGCCCAGGATGACGGCAGATACACTGCTGTGCTGATGGTGCAGGCATGCAGTGGGAACTAACGTCCATCCTCTGTTGTAGAAAGAAATCCACTAGCCATGAATAGAACTGGCTGGGCTGGGCATGCAAGACAAAGAGAGGCTGTAGATGCCAACATGAGACATATCTACAGTACTGTATAATTCTTAGTATAAAGCACCAATACTTGTATGAGTGCACCTCGCCTTGGTGACATGTTGCTATGGTATTTCATTCTACTTCTTAACTGAAACCTGGGACGAACCCTTGCGCATGAGTACAGTAAGCACGAAGAAGCCCGCAAGCGCTGATTCAAGTGGCTGAAATGGCGGATTTCCAGCTCGTTCGCATCTAACGACATGGCGGTGCAACGACCAATAAACGACATGGGTTTTACTGGCTGGTGTGACGACGGTTGTGGGGTGAAGGAGAATGATAGACATTGACAACAATTGGTTTCATTTCTCGATTGTTTCAGACTGAACTGGTCAATTTGGAGTCTGGCTGTTTCCTGGGAGAAAACATCAGACGACCGCCCTAACAAAAATGTCCAAGCATTGATCGGAAAGAATAATTGTTGTAAGGAAAGAATTGACCTTGTATTGGCGGTCAGAAATTTCATGCTTACACTGCCTCTGCTTACATTCATGGGCTGGGCTGACTGGGTCCATTGGGATGCGCAAGCTGAAATGGGTCCCTGTCGCGCTTCCCGAAGCCTCTCAACGCCTCTATCTCGATATTAAAAGGCTTGGCCTACCCAGTCGCGCGTCAACGTCAATCATGATACTCTCCGATGATATTCAATTGTCAGGATATACGATCGGAACAACCCGAATAGAGGTGACCACCTATTCTTTCTACAGTGCAGAATGGTGATGTTCAGGGGCTTAGTGGTCAGTGCCCTGCACCTGAGGTTGACAGCGAAGCATTAAACCATAAACCTCATGCCAAGACACATCATCGCTGTAGACCCGTACAACCAAGAGATGTTCGATCAAAAAAATATCCGAGATCTGAATGAATAGAATGTCAAACCCCCTCCTTCTCTTGCACACGCACGTCATGCTTCCTACGTTTGTTGAGCAGCCAATCGAAGTGAATCTGGGGAATGACCATGTGAGTCTACGTCATCAACTTTTGGGCTTGAGCTTCCTGCTTTCGCCTCGTGGTAATACATCAAGCTTTATGTATAAAAGCAAGCAATTCGACCTCAAGTCTCTCCCTCTTGTTCTATAACTCCACTGAACTCTACCGATTTAACTTCACAAAACACCACCTAAAAGAAACCTACAAAACCACACATCATGCCTCTCGTCGTTCCCGGTATCAACTCAACTTCTGGCGACAAGGCCGAGGAATGGACCAACAAGCTCGTCGGAAAGAAGCTTTCTGATGAGGAGTCATCCACTGAGACGGTAAGCTTTCACCTTGCACATCTCATACTTCCTCCGTAGAAGCACGATGCTAATGTGTCGGGACATAGGTGTTTGCCAAGCGAGACCTCCCCCAGGAGACGCGTGTTATCGAGCCCGGAATGATGGTCACAAAGGACTTCAAGGAGGATCGACTCAACGTCCACCTCAAGGATGACGGAACTGTCTCACATGTTGTCAAGGGATAAATGGTGCTGCATTTACACGACCCCTCCCTTCATGCTTCATTATGGGGCGATAAGTCAAAGGTTTAATGTACGGTAACGATTACGAATGGGAACAGGATTCGCCCGCAATAGCAAAGGCGCAAGATAATAACAGAATCATAAATTTCTACTGCTAAATCTACCTCGTGAATCCGTTTTATAAGCTGCTGTGTTGTGTCGTGAATGAATGCCATCGCCAAGTAGAACTGGTCTACCTCCCTTATTGCATCTCGAAATTTACCCCGCCACGCCCGATGCCGCGGGGCACTCGTCGACTTGACTTTTCCCAGCTCCAACTGTCCACCCCACCAAGACCCGACTCTACATAGTTTCGACGAGACTTCATTTACCCTTTATATATCTTCTGTTCATCAGCGCTTCAGACATTTCCTTTACATCAACTACTTTCCATTCTTCCCGGCACAGTCGTTAGACCGCAATTATGTTCAAGAAAGAGTACATGCCCCGCGATCAAACCTCTCAAGCTGGTAGCTAACCTCATCGCAGAATCCAGCCTTCGCCCAAGCAGAAGCTTAAGTCGTCCGTCCAGCGATCTCTTCGCCAGAACCTCCTCGACACATACCCCCTCCTCAACCCCTACATTGACGAGATTATGCCCAAGAAGGCTTCGCTCTCAAGCATGAAGCTTACCGACCGCAACACCCTCTACGTCCTCGACTCGACACCTATCTTCTACCAACAGGACCTCACAGGCATCCTCATTCCTCACCTGCGCCTCGTCCACCGATTCCCTCAGGCCTTCCCTAGCATTCGCATTGACCGTGGTGCTATCCGCTTCGTCCTCTCCGGCGCTACCCTTATGGCCCCTGGACTTACCTCTCCCGGTGGCAGACTACCCGCCGATGGCTCACCCGAGGGTGTGCAAGAGGGCAAGGAGATGGAACAGAAGATGGAAGACGATTTCCGATGGAGCAGAGAGCTGGTTAAAGGCGAACCTGTGGTCGTCATAGCCGAGGGCAAGGAAGAGGCGTGTGCCGTTGGAACACTTGTCGCAGGAACGAAGGAGGTCAAGGCCAAGGGCAAGGGGCCTGTAATTGAGGACGCGCATTACCTGGGCGATGGGTTGTGGATGATGCCCACCGAGTAGAGATATGGAAAGCGGCTCTGGGTTTGAGGTTGGAGTCAACCCTTGTGATACCAATAAACGAATGGAAGAGAGACAGAGGAAAGCGGCGAAATTTGTCGGGCCAAGTCAAAAACGAAAGTCAGAGTAGCGAAGACTTCAATGAACTACAATAGAAATTACGAAAATTTGAGCGCTCGGATTCGCACTTACTCTGCAGTGAGGATGCAGCTCTTGTCTACCGCACCGTCGCATCAGGGCAGCCTCAGAAATGGACGCTAAATATGAGAGACGAGATGGGTTGACTGTTCTTTTTTTGCCAGTTCAGATCAGTATTTAGACCATTTATCCTCCTAGTTCTAAACCTTAGAGGAGAGTATTGTTAATTCCCAGTAGTGACGTTGACCTAGTGACCCTCATGTAAGCAGACTCCATAGTCCCTTGATCCTTCGCGTCCATTTCTGGCATCTCAACTCGGAACCTCGACTACCCAACATCTCGCCGGACCACCGACTCAGCCCACCTACGCACTGCATCAAAAATGACAACCTTTTCATCAATACCTGCCCACATCCTGGGTGCCGCATGCGTTGGCCGCGGTATAATGGCTCTCTTCTCACCACGAGCAGAGTACGGCCATGTTGGTCTTCTTCTCGAACCTGGCAAAACACCCACTGAACCCGGCTTTGTATCGCCGCTCATGTATTTCAAAGGCCTGCGTGAGATCTCCTATGGTGCAACGTTGATGGCGCTTCAATGGCAAGGAAACGAAAGCGCTGTGACGGCTTTCTCAGCTATTTTGTCGGTTGTGAGAATTGGCGATGGGCTAGTTGTTTGGATGAATGGAGGTGATGAGCTTAGGTACAAAGCTGCTGGGCATTGGATTACTGGGCTTGGATTCGTTGGATGGGTGCTTTGGAGATGGAGTTACTGAGTGGTTGACTCTCCAGACGTGTTGCGTGCGGGTCGTGGTGGTGAATTGGTGAGGAGTTCTTCCTCACGCCTTTGCCGATCCTCCCCCCGTCCGAGCCTTCGACGTTCTTCTTCTCGTTCCGGCTCAGAACCTGGTATCTCTGCATCCTAAGCAGAGACGGGAGAGGTTGGCGGAGGAAGAACTCCAGCACCGCGCCGCTCAGGGGTTGGGCTCTTAAGCTCTGGGCTGGGGGAAGGGACCGCGACCTCAGACTCGTACCATTCGTCCAGTCGCTAGAAAGATGTTAGGCAAGGATTTGACTTAGTGATGTACTTACTCTGTGCATCGTGCTATGCAAGTGTTTCCGGAAGTTGGTCAGCTGAAACTCATGCCCATAGAATGGGCACCGGACAACCCGACAAACGATTCGGCCCTCAAGGGACCAATCTACCTCCGAGTTTGGGAGGGAAGTATAGTAAGGGCCTTGATGGATCTCACGACTCAACTCGCACAGCCTCTTCTCCTTCACGATCTGCAGCTCTTGCAGCTCTTGCCCTAAACTACTGTCAGAAACACTAATTGGAAGTGAAGCGTAAAGAACCCAGTTGGTATGTAAAAGTGACTTACAGGGGATATCGGGGACCGGGGGCTCTTCCTCTGGAACAAAAAGTTCCGGCTCAGGCTCATCGATGTCCATGTTTCCATCGTACTCTGGCCACTCCCACTCAACAGATGCAGTTTCGGACTCCATGGCTCTCAAGGAAATTCGGAAGGGGACAATGGTACGGAGAACAGAGAAATAGAGGGTTCGATGTGCTAGAGAAGACACAGCGGAGGTAGAGCAGCTGTGTGATGAAAAGTGTAAGTTTGTTGAGTACGCTTCGCAGGCAGCCTCAGATGTGTCACTGTCAAAATTTAAGTTGCGGAGGAAGAGCTCTGAGATTTCTCTCCTGGGTGGGCGCCCAAGGCAGTACTCCAATAGCACGTGTCTGGGAACCGGGGCGAGTAATTTAGGGAATAGGCAGGGAGACTCCTTCCTCAATAGACAATAGATGAATCAGTCGCGAAGGCCTGCGAGCGGGACTCTACCAGTAATTGGAAGCTAATGACTACCCGTCCAAGATAAAAACCATAAGTCTAGCAGCCGTCTAAGATCTTGGCCTCAGTTGACCCAGAAGAAAGAGACAGTGTATAGGCAGGAGAAAAGGGACAATGCTACATATACATAGGTCACGACATTCATACGTCTGCCAGAAACAATTTCTATGATGGATCATTTATTGGTTACGGAGTGATCTGAGTACTCGAGTATTTGGTTTCCCGTTTCTCGCTTGATCTGAGAATGGAAGTTGATCTTGGGTCTCCAGATACACAAGAACGGTCATAGGAGAAATAGGATATACAACACCCTTATGTTAGGATATATCAAAGTACCTGAAGAAACAAACACAGCGAGTTGTTCGACCAAGTTCTCGCTCTAGCAGATATCAAAGAGCAGTGCTTGTGAAAGTCACCGGTTCCCATGACTTCCTGCCTGAAAAAGAAGCGAGACCTTGAAGGAGGAAATGACTTCTGTCTAGTCCTACATCTACATGTCCGGTCATCAGAAACTCTGCAGTGACAATCCATCAGCTGGGTTCCTTCGTGCTTGGTTGGCCTCAGTGACTATCAGAAAACTCGATGGTCATCAAGCCACCCCTTTCTTTTGTCTTAGTTCCGGGCAGATCGAGGGCCTTTAAAAGAGAGCTTGGTAGTCTCGCTATGGATATAAAAGGTCGGACGATAGCTACGAAATTCAATTGTCCGGGTATTTGTCTGGCTTATTTCGAATCTGTGTACGAATACGCAAAAGAGTACTTTGGCACTTCTCGCATAAATTTCCCATGATCCGATCCCGTATGAGTTATCTATTGTAGTGCCTCTAGACTGCCGAAGTGAATCGGTGCTCAGAATCACGAACAGGACTTTAGAAGATTCTTACCTAAACGCAGCAGGCTTCTACCTCACAGGCAGCATCATTCGTTGTGGAAAGATTGACGCATGGGCTGGCTCACTCAGAATTGTCTCAGTGAACCGAACCAAACATTCTTTATACCTTTATCATCTATATCTTGTTTGCGTATAAACGAAATGAGACCCGATGGCTTCTGTGATCGAAAGTTGTGGTAAGGGACAGCCACTTGCGGTCATGGTTGTGCATGACAATCTGCAAACAAAAATGAAGGATTAAAGTCTCACAGATTCCAGTGACAACAAAGCTGAAAGTACGACTTAAAGCGAGGCATTTAATTCTCATCAGAATAAATCATATGGTTTGTCGGATGAGTGTAGTAAAGTGTTGTTGCGTCTGGAACCTAAAAGCGCCATTCTAGAAACCTCAGAGACGTTTTGGGTATATAATTTACAAATGCTCACTCGACCTCAACAAATCCCCAGCTACAATTGGCTCAGCCAGTTCATCTTCCGTAGTATAGTGGTCAGTATGCAAGCTTGTCACGCTTGAGACCCGGGTTCAATTCCCGGCGGGAGAGATCCAGCCACCTGCGAGTACGCAGGTTCCATTTTTTGCATTATTCTGCAGATGGTTGAGACTTGTGCCGTAGCTTTCCTTTTGCGCGCGGTAACCGTTGCGCTTTGCTGATCTTGCAACAGTAATAAGAACCCCCAGCGCAGGTTGCATTAGAATGAATGTCACTAACCTATGCTAGCTACGGAACGTTTTCCAGGGTCAAACTGCGCTAATTACCAGGGCGATCGTACCTGGAATGGGAAGATCGATATTCATGCGCGGGTTGTCCAGAATAGAATAAGCTTTGCTGGACGCATGAGACGAAATAGCGTAGTTACCTTATGCCAATTTAGAGAAGCATTTAGATCATGTTACTTTATTTTTGTAGCCTAAGTTTTAGTGTGCTACTCTTTTGTTACCAACCTGCCTGGCAGTGAGTTGTAAGACTTGGACTGCGCGTTGGCATTGCCAGCACATTATCTATAATTCAGGATTCAAGAAAGACTGTTGTTTACATTCACAAATGATGAGTAACAAGTGTTTTTGCATAATCATGCAATTGTCAAATTGAATATGTACTCTATATCAATGTTCTCTACTGAACCAAAACATGACGCCAATATATGCATTGTGAAGATCACGCCGAAATCTCAAAGATCTCGGAGACGTTAAATAGAAGTCGTTCTAAGAAGAACGTTTCGAAGCTTCAGAGCCCAGAATTTACTGGCCCTGCTGGGAGTAGAGGCAGCCGACGGGCTCGTCGACCTTGGAGGTGACGATGGAGGCGGCAACACAGTCCTTGTTACCACCGGGGTTGTAGACGTTGCTGACCCAAAGGGTGTAAGAACCGTCCTCCTGAGGGCAGGCGCGGTAGTTGACGCCATCGTACTGGAGGAGGCCGTCCTTGTTGATAGCCCACTTGTTCTGCTCACAACGGGTGCAGAGAGGCTGAGCACCAGTTCGGTATCCCAGGAAACCCTGGCCCATACCGCTTCGGTCAGTGTACAGCTGTTGACGAGGGTTGGAGCGAGAGTAGAGGAGGAGTTCGCCGGTCTTCTTGTTGAGTGTGAAGGTGGCGTCGTTCTCCTTGGCGCCGCGGTCACAGCTGGCGCCTTGGTTGTCGAGCTTGACAGCAAGGCCGTTCATGGAGGCCTGAACAGGCTGGTGGTGAATAGGGCTGGCAGAACGAAGAACAGTGCCCTTGAAGGTAACAACATCGGGGTTGGGGGCGGCGGCGGCGAGGCCAGCGAGGACGATGAGGTTCTTGAACTGCATGTTGGCGGTTGTGGTTGGTGTTTTAATTAAAGAATTAAAAGTGGTTTTTGAGTTGTAGTTGTAGAGTGATTGAGATGATTGTGAGTGAGTAGTGAGTGAAGAAAGGTAGACTAGAGGCTGATGTTGTTGGTCTTATATAGATGTTGAAGCTGTTCAATCCCGTCATGTCATAGCTAGGGGATCGGCCCCGGCAGTTACCTCACAACGCCCGACGCTCCGCGGGCGGGGGAGCTTGGAGGCGCAGTACAATCATTGCATTGCAATGAGAGTAATTGCCATCCATGATCTCAATGTTGCCCTGCGGAGACCGTGAATACGAGATGGTGGATAGGCCTCGATGGGGAAGGTCTTGGCTGGTGGACCGTGGTGCAACGGTAACCAGGGCCCTCCCAGCTAGGCGAAAGGACCCGACTGCAATAAACACCTGAGAACCTCGCAATTACACACGTTGAAAATGTCACCGCATTGCATTGAGCTCCTCAAGACGGCATGGCCGAGGCTCAAGTTTGCTGGCGGCCCCTGAGAGCTCTGAGTGCTGGCATGGCATGGATAAAATTGGGGACTTCATGCCAGCGGCAGCCCCAGATTTTTCCTTGAAAGCTATTCTTAGCAGCACCGACTTTTCTAGAATCGGTCTCTGTCTCCCTAAACTTACCTTAACTTGGGTAGTCTACGGATACCTTAACTTGCCCCCTACTTGGCAATAGACGTCATAACGATCAAGACAGATCAAGCTAACAAGAGCTTTGACAAGACAAGTGCCGCAACACGGACAATTAATTGATCTGAATAGTCAGTCGTAAATGCACAGCTAGACAGCATCACCAAAACATTCATGCAAGAATGGTTTACTATAGTAAATGTTGGGATAAAAATTGGGGGCTGTATCTGTTGATCGATCGGGCGACAGAGTCTAGGTCCAGGTCCAGGTTCTCCTTTTTTTTTCCTGCCCATCTCCACGATCCGGGTCCATCGCTTCATCTGGAGTCCATCCGAAGTGACTAATGATTAATACCTTGTGTTAAGGGCCCAGCATTCTACGGTGAGGTCACTGGAGACCGCCAAGATGGTTAACGGCGGAATTCTTCTTTCTTTTTCGCCTCTGGGCAAATGTAACAACGACGATGATCCAAGGAAGAGAGGTATCCAACTATGGGCGGTGTCTTTATGCCTTGGTCAGTTAATGACCTGACGTTGACATGAATTATGAATCGACAGGGCAAGATACAAGGACGTTGGCGGTGGGTCAACGGGGTTTCAGCTATAATGCGCCAAAATAAGGAAATCATTCGCCAGGTATTTTTTATCGTGTTTTTGTCCAAGACTTATTATGCAGGGTAATTTATGTATTTCAGGCACAGATCTGCATAATCCAAGCATTTTAGTTCAGAAAATACGAGAAATGGGCGTCGATCTGTCCGTATTCAAGGACAACAGTCCTCTGCAGGCCTCATGATGTTCCAATTGCAAACACTCGTTGAATGATTTGTCTCTCCAAGAAGAAATGATAGTCGATCCATACATTGGTGGTATCTGCAGGGTTCGAATATAGTCAGCCGTATATTGTTGTCGACTGGAATAGTATTAGTGCTACCAGCTAGCGTTGGGATAACAACAACTTATCGCGGAATTATGGATTAATCTCAGTTCGTGATCGTCAGTAACGTTACTGGCCAGGCCCACAATCTCACAATGACCTCACTTGCGAGGATACAACTCCAAAACAGACATCGAAAATGCTCTGCTCCAGGGTAAGACCATTGGCCTTGAGAGCTCTCTACTTCACAACACTATCAAACATCGTGAGACCATGTCACGCTCAAGGCATTTCTCAGATCGACAACCTAATTCCCTCATACCAATTCTACTCCAACTTCACCTCATCCTTGCCTCCAGCCTACAAAACCATCAAAGTCATTGGCCGAGATGATATCGAAAAACTGTACCCTCTCATCCTCTCGTACATCACCGACCCAAACAAGGCAAACTCTCTGCGTGAGGTCATCGTTGACACATATGCTTGGCCACACTATTATGCCTGTCTTCACGACGAAAGCGATGATCTCGTCCGCCAAGAGGGTGGCGAGGAACTAAACGAAAAGCGCCCCAATCGTCAACTAGATCACGAGGCTCACTCGACCCTTGAAAGGCATGTTACTTCTCTTGGCCTCGGAGATCCATTAACGACTAAGATCGTTGAAGCTTTGACTTGGAAGAAGAAATATTGGTTGGGTGAAGTCTCGGAGAAAGCAAAGGACTTTGACGACAATGAAAGAGCGTTTGCTGTTGCTGCACTCATCGTTATCTTCTCTCTTTGTGAGAAGGTATCTGTGCTACGTGTAGCTGATTTTCCTACGCTCCTCAGAGAGTATCTGCTCAAAAACAACTATGGAAAACTTAACCGGTTTGGGTTACAGCAGCTCAAGTCTGTTGAATTTTTTAAGGAACATCCTTTGGATAACAGAGTGTACGAGCAGGTGGATTTCCTTGAGTATGTCAGACACTTTGGTAAACTGCCAGCCATGGAAAGTCTAAGCATGGAGGGTGTCATGGAACAAGAAGTCAACGACCTGGTTTCACCCGGAACAACCAATATCAAAAAGATCCATCTAGACCACTCTGAAATTTCAGGTTCGACGCTTAGCAAGATGATCCGCTCATCCAAAGTCCTCGAAGAACTCCGAGTTTCCCAAGGTGGTTTGTGGCACCTGTATTTAGGAGCTTGGAACATGCGGCCTCAAACCGTTGGTAAAAGTCTGCATCAACACCGAAGCACTTTGAAAGTTTTGGACTTCGACGTCGCGGACCTTGATTTTTCGGACGTTCCCTCTTGGGAAAATAGTATGCTTGAGGAGCTTGCGGAGAGTGGCGAGGAGTATTTCAAGCTTGATAAAGAATCAAGTACACTTCCTTTTTGGCAGGAGGATATTCCAGATGATCGGCCTTATGGTTTCACAATTGGTTCTCTGCACGATTTTACCGCCATGACGCACCTGAGCCTCAATCTCAATGCTATGTTCGGAGCGTGGTATGAACGAAAAGAACCTCCATTTCGACTAATCGATGCATTGCCTCCTAATCTGGAGTATCTATGCCTCTATGGATATGTCAAGGGAGAAAACAAAGACGTGGATAGCCACGTGGAAGAGTTGACGCAGCATAATGAGAAGCGTTTTCCTCGTTTGATGAAGATCGAAGGAATAGAGGAGACGGTTCTGGGTGTTGCCAACCTATATCTGGACGATAATTCTCAGATGGAAGATAACCTTTGGCAGTGGCCAGAATTGAAGTTGGAATGGGTTGAAGCATAGTATGAATACGGTTTCAAATGGAGGAAAGGAGGGCGTCGAAATGAGGGCATCACAAAGGCTACCTGAGGTTTAGGATATCATCAAAAGTAGTGTGAAAGGCTCATCTAAACTGACATAAAGTCACTAAATCTATTGTGATATTGGCGGTCAGAATTTCCAATACAATAGTCCTGTGGCGGCTATTTGTATGTAGCTGTAGAGGATGCTTGGAAAGTGTAATTCAAGATGGAAGTATCACTAGGTAGATGTAGAGGTAGTGGCGTCAGTGGTACAGCGACAATGCCGAGGGCTCTTTTGAATTATGGACGGGGCTATGGTTCTCTATCTTATCGTTTCCAATATCTCGGCCTCGATACAATCCTATCATCCTGAAAAGAACCATCATAATCCCCTTGTCCTTGTCCATTTGTAATTCATGGTGGAAATCTTATCTTCTGGTCGTTGTTCCTCTGATCGTGAGCATTGGAATCACAGTGCTTGAAAAGTGTAATTCAAGATGGAAACCTTATTATCAGGTTCTTCTGATCTTCCCATCATCTGTTCTCAACAACATGTAACATATTCTGCCTTAGAGTCAAGCATCCATCACTCCGAAACCGGGTCTATAGACCTGGGATAACCTAAGACAGATACCCCTCTATCCAACCTCTCAGGGCATTCTATTCATAGCCCCGGCGACCAGGGGTCATAATAGATGACCTATTCAGTCGGATCGATCAGGTCGATAGGCTGGTGAGAAGTTTGCATGACGGAGGTCTCTCGGCGAACGTGACGATGACGACGTCTAGTGCTGACAGAGCTGTCGGAGAAAGCAACAGGAGGCTGCAAGAACAGCTGATTATCAGCAGGGGCTTGCCAGGGGCCGGAAACTGTCTCCGGACTGGGCTGTTGGCTGGCCGCTTCGGAATCGGAGGAGTCCGAAGCCTCCCTCATCCATGGGTGCATTCCGAAAGCCGTGAGATCAGAAAACTTCTTGAAAATGCTTTCGAACTTGTGCTTGAGATCATATTCAGCCTCCTGGTACTTGCGAATAAGGTGGGCGGTGAACTCCTGACTGTAGTTGCGAGTCAGATCGCTCCACCACTTCTCCTGAACCATGCAGATGTACATGTCTACGAGAACATCCTGAGAGAGGACACTTCGTGGCTCATTGCTACCCACAAGAACCCAAGCGCGATAGATCTCTTCGGAGCGGAACTTGAAGTAGTCTCCAGGAGCTTTACGAAGAGAGAAAGTGCCGTGATGAGGGTTGTGGTAAAACATTCGTAGCACGATGTAGCGGTACATCGTGTTTTTGATTTTGTCGACCTCGTTTATCATGCCTTGTGCATAGACGAAGGACAGTGTAGTGAGGAGGAGGAGGAGGTTCATTCCATCCTCGTGACCGACGAGACCACTGGGAGTCAGATGGATCTCGAGGAGAAGAGTCAAGACGTCAGCTCCAATATCCGGAATGTTTGAGTGCAGCAGAAACCCCTAGCCTGGCTGACCATCAAACACGTTGTTGAGAATCATGAACTCATGCCCCTGGGCTCTGACTTGATAAAGCTGAGAAGGCCTGAAAAGAAGTTTTGTTTAGTATAGTAATAGAAGAAGAGGCGGACTATAATAGGTGGACTTACACTACGAACAGATCGCCTCTCAGGGAGCGTGACTGAGTGAACTTCTGGGGATAAGCTTCCTAAGGGGGTTGTTAGTACAAGGGTTCAAGGGAGTAGAATCGATGACGGATGAGATCTGTTCCTTACAGCACCCTGTACAGCACCAGGGAGGTGGCAGTCTGGCTCAACAGCCTCTCCAGTTGGAGTGTCAGGCTGAGAAGTAGCACAACTAACTATCGGAATGACGACTCTGTCGCCGAGATGATATCGGACAATAGTCGAGTCGATAATTGGGGAATTAACCAAGGCGTGACCAGACGAACTGCCCGCAAGAGCTGGAGGACTAGGGGCCATATGGCCCTCCCACATAATCTGCCCGAAAGATACGAGAGACTCGGTTGGATGCTCACTGCTGGTAGTGGCCTGGGATCGACGACCGGTGGATCGGAGTTTGTCCTTCATATCGCAGAGGCGATCCTTGACAGATCGTCGAGGCATCTCGACGGCTGCGGACTTGGGTTTCTCCTTGGACTGTTCGTTGGGATGTTCAATGCCTCTCTTCTTTCCAGCTGGACATGGAACGGTGTTCCGTCGAGGAGCTTCGATGCTGTTGATGAAAAAAGGGAGAAGCTGTAGACGGAATGAGTTTAAAAGACGCAAAGGTGAGGTTGACGTCTCGAGCTGCTGTCTCTGGCCAGAGAACGGAGAAGAGAATCAAAGGAGAGAACAGAGATGGCAATGTGATCTGGATAGACCACGAGGGAACGTGACGGGCTTGGAGAGACTGTGGATAGTAAAGCTTACCGGTATTAAGGATCGAAAGAAGGACGGGAAGCCAAAGAGGCAAGAAGGGTAAAGTGGATGGAAGAGAAAGTCAGGGTTCAAGTAAAAACAGTCGATGGTATTTAGTGGGAAGAAATGAGTGCGAACTAGCAAGGTTGGAAGTGAATGGAAGGGAAGAAAACGCACAAACGGGCCGGAAATTAGGGTGACTGGGAGACCCTTTCTCCACGTCTGCTACATCGAAACAATCACTCCAACATGGGATACTGTTCGCATCCCTTTCAGATTTCTTTCTTGTTTCGTTCAAACAGATCGAATCACTACACTTTCTTCACACCTCATTCTTCGATATACAATTCGCCCTCTGGCTCATCACGACGTGGGACTCATCCTCTTTTGAGAGTCAAAGGGTCTGGATTGCCCTGATAGAGCAACATTGATGACCAGGGCAAACGATGACCAAACTCGAACACGAGCCCTGCAAATCTCCGATACACACAATCATGGGACATATTTCGAAACCACGACAGATATCTGGTCAGTAGGATTTAGTCCCACAATTCCTGTGTATTATTTACATTTAACCGTTTTAAAGACTTAGGATAGAGATGGTTTATCTGTCGATATCATGACCTTTCGCCACAGTAAGACTTTGTAGTGTTGTTACCGATACGTCCAAAAAGTAGTCGGTTGGTGGGATAGAGGCGGCAGCTCGCCGCTCATGGATTGAAGTTGCCAGATGCCGGTCAAGCTGAGATTGGCACGAAAACGCCTTGTTACAGGGCGTGCATGAATAAGTGCCGGCTTCAATAACAGACTGTCTGTATGCATTCTGTTGAGTGGCATATTTGCTGGGAGGGGGGGTTTCAATGTCAGCAACTTTGTCAGCACGAGCCTTCCGGGTTGTATGCAGACTCAGGGCGAAGGGCGTTGCAAATGACAGATTGCAGATATTGCAGCAATATGTTCCAGCTGCCTTTATCTTGTCGACCGCATTCTTCTTGTTCTTATTGACTCTATCGCGGTTCTTGGAGTCGTATGCCTTCTTAGTCGCGGTAACCTTAGCCTTGTAGGCCGTTTCATCCTTTGCCCTTTCTTTAGCACGATGTGCTCGGGAGCTGGCATTACCATTCGCAGTTGCATTGGCCCTGCGAGCAGCATAGAGAGCGGCTACCTCCTCAGTGTCAAGTTCAATCCCTCCCCTGACAGTTTCGGTAAGAGAAAGGTGTGAACAGAGGGGGATCCAGCTTAACATCCCTGAGCCTGCCTCGATATTGTCTACGCGGGGACCCTGCCCCTCTTTGCCGTCGACTGTCAAATCCTGTCGTAATCAACCTCCTCGTCCTTGATTCACAGGCGTTCTTTGCCATCTTCAGTTGCCGAACTAGAGCTGCCAGACCTTAAGCAGATTTCACCTCAGTTCGAGGCTGATATTGCTAACGTCTTCGACTTTGAGAGGAGCGTTGAGAAGAGGTCTGCCCATGGCGGCACGAGCCGGAGCTCAGTACTGCAACAGATCTTCGCCATTGAAGTTTATCTCGCCAGGAATTAAGCCTACCAGGCTGGCAAGACTACCTGCTGTTATCTTTCACGCGTAGCCCAAGGTACAGACAGCATGGTAGATCCTTCGACAAGACAATTTAGAGCTAGAGGACTTGGAGGATCAAGGGGGCATGGCTACAAAAAGTACTATCTCCCCATTTAATTTAAATTTGGCTCCAGAGGTTTCTTCTAGACGCATCTTACTCATTAACCTGATCTGTGAATGCTACCTGATTAATTCTCTACCTATACAGTAGCTGCTTTCCATGTCGAATGGCCTGTTCTGTTCATTCACAGTAGGGATCAATGAATCCCGATCGCAAACACGGTCCACACATCATCGTCAGCATGCTCAGACGTGCAACACTACCAGCATTCTCAATCAGGAGAGCATAGTCGGCTCATCCGATATCATTTGTATTTCACCAGAGTTTCTTTTCTACGAATATGGTCCAGCTACGGCGAAATACCCCCCAGCGTCGAAGCATCTCTCCTCAGCAATCACTGGGACCATGGACAAAAGAAAACTGGAATGAAGCACCTGAAAGCCATCGAGGGTCAAAGTACCAAGAAAGACGAAGATCACTCAATGCAGAATCCCAATAGCATGGTCTATGCTTGCCGAGCTAGGGAAGTATCACACGGTCGCTGATGGCCTGGCGAGTCGCTCAGGACCGTTACCCTCGATGCCTTGTTGCAGCGAGGACTCATCTTCTTGGACACCTATCCACGAGAAATAAGACAAACAAACAAAGAACAGTTATTTTCAAATACGCACCCGTCAATCTCGTCAATTAAAAGATCACAAAACCAATCCCACAGCGCAAGGTATTTTTCAAGTGCAAAAACACACGACCCCGTATTCTCACAAGTCATGATCTAAATCACATCATTCAATGGTTTAATATCATATGGTTCATCAAAAATATTTACATTCATTAACTACTTTTTATAAAGCCCCCACCTCTGGGCACCAGATGTCAACCCTAAAAGAAATCAGAAATCCGCAGATCGGTTCCTTCCGGCCTCCGGGATGTTCCACAGCGAGGGACACTATCCCGATGCCGATCGGCTGTTGCTGGCGGGTCCCCCGAAGGACCGGCGCCGAGCCCGGGGAGCAGACGGAGCCCGAACCACCGAAGACCCACCACAAGCGGCGGGGCGGCCACGGGAAAGACCTGCGGCAACGGCGGCCGCGACCTCGTCCGCGATGGACCGGGCGTAAGAGCAGACCCGGTCCATGTTGAACAGGCCGTTTGGTTGCCGGAGCCCGGCCGGCGCTACAATGTTGTAGCGCCCCTCGTCGGCCTCCTCGATGATGATCTCCCTCATGGCCTTGATGTGAAGGGAGCGCATTTGGACAGCCTTTTGGTTCGTTGGCTGCGCGACGGCGGGGAAAATGGCCTTGATCTCCTTGACGATTTCGGTCTTCTGGGTCTCGAAAATAAACTCGCGGAGTCGCTCGTGGTAGTCGGTTTCGATCTTGAAGGTCTCAAAGGCTTTGTCTCTAACTTCCTCACGGGTGGTGGGGACCTTTGAGTAGAGACCTTGTTCACGGCAGCGGGGCTTGAATTCGGTGATCCATTGTCGGTACACGGGTCGGTGGGAGATGCGCTGTCGATCGTTAGATTTAGCAGCGGCTAGGTCTTGTTCGATTGCATAGTCGGGATCCACCCAGAACATGTTGCACTTGGCCACGTATCGGAACATCGATTCGACATCTGCGAAGGGTCTCCAGTACTCGGGAACTGGCACGCCGATAAAGTCCAGGATTTGGTTCGGGACGGAAGTTAGAAGAATCTTGGCCCTCTTCTTGTCGACAATTTCAACCTCGGGAATTCGAATCCACAACCCTTTGTTGTCCACAGTAAGTCCGAAAGGTTTGATGATAGATCCAAGGAGCTGCCACATATCGCCATGAGCTTGATGAAATCGAAGGTACTTAGCCTCCTTAACGTCGAAACAGAAGTGGACGTCGACCTGGATATAGGGACCGGACGGTGGGCCTGAAATAGAGTCTGGGAATGCGGATCCAGTTTTCTCCTGCAATTGGAGTTAGCCTATGGTAAGCTTATTGTAGGTTCCGTAATAGCTTTACCGTCTTGCTTTTATCGCCAGTGCCATCTGCAGCGTTCTGGTCAGGGTGACCGAGCTTGCTAATAAGGTGCGACAGAGAAGAAAAGGAGGCTAGCCAGACAGTTAGTCACGGTAAGCCATGAATAATGTAAGACACTTGACACTTACGAGATCGCGGAAGGCGTGTCTTGAGCTTGCTTTTGGAAGACCAGGTGGAGTTCTTCTTGCTGCTAGATGTAGGTGTGCACGGGAAGGTTCCTGGGTCAGGGCTGGGGGAGAAGTTTGCTTGCGAGCTTTGACCTCCACCAGAGTTGTCTTCATTCAGAGCAAGGACGAGAGCAGTTTGACGGGCCGCAGCAAGGGGAAACTGAGAGTGAATGTTAGTTGGTTCCTTTAATGCTATGTGCAAACAAAATCAATAGAAGTTACTCACGATAGTCTTTCCTTTGTCTCGAAGTTCTTGGAGCGTAAGGGGTTCAGCGTTGGAACCGGGTGTTCCATGCGCATCAGACTGAGGTCGCGACACATCAGAAGAAGAGTTGTAGCCAGGCGAGATGGCTCCAAGAGTTGTAGTAGATTGGTTGAGCTCATGAGAATCGTCGGTTGGAAGTGTTCCGTAGTCCTCAGGGTAAGGGAGTTCCTCGGGCCAAGGGATAGCAAAGTGAGCAGCGACGGCGCTTCCTGGCTCGGTAATTTGAGCCTGGGCTCCAAGAAGTTGGTTGACGAGATTGAGGATGCTTTCCTTGCGCATGTCGGAGCCGATGAGGCCAGAGACGATGAGGTCGATGTCGCCGTAGTCCTTCTTTCCAGGACCTTCGATTGGCGTGTCGATCCAGCCGAAAGCTGGGGCAAGAGTGCGAATGAGTTGGTTCTTGACTACAAGATAAGTCTCCATGGGCATGCGAGGAGTCTCCAGAGGAGGATCCAAACGAGAGAGTGCTTTGCCTCCCATAGTGACGGTGGTAGGGCAAGGATACGCGAGTTTGCGATAGTGAAGGAAGCAAGATGAGAAAGACAAGAGAACAAACTTTTGTTACGAGGAATCAAAAGAGAAATGCGATGTGTGTTTGTGACTCCCAAGTTGAGCCCTGTAGATGTTGAAGGAAGAAGAAAAGAATGAGCAGTTGCGTGCTCCGACGCGATATTTAAAGGATGGAGAAACAAGGCAGTGAATCACAGAAGATCAGTAGCTATCTTATAGGATGGTCAGTGCTTGAGAAGGTAGGAATGTGTGGAAAGAATCGAGAGAAGAAGTAACTTACCAGGAGCGCATGTTGGTTGATTCACTGTTGTTGTCAGACGGGGCGAGGAGAAAGGTCGGTGACTCAGCGGGAGCAGCCTAGAATTAGAATGGGAATGAGACGGGCTGCGCATATATCTTAGTGGGTTCTCAAAATGCAGTACCGAGTGTTAGTGCTGCCCACCAATTCAACCCTGTCAGCTATCCTTGGTACCTACAACCACTCAGACACTCCAACATAACTTCATCATCAACAGCAAAAACAAACTTCCTATTTTTATAATACGTTCATCGATCGATATACCGTCAAGATGGAAGGCCTTGACTCGGATGGAGCCACCCTTGTGTTTTTCTTCTTTTTGTTCCTCCTCGCGGTGCTTAAGCTGCACAACGATGACCCCGGTCGAAATCATTGGCAGGTTCCACGTCTCTCTGGTGTCGAAGAAGAGGATGAAGATGACATCTAAAGAAGTCCTTCTATGGGTCTACCTCTCATAGAGTCACTGGTGAGTGTGCTGGCTCAGTCCTCAAACTTAACCCTCAACGGCTGAACTGACTTTGATAATCGCAGTTGCCCCCCTGAGCGGCGGCACGGTACACGTTTCTTTGATTCCAGCGATAGCATAGTTGACTGAATTAGCTCTTCCAACTATGTTATAGCTGTTAGTGAGTCTCTCCCATACGGGCTGAGGGGACTGTATAGTCCTGAGAGCGGTATCCGCCTGGAAGCTGGGTCGGATGAGGTGCGCCTTTCTTTCCTTTCATCCTTGTCGGAGAAAGATGCTAACTAAATTCATAAGGGATATAATAGAAGACCACGAGAATCGAATAAAAGAGGCTATTAGATCCAACTTGCAATTCCCACGGTGTCCCCAGTGCAAGCCCGTACGGCGGCCCATGTTGCGGAATGTGATCCCACCCTAACGGGGGACTCTTACTTGTACCTTTTGTTTTCAACTGGCCGCAATAAACTCTATCTGGCAGTTCAACTATCTTTACCATAAAATTATAATTTAGAGTAAATGTTACGCTAACCTCAGGTCTTTGCAAGGTAATCAGCTTTTGGCGTAATACTGAACCACTAATAGGAACTTTGGCTAACAAATGGATTCTTCTTGGGAATACTTAAAGGATACAGGGGTCTAGTTGGATTAAAACCTCAACTGGCTTACTTGGTTTCCCTTCCGAGAAACTTTCTCAATCGACATCTATTACTAAATCGGCCAGATGACTCACTCCGAAGCTCGCGAGCCATTCCAATTTGAGCACTATACTTCTGAGCTGTGGTATATACTGGGCAGCTAGAAGTAGGAGCCCAAGAACTCTGCAGGCCGGCCGATAGAAGTAAGGATGCCTTTTCTGGCCTCTTTTGTGGAAGGCGGCTAACATCTTTCTTTCAGATCATACACGATAGCCCTCTACCTACCATCGACATAATTATTGCCCTCTATCTAGGGCACACCCCGAAGCAACACACTACGACAGCCGGCCAATGGGAACGCCTTCTTCCATATCGATCCTTCCAGCGTCCACTCCAATCACTGTTAGTTTGATATTCAGGGCCGCTGGTAACGAAATGGTGGCCACTGGGGGGATGACCACGGGAGCGACAACGTCCGAATGCTTGAGCCAGAGTTACATAGAGACAGCAAGGTGGCAGTAAAGAAATACAAAAGCAAGAATTTGTTCCTAATCGCCATTGGTTACCACTTATCGTCTAAGCACGTATCTTCTTCCAGGGGTTACAAAACGGAACGCTGTATCAATGTCTGCTCTCTCAATTACTCTATCGACCACCCGACTGCGAAGCAAAGCGCTACCACACTGCATTGCCTGGAGGTTGTTGGTACGGGAACACTTCGTGTTGACTTTGAAGATCTGCCCTGTCGACGTATACGTGCCGCCGCTGACAGAAGCGCTTAGTTGGGACCTGTTGAAAGTCCCAATCCTTTGAACATGTCTTCTGCTTGTCCTTTTGTTGGTAGCTTTCGATGTTTGCATCCACTCGCTCGCCGGCCCGGACAAGACTCTCGTGTGGAAATCCTGAGCCGCCATAAAACTTAAAGTCATAACCCAGACCGCAAGTAAGGGTATCGCTTAAGCCAAGGAACCCAGGACGTTCGTGTAGAAATCCTGAGTTGCCATAAAACTTAAAGTCATAACCC